AACCTTTGTACCCATTAGCCCTAGAATGGCTGTCCACATGGAGATGGTTGCTGGTCTTTTGCATATAAGCTGGACTGGTTTGAAGCTGGGCCATCACAGTGAATGAGGAGGGGATTCCACGTGACCCTTATCTCTAAGGCGACAATTCTTCGGCGCCTGACGCGATTATCCCGGATATACTGTTAATCCGGGATCCCTGGCCTTCCAGAATTAATGCCAGGTGGCCCGCGATTCCTTCAAGTTTTGCGTGTTGTACTCCCCCATACTCAACCGATTCCCCAGATTAATCAATCTCCGGCAAAATGGTGTCTCCTCAAATGTAAGCTGATAATCCTGGAACATATACCGCGAATGCAATTTGACAGAAACTGATGATCACAGCACCAACCTCGCCATCATCCTGGTGATGATGCAGCTGGCCAAGAAGGTTCCCTTTGAGGATCCCCAGGTCCTGATGCTGGTGCGCGGATGCTACATCCTCTCCAACATCCTGATCCTCGCGGTGTCATTGTACACCCAGTACCAGATCAACGCTAAGAAGGGTATGTCGGACCGATCGCGTGCCTTCAAGGATCCCAAACTAACGCGACTATAGACATGACGACCCTTAAGTACGTCGAGCCCGCCCCCATGGGCAGCACCGAGGAGCCCAAGCCCGTCACTACCACCAACATGGACTACGACAAGGGCCAGCTCCGCCAGCAGCTCCGCAGCCAGCTTATGGGTGTTGGCATGATGGGTGTGATGCACCTGTACTTCAAGTACACCAACCCTCTCCTCATCCAGTCCATCATTCCCCTCAAGGGCGCATTCGAATCCAACCTCGCTAAGATCCACCTTTTCGGCAAGCCCGCCACTGGTGATCTTGCCCGTCCCTTCAAGGCTGGCGGTGGCTTCATGTCTCCCGGTGCCCCCAAGACCGACAAGGCTTCCATCGATGCCGCCGAGAAGAACTGGCGTGGTGGTGTCAAGGAGGAGTAAATGGAGTCCAGGAGGCGTTGCAGGTCATCAACCGACCCATGGTCGGTTTGGACCATGGCACTTTTGTCGAGTTCTTCTTGTACCATAAAAACATCTTCCTGAGACCAGGCCTTTGCTGGACCTGGATCATACTATAGTTAATCACTGGTATTTTTTTTATGATAAGCTCAGTCATGCCATGATCTCAACCAGTGTATTCCGTATTCCGCATCCTTGGTAGTTCACGATGACATACGAGTCTGTTCGGTCATCCCACATGCATGTCGTGCCATGGCATTGGTTCCAAGCCCTCCCATGCTGGCGTGGCCTGATAAGGTATGACGGTGAGACCTTACGAGTAGAACCTGGGCTCTCTCGACCTGCAAGAGACAATGAAAGTGGTTTCTCGGTGACAGCTGCAGTTCGGCCCCTGGGCCTATCAGATTCGGATCTACGGTAAGGCAATGCCGTTGAGGCAAATGCGATTAATCAGCTCTCCCAAGGTGGCCAGCTGTGTTTGGGGACCCCGTACGATTCGTCTGGAGCAATGGTCAAATGACATTTCCCATACTCACCCACGACCAGAAGGAGTAGAAAAATCTGACTGATCCCGTGGCGTTGAGGCTTCCCGGTGACTGTTTTCAGGGCGAAAGGGGAGTCCACTGGTTGGATCACCATACTCGATCCGTCCACCGCAGAATATGACCCGCTAATCTGAGCTTTTATACTCGTTAATGGGCTGGCAGTAGAGGAATTTACAAGCAATTGCATTATTCGTTATACACTGTATTTTCCAGTATACTCCATACTCAATGATTACCCTCCATTTGTATGGAGGAGTAGTAAGTATCCTATCGTAGTCGTGGAGTGCCCCTCAGTCTCGGCGTCATCCACTCTCCACATCCTTCTTCCCCCTTCCACTTAGTCAATCGCCTCGGAAATGGCTCTTGCTCCAACTTCAGATTATCGTGATCACCTCCTTGTAGCCGAGCAGGCAGAACATTCACGAGAGATGCCCCGAGGCATAGTAGTAATGACCCGATAAGTGTAGGATGTAAGGACTCTCATTGGTAGACGGGAGCTACCGAGGGGCAGCACAGGACCCCAATATCGTGCCTCTTCCTGCTTTGCCCGGTGTATGAAACCGGAAATGGTTGCTGGGCAGATGTACAAGCGGCAACAGTCGGGAAACAGCTCAGCCCTCCGATCTGGGGGGGTTGCCGTGCCAGTGAACCCCGTCCGTCTCTTCGGTGAGGGGTGATCTGTCCGTTGCGTCAGTCATTCATTAATCTTCCCCTCCCCCGCCAGACTTTTTTTCTCTTCTTTCTTTTCTTCACACTCCAATTGAATCTTCCCCTTTAATCAACTTTTCTATCACAGTGAGTTCCATCTTCCATCTATCCATCCATCTCCCCATATCCCCCCTCATTAACCTCCTCTCTAGTAAACCGCAATCATGGTTGTCCAAGTCGGTATCAACGGTTTCGGTCGTATTGGCCGCATTGTAAGTCAACTGGTCCAGATTCATCGTTTCATCTGCTAACTGCTCTCCTCAGGTCTTCCGCAATGCGTAAGTAGCTCACAGCGAGTTGAGAGCCAGGAGCCCCGCCTAACCATCGTCATAGTATTGCCGACCCCAAGGTCCAGGTCGTCGCTGTCAACGACCCCTTCATCGAGACCAAGTACGCTGTACGTATCCCATCATCTTCAACTCGATGACTCCCCCCAGCACTAACCCAACCTCCTCTCTAGGCCTACATGCTGAAGTACGACTCCACCCACGGCAAGTTCAACGGCTCCGTTGAGGCTGTTGAGGATGGTCTCGTTGTCAACGGCAAGAAGGTCACCTTCTTCGCTGAGCGTGACCCCGCTGCCATCCCCTGGGGTAAGGCCGGTGCCGCTTACATTGTTGAGTCCACCGGTGTCTTCACCACCGAGGAGAAGGCCTCCGCTCACTTGAAGGGTGGTGCCAAGAAGGTCATCATCTCCGCTCCCTCCGCCGATGCCCCCATGTTCGTCATGGGTGTCAACAACACCTCTTACACCAAGGACGTCAACGTTCTCTCCAACGCCTCTTGCACCACCAACTGCCTTGCTCCCCTCGCCAAGGTCATCAACGACAAGTTCACCATCGTTGAGGGTCTCATGACCACCGTCCACTCCTACACCGCCACCCAGAAGACCGTCGACGCTCCTTCCGCTAAGGACTGGCGTGGTGGCCGCACTGCGGCCCAGAACATCATCCCCTCCTCCACCGGTGCCGCCAAGGCTGTCGGTAAGGTTATCCCCGAGCTTAACGGCAAGCTCACCGGTATGGCCATGCGTGTCCCCACCGCCAACGTCTCCGTTGTCGACCTTACCTGCCGCATCGAGAAGGGTGCCTCCTACGAGGAGATCAAGGCCGTCGTCAAGGCTGCCTCCGAGGGCGAGCTCAAGGGTGAGTTTTACTTCCATCTACAATCAGGGTAACATTATACTAACCATCTACTAGGAATCCTCGGCTACACTGAGGACGAGATCGTCTCCACTGACCTCAACGGTGATGACCACTCCTCCATCTTCGATGCCAAGGCCGGTATTGCCCTTAACGCCAACTTCATCAAGCTTGTCTCTTGGTACGACAACGAGTGGGGTTACTCCCACCGTGTCGTTGACCTCATCTCCTACATTGCCGGTGTCGATGGCCAGTAGGAATCAGGACAGCGTCCTGGGGTCAGAAGTGTACTGTAAGGTACTAAGTTCTTTGCTATGCTGCCTGCGGATTGTGGGTGCTGGTCTGAGGACCTTGCCTTGTAGGCAAAAATAAGATAACGTCATGTAATGAAACGAAACATTCCGAGTTTACGAAACATTTTTCCATTTCTTGTAAAGAGCAGAAAAACAATTGCATGAGTAGATTATAGTAGGCTTGTGATGGTCACCTGGGCTCATCATGATCGTGCCATCTATCCAGGTGGGTCATGCTGGGTTATGTCACTTATGTGCAATGTGCAGCAACACTTAGACTTTTCTAACATTCTGTTGAGAACGTTTAGTTATATTTGGTGTCACACTGTTACAGGGCAAGGTATGAAATTGATTGCATTATTAAATTCAGATAATCACGTTGTCACCAATGGAGCTCCAGTTTCATTGGAAATCTTCATTTCTTACTGCCGTTTTCTGCCACGAACTTTCGTTTTACTGCCTCCATTGGTCCGGCTTTCTGGCAATAAATGTGGCAATGTCATGATATACCATAGCAATTGCAATACCTAGGTGGTAACCTGAATGTAGATATGGCGATTATACAAATATTGAGATCAACATACATTTTTTCCTGTAACTCCATCATTGATATTGTATTTGTTAATCTTCATCAATTGCTCGCTGTCTTTACAAGATCGTATTTCTGCCGAAGAAACTCATTAGGCGGTGAGACTAATCAATTTTGCAAAGGCGGTAAGTTTTATCTTGGTATTGATAACAAGGTGAAAACAAGGTGAAGTACAGAAATACATATGACCATCTAGACCTGGAAGTCTACTTACAAACTGTAGTATGAAATATCCTAAGATAATATAAAAGAACATTGAATATCTGATATGAGTTTCTGCTGCCAGAATTCACTAGGCGGTGAGACTGACTTCACCGCCTACTCACTTTAGGCCAGGCGATGAAACTTACTTACCGCCAGCCTTTCCTCACCGCCTTAGCTCACTTCACCGCCTACGCCTAGAGTACTGCTTTAGGCCAACTCAATCGAGGTGCTTGTATACCACATACACTTTCAAGTGCAACGTTCCAAGCCTTTCATACACTTTGTAACAAGTTGAACAATTTTCCAGCATCAGGAACTTTACACGATTGATTGATAACTCTTCCTGGCTCAAGGTACACTTGAAACCAAACAAGAACCATCAAGCATCAACAGCTCGAATTGATCTGTTAGAAGATCACCCGCAGCCAAGATTGGTCACCCATATGTTTGGCTACATTTGGGTTTGAACCTCCAAGCTTGAAAATATCGATCAAAGGGATCCTTCCATTGTTTCTGCAAAATGGAAGACGGCGAGGATACCGTCATGGGTGATTCCCATACCTTCCCGGCGCTGAGTTCGAATCAGCCACGAGCTCAAACGCTCCTCACACATCTTGGGAGCCATCCTACTCCGACTCTTACGCCTTCTCACAACCCCCAAGCTACAGCTTCTTCATCACCTGGGTCTGATCAATCCCAATCCCGAGGCTCTGGAATGGGCCCCCCTGATCGTTTGGCAAAGACCAGCGACACAGGAAGCTCATCGGCCGATCAATTCTCCAGGCTTGACAGTCTTGTCGAGCCCAACTCGGACTGGGAAGACGAAGACATGGCTAAGCCGGGCCTTCCCCTTGCGTCGCTTGCGACGGGTCTTTGCTATGATCATCGCATGCGCTACCACTGTGAGGTCAGCCCGGAAAGTGACGTTCACCCAGAAGATCCCAGGCGTATCTACTACATCTACAAGGAGCTTTGTCGCGCTGGTCTCGTCGACGATGAAGAGTCAGCTCGGCCTTTAGCGCCCAAAACCCTCGAGCGCATCCCCGTGCGTGATGCGACTGAAGAGGAAATCACTACTGTTCACACCGATGCGCACTACGCTTTTGTCCGAAGCACTCGAGGTAAATTATCATTGGCTGAGGACTTAATCCCGAGCACCCTCTGACTTGACTTACAGACATGCCCAATGAGGAGCTTATTCGCCTTGAGAGGTCGCGCGATTCAATTTATTTCAACAAGTTGACATTTGCTTCTTCCTTGCTCTCCGCTGGTGGGGCTATTGAGACATGCATGGCTGTTGCCCAACGTCGTGTGAAAAATGCCATAGCTGTGATTCGCCCACCTGGCCATCATGCCGAGGTTGATAAAGCAATGGGATTCTGTCTGTTCAACAACGTCTCGGTTGCAGCGCGTGTCTGCCAAGACAAATTAGGAGATGCATGCCGGAAGATTATGATTCTGGACTGGTCAGTCTCTTAATGGTGCTTGATTTTTGAGGATTTACACTGACACTATCTAGGGATGTTCATCACGGTATGCTGAAGCCGTTTCACTCTGCAATATCTCATAGGCTTACATCATCTAGGTAACGGTATCCAGGAAGCTTTCTACAGCGACCCGAATGTTCTATACGTCTCTATCCACGTTTTCCAAGGCGGTCGTTTCTATCCCAATGGACCTGCAGGAGATTGGGATAAGTGTGGTGAAGGCGCTGGACTTGGAAGGTATGTCATTTAAGCCATTCTGATTGACCGACTCTTACATTTATTTTCTAGGAATGTGAACATTCCATGGCCTTCTCAGGGTATGGGAGATGGCGACTACATGTATGCCTTCCAAGAAGTCGTGATGCCTATTGCGCAAGAATTCGACCCTGATTTAGTGATCAGTAAGTAGTCTCTCATACCTAAATATCGCTAGGACCCAATGGCTAACCTCAACAGTTGCGGCCGGATTTGATGCTGCCGCTGGTGATGTCTTGGGCGGCTGCTTTGTCTCGCCGCCTTGCTATGCCCAGATGACACACATGCTCATGACACTCTCGAATGGAAAGCTTGCAGTCTGCTTGGAGGGTGGATACAACTTCAAGTCTATCTCCAAGTCCGCTCTCGATGTGACGAAGACTCTTATGGGCGAGCCACCTGGTCGTCTGACGGGCACTGCCCCGACAAAGGCTGCAATTGAGACTGTACGCCGAGTAAGAAGCATTCAGGCCAATTACTGGTCCCGCCTTTACCCCAAGAACACCGTTCAGCAAATTCACGGTGACCGACTCCATGGTAAGTATGGCAGAACAGGAGATATTGGATCATAATACTCATTCTTTACCAGATCTCCTCCGCATCTTTCAGTCCAACCAGCTGTATGAAAACTGCAAGCTCACACCTCTCTACGTCTATCGCACAGCCATTTCACAGTCATTTGACAACCAAGTCCTGGCTAGGTAAGTTCCACCTGGAAACCTCAATTCTTTAGTCCGAAGCTCACCCGTCCTGCAGTCCAAACTATACCCAGGCCGTTCCACTTGTTGTGATCTTCCATGACCCGTTAGTATATTCGCCGCAATTCCAGCATCGTTATTCTAACTTTAGTAAGGCCCGAGATTATGGGACAGGCTCACCCCGTGACCAATAAGATGGAAGTCCACAATGTCTGGCTGGTATGTCATTTCAAATTGCCCCTGCAGTAACACCTACTAACCGAGATCAAAGGCTGATTCTCTGAAGGGCTACATTAAGTGGATATGTGACAAAGGTTATGGGGTCATTGATGTCAACATTCCCAAGCATGTCACTCGTGAATCGGTAAGTACATATGGAGGTTTATGCACGGGTTTGTGACTAACTGAGACATCCCAGACATTCGGTCGTTACGAAGGCGAGGACGACGACCGCCCAACTGCCACTGAGGAGTTGGCCGCATACCTGTGGGACAACTACATCGAGTAAGTGACAGTGAAAAAAAAATAAGTCTATCTAGCATTCGCTGACGCATGAGCAGTGCAAACCAAGCCACAGAGATATTCCTTCTGGGCGTCGGCAATGCCTTCCACGGCGTTGTGAACCTCTTGATCAACCGAGGTTCGTACTGTCCTATACAACTTCATGAAAGAATGCTAACAATCCCAGAAAACCTTTACAAGCGCGTGAATGGAGTCGTGTCCTTTGTGTCAGAGAATCCAGTTCGCGCAGTCGCTTCCCACACCCAGACCTGGCTATCGAAATGGTACCGCGAGGTAAGCTGATCATGAGTGTTTATCTTTCTTAATCCAAACTGACCTTCCTCCAGAATTCGCTGGTATTTGTCGCAAGCTCCCATGGTATCTGGAACAAAGACCTACGGCGTCCATCGAAGCGATATGGAACACTGGTTCAATCTTCGGCATCGGATTTGAATGAAATGCTCGATCTGCATAAGGAGGCTGTTTTCGAATGGATCTCTGAGCGGGCCGATGGAGCCGATGAGGAGACTGGGGATGAAGATGCTTGATCCGATTTGATATTTGCTTAAAAGGTTATTGTGCGCAAGCATAGTTAAGGATTTTCTATTTTCATAGCCTACTAATGACACATGTGAATCTATTCAGTCTACCCACTTTTACTTATAGTATGGTTCGGCTTAAAGTCTCCAGCTCTTCATTCCCAGGTGCTCAAGTGGCTGCTAGTTGCGTTCCAATGTTTTTTTTTTTTCAGAGCCAAGAGAAATATCGGATCACATCCATAAATAGACTGGGGCCTCAAGGCTCTGTCCGGGTGTTTGAACTGCTCTTGGTTCCGAGAACATTGGAGTATAACACTCAGGAAGTCAGCTGCGAACCGATACACACTGACTTTGAGACACTCCAAGGGTATAGACTTGGTCTGACACACCCCCGATCATAACTCAACTGCCCTTCTAGCGGTGTACAATATACATACTAGCATATCTGACCAGGCAGCCATATCGTCTAACGAATATTGCCCTAAAGGTAGTCTCGGCAACATGGTATATTTAGTGATTACCCGTTGTGGCGCTGATCGGCACGCCTCCCCATGTATTAACCATGGATGTAACGATGTCTCACTTGCTACCCCAGACTTCAAGCGTGGCACAACCAGGGCTCGCTCTCTGGCGAGAATCTTGGATGCTTTGGGAGATTTCCTATTTTAGTTTGGGTTCTCATGTCTCCCCACTCTTGGCTTGCAAAGATCGTGGTTACTCGTAGTTAGTTATACATCTTATACATCAACCCTCGGAGTGAATGCACCCAACTTTAGAAGGATCGGGTCGGAGCGCTCTGAGACATCGTATTCCTCCTCTTTGGTAACTGGTCACTCTCGTATCGCTCCTCCATACATGGGGCTTTGATGTATATTGTGACCCTGTTTAGGCTGTGCGATAGATGCGGGGCTCTTACTCGAACCACTTCCGACATCCGGTCCTGTGATGGATGGCCTAACCACATTCTCAAGTGCTTTGGCTCTTTGATCGATTGAATTCGGACGTGGGTTGATGGAGTCGGAGCAATCGATTCCTATGGAATGCCTGTTTCTGGCATGGAGTCTATACATCGGCCGAGTCAAGTCTAGTCTATGCCATACTCCCTCAAAAAAGGTATATAAGTGAGCTTCTGTCCTGTTCATTAGAGTCATTCTCAACAGCTTCTAAGTTCTCAATTTCATTCAAAATATCATTCCATCTCTCCTGAAGCTTAAAGCAACCTTCAGCATAATGCATTTCTCTACGGCTGTTATTGCCTCCGTGGCCGCCTTGGCTCCTCTCGCCAGCGCCGTTGGCAACGCTATTGTAACCAACAATTGCGACTTCCCCGTCTATGTTTGGTCTGTCGGGGGCAGTGTTGGACCAAAGCAGACTCTTCAGCAGGGCGAGAAGTACACCGAGGCTTTGCACCATGACGCTGCCTCTGGAGGTGTCTCGTTGAAGATCACCACCGTCGACGATGGTTTGTACAACGGAAGCCCTCAAACCAACTTCGCCTATACCTTGGATCCCGGCACTGTCTGGTATGATCTGTCAGATGTTTTTGGTGACCCATTCTCTGGCAAGCCGATCGTTGTCCGCCCCACCGACTCTTCCTGCCCGAACCTCTGCTGGGCGCAAGGCGTCAACCCAGGTGGCAGCCAAACCAAGAATTGCAACTCGGATGCCAGTGTCAATTTGAATCTCTGCGCCGCACAATGCTAAGCGCCGTTATCTGAGGGATTGTTGATGTGTGTAAATGATTGGGCGAGACAGAACGTGGGGTTTAATTAGACTTGCGGGGGCAGAGAGCGAGTCTGGGCCCCCTCAAGGGTTCGGCGTGTATGTAGCTAATAATGGAAAAATGCTATAAGTTCATGAACCAATCCCTTAATCTACCTGTGGCAGACGCCAGTCTGCCTTGTATGAGATCCAGCCACCAGAAAGGCGCAAGGGTCTCTCATAGGCCCCAACAGCGCTTGTTAGGGCTGGCATACACATACCGCCTGGATCCACGGGGCAGTATTCAAACCGCCACTCTTTATCAGCATCACAGTGCACTTCGGCTGTGACACAATTCCTCTGCATCACCCGTTTTGCATCAAAACACATACACCCCATACATATATACATCCCGACATAGTTGAACCCTTTGGAATTTCAAGCGCATTGACCTTATCAGTCACGTCATTGCTCTTGCTCCCCGTGGCAACTGGATGCCTCCAAGGTCCTCTGCAGCAAACTTGTGTCACAGTCTCACTTGCAGTCTAACTCGCCCTTATCCTGATTTGTTGTTACGTACGATCGTGACTCGTCCTAGCCCCGTCCGATCCCAATCGTCTCCGAATTCCTCCGTTCATTGGCGCTCTTTCTCCCACTCCGCTCCTACTTTCACCACGATCATGACTCAGATCGAACGCATTACAGAGAATCTTCAGAAGCCGGAGCTTGATGATCGTTCGTACAGGGTGATTCGTTTGCCGAACAAGCTTGAAGCACTGCTAGTCCACGATCCCGATACCGATAAAGCCAGTGCCGCCGTCAATGTCAATGTGGGCAACTTCTCCGATGAGGATGACATGCCAGGGATGGCTCATGCCGTAGAGCATTTGTTGTTTATGGGCACAAAAAAGGTTAGCTCGATCGTTACCGGGACCCCCCCCCCCCCCCTTGTCAGCCGAGGCAAATGTTGATCTGACTGTGGTCGGTAGTACCCCAAGGAAAATGCATACAACCAGTACCTAGCATCCCACTCTGGTTCTTCCAATGCTTACACAGCTGCCACCGAGACGAACTACTTCTTTGAAGTCGCCGCAACGGGCGATTCTAGTGCCCCGAAGACCGATGGAGATAGCACCCCCGCCGAGGCAACAAATGGTAACAATGGTGTTCTGTCAAATGGGTCAGAGAGCAAGTCGCCTTTGTATGGTGCCTTGGATCGATTTGCCCAGTTTTTCGTCTCCCCACTGTTCTTAGAGTCTACCCTAGAGCGTGAGCTGCAGGCGGTGGATTCGGAGAATAAAAAGAACCTCCAGAGTGACCTGTGGCGGTTGATGCAACTGAACAAGTCTCTCTCGAACCCTAAACATCCCTACAGTCACTTCTCAACTGGTAATCTGCAGACTTTGAAGGAAGATCCGCAAAAGCGTGGTCTGGAAGTCCGCAGTGAGTTCATTCGTTTCTATGAGAAGCACTACTCAGCCAACCGTGCGAAGCTTGTTGTTCTTGGGCGTGAATCCCTGGACACCCTGGAGCAGTGGGTTTCCGAGCTGTTCTCTGATGTTGAGAACAAGAACCTTGCCCAGAACCGCTGGGATGATGTCCAGCCCTTCACCGAGAAGGATATGTGCACCCAGGTGTTTGTGAAGCCCGTGATGGACACTCGCTCCATGGATTTATACTTCCCCTTCCTTGACGAGGAGGATTTGCACGACACCCAGCCCAGCCGGTATATCAGTCACCTGATTGGCCACGAGGGCCCAGGTAGTGTCCTCTCCTACCTCAAGGCGAAGGGCTGGGCCAACGGCCTTTCTGCAGGCGCTATGCCCATTTGTGCTGGAGCAGCGTTCTTCACGGTCTCCGTGCGCCTGACTCCCGAGGGACTGAATAAGTACCAGGAAGTTGCTAATGTTGTTTTCGAATATATTGCGATGATCCAGCAGCGTGAGCCTGAACAATGGATCTTCGATGAGATGAAGAATCTCGCCGAGGTGGACTTCCGTTTCAAGCAGAAGACCCCGGCCAGTCGCTTCACCAGCCGCCTGAGCAGTGTGATGCAGAAGTCACTGCCCAGCGAATGGCTGCTGAGTGGGTCTCTACTGCGACGATTTGATCCCGATCTGATCAAGAAGGCTCTCAGCTACCTCCGAGCGGACAACTTCCGTCTTGTGATTGTGTCACAGGAATTCCCAGGTACTTGGGACCAGAAGGAGAAGTGGTATGGCACCGAATACAAGGTCGAGAAGATCCCTCAGCAATTCTTGGGTAGTCTTCAGAAGGCTTTGGAGTCGACTGAAGCTTCCCGTACTTCCAACGTGCACCTTCCTCACCACAACGAGTTCGTGCCTACCCGACTTTCCGTGGAAAAGAAGGAAGTCGCCGAGCCGAGCAAAACCCCTAAGCTGATCCGCCATGACGATCGTGTGCGTCTGTGGTTCAAGAAGGATGATCGCTTCTGGGTACCCAAGGCCACTCTTGAGGTCACCCTTCGTAACCCTCTGGTTTGGGCTACCCCTAACAACCTCATCAAGACCAAGCTATACAGCGAGTTGGTGAGAGACTCGTTGGATGAGTACTCCTACGATGCTGAGCTTGCTGGTCTTGACTACCATCTATCAGCCAATATCTTGGGTTTGGATATCTCTGTCAGTGGATACAATGACAAGATGTCGCTCCTCCTGGACAAGGTTCTCAACACTATGCGTGGACTGCAGGTCAACAAGGACCGCTTTAACATCATCAAAGAGCGTCTGACGCGGGCCTTTCGTAACGCCGAGTACCAACAGCCTTACTACCAGGTCGGCGACTACACTCGATACCTCCTTGCCGAGCGCAGCTGGGTCAACGAGCAGTACCTCGAGGAACTGGAGCACGTTGAATGCGAGGATGTGGTCAACTTCTTCCCTCAGCTGATTGAACAGACCCACATTGAAGTTCTAGCTCATGGAAATCTGTACAAGGAGGATGCCCTGCGCATGACGGATTCCATCGAGAAGATCTTGGAAGGCCGCCCTCTTCCCCAGTCGCAGTGGTATTTGCGCCGCAACATGACCCTGCCTCCCGGTACCAACTTCACATACCCCCGTTCCCTCAAGGATCCAGCCAACGTCAACCACTGTATCGAGTACTATCTGTACATCGGACTTTTCTCTGATGAATCTCTGCGTTCGAAGCTCCAGCTGTTTGCCCAGATGACCGACGAACCCGCATTCGACCAGCTGCGCAGCAAGGAGCAGCTCGGTTACGTGGTTTGGAGTGGCGCGCGTTACAACGCCACTACTCTGGGCTACCGAGTTATCATCCAGAGTGAGCGCACTGCCCAGTACCTTGAGTCTCGCATTGAATCCTTCCTCCGTGAGTTTGGACCTATTCTCGAGAACATGCCTGAGGAAGAATTCGATGGCCACAAGCGCAGTGTTGTGAACAAGCGTTTGGAAAAGCTCAAGAACCTGAGCTCCGAGACTGGTCGTTACTGGTCGCATGTTGGATCTGAGTACTTCGATTTCCTGCAACATGAAACCGATGCCGCCAACGTGCGCAGTCTTTCTAAGGCTGACCTCGTTGCTTTCTACCGTCAATATATCGATCCCTCTTCCGCCACGCGCGCCAAGCTCGCCATCCACCTGAACGCCCAGGCTGGTGAACAAGTCGATGCGCAACCATCTGAGCAGCGCAGCCGCCTTGTCGCCGCGCTGAACAAGCAGTTAGCAACCGCCGGTGTCTCTGTTGACGCCACTCGATTCGCCTCCGCGTTCGAAGAGGTTGAGACCAAGGTCGTTGACAAGTCCCAGGTCTTGTTTGTTGTGAAGAACTTCCTCGCCAGCGAACAGAGTCTGTCGCAGAAGCAGATTGAGCCCGTCCTCGAGAAGCTCGGCCAGACCATCAGTCTTCAACTCACGGAGCTGGGACTTGGCTCTAATGTCGATGAGAAGGATGCTGCCAACGGCAGCGTGCCCAAGGCAATCTTCATCACCGATGTCCCTACTTTCAAGGCTAGTCTGCCAGTCAGCACTGGTCCCATTCCTGTCACTGATCTGTCAGAGTATGAGGATTTTGATGCCAAACTTTGAATTCTTCTACTGGAGATGGGTTAGGTGTTGGGGTGGCGCATGCATCAGAGAGATTTGGTGTTGGGTGAAATGATAGTTCCCAGAAGAATAAACATAGGTGTAGATTTAATGCAGTCCTGTTAGAGACCCAGCAAACAACAATCGGATCAATACCTTAGAAGCCATGCAGATATCATATTGATTCACGGAAAATTGGCACTTTATTCGTCTCCGGGACCAAGAGACATCGTCTTAAATCCTCTGGGAAGCCCAAAGAATGAAAATACATCACAAAATATGAAGGTGTGCAAACTAGGAAGGAGGGTGGTGTTCCATCCATTTTGGGTTAGCTTGGATCGCTGCTTTAAAAGAGTCACGTGGGCGGTAAACGAACGCTCCCCCATCGATAACCGATAACACAAAACATCATGGACTCACTCTTTGTGAGTGCGTTCGTGTTCGCTATACATGAGGCCAGGATGCTCAGTAGCAATTTGTAAGCTCATATGAGTTGAAGCTGGCGTCAATTCACTAACAACATCCAGGCCCATCGTCCCACAGGACTTCACGGCTGCCCAGCCTGAGACGCTCCGTCTGTACCCTCTCTCGAATTACACCTTTGGAACAAAGGAGAACCAGCCCGAGGAGGACAGCTCTGTGGTCGAGCGCCTCAAGCGCCTGGAAGATCAGTACAACCTTCATGGAATTCGCCGAACTTGCGAGGGCATCTTGATCTGCCATGAACACGGCGTTCCCCACGTCCTGATGCTCCAGATCGCCAATGCCTTCTTCAAGCTGTAAGCCAATGTTTCGCACAAGGGAAAAAGAATGTGGCATGGAAGCTAACTAACCAGGCCCGGCGACTACATCAACCCCGCGGATCAGGAGCTTGAGGGCTTCAAGAGGCGCCTGAACGAGCGTCTTGCTCCCACTGGCACCCAATTCACCGGCGAGGGGGTCAATGGCGACTGGGACATTGGTGATTGTCTCGCCCGCTGGTGGCGTCCTAACTTCGAGACTTTCATGTACCCTTTCGTCCCGGGTCACTGCACCCGCCCCAAGGAATGCAAGAAGCTGTTCTTGATCAAGCTTCCCAAGAAGAGTAGGTTTACCAGCATTTATTCCCGACTGGCAGACTTGCTTACAGATCTGATTCTTTGTAGAGGTTCTTTCGGTCCCAAAGAACATGAAGCTCCTTGCTGTTCCTCTATTTGAGCTGTACGACAACAGCGCCCGCTATGGTCCCCAGCTTTCGGCCATCCCCCACCTCCTTTCCCGCTACAACTTCGAGATGGTTGACGAGAATGACGAAGTCATTGCTGTGACTCCTCTTTCGCACGAGATCGACCCCCGTACCCAGGCCCCCCGCCCCTCCACCAACGCCGCCACCAATGGATCCGCCGCTGGCGACCTTGGTAACGACACCGATACTGGCATGAGTGGCCTGGATGACCAGCAGGAAGGTCAGGCCATCGAGTCCCACCAGGGCTAGAAGGGGCTAGCCCTGTGATATCCAGGGACAGCACCTGGATTAATTTAGCAATCAATGAATGAACGAAACTCACGAAACAAAACTCCGCTCCAAGGTTGTAATTGTATTGGTCTGGACTATAGTACGTCTTTAGAAACTCCAATACACCCTCTCCATAGTCCCGGGGTGCCCTTGTAACATTCCCCCGGTTGCTTTATATTTGTGCTCGCCACAGAGTGGAATATGAATGTTCACTAGAATCAGAGAATGCAGTGTCATCAACCATTAGACATGAACTTGAGAATGGTTCGAAGATCAACCTTATCTGATCCGAAATGAAGCTTCGTGTCTCCACAATTGTCCCACAATAGACAAGCCCAATCACTTTAGACTGCAAGTCTAGTGGCGTAAATGTTCAACTCCAGGGCTGCTTTGTGTCCAAAGCCGAGCCATTAGCTAAAACGAATATGGATGAATATCTTCAGAGGCCCCATTTTCTTTGCAGGTTGCGGCACGGGTACTTAACGAGAACTGGATCTTGCACGGCAACTACTCGGCAGAATGGGTATTTGCAGAGCCCACTTCTCTACACTCTATGCCTCGGTATTCAGACAGGAACGCGCACCACCCTGCGAGTAATATCGCGCGATGTATCCTCAGCCTGCAGCCGGCCTGAATTGCTCATCTTCACGGAATTTAGCTTTCACCCCGGAGAATTCAACGGAGCACGAGTCAAATCCGTCCAATGCATGTCAGGCACTGGCGCTGCACCCCTCACTGGTCATGGCTTGGCGAGATGGAAGCGGGCGAAGGAGTGGATATACTAGGAAGAAACCCAAGAAAGAAGTGAGTTGATTAGGCTTAGTGAATTGAGCGAAAGAGCAGTGGAACCGTGGAAGGATGGAAGGAAATATACTCCACTGTCCGCCAAACTTCGGAGCTCAGATACACCAGCCACTGAGAGCGATGGCTGGTCTCCCCACACCGAGTGTATTTCCCCGACGCGCCCAAGGTCTGCAGAAATGCAGTGCGGATCACGTCGGATTTCCACCGGTCACGCGGGAAAAAAACACACGCCATGTCGGAGGAAGAGCTCGCTTTGGAATCATATCCTGTCCATGGAGTACCCCGCTCCTTGGGCTGGAGTTCAGCTTCTACATTCCTCCCGATCCAGGTGGGACTCCAAGGGGTGCGGCATGTATATAAGAAGCTGTTCCTGCGTGGAAAGTCTGTGGATATGCACGGCCGTTGAGACAGCCCTGATTCGAACCTGCAAAAGACTATAAAATGCTTCTGGTTGGTCGGATTTACGGCGTTGCTGCCCTTGCAGCGTTGGCTGTGGCTGCTCCCACGCGCCTGGCTTCGAGAGGTAAGAGTGCCTCGAGTGTTGTTTGCCGTCAAGGGGGTGTTCAATGGCTGACCACCCATAGCTGTGTCGACCGATGTGCTCAGTCAGTTGAGCTTGTTCGCCGAGTACTCGGCGGCCTCATATTGCTCGAACAACATCAATTCGACTGGTGATGCTCTCACCTGTGATGACGGCAACTGTGACGCTGTGCAGTCTGCTGATACAACAACTCTGTGGGAGTTTGACCGGTATGGACCAGGTTCATGATATATCGACAGTTCTTTCACTAACCCGAGTTCGCTGTAAGGGTTTGCTCATATGGAAATGTAGCGGGATTTTTCGCTGTCGACAAGACCAATGAGCTCCTCGTCCTTTCATTCCGCGGCAGTCGTGTTGTCAGTACCTGGATTGCTAATATCAACACTGCCTTGGCCGATGTCACATCCCTATGCAGTGGTTGCAAGGCCCATGCTGGATTCTGGGAATCTTGGGAGACCGTCGCAAGTGATGTGACGTCCCAGATCAAGTCCGCACAATCCAAATACCCCGGATACAAAGTTGTTGTGACAGGACACAGCTTCGGTGGAGCTGTTGCCGCATTAGCAGGCACTGCACTCAGAAACGGGGGCACCACTCTCAGCCTTGTTCGTAATACCCTGCCCTATTTTGGATCCACACACTAACAGCCCACAGTATACCTATGGCCAGCCACGACTTGGCAACAAGGAATTGGCGACATATACCACCAACCAGGGCAGTCTTTGGCGAGTCACGCATACAAATGATATTGTCCCTAGGCTGCCACCTACCAGCTTTGGATATAGCCATCCCAGCCCCGAATACTGGGTTACCTCTGGAAATACTGACACTATCACCACATCTGATGTTAAGATTGTTGAAGGGATCGATTCTAAATCAGGAAATAGAGGAGAATTGATCCCGGGGGTTTCGGCGCACCTCTGGTACTTTGGAAACATTGGTCAATGCGAGTAATGCCTACAGGTGGCACAACGGCATGGTTGGTGATATACCAGGGTGCAGGCACCCAGTTGAAATGATTCACATGGAAATTTGCTTCGGCTCTAATATAAGTGTGTCTGGAGACTAACTCTGGCTCGACTGTCAATCTAATCTCAGCCCTGGGGTTGACTCTAACCTTCTCAAGTTAGGAAGTACTTTGAGGTCCAGATATACATCCGAGCAACTTTCTATGCTCCACATGCAGGCTCTAGGTTTCTAGTCCCATAGTGGGAACAAATATCCATAATTCCCTCTCAGTCAAGTGTAGTACAAAAATTTTATCTTACGTGTTTGTAATTTCTCATAAAGCCCATGATGTGGTCTGCTGCAAGTACGTAAGTGATGGCGTTGTGATGTTAGACATTGTTACGAAAATAATCCCAACTTTACCCAGGTAGCACTGGGAATGTGCAGGTTCTGAATGCAGATGTCTGCATGTGAATTTACAGTGTATACTTCTAAAGTGATCGTGTATATAAGAACTAAAGTGTCGAAAGAGGCTCCGGACTGAGCCTACCCCGGATCACGAAAAGCTCCGGGTGGGCCTCAAAACTCCCTTTCGACCCTCCCCCAATGACCTGACCACCGGGCATCGTGCCCCCTCACAATGTTATTCGCTCCTAGTGGACCTCAGAGTCCTCGTCGTCGCAGTCGGATCAAGGCTATCCTCCTTACAATCTTCATCGTCATCGCCATATACCTACTGTTTTTCGCAAACACCAAGGTACCTGTCAAAACCGAGACTGGCACCTACGCCGATCGACATGGTGCTGCGACAACCTCAAAACCTGCAGGCGAGCTGGCTCGTCCTGTGATCCCCAGCCAAAAGGCCATGGTCGTGGCCAGCATGAAAAAGGATGACACGTCGTGGCTTCGACAGAACTTCCCCGACTGGTCCAAAAACATTTACGTCGTGGACGACAAATACGCGCCGTTGACGGTGGCGTATAACAAAGGACGCGAGTCGATGGTCTATCTCTCGTGAGTTTATTGCGCTGCATTAGATGATCTTTGTACTGACTCAAGTCGTTTTAACCAGATATATCATTGACAACTACAATAATCTCCCGGAGTCCATGCTGTTCATTCACTCCCAGCGCTACCAATGGCACAACGACGATCCATACTACGACGGAATTCCACCGCTCCAACACTTCCAGGTTCCATATCTACAACAGCAGGGATATGTCAATCTGCGCTGTGTTTGGACACTGGGATGCCCGACCGAGATCCGCCCGCTCACCGATACGCACCGCAACGACGTCCACGCAGGTGAATACTTTAAAAATGGATTTATGGAGCTGTTCCCAGACACACCGGTGCCAGAGGAAGTGGGTGTGTCATGTTGTGCGCAATTTGGCGTGTCTCGCGCCAAAGTCCTGGAGCGGCCGCTTGCTGATTATGAGCGCTATCGCAAATGGCTGTCAACCACAACTCTACAGGATGATCTGAGTGGACGCATTATGGAATACTCGTGGCATAGTATGTGCTTCCCACCCCCATATCAAGATCAAGTGCTAATGACCCTCCAGTGATCTTTGGAATGAAACCTGTGCATTGCCCCAATGCCAAGGAGTGTTATTGCAAAGTGTTTGGACTTTGTGATTTGAATTGTCCATGGGAGGGTGGTTGCGATGACCGCTATGCTTTGCCACCGTACTCGTCCCTACCCAAGGGCTGGCCAGAGATTGGATGGAAGGGCCAAAAACAAGACACCTCACACGGACTGCCGGAAACCTGAAAGTCGTGAAGATTTCGGCGAACCAATTACCTACTTAACTCGACGCCTTGTGTCACCCTTTACTACTTTGCGGAGTCGAGTCGCACATCGCTTCTTCACCAGCGGCTGATGAATGGATGTGTTACTCCACGGATACACCTGTTGATGTCCTGACACATGTCGGCCGCAAGTACTCCGTAGAGGCCGCGGCACCCAGACGAAGGATCTCCGAAGACTGCTCCAATGGAGTAAATAGCTGTTTCTGGACGTAGTGAATATACCAGTATATAGCGCCAAATAGAACAGAGCAAACAAAGGCCGAATGAAAGTGGTAGCACCTCCGTTCTTAGCCACCATATCCATTTGCGGAGCCGAGGCTCTAGAAATGATCTCCCCGCATCCGCAATCCAACTTCATTCTAACAACCACCGAAAATGCTGATCATCGGGCTCACCGGCTCAATAGCCACAGGCAAATCCACCGTATCAACCATCCTCTCTACACCCCCATACTCCCTCCCCATCATCGACGCCGACCTTCTCGCCCGCAAGGTCGTCGAGCCCGGCACCGCAGGTTACAAAGCCATCGTCAACTACTTCGGCCCCAGCACCCCAGATCTCCTTCTGGAAGATGCTTCCAGCGCAAGTGGAAAACCACTGAACCGCCCTGCGCTCGGCCGCCGCGTCTTCGGCAGCACAGAAGAGCGCAAACGCGACCGCCAAGTCCTGAACGGCATCGTCCACCCCGCTGTCCGCTGGGAAGTCTACAAAGCCCTTATCTACCACTACCTACGTGGCCAATGGGCCGTTGTGCTTGACGTCCCGCTGCTCTTCGAAAGTGGCATGGATCTGATCTGCGGCACGGTAATTGTAGTCGGTGTTCATGATCCGGAGATTCAGATGGCTAGACTTCGCGCTCGCGACGCTCATCTCACTGCTGAGGATGCGGAGAACCGCGTGCGCAGTCAGGGTGATGTGCGCACGAAGGCGACGCAGGCTGAGTTCCGTGGTACGACGACGGCGAGGGGTGTGGTCGTTTGGAATGATGCCGATAAGGCGGAGTTAGAGGTCGCGGTTAAGACGGCTATGACTAGTATTGCGGCTTCGAGTCCTAGGTGGTGGGCTTGGACCTTGTTGGTTGCGCCGCCTGTTGGATTCGGAGTTGCTGCTTGGAATTTGGTGGTTAATTTTGCGACGAAGAAGGGCTGGGAGAGAAAGAAGCAGGAAGAGAAGGCCAAGCTTTAAGGGTTGTTCTTGTATTTGAAATGTCCTGTGGTGGTTTGTTTAGTAGCGTTGTACATATTGTAGCTATACCAGGAATCGGACCTTGCATACGACAGGTTTTCATGCGATAAAATGGATTGAATAGATCTATTGTCAAGAAAGAAAGAAACTCGGAATCGCATAATCCAAAGACGCCGTAATTCATGCTTCGCTAAACGCCATTTCAAAAGTCTCCAATATCATGAGTCAACTGTTTACCGACTCTTGCGCTTCTTCTTTTTGTCCGTCGATGGCGATCCCATCATAGTTCCCCGACCACCAGAACCAGAGATACTCGATAAATTGCCCAAGTTTTTGTCTGAGGATCGTTCCTTTTGTTCTTTCTTTGCTTGTTTTCGTTCTAGCTTGGATTTCTTCCTTTCTTGCTCTTTGGGGGAGTCCGCCGGGTTATAGGTGAGATCTTCATCATCACTCTCGTTTGTGACTGTTTTTGGCTGCTAAAGACCAGTTAGATTAGTCGCAATCGTGAGAAGAAGAGACATACTTCTTTGCGTTTATAGTTGCCAAATGACTGCCGACCACCAGAAGAAACATAATCGTCTGCATCAAGCGAGTCTGCTGCCAATACAACAGGTCGGGACTTGGATTGCGGTGCGGCAGGCACATCCAAAACCCAATGTGTCTCACCCGCTTCCTCGGCGGCGCGCGCGAGAGCTTTCTGTCGCTTTTCTTCCTCGGCAGCCAGCGCCGCCGTAATCTCATCCATGTCAGATGCACGAGGTTTCTCAGCCTCGGTGGACAGGCGGGCACGCTTAGGTTTGTGACGTTCAGAGCCTGCAGACGAGTTTGGGGAAATATTGGAATACGCTTCCTTGGAGGCAGCAGCACGTTGCATGAACTGTGATATGATATTAGCTTCAGGCTATGCATTGAGCAGGATCCAATGTATACCTTCATCGTCAAGAGATGGGACGACATTTTCTTGTCGGGCTTTCCAGCCGGGGACTTGGATTCACCCATGACGTGCAAATAGTCGACGAAAAAGAATCCGTTCAAATGTAGAATGAGAAAGATCACTTGAGGTCCATCCGAAGCGCAAAATAAAATGAAGCGGCAGAAACCCAAGGAAATGGTGGAGCTACCTGGAAGCAGAAGGCGGTGATTGTCCACCAAACCACACCTCGCGGATTATTCATTGCCGACCTTGAACCTGGTCCCTTGCCAAACGCTTTTCTCGTCCTCCCTAAACCCACTCGTGGATAATCGCCCAGCATGATGTCCTGTGGCCGCAGACTCGCGACCTTTGCGTCGGCTCGCCCGCGCTTTGCCGTCCGCGCCTACTCCTCCACCGTGCCTCGTCTGAGCGAGAACCCCATTCAGGCCAACGACCCGACCCCGCGGAAGCCCACTCCCAATGTCTCTGCTACCAATGCTGAGCCTACCGACTCCTTCGGTCGTCACGATGGTACCCTGCAGGAGTCCCCCGAGGTTGGCGAGCGCATCCGCAGCATGCAGGCCCCCAACCGCGCTACCACCTGGGCTTCCAACCAGCAGCCGCGCGAGCAGGCCATGGTTGGTCCTCGCTTTGAGCAGACCATCATGGAGACCCAGGTATGAATCTATATTCCGATGTTCTTGGGCAACAATTGCATTGCGCAGTCTTCAATTGAGGGTCGACTAACATCCGTCTAGCCGCAACCCTATGCCGCTATCGATCTCATCCACAGACAGCACGTCCGCTGGACCAAGTCCAAGGTCGTCAGCTGTGACGGTGGCGGTGGTCCCCTTGGCCACCCCAAGGTCTTCATCAACACCGACAAGCCCGAGATTGCCACCTGCGGATACTGCGGTGTCCCCTTTGTATGTCCACTCCATATGGCCGACTTCCGCTCATCAGACCATTGCTTACACGTTATCTAGGCCCACGAACACCACCGCGCTTACCTGAAGTCCCTGCCCGCCACCAGCTACCCTCTCGAGCCCACTGGTGACGCCGCCGAGGTGAACGAGGCCCAGCGCGTTACAGAGGGTGGTCTGGAGCAGCGATAAACCCCTAGCATGAGATTTCCTTTATTGGCGTTGAACACTTTGCGTTTTTCAATTGGATTTGGGCCAGAGGCCGTGTACAGAATATCGATCTATGGACCCGCCTTCGATCGTGTATCATGATATAGTCCTCAAAATGTTTGCACTACGACCTGAGTTCGTGATATAGTCCCATATAATCGGGGTCAAAGCAGTCGACTCTTGCCCACTCATCCTGTATCTGTGGTATTCGGTACGGGGTACATCTTAGCTAAATCACAATTGCCCACGTTCCCCCCGATCCAGTCAAGCCTTCTGGCCTTGGATGGTCGCAACAACCTTCCGACTGTGTCGACTCGTGCGGAACTCCAAATACCAAATTCCTTGCCAGGTACCAGTCGCCAACCGACCATTGGTAATGGGAATATTGACTGAAGCGCCAATAAGCGCAGATTTGATATGAGCCTGTGTGGGGGGTTAGCGCCCGCGAATCCCTCGCAATTCTGGTAACACTTACCGGCATATCATCTTCGCCCTCGGCTGAGTGACGGTATAGGTTTCCCTTCTTGTCCATGGGAGCGATGCGATCCAGGGCATCACTCATGTCGGCGCGGACATCGTCGTCCCAGTTCTCATTAAGCGATAGCGCACAGCTGGTGTGTTGCACGAATAGGTTCAGCATGCCGACTTTGTAGTCGCGGATCTCGGGGACCTCTTGGAGGACATGGTCGGTGATTAGGTAGGAGCCGCGGCTGCGGGTGGGAAGGGAAAAGTTCTTTTGTTGCCACGACATTGTTCAAATGATGGAATTGGAGAAGTTCGGATGTTTCGATGTTTCGATGTTTTTCGGATTTAGCAGTAGTGGGGGGTCTGATGTCATTTGCCGTCTACAGATATAACAGCGCTGAACAGATTAAAATAGTCATTAGCTAGATGCCCAGGTGGTTTCTAAAGTTGGGCTGAGATGCCTGACTGAAGTGTTTTCTCTACCTGATGTCCATGCGTATAGTCCAGAGATTAAGTACCAGGTTGTACCTTAAGACCCTCACATATACCCTTTAGAGCTGTTAAGTATGCCGAAAGGCTAAATGTATACCTCACCCCCGGAAACACTAGCACCTGAGCAGCAGTTTATTTAGATACAGACTTCAAAAATATGCTGATTGCAAAATATCCCAATCACATTTACCGATATAAAGTACCTTGAACCTCGGGGTTTGGAGCAAATGCGGAGAAACCCCTCGTATGTAATCTTCGGTCCAGCGGTTGTCTAGTCCGACAATTCCATCGTGACGACATTGATCGTTCTGTCATCTATTCTATCCCAAATGGCTTCTATGGACTCTAGTTCGCTGCTGGTATCAGCTGCTGTACCGGCATTCAAATGTCCCGCAGGGACAAAGATGCATATCCTCAATCTAGGAACTCTCCAAGCCGATGAATCATGGTTTGTAGAACAGTACCAAGCTCGCAGGATCTGGCTAACTACCATATCTAGGATATTGCGGGGTGCCAATACCAGCAAACTGAGTGATCTCAACCCGACGAACAAGCGTCGGGATCTAGTCCTCCTCTCGGCTCTCATCGAGTACCCGGGAGTGGGACTCATTCTCTATGAGACCGGGTGTGCTGAAGATCTAGAAGTGGTTCGTTCCCCTTTGGATGTACTCAATTGATCTTTGTCTGAAACCAGCACAGCAATGGCCTGCGCCTATAACAGATGTCTTTCCCCGAGTTGAATATTCCGACAACCACAGACTTCCCAATGCCATCAAGGCCACTGGAAACGACATCAAGGATGTCAAAGCTGTCATCATTGGTCATTTGCACCTCGACCATGCCGGAGGTCTCGAACATTTCATAGACACAGATGTCCCCATCTACGTGCACGAGGAAGAGTTCAAGCACGCATGCTGGGCAATCGCCACCGGCGCAGACCTGGGCGTCTACCTGGGTCATTATATGCTCCTAGAAAAGCTCAAGTGGAACACTTTCAACGAGTCGCAGCTGGATCTGTTCCAGGGCATCATCCTCTACCACAGTCCGGGTCATACACCGGGGTTGTGTATTATGCAAGTTAATCTTGCTAACGATGGTCCGTTTATTTGGACGACGGATCAGTTTCATGTGGCGGAGAACTATGAGCTGGGACATCCGCATGGAGGACTGGCCAGAGACCATACTGCGTGGTATCGTAGTCTGAACATGATTCGCAGACTTCAGCGGCTGTACAATGCTCGCTTGATCTTTGGTCATGATAAAGATGTTGCGACCAAGTTGATTGAAGAAAAGCCATACTATGAGTGAAGTTTGAGTATTGAGGTTGGAATTCTTTGGATGAATTGAGTTTACATATGTTCAAAGAATCCAAAGCTCTTTTCACATCGTGCCCAGGTGGTTGGTAGATGTCATCTTCTACTTAAGTAGTTCTAAAGTCTATGTTCGCAGGCAATATAGATTATCCAATTCAATCCAGCTTTGAAAGTAAACCTGGAAGGAGTTTAGTGAACAAACCTATGGTGCTAGCGCCCAGAGACCAATTTCTACAAAGGGATTGGGGGCCAAATGCATATCCACTTCGACAGATTGTTTGAGATCCTCATTCCAGATCCACCATCTTCCATTCTTGGAATTGAAAATGGATTATCCAGCAAGCTCTTCGAGAATAGACTGATCCTACCCACTAGATTGACCCCTGTGCACGGCATCTCCGGAGCTAAGGCAGCCCATTCGGCACGATGTGACCCTCGGCAGCTCTTCACCATATTGGGAAATAGGTCTAATTCATCTTACTCCCATGATCCCATACTCTTCCAGCAACACCCGGAGCCATAATTTAAAGCCCAACATCCCAGAATGAACTATGGGCACTTTCATTTTACAAGATCAACGCAATGAGGCTCACGTTGGGCGTCACCTTGGCTCTCGCTGCCCGCCATGTCCTCGCCGTCACTCAGATTGCGGACGATGAGATGAACACCCTCCTTGATGCCGGTGGTGTCGACCTGGCAGATCGTTATGCGCCCATGTGGTTCTTCGGCCAATCCCAGAACCAGCCTCCCTGTTATCCGACATGGGCATTTGGCGGCTCGCCTGACACTGCTGATGTATATGATGATTCTCATAAGACGCCTGCAGCAGCGCAGTGCAAGTATCCAGATGTCGGCTGTAACTGTCGCAATCCTGGTATTGGCATTGGGAATCCTGGGCCTCAGTTCCCTATATACTACACTTATCAGAAATGCAACGACGCCGAAGTGCGCGTGGTGTATAATCTTTTCTATGAAAAAGATGGGGCGAAGTTTGGGGCCATCGATACTGGACATGACTAGTGAGTTGTCCTGTGACTCTGAGATGATACATTGGCCTTGTCCTAAAGTTCTACTAGTGATTGGGAGCGTGTGGTGATCATTCATTCTCGAAATGATGACAATATCTGGGCACCGTCGCGGGCTCTGCTCTCTGCGCATAGTGGTTATACCAGTCTGGCCTGGGGAGATATCCAAAATACTCTTACGACCGAGGAGGTGAACGCAGGAAAGGCCAAGGATCCCAATGGTGTCAAGAACAATGATCACCCAAAGGTATACGTTTCATGGTCGAAGCATGCCCACTTTGATACTCGCAATACCGGCTGGAATGACCCTGCCAGCCAATCGTTGGAGAATGCTTTCCGCAGCCAGGACTGGTGGCACTTTGTTGACCCACAGAACTATGTAGGTCTCTTCTTTCACGATGTGTGGTTGGTACTGACAGGATTTAGATCCGAGCTGATGATAGTACCGATGCTGGGAAGGCCCTTGGAGCTGCTGACTGGGGACATGCAAGTAGTAACCCGCCTTCTGTGCATGCTGGTGTTTGCGAGGCTTCTTAGGTAGCGAGTTGGAATTGAAGGCAAATATCATCTGCAATTTTATTCTATGCTGTCTATTGTACAAGGTGAGCTCGTTTGCCTGGAACGCCATGGTTTTTTTTTTTCTTTTGTCTTTTTTTCTTTTTCTTTTTCGTATTCAAATATAGTCTGTTTCACCACCTGGGCATACTGCTGTGCTTACAGTCTGACAGTTACCGACCATTTAAGACGATCTACTTACCGCGAAAGGCTATCAATGTGGTTGCCCTGATCATCCAGCCGATCACTGGCATTTTCCATTCCTCTCCACTTCGGAAGGCCATCTGGGATATCTGTCATGCGTGTTTCGTAAAAGATGTGACAACTGCAAGAACTGTCAGTGAACCCGACACAATGGACCATTGCAGATACATACGTTGGTTTCAAGGGCTCCCTCTTCTGCCGCTGTTCATCACTTGATCCCTCCAGCTCCATCAACTGCGGGAAAATCAAGCAAACATTTCGGCCCTCGTCCATGATTGGCGTCCGGCAATTATCACAGTAAACTTTGGTTGGCAATCCATATTCCTGGGACTGATGTGTGGACGAGTAGAACACCAGACCGCTGGATCCGTTGATGAACGACATATCACTCTTATGGAAGATTACTGCCCACTGCAGAGGGGCCCCGTGAGCGACCTGACATCCCCGGCAATGACAGTATTTTGCATTCAGCGGTTTCTCTCGCTTCAAGGCATAGGTCACTTTTCCACAGAGACATTTCCCGCGCCACTTGATGGGCCCGAGTTCTGCTTCGGTCTGCATTGTGTATGGTGAGCGGTGTTTCCATTCTTCGTCTTTGAGAGTGCTTTCGGGGGTTCTGTTGGTGAATGCTGGGCGAGGGAGAGGCTCTTCGGGCTGGAATCCCGTTGGAGACATGGCTAATTGGGTCATTTGATGTGTGTTCAAGTGTAGACAGTAAATAAGAATACTCTATTAGAATAGATCAGAAAGGAGTATTGAAGTGACTTATATAGGCACAATGATGTCAGGGAGTATGACGATGGCATTCCCCAGAAGTTGGAATATTCAAATGTTCAAATGTTGGAATATTGGCTATTACTTGTCACTTGTTACTTGTCACTGTTGATCTACTAGACATCTAGACTCTCTTCAGATTGATGCCGTCATGTTGTTTCGTGTGATTCTTTATCAACTCGGTCTATTCATAGACATATCGACCTTGCATCTCTCCAAGGGAATAAAGACAAAAACAAAATGCGACTCGGACTAAACAGTGATGGGGCCTGAAACAGCGCTTACAGCTCGACGAGGTGGTGATTGGGTGTTTCATCCCTGTTACTAGAGTCCGGGGCGGGCCCTGCATCAAACCGCGCTTTGTTCTCTTCTTCTTCTCTCTCTTCCCTCTCTCCCATTCCCTCAAAATGGGCCTCTTCGACAAGTTACGTCGAAGCTCCAGGCGCAGTGCGGGGGTTGCGACCGACCCTCCATCGCCCCGCGTCAACGTCCCCGGCCGAGACTGCACAAGACGCTTGCCGAGGCCGGTGTTGGCCCGCATCTTCGCTTTTGTATGCCCGCACGCCGTCGACAACTCATATGGCACCTCTGAGGAATCAGCCAGCGATGGCTGTATGCTGTGCGACATGCGCGATCTCGCCCATTGCGCCATGGTTTGCAAACGATGGTTCTTGGATGCGCGCGCCCTACTGTATTTCCCCCCTCAGTTCGTCAACAAAGAACAGAAGATGCTGATCGTATGAACCCAGCTATACCAACGTCCGAATCGATCCTGTCCACTACTGCGAGTTAGAAATCGAATTAGCCGCCAAGCGGAAACGCCGCTCATTCTTCGACCGCAATGGCGACCCGATCGATGCCCCCCAGGTCAGACTGGAACTTTTCATGCGCGTCGTGCGAGAGTCCCAGGGCCTGGCGAATATGGTCCTGTCGCTCCGAATGCCATACATGACCCGCGAAGCCAACAAAGCCAATATCGCCCGCACAATCTCCGTCCTCCCAAATGTACGCTTCGTCGATCTGCCAGTGGGTCTGTACAGTGACGAGTCCTCGTGTCTCGCCTTGAAACAGGAGCTGATGGCCCGGTGCCCCGAGATACGTCGCATGAGCTACCGCCGGGGCGCCGAGGGCAGTTTCTCGCGTCTGCCAGGCTCTCAGCTCTGGATGAATCTGGAAGTGTTGGAATTGTCGGGTACGCAAATGGAGCCCAATACGCTACGCGCTGGACTGGCTGCTTTCCCTCATCTTCGGGAACTTACGCTGGAGGATCTGGGCTGGCTGGATGATTCTGCTTTCGCGGTCAATCTGCCTTTGCCTCCTTTCCCCGCCGTGCAGTCGCTGACTCTGCGCGATGCCCCGAATGTCACGGCAAGCGGGCTTGCCGCGATTCTCTCTTCCCCCGCCAACAAAGCCGCCTTGGAATCTTTAACATTGTCTTCGACTGGCGTCATTCCATCCCGGCTACATCATATTCTCTCCGCAGCCCCGCGGCTTCAAAACCTGTCCATTATTCAGGAGGTGTCACGCTCGTTCCCCATGGAGCAGATCCCTCCCCTGGCATCCCAGTCACTAACCCTCCTGCACTATGAACTGACTTCCGAAACCGATAATCACGGCATGCCACCGGTGGTAGCCTCATATTATCAATATCTCATTTCGTCTCTCATGGCCCGCACCCTCCCAGCTCTGCGTGACCTGTACGTCCGGGATTCCCAGTTCCCAGACACTCTCCTGCTCATGCCTCCACCACGACTCTTCGGCGGAGGTGAAAGTGGACCCCGGACGACGGGCGGCCTGGCTCAGCCCCTCAACGTGTACAGCAAGGGTTTGGATGAGCTGGAGTGGAACTTCACACCCTACGATCCCAGCCCGGTGTCTGGACGCCGGGATTCCCGAACTCGCCCCGTCAGCTTCCACGAGGCCCAGCTCAGCAGGTCCTGGGGTGGTGATGCGCGTAAGAGCGTGCTCGTCGGAAATGGCTTCGGTGGCTTCCTGGCTGTCCCGGCCGAGGAGGAACGGCCCAAGAGTAGTCAGGGACACCATAAGAGATTGAGCAAAGGGGATTTGTGGAGATGAGTATATATACATGCATGTATGTAAGAGGTGCTTTGGCGTGATGATTGTGCGTACTTAAGTATCAATTGATGACGGATCAGCTATGAAACCATGGGAGTCAAAATTGAAAGCGTTTCAGGGTATCATTTATTTTAAAACATGCATTTATCCAGGTATACTCGACTCTTGCTTTTCTGCTTGTCCTGTGGGCGTTGCTGAATTAGGGACAGGAACAGGCGCAGGCTCTGGCGCAGGCTCTGGCGCAGGCTCTGGCGCAGGCTCTGGCGCAGGCTCTGGCGCAGGCTCAGGCGCAGGCTCAGGCGCAGGCTCAGGCGCAGGCTCAGGCGCAGGCTCAGGCGCAGGCTCAGGCGCAGGCTCAGGTGCTGGCTCAGGTGCTGGCTCAGGTGCTGGCTCCGGCCAGCCTTCAGGCAATTTGAGTCCACGCCACACCCACTGACTTTGCATCTCAGCATCAGTCATATTGCAATACCCATACGTTCGACAATAACAGTCCTTTTGGTCAAGACAGTACTGTGTGGGTTTTCCAAAGATCACTATAAAAGTCAGAAACACACTTCGCGAGAGATAGAGAGAGAAACATACTATGCCACGAATACTCAAAGATGCGCCCACTGATACCCGAATTCAACTCAGTCTCAATCAGCCACCGCTGCAACCGAACATAATGTTCCAAACTCTGCTCACGGATCTTCTCCCTCGACAACGCAAACTGACTACAACAAGGCGCCCCAACTTCCTCCGGCACCTCCGCCCGCGGAAACAACTCCATAAACCGATCCGGATACTCCATCGCCGCCGGGTGATGGCTATCATCCGGTCTTTCACGGAGATACCGAGCTGGCTCTAGTTCCCGGGGACATCCAACGCTCCATGCACAGCGGAGACTCACATACCCGGATTCTAGGACGTAGTCCGATTGCAAATCTTGGATCGAGATCACGGAGTCATAGAGTGGATTGTCGACGTGCCATTGGTATCGGCCACCGTGTAGGAATATTGACACGTCTGGAAGTGACCAGTATCGATCGATGATGTAGCTGTGTTTGTTAGGGGGGATTGTCGGACTTGAGAACATGCGCACATACGTTAGATATACCATTGCTTCGTTGCCTTTGTTAATTGGCACGGTTAATCCTTCGCTGGCGTCTGCACGATAGATGTTCGCTGTCCATTTGGGGAGATGCTCTTCGACCCAGGACATGTTGCTGGCTTCCATTGCTGCAAATACCAGTTCTTTGGTGGGTGCAGGCGCAGGCTCGGGTATAGATTCGGGTATAGGTTCAGGTGTAGGTTCGGGTGTAGGCTGTTGCTTCACTGATTCTGTCGTTGACAATGGCTCTGGCGCCGGTGGAGCCGAGACTTCTGTATTTGGAGATTCATTGCCCACAAGCACACCCAGTTCCTCTGTGGACCGATATAGGATTAATTGGTAGGATAATAGTAGTAGGGTTGCTGCTAAGCCTAGGAAGAGAAAGATCCGCGATGGCGTCAGACGGGCGGAAGATGATAAGCAGCTCATTGCATGTTGATATTGAACCAGTTCAAGTTACAGGGAGTTTCTCGGGGTTCTCGGATAAGTCTGGATTATAAGGGTTTTAAGGGCTATGAGGTGTAAGGGGATTAGAAATCGTGTTGACGTAGTGGACTCCATTTCCTTGGTTACAGAACAGGGTCAATAGGCGCTGCAAAGGTACGGAGAACGGAGAGAAATACTTTAGTACAAGTAATAATGGAGATAAATGGAGATAAATGGAGTATTCGATCAGCTATTGGCGTTAGTCTCTCACGGTCCACATGCCTAGACATGCCTAGACTGGGCGTTTGCCTAGACTCCATAGGGCTGGGCGTAAGAATAAGGGCGCCTAATGATTCTGATACTCCATATTCCCGTACTTCTAAAGTTGTAGATTGTAATATGTTATTGGCCTCGTCATCCCTATCACACAAGTGTCAGGTCTACAATTTGAGACACAGAGTGGACACTGTAGATCTCAATCTTTTATCGTCGGTTTCATCCATCTGAGACATGCACATCTTTACGAAGTACGAAAACGTCAATAATCTAGTCATCATTTTTATGTACTTTCTATACGCTTGAATAAATCAGAAATAACTGGAAAATACTCGTACTCGTACAAATCGCTGCTCAATCTTATGTTAGCTCATCATGATACAGGGATCGGGATTTTAGTATGTTTATCATGGCACTAGTCCGGTAAGCCACGCGGCCTCTAAACATTGCATTCTCATTTCTTGGCTGGACCTCGTCGAGGTCGCAAGTTATACCGCGAAGGGCCTTGAGCCTGGCTCGACCCCGAGGAACCTGCCTTACGGCGTGAACTGGTCGATGGGCGACCTGGCCTTGCAGGGTTGTTGGTTTGTACCGTGCTTGCGGTCGAAGACCCTCGCTTTCGAAGGTTGTATCGCGGTGGTTGAGCCTCGGCCGTCGGCGAGGCGACTGTCTGAACTAGGTCACCTGCAGAGTGAGTAGCCCTGGACCAGTCGAAGGGCTGTCTCCGGATCGTCGCAGACATCGGCGGGGGGCATTGGAACCAGTGGGGATTCACAGGCATGAATCCCATGGGGATGATCTGTTCAGGACGGTTCATGGAAGTCATCAGGTTTAATCCGTTGAAGTCAATCTCCGGTGGGCTGTTAAAGCCAACGTCGAAGGTATTCGGAGACGGGATGTTTGACATATCTCCCATGTCGATGTCCATTTCCTGGGGCATCTGCAGCTCGGTGGAATCTGTTGAATGCATGGTCACATCGCTGTCCGGTGATGAAGTGAGGCTCATGTAGTCAGGAAAGCTCATGTCGGTGTTCGACGCAGACCAGGCCAGGACATTCGTCAGATCGACGCCGTCTGGGTTTGCTTCGTTTTCCGCTGCAATGAAGTCGAGATCAAGTTCGAACTCGCTGTCTTGTGTTATTGGAAGAAAGGGACTGTCTGATGTGTCCATTTTGTCGGTTGTGATGGAGCTTGCCTCTGGGATTGATCCGAGGAAATCATCCATGTTAATGTCAGTTGCGATGGGGCTTGCCTCTGGGATTGATCCAAGGAATTCGTCCATGTCGAAGTCATAGAGTGCTGGATCAAGGTCGTTTGTATCAATGAACGCCGGGCCAGGCTGTGAGTTCTGAATCGGTTCGTTCACTGGGATCTGAGAAACTGAAGTGAGTGAGGTTGCTACAGTTGACTGTGGGTTTACTCCAAAGTTAGGGGTTGGGACAACTTCAGATGGAAAGAACCTTTCACTTCCAGGGTTACTTCCAAGGTTAGAAGGAAGCTGCTCACTGAAGTTTCTAAAGGGAAGTGGTTGCAGGTATGTCGCATACTGATAGTTCGACCGATGGAAATCCTGACGCAGCGTATTCGGGGGAGGATTGGGAGGGGGGCTGTCGTACTGGTGAAGGGCAATCAAAGGTGTTGACTTACCTGGGAACTTGAGTGTCGGGGGTAAGATGTCAACAGTATCCAAGACGAGTCCGAATTCCATGTGATGCTTGAACATAGGGATTCGCCTTGCTACATCCTCGAACTCTTGCAATCCGCACCACCGATCAGGATTGCTCGAGATCCTCATTGGGTTCATGCGGTAGTATCCGCACCATCTTAGAACCGCTGGGAGGACTAGCTCTGGCCGATAGTCCATAAGTCCCTTGATGCTAGAGACGCGGTAATCCTTGTACGTGTTCTCGATGGGCGGTCTGCTGTACACTGCCTGGACAGCATACTTCAAAACCCAAACGGGAGAAGTGTTCATGAGAGCTCGGAATCGAGAAAATGCCATGGCCTGAAGCTCGACCATGCCCAGCTGAAGGCCAGCTACAAACATGTCCAAGTGATATCGCAATAGTTGACAAATTTGCGAGCAAGTGATGCAGCCAGAAGGACATTCTCGAAGCTTGTACACGTTCATATCATCGGCGTCGATTGAGTAGTCACCTGTGTAAATGAAATGAAGGATACTTGGGATGAGTACACCGTTGATCGTCTCAGGGAGGACCAGCCTGTCCTTCTCGCCGCAGTGAATGCGCCAATCGAACCATCGAGTCGAAGCCCGCACGACATCCAAGTGCACGTCGTACCAGCGGCGAGGGAATGCAGGGTGGTTGATCTTGTAGTTGGGCATATTATTGCGGAAATAACTGTCTTGAATAGCCTGGAGCTCAGGCTTGCGGGTGTTCAACTCACCCCAGCCTAACCAAACACGAGGAAGGCCATTGTGAGTGTCACAGTGCAAGTGGAAGTGGCCGCCCATTGTAATGTTTTACCTAACTAATCTTTGAGTGTTAAATGAGTGAAATCTGAAGGTCAAAGTGATTGTGGTGAAATTGGATGTGAAGAGTGAAGGGAATAAAGAATGACCATTGTGCAGGGGGGGACGCTCTATATACTTTCAGCCAAGACTCGAACAAAGTAATAGTTCTTATAAAGACACTAATCCTCTTCAAGGGAATCAATAGCATTCAAGATCTATGAATATCAGATTGAGTTTCGAGTCTCAAGATTCTTTGTTCGAGTCACCCAAAACTCGGACTGGAGGCAAAAAAGGTCCTTAGGATAGGTTGGCCTTTGATCTCACATGAAAGATCCAATCACAGCCATTGTGTCTTCTCAAGACCAATTTCCGGTCTGAACAGTTGTACTGTCTCATCTCTTTGTTAACACCGCCCCTTCACCACCAGAACCGCCACATCGTGACTCGTCAGCTGGACGCTATACTGACTCTGTACACATCCCAAACTCTTACCAGTCCAAGCATCAATAACTTGATACGCATCATGGCTCTTGAGCTGGGGAATCTCGCTCCATACGGCAGTACGATAAGAGCGCCCTTCCTCGGAGTTCAACATGAGCACCAAAGTGGCTTCTAGGGTAGTTGACACCCCAGACCAGTATTCTGCTGGATGAGCCGGATCAAACGTCCAATCCGGATTGTAACCCCATTTGTAAGGAAGAGCAGGCCTCCCGATAATAGGGTCTTGATGAAATGCCAGTAGATATTCATTCTTCAAAATTTCCAGATAGTGATATTTTATTGTATCGAGCTTCAAATATGTCAGTGGGAAAGAAAGAAAAAAACGAAGTAATCACATATTGAAAGAATTTCACATACCGGCGTTCCAATTAGCAAAGGGGACTTCATAGCTGCCCACAGAGCAAAGTGAGCCCTGTTCTCAGCCAGTGTAAGGTTCCCATTGCCAACCTCCAACATGTCAGGGTCAGGGTGACCCCAGAAGTCGACATAGTCCAACAGGAATGTGTTTTCGTTTGCAATTTCTGCTATCCGCACCCATTCCGCTATACAATACTTAGAGGAATTCACTGTCTGACGGGAGTGACTTGCACTTACGTCGGATGTCGTTAGTGATGCGCCACGAATTCCCGGTCGAATTTCCCCAGGTGTTCACATTGGCGTGGCCCATGTCACATAATGAATATAAGATTGTCCGGTTAACATTCAACAGTGCGTCTCGCATGTTAATATAACGCTGGTGGGTCTTAGACCTCGTCCAGTCGTATCCCTTAGGAGCAGGGTTCATTAGATCAGGACAAGTGCCATTCGGGAAATTCCAACTGGAGGGATCCTCGTCGCTATCCGGTACACAGCTGATATATTCATCTTGCCACTCTGGGGGCACTCCGCAGTCATCGTATTTGAGGTCTATAATCATGATGAGCTGTTGAGATGCTGGGACTGTGGTGCTTACAGTCAATTCCCCATTCTGCAAATGCCTCTGCATCCACTTTCTCATATCCCAGACTAGCAGGATATCCAGCACAAGTATACTCACCTGCGCCTAAGGGACGATGTGAGCCTTCAGCCGCGTAAGCGGAGAAAATCACTTACTGCTATATAGACCAATTTTCAGCCCCAGTGCATGCACTTCTTCAGCAACTCCGATGATACCGGTTGGGAATCTGGTAGGATTCGGAATGATGCGATTGTTGCTCGCGTTGCGGGCGTATTTGACACTCCAACAGTCATCGACTGGGAGGGTAAGCATCTCTAGACTTCTATTTCGACGGCTCACATACTGTTCACGTATTCATAGCCCACAGCCTTTAGTCCAAGATTGACCATATGATTTGCTGCTGTCATTATCTTGACTGCATCGATATTGCATTCAAATGCATTCCATGAGTTCCAACCTAAAGCTGGTAGTTTTCCCTGTGAGGCGTCAATAGTGCTTTGCGCATCATCCCCTCGCATTGAAATAGAACGGGCCACTACGCTGTAAAATGAACAGAACCTACAACTCCGTTCTCCCTGACCAGAGCATTTGCCCCTGAGGGAATAAATAGCGTCGCCGAGAGCAGCAAGGCACCAAACATCTTGACTTCAGAGTAGCTCGAGGTTGTTTCTTTCAATGTCGCACAAATGAATGGCAAACCTTGCCAGCTTCTATACCCCGACTGTGTGCGGAGAACCCCCTATATATCTCGGGTGAAATCGCCATTTCAGGTCTTGAAGTTGTTTAGTGACCTGTCTGCTGATCAACATCGCAGGGCGCCACCTTGGTCAATATTCGGCAAATCGCATGCAGTTTCAAATCGAATGTTTGCTCGGATTAGGACCAAATGAAATAGTACCAATCACACCAAAGTATCACAAAGTGAATTGTGATGATGGAGCGCGCGGAGTCTCCTTGATCTTCACTGACATGGTGCCCTGGTCAGTCGATCAGATTAACGACTGACCACAAGGAAGCGCCAATTCAATTTGTTTCAGCGCTTGAATAGTACAAAGACGAGGTTACGGTATGAAGTCGTGGCAATGATTATAATAGCTCCAGAGTTGGATCATGATACATGTCTATCGTCAAATCATTAGTCGTACAATGTGCATCGCGCTGCCGCCAAAATGCATACAAAAAAGCAAAAAAACAAAAGCGAAACGACTTTCGCTTGGGAGGCATGCCAAGGCACTGTCGTGAACATGATCATTGAGCTTTTCCCATGATCAACGCACGAGCTTGGCGTGGTTCGGTGCCGAGGACATTGATCAGGTACTCGATACTGGCCTCAGAAGCCAAACGGCGCTTCTCTTCCTGGAACTCTTTACTGCATGAATCCCACGTCACAGCTCGTTCTTGAGACAGTACTGTCTTGACCCGAATCTTGAAGGCTGCACTGACTGGCCGGTGGTCAGAGGCACGGACCTCGTGTCGACGATAATCAAGCTGCTTGACGCGGCCCAGGCCACGGTAGAGAACGCGGTCACACCAGGCAGGAGAACGTTTCTTTTCGCTAGAGTCATACTCGTCTGTGCCAACGTCGTACTTGTAAGTCGGCGCAAAAGTGATGGGCCGCTCAGTGAAACTGCGGAGCCGGAAACCGGGGTTCTTCCGCCGGGAGAGAAGCAGTTGATCTCTGTCCAAGAGTTTTGCGAGGTTGTTTTGGCGGACTGCGTCAATGATTATATTCCGAGGAATTGTGTCGATTCGGTAGTTTAAGTCTCCATTCAATATGCACACTTCGTGATCCATGATCATGGATCCATCACCGCCACTGGCGAACTGATCTGTCCGCAGAGTAAGATTACTCTCAGCAGGCAAAGATTCAGCTTCCAGGATCGCGGCGATATCGTTGTTCCGATGCGCGGTCTGCGTTTGGCCAGCTGCCAAATGACAGTTTACAAAGCACATCGAACTGTCATCGAGAACAAAGCGGAAGACAAGAGCACCCTGATATAGTTAGAAAAGATCAAAAGGTTTCGTTTGAGTTCGGGCATTACACACCTTGTTCCCATGCAAACCACCCATTCCGCGCTTGATCTCCGAAGCACTGACGTTTTTGATGTTGTGTCGTTCTTTGTGTTTGATGAAAACACAAGTAAACAAACCCACCATGTTCGCAGTGTGCAAAAGAACATAAGATTCTTCCAAAGGCATGCATTCCTGGAGAGTGCGAGTAAGATGATCAATCCAGACTCGATACTGACGGCTCATATGCTCTTTTTCGCCGCTCTCTTTCTTTTTGCTGCTCATAAGCAGGCTCTCTGTGGCGGGTTAGCAAAGAAGTCCCACATAAGACAGACAAGAAGGCAGCAACGAACTAGCAGTGATTTTCTTATTCTCGAGGTCAACCAGCTCTTGGAATCCAAATATAACAATGTCGGGCGGGTCCTCTGGAGTAACAGCGTTCCGGATGAAGTCAGATGTCTTCACACTGCCAGGAGTAACAGCGCCAGCATTCCAAGTCAGAACGACAGTCTTGATCTCTCGGAAGTTGCAAAACTCCACATCCCTGTGCTGCATCCGTGCGTCTGTTTATCTTGTTAGAAACAATCATTGGAAGTCATAAATTTCGACTTACCCAGCCAATCGTCTTCAAGCATTCCATCCCAGAGACGAATACAATTGTCGGTACCGAGAGAAGTCACTTGTAGACGATTCATGGTCCATACACTGCTAGTGTCCAACACGAAACTGGAAACAGGACTGTCATGAGCGCGCCAATCCTTCTTCACAGTCCAAGGATTAGTGGTAACGTCGTAGACATAGATCATGCCGGTCTTGTATCCAGCCCAGAGATAGTCGCCAACAAAGGCAAGACAATTGATCTTATAAACGCTGACGTTCACCACTGCCAAACAAGTGAAGTCTGTCGCAGAATACACAGTGACCTTGCCGTCGGCATGACCCAAATAGACTCGACCGCCATCTCTTGTGCTATAAGTCCCAGAAGTCACATCTCCAGAGTACTGTAGCCCAATGGGTCTTTTAAAGACCTTGAATGAAGTCTCGTCATTCGCACTGGGTCGATAGATGTATACATCCTTTCCAGCTGCCAGCCACAGCTTATCTCCAACTACCAGTGAGAATGTATGGCCACGGGCTACGCGTTCATGGGCGTTGTGGTAGCTGTATTGCAGATTAGGTGTGCCAGTTTCGTCCGGCAACCAAATGAGTAGCCGGCCTTCGTCGTCAAATGTCCACATTTCTTTTCCATGCCGCAAAATCTGAATCACCTCTCGCCGGGAGGGGTATGATCGAGTGGCGACAATCGACTGACTTGGAATGTCCACTTCGTGTATGTCTCCAGCGCTGGTACCGAGCCAAATCCGGTTTCCCTCGTCTTCGAGGCCTTTTCCTGGCTTGAAAGCAAGAGACAAGCTCTTCACGGTCTCGCCATGGCTGAGGCTCATCACTTGCTCGCCCGTGGTAAGATCCCACACTTTGGTCAAATATCCAGTCGTGCAGACATATTTGCCGCATACAGCTAGCAAGCGGGTATCATATCTCGTGTGGATCTCCTGAGGACCGGTTTTGAGATAGGGCGGGCGTCGGTTTGCCTTGGAGGCATCGGGATAGTCTGTCCTCGAGACAGCTGGCTCCTCTACCTGCTCTTCTTCCTCGGTATCAACACGCACAATGCGCCGCTCGGGAAGAGAGGAAGAGAGTTGAGGTTCGCGGGGTAGAGACGGTTGCCGTTGGATAGGCTTAGGGGCTGAAGTTTCGCTGATGCGTGGGACAGATGGTACAGACCGAGCAACTGGGGTCATCTGCGAAGGACTGTTTACATGCTGAGGGAGCTCTCTAGCTGGAGAAAACCCAGTCCTTTGTGGCGTCCCAGAGGGCCGCGGAGGGAGCCCAGGGCGATTGTAGGGACTATCGCTGGCTCGCAGTCTCTGCGCGGAAAGAGGTGGTGCTACAGGGGCAGTCTGTGGAGATTCAACTGGTGCAGGAGGGATTTGAACCATCAAGGGTTTAGATGCTCTTGAGGGCTCCGGCACAGGACGACTTCTTGAGAATCCCATCTCTCTAGCATCATGCCGAGCAGTGGGTGCTGGGACAGGAGATCGGTCGTCGAATGAACGCCGACTAGGCGGTTCTGTTGTTGGCCGAGCTGGTGGCGGTCTATAATTTATCTTGGTCGAGGAGACTGGCTTAGGCGGAGACTTCTCCGGGCTACTCGGAGGCGTGTTGAAAGGCGAGACGCTCGGATCGGGTGAAGCTCGCTCTGGCCGAGGAGCCAGGGTACTTGTGTCCGGATGGGAAAACATGGCCGGTTTAGCTGGAATTTTGGGTTTCGACGCGCGGTTGGCCGGAGGTGGGAGCGAAGCGCTCTTCAACTTTCGGTCTGCCGGACTGCCCGTGAGACTGGGACGCAAAGCCGCAAGGGATGTCTGGGGCACATTATAGGCTCCAGAAGTGGATGATCCGAATTTAGGGACCGGAGACAAAGGGCGAGGCGGTGCGGGCGAATTGTATGTTGGTTCCCATGGACGATGCCCTGGGCTTCGAGCTTTCCTAGTGTCTTCCTGTTGCGGCCAAACATCGTCACGGTCTTGGATTCGAGGAGGCGACTGTGGGGAGTGTACCGCCAACGTCGGAGGAAGCTGTGGCGATGAACGGTTGAAGTTCATGGAGATGGGCCGGCCATATCGCCTTTCGGACAGTCCGCGATTCCGGGTCCGATCCCCGTTCAGTTGAACGAACTGGTTCGGCCCCTCATCTGCAGGAGTCCATGGAGATTGCGGACGGGGTAAGTCAAGGGAAGCACGAGTAGATGACCGGAGATCATCAGTTGCTTCGGAGCTTAGGTGGTTTGCGGAGGTGCGCGGGCTAGCGGTCACCGCAGAGGGTGCTCTGCGGTGAGCAAGGTTCTCGAAGTGAGACAATAGAGAAGAGACGGGTCTCTGTGGCTACATTGAGATTAGTCCATTGTGTTCCACAAAAGTAGTTGGTGTCTTCATACAGTGGGAGGATCATCATTGTTTGGCTGTTTTCCTATGCCCGCCATGGCTGCTGTCAGATTTCCGTCGCCGATACGAACCGAAAAGATCGATCATAGGTTTAAACAGATTCCCGAGTGGCCAAGAAGTGCTACGGGGGCGCAGTTGAATAGGAGTTCGCGGAGACGGAAGCTCAGGCTGCAGGGATATCGTGGGGGGTTTGGAGAGCTTGCAGGTACGTAAGCGACGCCGATCTTCAGTCAAATATGCTAATTCGGGGGTGTCGCCGGGTCGTGTGAGGGTATTGAAGTAGAATCAAGAGCAAAAACGAGTCAAAGGGGGTGAATGTCCACGAAACAGTGTGGCGGGGAGGAAAGTGGTGGATCACGGGAGTCGATCACTTTGTGCCTGTGGACTTGAGCGTCAACATCTTCTCGCCGTTCCTCCCCTCACCCCAGACTCACCATGTGGTAAGTCCTTGCATATGTCAAAGATGCATATGAAGATCCCCTATTGATCCCTGCGCAATAACTAATATACCTTTTGCAGTAAACACATCCTGAATGCCCAAGTGGCCATCCGCTCCCACTGCTGTACGCTCGAACCGACCTCGAATTTGATCTCGTTCTTGATCTCAGGGAATTGACTGAACAATCTTCACAGGCCGGAAATGGTTCGACTGTGCCGAATGCCACCAAGAGAGTGAATCGCACATGCTCACAAAGAGTGCTGAGATGGTAAGCATTCGTTCTGGGGGATCGCGTATGTCCAGAAGTTTTGACATTTGATAGATCTTCGCATGCAAAAAGTGCAAGAAGTGTTTCCGCAAGGATGCCGCTGAATTCGAGGAAAGGTATGTCTTCAAACCATCGGTGTCTCAGGCAAAGTGCTAATCTTATTTCTTGACAGTGACGAGTTCTGCCCACACTGCGATAACCACTTCGTGATCGAAGCGGTGGAACCTCAAGCCAAACTGCACGTTGAGGGCGACGATGCCCGTATGGACAGTCGGTATGTTGAATGAGAACCATTTTGTTGGCAGGATCACTAACCGTACGCAGTATGCTCAAGGACGAACGTGTTGCTCGAGACGAAGAGCGCTCTCTCTTCAACATGCGCGATGTCTCGGACCGCATGGGCTAAGTTACTGGGGTGTAGAGACACATACATTTGGCGGGGGCGTAATTTCATGATATTGACGAATTGATGGTTACTGTTGCAATAGTCCATACAGACCCATATACCCTTCTTCCTGCGCTGCGTGTACAATACGAGAGAGCAACGTGTTTTATAAACTTCATGATTTTGGATTCTCGTCATGGAAGAGACCAACGCTACTGTAAATCGAAACATATCAACAACCCAGTCACCGTGCAGGCTCTAGATTGCCAACGTCTAGCACTTATTCGGTCTACTCGCCGCCCGGCCGGGTGAGGATAGCTGCTGTGGTGGTCCCTGTCCGGGTCTTCTTCTTGGCAGCCTCCTCCTGCTTCTCGGTCTCGATGCTCTTCACGTATGACTCGATCTGGTCATCCGGTAGCATCTCAAGGCTCTTGCCGGGCGCCATGATGGCGACCTCGATGTTCTTGGCACCTGTCTGCACGACCTCAAGCAGCGACTTGATGGTCAGCTGGATTGTCTGCTCGCGGTCCATGTCGTCCTGGTGGTTGCGCTCAAGGAATTCACGGACGGTCTTGCTGGAACGACCAATAGCATTCGCCTTCCTGTAGTGAGAAATGAAATATTAGCAAAGTTCCAATGGTTCATATCGCACGCTCGAGAGCAACCTACCAGGCAGAGTAGATTCCAGAAGGCTCGGTCTGGTACAATCGAGGGGTAGAGTCATTCTTGTCGAAACCAACGACCAGCGTACTGATACCGAATGGGCGAACACCACCACTCTGTGTGTATCGCTGCTGGACACTAGCAATGTATTTCGTAATATACTCGATGCTGGAAGGGTCCTCGACTGTCAGGCGGTGGGACTGGGCTTCTAAGCGGGCCTTGTCGATGAGGATTCGGGCATCGGCGTTAAGGCCAGCGAAAGCAAGGCAAGCGTGGTCATCCACCAAGGCGATCTTGGAGGGGGTAATACGGGTATCTTGGAGCTTGAGGGCAGAACGCTTTTCGCAACCGAGGACGACGATATCCTTGCCTTTCACACCGACAGCGCAAGTTCCTAGAGGGCATCGATTATTAGCAAGGCTCGTTTGCCGATGGTGGCTCTCGCAATTCTCGATGATATCGAAACAGCAAGAAGCTGTTGGAGGGAGTGGCTGATCGTGTCTTACCGCGCTTCACGGCCTCCATGGCATATTCCACCTGGAAGACGTGCCCATCAGGGCTAGAAAAGGGTCAGTTCAAGAATGCTGGAGCTGGAGTGCTGTTCGAAGACTTCATACCTGAATACTGTGATGGGTTAGCGTCATGGAGCCTTTATTTGGGCCGGGAGCAAAGGGAGCTCGCCGTGGGGAGCTAGCTGGCTTACCTGAAAGAGCTCGGTCGTATCCGGACATTGTGAATCAAGAATGAATGGGCGATAAATTAATTTGATGGTGCTGCAGGTCACAGGTTCGAGGGAGAAAGCAAGGTAGGAGAGGGCAATGCAGACGGTCGTCAAGCAGTTGAGGTCAATTGAGATGGAGCAATGACGGGTTCCGGGCGGTGGACGCGAAAGCCTGCGGCTGCCTCCAGAGGTACTTCCCTTGACTATGGGCACGTCATATTAAATATTTGTACCCTCCAATTATCTCCATCCTCCTTGCATATTCAAACACGTTAACACAAGATGTAGATACACTGTGTATGGATGAGACCTGCTCGAATGTGACTTCTCATTCCCCATCAAAAGCCAAAGCCATATAAATATATCTTGTCCACAAAAAACATTGTACAACCCGAGAAATAAACTGCAATACTACATACTGTATATGTGACCCAGAGTACAAAGATTTCGAGAACGAAGTGGAACATGACAAAACGATCTTTTTTGCATTCACAGCACTTCGATGGCCCCCGAAGAGATGCTTGATTCAACAAGCTCAAAGTAAATCCCCAACACCCCGAACGGAGTCCCAGTATATCCCACCCACAAGACCGTGAATTCTCCGACGCTTCCCATGAAAGAGTGCAGAAAGGGACGCAAATATCTAAAATGCAATGCCAAAAGCAGGTCGAAGCCAAATGTGTCCATGCCTGCGGACAAACCAGGGAGGAACTGGGCTCCAAAATACATGCACCAGCCTCCATCCCCATAGACAAAAAACAACCATATAGCGCAAGATGGAATCACAAATATGGGACAGCTCCACGACCAAGATGACATAAGAAAAACAAAACAAAACAAAACGAGAAACAGACCAGGTAAATGTGAGATGAAAAGTAAACAAAATGATGAAAGCACCACAAAAGCACAGGCGAGGCGAGCAAAAGAATTCCGAAATCTTCGACACGCTAACCCGCCTACTCCTTCCAACCCGATGCACCAAAACCGCAGAATCCCTTATACAAATGCGTATCAACGAATATCAACCAACGCAGAAACCCGCCACAATGCAGGGTTGCAATATGGACAACATAAGTGTGAGTGCCCAGTGAAATGGACATAGGTACAGTCAGACCCCCAATTTTTTTTAAGCGGGCGACTTGTTGGCGCCGGCACCGTTGCGTCGGGAGTGGGGATCATCCGACACAGTCAGACCACCGAGGCCAGAGGACAAGAAAGCGAAGGGGTCACTGGCTCCGTCAGAGCCGTAGAAAGCGCCGTTAGAGGCACTGGTGGAGGGAACACCGTGGTCCGCAGCGGTGAAAGCAGCCTGGGTAGCCGGGTTGGCGAAGGAGGCAGCCGAGTGCGAAGTGCTAGATGAACCGTAGCCAGAGTTCATCTGACCCATAGGAGGATAGGCGCCAGGGGTGTTGTTACCCAAACCGCCAGAGGGCAATGCATAGTTGTTGGGAGGGCCACCAAACTGCTGGCTGAAACCACCGAAGCCACCGGCGGTAGAGGCGAAAGGTGCCGGGGCAGGGGTGCTAGCCATTGAGTTTGGCCCCATGTTGAACTGCGTGGGAGGGTCCATCGGGGACGAGAATGCGGAGTCGGCTACTACAGCCGCGCCTGACCGCGGGGCACCACAGCGGAGACAGTTGATGTTCTTGGCAAAGTTGTGGTAACCACAACCTTCCGAACCACACTTCCAGTCACCGGCGCGGAAGGGGACAACGCCTCCGTTGCCGCCCATGCCGCGCGAGTGACCACCACCGCCGCCGCCCATACCATGGTTACCATGGCTCATGTGAGGGGGCATCATTGATGGCGGGCCGTAACCGTAGTTGCCGTAGTTCATTGGGTCAGGCGCAGCCGCCATAGCGGGGAATGAACAGCGGAAGCATGCTGTGCGGCGCTGGAAGTTAGAGAAACCACAAGACGGGCAAGTCCAGTCACCAGGACGAGGGCGGTTCTTAGAGGGAGGGAAGGGAGTGAGAATCTCAGCGGCCCGGTCCAGAACCCGGCTGGAGGAAGGGGAGACCTCAATCGCCTTCTCGTTGAGTGCCCGTCCGTTCATGCACAAACTTTCAGCTGCCTTATTGGAAGTTAGCGGGGAAATTAAGGGAAGATATCAGACGAAAAGAGCAGATACTGAAAAAAGTCAGGGATTTGCGAATGCATGGGTCGAACATACCTCTTCGTGAGAAGAGAAGACGGCAAAGCCGGTGCCAGTAGGCTTGTGCTGGTCTGGTGTACGCAGAGTCCAAAAAGCGATGGGTCGACCACCGAATTGAGTGAACCAGCTCTCCAACTCAGACTGAGTGGTGTCGTGAGGCAGACCACTCAGGTGCAAGACCTTGCTGCGTTCCGCCAAGAAAGCCCTCACGTCCGCATGGGCATCCATGGGACGAGTCAAGATCTCGGGGTGATCTTGAGGAGGCTGCGACTTGCGAATCAAGCCCCGCAGAACGCGAGCGAGAGTGACGGATTCCTCCATAGCACGACGCGGCGAAGCGGGGGCCAAGGCCTGCAGGTGGAAGGGCAGGTTGTGCTTAATCGGGGCGGACGACTGGACGGGCTCCACTTCAAGAGCAGCGCAGATGTTGGAGAGCGAGCTGGGACCGAAGGGCAGTGACTCTGGGTGATGGGTCTGCCAGCGTTGGTATTCGGTTCGCAGGTCGAAAGTGCGGGAGTGCTGCAGATATGCGGGCAGCACGACGGCCTTGTCGCGGGCTTCGCGGGGCAGCTGCACCCGCAGATCCCACGAGTCCAACGTCACAAAGGCAAATTCGAGATGTTTGCTCGTCAGGTGCTCCGTAGCGAAGGCGTCGAATCGAGAGATAGCATCCCGGAAAGTGCCTGCAGAACGAACGTGTTCCCATGTCAAAGTAGTCAAGCTCGCTTCAGAAAAAAAAATGTTAGCAACGGATCCTAGCAAAACCCAATGTGTTCGAAGGTTGGGACTAGGCAAGCTTACTGCAAAGCGGGGTGATTGGAGTATTGACGGGCTTAACGAGAACACTTTCGCGGTGCAGCTAAACAATTTGCAAAAAAAAAAGGCGTCAGCATTGGGTTCCCGAGGCTAGGCAGATTGAAGGTTGGGCGTTGGGACGTACTTCTTCGCAGGTCTTAGAGTCCAACAAGATCCATCCTAACTCGATCACCTCGGCCGAGTCCTTGGTGACATACACGCCATGTTCGTCGCAGGTGGTTGCAACGTGGATGACGATGTATCGATCCAGCTTAGGAGTGGGTGCTGAAACGGCCGCCATCGCTGACTTGTCGCTCGGTGCCAACGGAGCGGCAGGGGAATCCCGGGGAAAATTGAGGGGGGATGTCTCTGCGGGTTACAGCAGAAGACAGAGAGCACGACAGGGGAGAAGTCGTGGTAAGAATAGAAGAAAAAGAGAGCCCGGGGGAGGAGAGAAGGGAAAGGGGGGGGGGGAGAAGAAAATAGACCAAGTCGAGGTGGAGTTTTGTGAAAATGAAAAGTTTCGGGGCTCACGGGAGATTACAAAATGCGACCATTTCGAGGTGTATATACGGCAAATGAAATTTAAATAGATAACTAATTCTCTCTTCTTCTGTTCCCCCTGGAAATTAATGTGTTCGGACTGGTGTTAACCGTGCAACCCCAACCCGGGCCCAGATCCCTGCTCCGGACTGAACTATTTTGTTCGCTCTAATCGGGAGTCAACGGCCCCGATCTGACTTCGTACTTTGATACTAGATGGTGAAGCACAGGAGTACCCCCCTCGTATTGCAGGTATTGCGCAGAACGACTGTGACCCTACACATTTAGATGTGACATGTGGCAGAGCGCAGGGCAGTGAAACATGGAGCCGAGACATGTTCTGTCGCTGTCAAATGCTTCAATCACGTGGCACATCACGTGCGATCTATACTCCAGAGTAGCCCGTGCTCCGTACACACTAAATCGTCGGAGATATGTATTGGGGAAATATCAAAGCAAGAGGTATTATGTACAGTCCAAATCTCCATCCTTGGAGCCCACCAAACCCCCCAGCAATTCAGTCTGGGGGCAAAAACAACCCAAGGTCACCCCATCAACGCCAAAGTAACCATGGAAAGTAAACAGTCATCACTCATCGCCAGTTTCTTCTTTGATCACCGTCCCTCGGCTGGTATCATGATCTTCTTCCTCGTCAACCTCCATAATGCTAGGTTCGATTGAGACAATTGGTCGATTAGCAGTAGCCGATGTCATGCGACTGTTTCCCTCGCCCTCGTCCTCCTCCATGATACTAGGTTCAACCGAGAAGTGACGGCGGTTAGCATACCCGGAAGGCTCTACAGACCGTCGGACGCTAGCTGACCGGACGCTAGCACCATCGTTATCAGGATCTTCAGTACCCTCTCGGGGACGGGCACTAGCAGCACGAGAGTCTTGTGCAACGGCCAGGATCTTCAGGATGGCATTCTTGGCCTTTGTAAGTGCATTGCGACTAGAGGCTTCGCCGGCGAGACCGTCTTCAATGGTCTGGTCCAGTAATTCCTTGACCTCGGAAGCAAGCTCATTGTTCTCCGGAGAGATTTCAATGCCAGTAGCACTGCGGACACTGGTGCGGAATGGATCCTCGCTTTCGGGGGCGCGGGAACCTGCCCGCTCTCGTGGGGGCAACGTGGGAGCGGCGAAGTAAAGCTTACTGAGCAGGGAGAACAGAATCTTGCGCTCTTCTCGAGAGCAACGGCTGGTTCCAGCACTGACGCCAAGTACACGTTCAAGAATATCTTTGACCAGAGCGAGATGAACCCATCCACAAACATTGGAGCTTGCGGCACCACCGGCGAGGACCTTTTCGCCGCCAAGGCCCACCACCCGGCGTTCATCAGTCCATTCAGAAAGCATGCCAATAACACCGGTCATGAGTGCCTTGGTTTCACGCTCACCGACGCTTGCATCAATCTCTCCATCACTGTCTTCCTCGGCCTCAAGCGAGTAGTGCTCCTCTGCGGCATTCATCACAGCTCGGACGACTGGAACTGCCACTGCTCGCATATTTTGGGTATGCTCAACACGGGAGTGGCAGTAGACGGGGAAGAAGTAAGCCAGAGACTGGCGGAGCGCTGGGTTCTCGCGGGTCCGGGGGTGATAGAATGCCACGACAAGCGATTGCAGCAAAGTTCCAACCGCATTTTGGTTGATTTCTTGGATAGCAGGCGGCACATTAGGACCGGAAGGAGTGAAGGCATTGGTCAGAAGTAGCTTGGACAAGGCAGCTGCGGCTCCAGATTGTACACTGTTGGGTGAGTTGGCCCGCAGAGCTCGAGCAAAAACCTTGAGCAGCGGTTTCTGCATGGGCGGGGGTGTGATGGTCTCGCCGTCAGACTGAGTAACGGGAGCAAGGAGAGAGGGATGTGTGGTGATCATGTCGCAAAGAATTTGAAGGGCTGTGACCTGCAATGCCTCGTGGCCCTTGCTATAACAGTGAATGAAAAGAGTCATGTTTTCTTCAGCTAGGTTCTACATGGCCATGGAATTAGTGGAAGTTTAATCGAGGAGATGGAATATTACTCACCTTGTCGAGTAGACAGCAAAGACCCAGGCATAAGAGGCCACGCTCACGGATGGGGGCTTCATGGCTGCGAACAGCCGGTACCACCAGGTTGTTGAGCATAGTAACCAGGTTCATGTTTGACTGCAGATGACCCTGGACGTTTTGTAGCATGCACTGAGCAATGTACAGACACTTCATGTTGACGACAATCTCGCGGACAATCTTTGCCTTCGCCTCCTCCTTATTAAAAGGAGCCTGCTCTTCTTGGCCCGGGGTCTCAGATCTTCGGCTGTTGTCGTCACTGATCTCCGATCTGGCTGAAACAAAGCTATCTTCCGTGGTGATCGTGTCGTGGACTTCCGCAATGGCTTCCAGAACGACACTGCAGAACTCGGCTTCAGCTGCGGCATCGGGTCCGCAGACACATCGAAGAGTCTCGATCACCAATTTGGTACTCTCCTCCGGAAGTTCGGGCACAGCGAGTGTCTCCCTCAGCAGGGAAAACATTTTCCGTCGCCCAACCTCATCACTATAATCCAGTGTGGGAGCGATATGGAGCAATTGCTCCACAACGAATTCGTGCTCGACGGCATCATCATCGTTCGCATCTCCGCTTTCCTTGGAAATCTTCTTCCTCTCAAGGAGTTTTGTAATGTACTTGCCTAGGAAATAGGCGAACGCCGTGACCTCGGGCATCTTATCGTCGGCGAGGGTGTCATATTTCCCTTCGTTCTCCACACGACAGAAGTCATTGAAAGAGCGCAGTAGGAAGGCGGACTCGCCAGTAAGACCCTCCCAGAATGGCTCATCAAACACAACGGCTTCACGATAGTCTGCACGGCCTTCCCAGAAGCCACGCATAGCCTCATGCGCGATTCCACTCTCCATTCCAGAGTTGACAACATCGATTCTCTCCAAAAGCTCGAGCAGCGCATTAATATCAGGAGCAGAACGTTGGCCAGTCGGGCCCTCGTTAGGATCATTGTTGGTCCCAGCGCAGTCCTCGACCCAACGATCGGAGAACAACTTGGCAGTTGCCTTGCGCACACTTTCGTCTCGATCACGTAGGCCCCATCGAAGGAGTCGTTCCCTCATTGATAGCGACAGGTGGCGGAAATCACCCAATGTAGGAAGAAGGCGGGAATACAGTGCGCGTCGGGTGGGAGCATCCAGGTCACGAGCGCGCTCCAAAAGGTAAGGAAGTGTCTTCGGCGCAAGAGGCAGATTTGTGAGCAAAGTTTTGCGAACATCGGCACTTGTATCATTTTGCATGATTTCCAGTAGCTTTTCAATAAGTGCGCTGGAATTGTCATCGCTTCCGTCATCACCGTCATCTCCCGCTAGACGTCCAAGCCCCATCACAGCCTGCACCCGAACGGATGGCTCTTTATCTCGCAGACGCCTCAGAAGGCCTTGTCTTATCGTATGATATAGCTCATCGTCGATTGATTCAAGCGAGTTCACAATGTGGGCGGTAATTTGCGTTGCGCGGAATCGTACCATCTTGTCCTTTGCGCTCATCACAGGAACCATGAGAGAAACAAGGCTGGAAGTAAGGCGAGAGGTCGGTGTCTCGGGATTGTGGTCTTCATCTTCGCCAGAGGCGAACATCTCGGTATCCTTCTCAGCAGCATGACCGAGGAAAGTACCCAGGAAGCGCAAAATGCGGTCTCCAACGGGCTCACTCTTCTTGATCGTCAAGATGCGAAGCATGCAGCGACCGATTTCGACATTGAATTCTTTCTCGACCTCTGTCTCTTCGCCAGGGACCAGTGCCTCCTCGGCCTCCTGATCCTTTCCCTTCTTGTCACCTTTCTTCTGGAATATATTACAGCAGATCTCCTGGAGTTTGCGTAGGCGCACGACTAGCTTTCGGTGCCCAGTAGTTGAGCGCTGGGCGTCCGCAAAAATGAGGCAAACATCGCGACGCAAGGTGGGGGATGAAATTGGTTCTGCAGGTTCTTCGGGGATCGCAAACGATGGGGTCACAGATGCAGCGCGCCCAGACGCAGAGGGCTGTGCTGACGACCTGCGTGTCGTCGCAGATGTCGAACGGGCGGCGACTCTGCCAGGCATGATTATGGTGTTGTTAGTTGAGGATGAAAAGCATCGCAGAGCGGGACCAAATGAGTGGAGGCCTTGGCGGTAAACAAACAGCCCAAAGCGGGAGGATCCTCACTATTGGCACGGCATTTTCACAATTCACACGTCATTCCAACTATAGCTTTTATGTATAGAAAGTGACCTGGCAACTCATCTAGTTGAGATGAATCCAGATGAATTCACATTTGTCATGGCTTAATGGCTTACATCAATCAGCATGCCCGAACTATACAGTTTGACAATCAGATCATACCGCTGCAAACCTATCAAGTCCAAAGGCGCATGTATGTACTAAAGTAGTGTGAGCTTGGACGTGATCCGTGTGCATACAGTACAATCCGTGCCCCGACTCTTTGTCTTCGGCTGCAAACACTCCAATATCGATAGCGATAAGAAGCACGTGATGGAACTAGTCCCGACCCTCCCGAGGTCGGAGCTCGTCATTCCCCGGTAGATCGGAGGTTTGTTCCTGCATAGTAGCCATTGCAAGATGTTCCGCCAAAGTGTTCGGCGATTTGCCACTACAGCAGCTCGTGCTGCCCGAGAGGGATCCACCGCATATGCTACCAAGGTGTCAACCTCCCAGGGCGTTGTCAATGGATTGACCGAAGGTATGTCTAATACCGAATCGATCTGACAATCCACTGTGGTCTGACTGATCTCTTGCAGCAATTGGCAACACCCCTCTCATTCGATTGAAGAAGCTCTCTGAGCAGACCGGTTGCAATGTTCTCGGCAAAGCGGAATTCCAAAACCCCGGAGGCAGTGTGAAGGATCGCGCGGCGCTGTTCGTCGTGAAGGACGCCGAGGAAAAGGGCCTCCTCAAGCCCGGTGGTACCGTCGTCGAAGGAACCGCTGGCAACACTGGAATTGGACTTGCGCACGTGTGCCGGTCCAAGGGCTACAAGCTGGTCATCTACATGCCCAACACCCAGTCACAGGGCAAGATTGACCTGCTCCGCCTTCTGGGTGCGGAGGTGTATCCCGTCCCCGCAGTGGCCTTTGACAACCCCCAAAACTACAACCACCAGGCGCGCAGGCACGCCGAGTCCTTGGACAATGCGGTCTGGACTAACCAGTTCGATAACACTGCCAACCGCCAAGCTCACATTGACACCACCGGTCCTGAAATCTGGGCTCAAACCGAGGGAAAGATCGACGCTTTCACCTGCGCTACCGGAACTGGTGGTACCCTGGCTGGTATCACCCGCTACCTCAAGACTGCCAGTGATGGCCGTGTCAAGAGCTTCCTTGCCGATCCCCCCGGCAGTGTCCTCCACAGCTACATCCAAAGCGGTGGCACCCTGATTGACCGCTCTGGTAGCAGTATCACTGAGGGTATTGGTCAGGGCCGTGTCACCGATAACCTCCAGCCTGATATCGACCTGTTGGATGGCTCCGTGAACATCAGTGACGAGAAGACCATTGAAATGGTTTACCGCTGCTTGGACGAGGAAGGTCTGTACCTCGGTGCCAGCTCTGCTATGAACGTGGTGGCTGCTAAGGAAGTTGCTGAGAAGCTGGGTAAGGGCAACACCGTTGTCACCATCCTCTGCGATGGCGCATACCGCTACGCCGACCGCCTGTTCTCCGGCAAGTGGCTGGAGAGCAAGAACCTGCGTGCCTCTATCCCCAAGCACTTGGAGAAGTACATCGTGCTTCCTTAATATGTTTGTGTATTTAACTTGAATCTTGAAATATCATGTACATTCTTGCACATTTAGAGTCCCTCAAACAACCTTGTTCTAACTTTAGAACTTAGAAACTTTAGAGGTTGTGGATTGGAAAGTTTGGGGTTATCCATAGATATATTATTCACCCTGGCCAAAGTACAGCCCTGAGGTAATAGCGGTATGTCCAGGATTCCAGCAAATTTGGTATCAAATGTGAGAGGTGATTCTCGAAAAGCCGACTGGTCTATGTCCACGCTTGGTATTGTACAAAAGAGCAAAGATGCAGTCTAGCAGCATAGACAGACTCATAGCCCCGGCCAAAGCCAACAACAAAAGACGAGAGAGAAAAATAAAACGCCCCCAATGCTCCGTTCTAAACCAGAACGCCATATGCCGTAGAAAATTACATGGTCGAAAAGCGCAAGCCAGCCGAACTCGCTCATTCATCGTCGCCAGGCATTCTCATGTAGGCATCGATAGCGGCACTGAACGCCGCAAAGCCAGCGCAACCGAAAGCCGCAGCCTGGGGACCAGCCTTCGCACCGAGGATTCCTCCGGTAAGACAGCCAGCCGCAACACTGTTGGTGAGGTCGTTCTTGGCGCGAAGGCCCTCGATACAGCACTCGGTGCCGGAGTACAGCGCTCCAACAATACCGAAGTTCTTGGCAGATGACCAGGAGCGGGCACCCATATCCTTGAAGCCTGCGCGGACTTGCTGGCGCCAGGGGAGATCGGCGATTGCGCGGCCCTGAGGGGTGAAGGTCGAGTCGTAGGACATCTGTTGGACACATTTATCAGGATGTGTTTTGTGCTCTGGGGATCAGATCAACTTACACTAGCCATGAAAAGACCGAAAGCTCCACCGAGACCGAATCCCATGGTGCCTGCCATGGCGGTCTTGACTGGGCAGGATTCCATACCACGTTGCATCTGTATACTGTTAGAGCCGCCCTGAGCCCGAATTTAACATAAGAATCCATACCATCTTCACCATGGCTGCCTCCTGCTCATTCATTCCTTGTGTAGCGGGGTTTCCTCCGCTCAAGCTGGTCATCGGAACCGAAGTTCCTGTGGTGCCCGGGAAAGCCATCTTGACAGTTTGTTGTGTTTAAAAGAATTGGCGGAGAGAGAGAATGAAGCCTGCCCAGTGTAATCTGAGTCAATCGGGTTGATCACGGCAGTGACGCTTTGGGATTGAGATCGCGTACAGATGAAAGACAGGACGCGGAGATCTTGCGGAGGCGAGTAACTGAACCGCAAATTTATTTTTACGGTTGCCGAAGAAAGCCTAGTACGCAGTCTTGGCATATGTACCGTTATCGCTCTCATGTTCTACACATGATACACCACCTGCTCAAGTGGGCAGCTGGAATGTCCCTCAAGATAATGCATGGACTTGTGTTATGTATGGCCACGGGTGTCATTTGAGAGTAACCAATTTCATTGACGATCACATCGCAACCTACGGTAGTATACAGTGGCCCAACCTCTCTGATGAATTCTACTACTTAAGGAGTAGATAGACTGTTTCTCGCATTTTACTATTTTCTAGTATAGTATGCTTGTTGGACTATTCTCTCTGATTCATTGAGCTGCACTGCTCACATAGAGCTTGTTTGCTCTCCGTGGTCATTATGTAGTGCTATATCTTCCCTCATCCTCTCCCTCTGGTTTTCTCTTCCTCACGGGATCTTGTCGCTTTATTCGCCATCTATGTGCAATAATTCTAGACGAAGAGTTAGATCTGGAAACCTTGACTATAGAATTTGTCTATATGGAAGAAAGTATCCAAGAAAGCCTAATATGAGGGTGCAGTACTAGCCCACCCAGTACCTGTAATTTCCCAGGTAATTTCTTCTTTAAATGAGGGCCTGGAAAGGAAGGGGGAGAAAAAACACGTTCTTAAACTCTCGAGACACCTAACAGCTGGCTTTGCTTAGGGTAACAGGTAATCCTGGAAGGATTCCAAGGTTAAGGCCTCAGTCTAACCTCACTCTCAACCAGACCAGTCAGTTCCACAGTTCCGGCGCACAGCTATCTGCCTCCGTCAACACCAGCCAATAGACTGAACAGAAGAAGGAAAGAAAAAAGAAAGTCAAGTGACAAGAGAAGAAGCAACGCTCTCGTATAATATGGCTCAAAGGTCGTAGCCCTACGTAATTCCGTAGATAGGGCCGAAGAAAAGCTAAAGTATGTACATAGAAAATAAACAAAGGAACATCGTTAATCCTTCTTGCTGTCCTTGCGAGTTAAAGAAACCCGTTCTGGAGAAGGAGACAAGGAGCGCTCCCACTCAGCCATCAAGTTGGAAGCGGTACGTTGAAGCTTTGAGGGAGCCAACTTGGTGATAGCAGGCCAAGGAATGCCCTCGGAGACACTAGGGTCAAGCGAGGTGGAATCCGGGTTCCAGTCGCCAAAACTGGGATCGGTTGTCAGCTCATAACCAGGTTGTCATAGATGAAATCGGAAAAGGTCGAACGGTACCTAGCGCTGGTTCGCGGGCTGCTGCTCTGCGTGGTGGGCGAATGATCATGTTTCGATTCAACTGTTGATCGGCTCGACGAGGGTGTGTGCATCTTGTGTGCGGATAGGGGCGTCTCCCAGCTACCCCAGTCGTCGAGATCGTCATTCTGCGGTTCGGCTTGATTGCTGGAGTGGCGATCGCGCTGTTCGTCGGTCGCCTCGCTTCGGCTGGCGGATTGATTGGGGGTGCGAGGGGCGTTTGGAGACTTCTGAGCTGGTGTATCAATGCCGAATTCGCTCCAGAAAGATGTGGAAATTTCCGCCGGCTTGGTGTCTTTACCAGTTTTTGTCTCGGCCGCTGGCCCTCTCCCCCGTGAAGATGATGACGACGATGATCGTGATAGCTTGCCGTCCGCCAATAACCGTTCTCGGCTCCGGGACTTCGCCAGGGAATCCCGCTTACGACCGTTCTGACCGTTTGGTGGTGCTAGTGAGTTTGATGGTGACATTGTTCGTGTTTGAGTTCCGTTGATTCCTTCCTCTCCCACCGTGGCCTGTCGAATGTCTTCCAAGAATGTCCAAAGTCCCTCCCGTAGATCAGATGCCATCTGTTTGCCCGTCCGCATGAGAGCCTCCCGCGAGGGAGGAGGCAGAGTCTTGTGCCACTGCGCAAGTAGATGCTCTGGAACCTGGCTCTCGTCCATCCGGGCAATAGCGGCATGATCACGCTCGACAGATGGCAGTGTAGCAGATCGTGGAGTGCGGCCTACGCGATCGGTCTCCGAGGGACCTGGCTCCCCGACAAAGGCACTTGAAGCCGTGACTGGGGACAAAAGCGACAAGGTGCGAGTATGTCCACCCTGGAAGACCCGACGACCATTGGTGCCAATCTTGGTCCCTGGAGCAGGAGGAGCACGGATACTTGTCCGCCGACCGAGTTCCCGACTGGCCCGTTCTTGCGATACAGTCGAGCTCCCAACCGAGGTCATACTTTGTTCCCGGTGGTGGGCCGAGAATGTTTCGGATGTTGAGGCATCGGGAGACCGAAGAGCCATCATCGGCTCTGCGTGATTGATCTCGGCGCGTTTCCTGGACTTCTCGGATAATGCCCACTGCTTCTTGATTGTGACCAGCTCTGCTTCTGCGCGATTTAGCTCTTCGCGTAGCTCCATGACCTTTCGCTCCTGCGAGGCAATAGCCCGCAGGAAGTCGTAACCATCGTCTGGGACATCAAATGACATAGGTGTGCCGGGAGGTTGCGCGGAGGGAGGGCCGGTGGAGGACTGTGTAGCTGTGGTTGCGGAGGCAGGTGAGGTCCCCGACTCAGTCTCGTTGAGGTTGAGGTTGATAGGAAAGTTCAAGGTGAGGCGTTTCGCATGGCGGGTGGTTGGATTCGCACGGGGAGGTAAGGAGAGTCGTTTTCTCTGGGTCACAGATGACCCGGAAGCAGACTCCGGGACGTCGTTCATATCTGGTCGAGCCAAGCTCTCTCCCGTAATACTCGTACTCTCCATGGTGGGCCAGCCAGCTGGAGAGGTCAACTCAATGCATATGTACAAGACTATGGAAAAAAAGGAAAACAACTTTTGACAGTTGGTCTCCTGAGTCCAGCCCACAGCGGGTCCCACGAGATGTTTCAGGGGGTCGGGATTAGCGTCTTATTAAGCTCCTCTTTGGGCCCCGTCTTGGCGTGGAGTATAACGTCGACTGTGTACAGAGTACAGAGCATACAGCTGTGCGTCGGAACTGAGGAACTGACAGCTCTGGTCAAGGGCGAGTTTGCAATGCTGAGGCCCTCGGTCCTCCCAGGGCTTCATGTCACCCGAAGCAAAACCAGCGGATGGGTGTCGAGAGTATGTCAGCGTGCTCCTTTTCCCTTTCCCGGCCCTCATTTAAAGAAGAAACTACCTGGGAAATTACAGGCACTGGTGGGCTAGTACTTAATTGCACCCTTGTACTCCGTATGAGGTAGGCTCTTGGTTCCACTCACAAGTTCAACCGAGTCGACATAAATAGTGTTGCCCGTCATAATTCAGCGTGGAAATTACTTAAGTAGCCAATGACATAGTTGGTCATCAATGGCCCTGGAGAAAAGTTCAAAATCCTTCAAAGAAGTCCTAGCAATCCAACAATGATATTGCCACTTCAAGTCAGGGTCGTCGGTGTCTACTCATGTTGGGCGTCCAAGGGAGTACATAAACATCCTGGGCAGTTACCCTAGCCCCAGAGGGTATCGCAGAACTAAGACACTCGCAGTGGACCATGTTCATCACAATCTGAGAATACAAATAACTGCATCAGATGAAGTTCCTTCCAAGGTTGTCCTTTCAAATCCAAGACAACAGCCAAGCAAAGGGCAATCAAGATATAAATAGAACCAACAGGGGTCTCCCGCCTGACCTCACACACGACGCGTACCAACCCTGAAAGTCAATCGCGTCAATATGATGGAAGCAATCTTAGAGTGTTCTCGTCCGAAAGTCGTATTAAACTGTCTTTGGAGATCACCTTACCACGGGTTTTGGGGGAAACCATTGATCCCCCTTGCCAAACCAACAACTCGACCACGTCAATTCTCCACCCAATGGAGAGCTAATCCCAGAGTCTTTCCAGGATTCGATCTGAGTCTCCTAGCCCGAGAAAATGCAGAGCCCGGCAAGACTTATGAGCCCAAGGCGATTCACACATATCCGGTTGGTGAAGAAGAGGGCGCGCTCAATGACAGGTACCAAATCTTTACGAAGATGGGATATGGCCCCACAGCAACCGTCTGGCTAGCCCTAGATATGGGGTAAGTGTTGTGGATAATGGATAGCATATCCTTGGATTGCTCTGACCATAGTATTAGCAAGGCGGATGCTCAATTTGTTGTGCTGAAGATCTACGTGGTGCAGCACAAGCTGAGGACCTATGAAAAATCACTCCCACCCAGAAGATATCCTCGATCTGAATATCCGTATCGCAAAGTCCTTGACAAGTTTGAGATCACAGGCCCCGAGGGAAAACATATCTGTGTTGTCCACGAGGCACCTCCCCTTGACCCCTATCAGTTTCACAAGGGAGACAAATTGAGTGTCAATGAAATGAGAGAAACAATGCGGCAGCAATTGATTCTGCTGGATTATTTGCATACAGACTGCAACACAACCGCTCGTATATACCCCAGTGAAAAGCCTCTGTGAACCATCCGAATCTAACCATCAACTAGGCGTTGATCCTATCATGTACAAAGAGGCATATCCAATGGCGGACACAGAGTCTGATAAAATCACGGAAAGCCTCTTACCAGGGGATGGAATGCCGCTTTTGGCAGATTGTGCAGACGCAGACTATGAAGCTGGACTTATCCAAAAACACGCTAGATCCCCAGAGGAAATTCTGAGATCGCCCCTGGATTTCAAAGTTGATACATGGGCTGCTGCTGTAACAGTAAGTCGAAAGATGTAGAGTTTGAACAAATACCGAGAGCTGACAGCACAAATTTAGGCCTGGGACTATGTGAGCTCCCGCAATCTCATCAGTGGGAGAAACGAAGAGGGTGCATTCGATGACCGGGTCCATGTTGCCGAGCTCGTGGCTCTCATAGGTCCCCCAAGTCCCGAGTACCGTAATAAAATGCCTCTGGGCTCGATTTTCTGGGACGAAGAAGGCCAATGGACAGGACAAGTACCCATACCAGATCGCAAACTAGAAGATCTGGCATTAGGGGAGGCTGACGGCGAGGATATGAGTGGATTTTTGCAGTGGATGCGCAAAGCTTTGCAATGGGATCCCGCAGATCGACCTACAGCATTGGGGTTGATGCGCCATGAGTGGATGGCTCAGGAGCCTAGCGCCGAGGAAGAGGCAGCTGGCGAAACACCAGAATGTGCGTCGGCCCAGAGTTCATCGTCATGAGACTTCCTGGGGTCAATGCCACGAGATATGTATGAATAACTTTAGAATGTGTATGATAAATCTAGATCTCCACCCAATTCAACTCCACTCAATCGTTACTTCGCTTGCCATCATAATGATTGACTCTATGCTTACGGCCGTATCCACGTGCCACTATCTTCTTACCAAATTTTACCTAAGTACTACATCAGCTTTCCTCGCCGCTTGTTGAATATCATAAATTATGCCGATTAACACAACATGCACAATTCTCAACGGCTTACAGCAAGGAATGGATACAGAGAGCTAATCTTCCGTTTTGCTGGTTCTGAACTTGGATAAGATTTCATGATCCAAAATCAACCAGAGATTGATTCCATATCTTTCCGTTTTTAGTATGGAGTACTTAAGTATATTCAAATAGTCTAGACTCCAAGTATTTGTACAAAAATAGTATATTTTAATGCATTTTATCAATAGTACTAATTGCCGGGGTCTTGACATCAATGTTGCGCTGGACAGACCACTTTGAGGGATTCAGCAGCGGGTACAACATCCACGCCCTGAGGAGCAAAAATGCTCTTTGCTTTCCTGCAGTATAATTGAATTTATTGAGGAATATCTATAGATACACGTGGCCATGAGGTCCACACACGTGTGCCGTCACAGCCTCACTAGACTTCGGAAGGTCTTCCCAATCAAAAGAGTCTTATGGTCATGACATCCCTTTGTGATTATCTTGAAGTCCGAGGGTGAGAGGCCTAGATGAACACCCCTCTTATCTCGGTATGATGACTGCGTAATGCAACTTGAATAAGCCGGCACTAACAGGTCTTTGGGATGGACATAAGCAAACGACAACACATTGAATGGAGGAGTTTTGTGAGGCTGAGAGTCACTTAGGGGTCATCAACCTTGAAAGTTCATTGTTGACCTCTTAGAGCTCAGCCCCAAGGCCATCGTATTGCTTTGCCCACCCTCTCTCAACATCTGGTTGGACGTGCACAGATGTTCTCTCTCACTGAAACGTCTCGAGTGGAGCCGGCCGAGGGCTAGCCGACGCCAAACTTGCCCCATTTGCGAGCAACCCGCTACTGGGCCCCTAGTATGGAGTACGTCTAAGCGACTTCAGGATGGGCTTAGTAGATGCATACGCACAAGGCTATGTCATTGTGTCATTGGCTGTGTCGGGGAGATTATTCAGAAGAATAAATTCCCCGAAAGCCTTGTGCTTGGATCTGCCGTTTCTTCCCAGAAGAGGAACAAAACTTGCACATCAATCCAGTCACATCCAATGGTATTCTAGACCCATGCTCCACCCTGTCAATGTCGACGGGAAATTGTGGGCTGTCAGACCATGGAGGCTCAATCGCACTGAGGAGGGGGCGTAAGACTGAGGAGTGGTATGCGTTGTGCGTGGTTTTTTTCCTAATATTTTTCTTCTAGCTCGAATACGAATCTGAGCAGGGCGTCCCTATATTTAATCACGCCATCTGCCCGCGGGATGTAGCCATTTTCTTGCATGCTCATTGCTTCCCGCCAAGTTAAGCTTATTTGCTGCAGTACTTGTGCATATCATTGATCTTTGTTCAATATGGCCATCACAACACAGCCCAAAGCCGCCCCCACCAGGCTATTGCTCGTTTCAATCCCCCGCACGGCGTCTAATCTTCTTCTACGAGTCTTAAACGTCCCCAAGCAGCCCAACCTGCTTACCACCCCCAAGGGTGGTTACTTCTTCTACTCAGCGTTCCTCGACTCTACCCAAAATGGCAGTCTACAAAACCGACCCGCGGACCAGTGGACCGAGGAACAAAAGGACTCGGTAAAGAAGAGCTGCCAGACTTGCTTCGACGGTTTGGAAGAATGGTCCTCGCGGGCCGAGCAAAACGAACAAGTGATGTTCACCAAAGAACACGCCTATTGGTTATTCAGTCCAGCCACGTTCCTGAAGTCGACTACCGGCGAACATGACGAGGAATTCTTCAAGGCGTTCCGCATTCAAACCCCCGAGAAATACGGTAGCACCCAGACTTACTCTCCTTCGAACGAAACTATGTTCTCAGACGAATACCTCCGTACATGGCAGATGTTGTTCATCATCCGCCACCCAGCGCTCGCATGGCCATCCATGTACCGCTCAATGCAGAAGCTCGGAGACCAAGGGATCATTGACGATGACGGCGTAAGAGGCACATCAGTAACAAACATGAGCATGCGATGGACTCGCTTGCTCTACGACTGGTGTCTTGAGCAGCCGGATGTGCCTGTCGCCCCACCTGTCGTCGATGCTCACGACCTGATCCACAACCCGGAGGTTGTTCTTCAAATCTGCGAGAAAACCGGACTTGACAAGAGCGTGGTGCAGTTTGAATGGCCTGACAAGACCGAGAAGAAGTCCCAGTACTGGGCGTGTCATAACCCCAACGCAGATGAGAATGAGGTCAAGTTGCATCAGTCGGCTGCCGGGGTGATGCTCTCGACACTGGAGAACTCTGCTGGAATTGTCAAGGATAAGGCTCCCAAGGCTATTGACATTGCGGCAGAGGCAGAGAAATGGAAAGAAGAGTTTGGAGCAGACGTTGCCGACTTGATCGAGAAATGTGTGCGTGATTCCATGCCTGATTATGAGTACTTGAAGGCTCGACGAATCACTCCGTGATCAGAGCCAGATCGCCAATGGAGCCAGTTATGACTTGTATTGAATTTTTATGTGACCTAGATATTACAAAGTGAATAGTTCTGGTGAAAGCAAATTGTACATGGAGTGTTCACCTGAAGCCCTGACCCCCTTCGGCGAAAAAGCCATGATAGTTGTTGTTGTCGGTTGTGTAGCCTCTGCTTGTTATAGGCCCCCAAGGCTCCCACGTAGAGGTGTGACTTCTCCATTGGATTCCATAGAGTAGATGAGTGTTGAGAAAGAGATTGGGCCTATGTCTCCATAGAGTTGTTCCGGAGATACAAGGAATGTTGCGGCTGCGTGAGAGAAGAGAAAAGAGCACAATTGAAGACATACCGCTGCGCGGAGTAGCCGGAGAGAATCTACGGATTGAGGCTGTGATGACCGGACATGAATTTGGCAGAGTAATCACTACCAGGGTCATTTCGGTAGCTTCACATTCGGTAAGATGGGAAAACATGAACGGAACTCCTGAACGCTCGGACAAGTCTCTAAGCTAACAATAACACACGGACTCCGGGTACTCTGTGCGGAATACTCCGTACTATTTCTCCTACATTTCAAGCTTCACATGTCACCAATTGACCGGGACTCAGCCCCACAGTAATATGCAGAGAGAATCCTTCGGCGGCCCTAAGCGCACTATTGCGAAATAGGACAGTATTGCAGATTACTTATGCCGTATGGAGGTCATCAGTACCAGGTTGGTGGGATTAACAATGCAATTCAAAGACAATAAAGGAGAAGTGCACACCTAAGACGTGGATACGGAGTAGATCTATGCAAGCTGCCCCACCTTCATGATTTGACAGCGTCAGCGGCAACGTTGACAGCACCCTAATAAGGATGCCTGGAGTGCAAAAGTACAATTTTAATTCTTAAGGAGCAATAGTGTGGTGGATCATGTCATGTTGCATCTCCAACTTAAGAGAAACCCATTTTTAAGGAAGCTAAACTCGGGCTACAACGCTCACCCGTTCGAGGACTGTCGCGAAATAACCTAATTGGGATAGTTCATGCTTTGAACGTCCCTAGAACGCTCGCTAGCTTCAACATCCATGTGCCCCCTTAATATATTACTGTATCGTTTCTGATATCATACTCTTTGTTTGAGCACTAATGTACGAGGAGTTCTGAATTATTGAAGAGCAAAATTGGGAACAGATGACCTTGAGTGTATCTACAGCGTAGTGATGTAGGTGCATGCATCCTGAAATCATGCTAATAGTGAATTTTTGCACTGCAAAAGTACTTGTACTTGTGTGAAGTTTAATGCTCCTCTTTCTCCTGAGATACTCCGTACAGCACGGCGAGTGCCGAGAACTCGTACACCGTATCGCGTAAAGAGATCGGCCCCTGAGGGGCCCGCGAAGTGGGGAGCAGCTGAGACGGCCAATTTCCACCATCGTGGTCTGGATCTTGGCGTGCAGATCGTAGTTTAAAGTTGCCCACAGCGATGGGGGCTAAACTCAGAAGCATAGAAAAAAATTAATAACCTTGTCGTGCGTGGCTTGATCGACAAAGCGTCGACCCCGAGGCTTGAATTTGAGACAAGCGGTGTCCTGGTATGGAGTCCTGTCAGAAATAAACAATGCGCAGGTGGGCTCGGACGAGTGAGGATGAACTAGAAACAGACGGCGTCTAACGCGATCCCTTAGCGTGAGAATTGGGGTATTGCACCAGTACCGAATACAAGCACGTACTTGAGTATAGCAAACAGAAAGGAAATGAATTGTATAACGTATAATGTACATTCCTTGGCATATAAAGCCTAGCATTAAGAGTATACCTCTAGCGCCCCTCATAAATAATCAAAGCATCATAGACATATAGAGATCTCACCGATGGGATAGCCGGCTGTTCCACTCTTTGGGTGATGTCGAGTGACCCCCACCAGAGGTTCCCTGCACAGCCCACGGTTCACTTTGTACAACAGTCTCCGAGACGACTGTAATATCTTTGGAAGATGGCTCAGACTCTGCAAGAATGTGCTCATCGCTGCCCCATGCAGATGCCTGCATGTGAGAAGGCGCCGCAGCACTTGTCTTGCTTTTCTTATCACGACCTGTCATGGTCTGCAGACCATGACTGGATAGTGGGTAAGACTGTGAGTTCTTGCCTGAGGAGCTGAACAGTTGCGAAAGACCAATCTTCTTGAATCCTCTGCGGATCAACGGTTGAATGATGGGAAGGTTTGACACAACGATTGAGACAAATGTCTCACGGCAGGCCCATTGGGAACCCGCAACGGCGCCATCGGGGCTGTTCTGTGGTATGTGTTAGATGGGTGCATCATATCTGGCTTGGATGTGGAGACTTACGCTCATAATTGTAGCCGCACGAATGATACCGGCGATGATAACAAAGGCGGCGCCGGAAAATAGAGCCATGAGTGGAATCTTCCGTTTAAGACCAATATTCACGGTCCAGAGAAGGGGGAGTGGAATCGAAAGAAGGTAGACATCAGTGAGGATGTTGAGAATAACAGTAAGCAAAACATAGACACGGGAGATTGTTGGTTGGCAGAAGTCTGGCTCGGTTAGTGAGAGCGGGTATTATAAGCGCGTGGCGTACATACTTCCGGGGTTCGGGGTGATTTGCCAAAAGGCGTGGAAAGGCTGACAGGACAAAAGGAGGGACAGTTGTGTTGCAAGCCATGTAACACCCAGGATGACGTATGCCACACGAACGCGGGTCGGGAGGTGTTGGAGGCCAGTCCTGCAATCGGGTCAGTTTATCTGCCACAGCTTCGGCGATGAGGACGTACGTCAGTCGGGAGTAGAAGACCGCCAGGCTAAACTTGATCAGCCAGAGAATGGCCACATACAAAGACCATCCGATGATCTGGATTTTGGAACCGGCCTCGCGATGCGACCATTCAAGGGAACTACTGTCCAGGGTTGCTCGCTGCTCGTCCGTCATGAAGCTATTGGTAAGGCCCTCGAATTTCGCCCCAACAAGGTATGCGGCTATCGTTTCGAGAATGAAGCAGACCTAGATCATTCAGAGATTAGATACAGGCCTTTCATCATATGCAATGGATTGGAAAAGAACATACCCCGGCCAATGGCATCAGATAGTCATCGAGCTGGAAGTTGGAAGGTCCCACTAGCTTCCATCGTACGGATATACGCACAAAGATAGTGAACAGACCCAAGGACATTAATGTCCATGCTTCGACGTTGCTGGCCATGTCTGAAACCAGCAGAATAGCAGAACAGCAGAACAGCAGAACAGAGGAGAATAGATGAAACCCACAGGGAACTAAAAGAATGACATCCCTAGTCTGCAGAAACGGAGCCTAATGGGGTTTTATTCCACTTCTTCCCTGATATTCTCGAACAGGCCTAAAGAAGTGCCACGAGAACCATAAAAGTAGGTTCGAGCCAGACTCCACCAGACCCCACCCAAGCCCACGGATCCACCGGTTCCAAACGGGGGAACGGGTGAAATCAGTCCGATCTACATCGACACGGTCTGTCACTGTCCGCCATGCCCGCTTGCTCCATGCCGGTGGAGATCTCACTCGGGCTGTGTCCGAGCCCTAGCCAACTCGGCCAGAAAGCAAGTCATCATTGGCCAATGGTGACCAATGGAGCTAAACTCCTTGGTGTTCCTGTGGCCTTCGTGGCATTGACGATTTGACTTCTTTACTCCGTACTCCGGGTTACTTAGTCTCCATACTATTTCCTTCCCCCCTCAGCCTCGTATTTATACTTCCTTTGTACCCCAGAAGAGAGGTCACATACCCCTTTTGCCCATTTTTGAGTCCTCGCGAATTTTCGTATACAGTTCAATATGTCCACATTCGACTTCATTGTGGTCGGAAGTAAGCGCCACTACCCCTGACATCCTTTCCCTGACACATATGGAGATGACCTTGGGAATTGGTCTGCGGGGGTGACATATGCCATCCCGAAACAAACTTCACTCAATCCACCCAATCCATCCACTACGGGTAATCATGACCATGTCCCCCAAATTTGTGTCTAACACTGCTGGCAGGTGGCCCGTCCGGCAGTGCGATCGCCGCCGGCCTCGCCAATTCAACCGCCAAGCCCCGTGTGCTACTCTTGGAGGCCGGAGATGCCAAAGAGGACCGTAATCTGCGTGTGGACGGTCAGCGATGGACCACCTTTACAGACCAGTCCATGAACTGGGGCTTCAAAACTACCCCGCAGCCTGACTGCGCCAACCGGGAAATTGACTACAGTCGTGGCCGGTGTATGGGTGGGTCCAGCGCCATCAACTTCGGCGTTTACAGTGTCGGTGCGCGCGACGATTACCAAGAGTGGGCACGTATCGCTGGCGATGACGACTATTCCTGGCCAAAGATTCAGCGCCGTTTCAAGGCACTGGAGACCTTCCATGGCCAGATTCCAGACGGCATTGATAGCAAGTATGCGGACCCGAAGACCAGACATCATGGTAGTGAGGGGCCTTTGCATGTTGGCTTTGCTCGCGAGTGGGAGCGTGATTTGACTGATGTCCTGGATGTCTTTGAGGAAGCTGGCTTCCCCTTGAACCCGGATCATAACTCTGGAAACCCAATTGGCATGTCGGTTATGATTAACTCAGCCCACAGAGGTCTGCGCTCCATGGCGAGTGACTTGACCAAAGGAAACGGTGATAACTTGACCATCGTTACTGGCGCGCCGGTGCAACGTGTGCTCCTGGAGGGCAAGAAGGCAGTTGGTGTCGAGTCTAACGGAAAGAAATGTAAAACAAAATTGCCCAGCCCCAATTGACCGATTGCAAACTAACATGTATTGCAGACTACGGCAAAATGGAGGTCATCCTGTCTGCAGGCTCATTGAACGACCCCCGCATCCTCATGCACTCTGGAATCGGCCCAGCAGCCCAGCTCCAACAATATCAGATCCCCGTCGTGCACGACGTCCCCGCTATCGGCCAGGGTCTGCGCGACCACTGCTTCGTCCCGATGGTCAACACACGCACCGACACAAGCACGGACCGCAAAGCATTCTACGGCGACAAGGACGCCATGGAAGCCGCCTCAAAGCAATGGCAACAAGACGGCACAGGACCCTGGGCGAAGTTCGCCTGCGAACTAGGTATCGGCTGGTTCAAGCTCGCAGAACAACTCACCTCTTCTCCGGAATTCAAGGCTCTCCCAGCAGACGAACAGAAATACCTCCTCTCAGAGACCGTCCCCCACTACGAGGTCATCACCCACTTCCCAATCCACTGGTTCATCCCTGATTTCCCCGCCGACGCCCTCAACTACTCCTGCCTGCTGGTCTTCTTGTTCAACGCACAGACCCGTGGCGAAGTCACCCTCCAATCCACGGATCCCGATGCCCCTCTCTCCTTCAACCCTAAGTTTTTGGCTCATCCATTCGACCGCAAGTTGGCCATCGAGGCCCTGCGTGACTCTTTCCGAGTCGCCAAGCACGATTCTTACAAGAAGGATAACGTTGCTGAGCTGGCCATGCCAAAGAGCGAGTCTGACGAAGACCTCCTCGAGTACTGGCAGCAGAACATCTCGTCCAGCTGGCACATGACTGGTACAGTGAAGATGGGCAAGAAGGGTGATGCGGATGCAGTTGTTGACCAGGACTTCCGCGTCTACGGAATCGAGAGCTTGCGTGTCGCTGACATGGCTGTCGTGCCGGTGCTGGTTAATGCCCATGTTCAGTCTGTCGCCTATGTCACTGGTGTGACCTGTGCGGAGAAGTTGATCAAGGAGTACCAGCTCAACGGTGCTCCTGTCCGGGCGGCTAAGCTGGCTTAGATATGCATTGGGGGGGAGAAAGCTCGTCCGAAATAGTCGGTTCCTTGATGGAAACTACTAGGTAAATAGCATCAGCCTGTCACGCCCTCTAAGATCGTGAGACAGGATCTCTTCCGAGATTTCAGAGAGCGGGCTGGTAATATATTCAGCATGATACTTGCAACATATCTGTATCGCAGATTTGATCTACGACGATAATCAGTACGAGGAGAACGGAAGACCGTCAAGTAGAGTTGTATGTGTTCTAGTACTCAAACAACCTTGAAATCAACATCAGAGAGACCATAGACAGACAGAAGCAAGGTTCTATCAAACAGAAAGTACAGAAGAAAACACAAAATTATTACGCCAGATCATTAGAAACTCCGGGACCAGTCCCTCAGTAAGTGACAGAAAAGCGAACGGACACCAAGGATGCGATGGCAAGGGATTGTACAACAGGTGAGAACGCCAAGAAAATGGGTCTATACAGCGAATGGAAGAAGGGTAAAGGTGTGAGGCGTGAGGGAGGCGCGTAGATGGGAGAAATTATATGCCACCCCAGCGGTTGCGGAGACCTTCCGACCAGCGCGAGTAGAGAACATCAGTGAGCTGCTTGGTGTGCTCCATTCCTGGTGCTGGCTGGTTGTTTGATGGCGGCGATTGGGGGGTCGGTTCGGGGACATAGGATTGTCGACGGCGGTGGCTTTTGAGGTGTGGGTTATTCTGAGCCAGCACGAGGCGAGGGCGAGATGGAGAGTCGGGTTGGGTAGGTGGGAGGAGGGTGGAGAGACGAGAGTCGGTTTGGAGTTTCTCGTTCATGATGCGGACGATGTGGTACAGGCCTTCGGGGTCGACCATTTCCAGATCGCTGAAGGCTTCAGCAAGGCGAGAGATGGCTTCACGTTTTTCGCCGTCACCAGTAGTTGATAGAACCTCTTGGCAAGAGAGGCCTACGGCTTTGCTGTAAGCGCGCCGACCAATCTGAGCTTCTTTGGTTGAGGAGTCTGTCGCCATGGCTTTGGGACTGACGTTTTCGTCGTAGCCTTGCTTTATTTGAGTTGGCTCTGGGACCCTGTCCGAGACGCGACGGAACTGTCGAACCGTCGACGGACTGTTTCCGTAACTCAAATCCAAACCAAGCGGTTGCTTGATACCACTTGATCGGCGCTTGGTATTAGCGCGTCGGATAGACGGTGATCGATCGGTGGGGGCGCGTCGCACGGTGGAGTTGGCCTGGTGCTTGGGTGGAGGCGGCGGTTGTGTGATATGCAAGTCCTGCATCATTTGTGCAGGGTCGGGCATATTTTCGTCGTCTTCGTCGAATGTCATCCAGTCGGTGCCTCCCTTGGGCTTCCACATGGGAGGGGCCTTGACTGTGTCAAAGACCCAATCATCCTCATCCTCCTCATCCGGTCTAGTCATAGTGTGCAGAGACTCTGCGTAGTATCTTGGGTCTTTGGGCTCAGAACGGTTTCCATCCCAGTCCTGCTTGCGATGGATAAGTTCCTGCAGAGCCTCCACTTTACCTGCATTTCGGATGAACTTGTGTCTCAAGAGCTCCTTCGCGCTGGGCCGCAAGTCAGGATCTTTCGTTAAACATTGTGCGATGAAATCCTTGAATGTGTTGCTGTAGTCGTTGCCCTCCAGGCGAGGAGCGGGGTTCTTCGGAATCAAGAAGAGAACCTTCATGGGGTGGGTGCTGGCGTGCGGGGGCTCGCCGTTGATCATTTCGATTGCCGTGATGCCCAAGGACCAGATGTCAGCCTTGAAGTCGTATCCAGCCTGCTGGATGACTTCCGGCGCCATCCAGAACGGAGTTCCGACGAAAGTATTGCGCTGCGACTTGATGTTGACAAGCTGCGCTGCCACACCAAAGTCTGCTAGCTTCACCTTTCCCGATTGCGAAAGCAAGACATTGGCCGCTTTGACATCACGGTGGATCTTGCCTTCGTTGTGTAAATAGTCCAGGCCCTGAAGGAGCTCTCGGCAGACAATGGCAACATGGGCCTCGTTGAAACATCCTGGTTTCAACTTGAAATGGTCAGCCGGGCAACCTATACAAACAACTGGGGGGATCCTACCAAGTCCAAACATGAGCCACCCCCGAGATATTCCATCACAATCCATAACTTATGGCCTTTGAGGAAACTGGCCTTGTATTGTGTGACGTAGGCGCTCGCGCAGGTGGCCAAAACCGAAATTTCCTGTTGAATTTCCTGGATGTCGTCTTCGCTGGACTCGAGATCGATCTGCAAATGTCAATGATGGGAACCAAGGGCTTGGTCGGATGGAGCGTACGTGTTTGATAGCGACGATCTCTCCGTCAGTCTTGTCAATGGCTTTGTAAACCACGCCGAAACTGCCACCTGCAAACGGAGGTTAGCTGGGGGAAAACGCAGGAACCTTGTTGACACTTACTGCCCAACTCCTCCATCACCTGGTAATGGCTTGACATGTCGTCCGCCATGATTGCGCAAGAATCCCGGAATCGAGAGTGTGGGATACGAATAACAGATAACAATTGGAGACTTCAGAAAAAAGAGAGGAATGCCCGATCATCTAAAGGGCCTAAAGGGGTGGAGCATAAATCCCCCCCAAACAAGCTCCGTCTCGCATGGCAACGGGATGCCTCAGGCCACCAACTGGGGTATATCGTTCCAAGGTTCTTATGCAAGGGTCCACTATACCGATCTGCCTTTTCAAGTAATTATGCTACTTGCAGTAATACTACTTGCAGTACTTCATTGGTAGCGGTGAGCCCAATTAATTTGATTTTCATTTTGTGCTGGCTACATTCTAGATGTACTTGTACGGGTTCATGATACCATTCTAGTGGGAAAAAAAAAAACAGGTTAGCAATTGGCCATCGTCTACAATTCCCGGGAGACAAACTTACAGGATCATAAAGGTTCTTCAGCTGCTTCATCAGCTTGACCATGGTCTCATTCTGGCTGTAACCAATGAATTCCCGCTTGGCAACACCGAGCCCGTGCTCTGCGCTGATGCTGCCCTGGCGTTTCTGGATCCACTCATACACCCAGGGCTCGATGGCCTTCTCCACTTCCTTGTTGTATTGACGCACGGAAACGTTCAAGTGCAGGTTTGAATCACCCATGTGACCGTATCCCACAACAGCGCGCACAGGGAAGGAGTCATCGTCACCCACAAAGCCCATCTCGGTCAGACGAACCTTGCAGTCCTCCACAAGCTGGTACAGATCCGCCAGCGGGATGGAGACATCGTACTTGTAGGTGCCGCCCAGGTGGCTGAGCGACTCGGTGATCCCCTCACGCCAGCGCCAGAGGGCCTGGAATTGGGTCTCGTCCTGTGCCAACACACCGTCGGCGACAATGCCATCACCCATCACGCTCTCCAGGAACGATTCGAGCTTGGCCATGTCGTGCTCGGCGTTGGAGCCGCTGGTCTCCACCAGGCAGTAGAAGGGGTACTCGCCTTCCAGAGGGTGCTTGTTTCCGGTAGACTCAATGACCAAGGACTGACTACAGCCATCCATCAGCTCGAATGCAGACAAAATCTCGGAGAGCTGGCCCTTGGCGGCAAGGTAGGCCTGCTGGACTTGCTCGAAGCTCTCGAGTCCGAAGTAGGCTACGTTGACAGCCTTGGGGCGAGGGGGACATTGGATAGAGACAGCGGTCACCAGACCAATAGTACCCTCAGAACCAATGAAGAGCTGCTTCAAATCGTAGCCAGTGTTGTTCTTACGCAGAGTAGACAGAGCGTCCACGATAGTCCCGTCCGGCAGGACCGCCTCGAGGCCGAGCACGCTACCGTGCAGACTTCCGTAGCGCAAAAGACGCAGGCCACCAGCGTTGGTGGAAACATTTCCTCCAATGTGGCAGGATCCCTTAGCACCCAGGTCGAGGGGGAACAGGTGCTCCCGCTCGGCGAGGTATTGATCCGCAACCTCCAGAATAACACCAGCATCCGCGACCAGGACACCGGAAGCGGCGTCGAAAGAGCGAATCTGGTTCATGCGCGAGGTGTTGATCACGATCTCATCAAAGACAGGCACGGAGCCACCAACCAGCCCCGTGTTTCCACCTTGCGGCACAACGGCCAATTTGCGCTCATTGCAGTACTTCAGCACCTTGCTGACCTCCTGTGCGTTCTGCGGCTTCAGCACAAGCCGGGTGTGGCCACGGTACTTGCGCATCCAATCGCTGTTGAACGGCTCAAGGTCGTCAGCTGCATCGGCGGTCACGCCGTCAATTACGGCGGATTGGGAACCGAGCAGTTCCTTGAAGTGTGCGACATCATCAGCGGAGATCTCGGCGAAGTTGGGGTTGCGCTGGACATTGTAAGCTTCGCTGGTATATTTAATCTGGCGCGAGTCGGAGGTGCGGGTGGAGCTCGAGGTGAAGGTCCGCGTCGTCGAGGTCAAGGGTGTGAACTGGAGGGGGCGCAGGGCGACACGCGGACGAGGCACGCGTGCTCGCCGCAGAGCAGCTGTGAGGTTCCTGGCACTAGACATTGCGAATATACTAGAGGAATAAATTTTGGGTTGAAGGGCCTGTAGGTGGAGATCCCGCTCCGATCTACCCCCGAAGCTCTCGGTGTTTATCGGCGATTCTTTCTGCCGATTGCTTCTTGCGCCATTTTCATGACATTAGCAATGGAGAGATTACAGTCTTCTGAATTGGTTTAACAAGAACCAATTGGAGCTTTTGTTTTTGTTGGCCGTGCTTAAGTCTCTACTTCAATAAGAGAGAGGACCCCCATAGGAGGCTTTATTCTACTCCGTACCTAAACAGCGAAGTATACGAAGCACCCAAACTTTAGAAGTATTGGAACAGTCACCGATATTTTAGAGAAGGGAATCCTTTTTTGTTAGTATGTTCCCCTGGATCTATCCCGCAAATGAAATCAAGTTCTCTAGAAGAAAGTATACAGTATCAAGCTTCTAAAGAAAGTTGGAAGTTACCAAGAAAGACCTTCTTAATCAAGTACTTAAGTATCGATTCCACTATGACGATATGTTCATATCCCAGACTCCCAGTTGGGCTGTCCAAGACAGGACCGACAAATTTTCGCAATATAATCCGCTCAGTGGCCCCAATACAGGATTGACTCTAGGCTCTCGTTGGCTTTTTGGCTGGGAGAAGGTGGTGGATGTATTTCATCGAGGGCATGGGGGTTAGGGCCGATCTAACAACTTTAGAATATAGAAGGTATGCCACATTCCAACAAAGACCACTTGCTTACTTGGGTACTTCAAGGTTGACAGGAATACTCATGGACTATGGAGCAGTCTGCCAGCAAGGCTAGCTACCTGGTGCCTTTTAACAAGTACGTTTGCCAACGTACATCTTCAAGGGGTACCCCCAGGGCTTGGATAGCATTATACTAAGTATAGATCTTGCCGTCGGGTAAACGTGATACTAGTTGAGGCAAGGTTTGGATACAAGTACCACCCGAATCAATACTTCGTACGGTTCTAGAAGACCCAGACCATAGCTCGCCACTGTCTGAGGTAACTGTACGCCGTACCTAGATGTGCATTAGACAAGGGTATGCTCTTACTGGGCCAATGGGGAAGCTCAGGCAGCGATAGGAGTGAGCCAAGACATGTCGAAGAGCCCCAATGCCGATTCGGCGTTGTACTAGCTGATAGTGCAAGTCCTGACGAGGATCTAGAAAGGGCATTGATACTGCGGCTGTACTTCGTGCACTTTGTACAGCATCCGACATGATGCAGGGCCAACTTTACAAAACAAGAAAACACCTGCATGTGCCGTCTGCACTTTGAAGCCCCGCGAAGTGCGGAAAAAGCCACCGGCGGCCAGAAGCGGGTGGCAGTCAGTTACGTCACCGTGGCCCGACTCCTCCAAAAAAAAGAGAAGCAGACAACCTCTAACTTCCTAACCAATTCCAATATGACTTCCACTGTTCTTGTTACTGGAGCTAGTGGCTTTCTGGGCCGTGCTGTCTTCAACACCTTCCAGCACTCCGGTGTGTTGGTCGTTGGGCAGGGATTCTCTCGCGCTGCCCCGCCTACCATCTTGAAAGCCGATTTGGAGAAGCAGGAAGACATTAAGAGGCTATTTGACGAAGTGAAGTAGGCGAATTCGCCCCTATATTGGCAGTACCAGCTACTAATCAACATCACCCCCCGCAGGCCCCAAATTGTCATCCATTGTAAGCCACGAGAAGCCACCCGCGTACCGGAACCTAACAGACCATAGGCGCCGCCAACAAGTCCCCCGACCTCTGTGAGAAGAACCCGGATCAAGCCCGCAGAGTGAACGTCGAGGCCACCCGCCTATTAGCTGCCGAATGCCATTCCACGGGTGCCTTCCTCATCTACATCTCCACCGACTATGTCTTCCCCGGTACCGAAGGCGATGCGCCCTATGAGACCGATGCCCAGACTAACCCTCCCAACCTATATGGCCAACTAAAGCTGGATGGTGAGAAGGCCGTCTTGGATACCATTGACCCCGGTCTGGGCGTGGTTCTGCGCGTGCCTGTCCTGTACGGTAACGCTAAGGAGAACTCTGAGAGCGCAGTGAACACCCTCGTCGACGCAGTCAAGAAGTCCACCCAAGAGGGAGCTGGTGTAAATATGGATGACTGGGCCCAGCGCTACCCCACCAGCACGGAGGATGTGGCACGTGTCTGCCGTGACATTGTCATCAAGTACCTGCGTGAGAAGGAGAAGCGCAAGGAACTACCGCGCATCTTGCAGTTCTCCTCCGAAGACCGGATGACCAAGTATGAGATTTGCCAGAAATTGGCTCAGGTGCTGGGTGTATCGACCCCTGGCATGATTGCCAACAAGCAGGGCAATGATCCCAACGCTGGTGTTGTGCGGCCTTATGATACCCACCTCTCCACCAAGGCGCTGACCGAGCTTGGGATTGACGTCCGGACCATGGACTTCGTCGCGTGGTGGTAAGTGCAGTCTATTTCTGTCTTGGGTAATAGATGTTAATCATTTTGCAGGCGTCGCGAGTTGGGTGCAAATAGGAAATAAGCCAAGCATTTGGCGTTGGGACTCTAGAGAGCCCAAAACCAATAATGGACAAAACATCCAAAACAAAAGACCAAAGCCCAAATGTCGATATGTCAATATGAATGCAATCCAATCACCCTGGCGACCCTGTCACACGTCGCAATGCTTCAGGATCAACGTCTCAAAGTTGATACTGAGCTTGCCACTGAAAAAAGAAAACAACAAACAAGAGCAGACCTGGAGGTGTAGGGGAATATGTACTAAATGTGATTTAATATCGGTCTGAGTAGAATAGATTGCGGATAGGGCTGTGATCGTCTTGTGGGCCTTTTGTAATCGAATCACATTGTGCATGGTGAGATTCAATAGTCCCTGTCGATCCTCAAAGATGCAGAATCATCTTCGAGTTGAGATAGTAGAACTACGTGCGAGTCCAGTGAAAGAAGTCATGGCCCTGGCAAACAAAAGACGTAACTTAGAACGCGCGGCGCGACCGAAAACGTCATTCTTTGACGTGAATTTCCTTTGATTCTCTACGTACTTCGTACTTTGTACTCTGTACGCTGTACTCCGAAGCTCAATAAGTTGGTGAGTCCTATATGATCAGTCCAAACGCACTGCAATTCGTCGGGGCGGCCCGCAGTTTCCAAGGCAGAGAGTCAATTCAGAACGGGACGGTTTGATCGCGACGCCTAGGGGCATGGCAATCTCCCAATCCCACAATTCTCTTTATATTGTGCTACCCTCTGCTCTCAACTACTCGTACTCTTTGCCTGCGATTAACCTTCCTAGTACCTGAGACACTCTTTGAAACACTCGCCCCGGCCCCCAAGGGCACATCCAGACTAGTGAACGGACCACGAGCCAACTATCGTATAGCCGTGCCTACTCTCAGGTCCTCGCAGTTCCCCTGCAAGGGCGACGTCGAGATGGCCGCTCCATCTGTACAGACCAGCATGGGCGAACAAAACCCCTCGATCGCAAGAAGCAGGTCCCGATACCGTCGCAATCGACCGACGACTGGGAACGGCCCACCTCCCACACCCGCCATCTCGGAACACGCGCCCACTCCACCGCGGCAACACGCGAGAGAAAGTCCCCGGACTGCCATTTCTGCAAGGCCCGAAGAGGGAAGCCACGCACGTGATACCCATCGGCAAGATGCGATGAACCAGTTGACGGGCGGGGACGAATCGCAAAAGACTCGTACGCACGTCTCTGCGCCCCCGCAAAAAGTGGAAGCGCGACACAGGCAGCCCCGTGCTGACCCGACGCATCCCCCACGCAGCGCCCAGTCCGGAGATTCGGGTCGGAAATCCTTCTTTCAAAAAGTCAACTCCAAAGTCAGAGAGCATGTCAAAAAGAGCGACTCGGCGCCGAAATACATTGGGGTTGGGGGAACTGGGGTGGTTCCGGGCGTGGATGCCCCTGTCAGCGCGGTGAACGCCGGAGAGCGACATGCGCTGGTGGTGTACGGGGATTCCAAGGCCAAGCTCACGGTCACGCCGTCAACGCGAGTGAAGGATCTGTTATCAGATGCGTCGGAGCATTTGTCTCAGGACATTGATGCCGACAAGTTCATCCTAATGGAGTCCTTTTCCCAGGTCGGCCTGGAGCGTCCTCTGCGCCGTTACGAGCATGTGAGGGAAGTGATGAACTCCTGGTCCCACGATTCTGAGAACCGATTCATCATCATTCCGCCTTCAAGCCTGGAAGCGCTGGCTCAACTTGAAGCTGCACATGCTCCGTCCGAGCAACCGTCTTCAACCAATGTGCATATATACTATTCCCAACGCCCGCGCAAATGGGATAAGCGCTTTGTCACATTGCGTACGGATGGGCAAGTGACGATCTCGAAAAAGGAAAATGCGAAAGAGCAGACCAATATTTGCCATATATCCGACTTTGATATCTACTTTCCAAGTGCTCGGGCTTTGAATAAAGACATCAAGCCTCCAAAGAAGCTCTGCTTTGCCATCAAAAGTCAGCAGAAGTCGTCCATGTTCCTCACCACGGAGAATTTCCTGCACTTCTTCTCCACCAGTGACAGGTCCGTCGCAGACCAATGGTATCGTGCGGTGCAAAAGTGGAGAAGCTGGTACCTTGTCAACAAGCTAGGAACAAGTCAGAGATCCGACGGTGAGACACTACTCCAGCGTTCTGGCACCAGGAGATCCACTCGGCAGAGAAATGTGCAAAATGACGTCCCACTTTTGGATCGACAAAGCTCAACCGAATCCCCAATGCGAAGGAGCTCCGATCTACAGCGACCATCAAGTTCGAAGGATATATTTGCCAAGAAAAGGGCTCAACGTGGACACGTACCTCCGCCATCTTCGTATCCTCACACCCCAACACTTGACACAGACGTGAGTGGGTCTTTCAGCGACAATGAGGCATTGATCTCTGGTGTCTCGCCTGGAGAAGTTGAAGCATCCACCTTTTCCCCAACCAGCCTCCTGGGTCGCACTTACACCCAACGACAAAACGCCATGCGTGAGCGAGATGACCAAGAAAAGCGAAACAAGCAGGACCCGTTCACAACCGGCCTCATGGCTGGAACTCCGTTCGACTCGACCCCAAACAGTCGAAACAACACCATGACCCGAGCTCCAGACCTTTCATCTTTCCATAAGCCTCTTGTCGATCTAACACCCGTCTACGCCGAGCCACCTCAACACAGTCGCAAAGGCAAAGGCCACGGCGTGAAAGTCCAGCCCGGGATGCAACTAATCGATGGCGCCACCGGCCCTGAATTAACTCAAGGTGCCATCTCCATCCCTCCATCGACATCCTGGCGACGCGCAGAGGTTCCTCAACGCCGTAACACCACCCGCAGTGTGCGCGAGCAAGCCCCCTACCCCGTCCCGGATGCACCGTCACCGAAAGATTTTACCCCAAACAGTCTGCTCGCGCATTCGGCTAGCACAGCCACACCGAGGAAACAGAGAACAGGCCATGGCGTTGCTACGGGTGATCGCAATGCCACAAAGCCGCTACTGGACATGTCGCCGGAAAATCCTTTCGCGGATGGCAGTCTGCTGCGGCAGCTATGATCTAACTACGGCATAACGCCTATTTACGCCAGCGGATTGCTCATGTTTGTTAGATATACCCAAGTTATTTCAATTGAATGCAATTAACATCCTATCTTTGATCAAAATCAATACCTAGGGGCCAATAACTAGCAAACTTTCGGACGTCAATCTTGACTCGATTCATCGCATAAAAGCAAAACTTCCGCTTCAAGTATAAATAAAAAGCAAATACCAAGCATGGGAGAGGGGTTGGAGTGTGGTCCTGAAACAGCACTCAATGTCAGTGGAAAAGGTGGAAAATGTCGAGAATGTCGAAAATGTCATCGAAAATGTTATCGTGAACGTAGTACGCAGTCTGATCACCAGAGCTCTGCTGGTTGTCATCGAAAATGTCATCCTGAACGTAGTACACAGTCTGACCACCCGAGCTCTGCTGGTCTTGGGCTTGAGCCTGAGCCTGAGCTTGAGCTTCTCGCTGTTTTATTTGTGCTTCTTGTTCCAGTTGAGCATCATGTTCCAACTTCCTGGAAGACACATAGACCTTGAAGCTCTTGAATTCCCAAAATGCATCATCAAAACTGCCAGGATTCATCGCCACAAAGTCCGAACAAGAACCAGGACAATGATACATAGTATCATAGTACTGTTTCTGAGCAGCAAGTTCACCACATAAATCGATATTAGCAATGATACTCTGATTCCTGAAATGGGCCCCAATGTCGCATTTCGTACCGGGGAAGTCGGCCAACGCAGTTCCCCATTCCGAGGGGTCAGGATGATTATCGATATTTCGGGGAATGGAATCTCGACGGAAATACCACGCTCGGATCCCCTCTCTGCGCAGCTCGAGCGCATACACGCCGCCACCATTGGCATTCATCGCTTGGCCGTATGTGGACTCATTGCCCAGGATACCACAGCCTGCATTTCCGTGATTAGTGTCGTCACACTTCTTCGAGAGGATCTGTCCGGTCTGTTTGCGCTTGACGTTCATCGAACATCCCTTCGTGGTGTGAAGAGTTATTTCGTTTCCATGGCTTCCTTCATTGGTTGTTTCCAGAACGTCGATCTCGCCATTCGATGGCCAGTTATAGCCGTCTGTCAACCACAGCGCTGGCCAGGTAGCGCAGCCGAAGGGTGTGTGGATGATATCAAAGATGAAGAGGCCTTCATCATATGTTTTCTTTGATTCGATGCGAACCGAGTTTCGGCCGTGCTGTGTGTTGCGGGTTTTCGTATCCACCCGCAGGATTGCGGAGGATTCTGTTGCGTGGGTGAGGTTCAGGTTCGTGGCTGTGGTCTGGTTGACGTATATCACAAAGCCCTTTGTTGGGTCCTCTTCTGTGAAATAGTTGAAGTGATCGAAGAAGGTTGGTCCCGAGTATTCGTCGAGTAGTGTATACTTCAAAGGTATATATTTCGGATACCGGTTCTTGATTACTTCGATTGGAACCACGGTGACAAGCAAGATGATCACGATAAATATTGGCAGATGGACCTTCATATACAAGGGCCAGGTTCGTGGGTTATACCAGGGAATCCTCTGTGGCGCCGCTGCTCGGGTTGTTGTATTCGCAATCGGAGTCGGAGATTTGAACTCGTACAGGGCGTAAGCGGGTGGTGGGCCTTGGTCTGCCATGTTGTCCATACTGACAGAATCTGTATAAATAAGATGAAGAAGAAATGCTCAAAGTGCAAGACACTCATGCTCAAGGCTATCGTCATGAATACCCTGCGACTCTGTTCCTGGAATGGACACTAAGCCGTCTCGGACCCATGGATCACCTCACTCTAAACGACTTAGCTCCAATGTTATTTCAACTTTGCCCCACAATTACCACATGGAGTGGATCGGGTAAGTCGAGCATCTGATAGCTCACCATGGAATACACACGCCAATCGCAAAGGGCTCCTAGGAGAAAAGTGAGCATCCAAGTTAGCAGTGGACAGGAGGTACTCCATAGAAGAGAATAAGAAACAGCGTTGGATACAATACCTATACCCGGAGACTACGACGCTCAAGCTCGTGGAAAATGGCTCACCCAAGGTAAATCCCACCAAACCCAAGGGAAGGATACCCGCAACTCCTTCTGGCACGCGGAACATGGACTTGGCGATATGGAAGAAGAATTCAATAAGTATTTTCAGAATAATGATAGTATGTATATGTGCGCACAGCAATAAAAGTAAGCCGCCATAGGATATATGTAAAACGCCCAGCCTAGATATGCATTAACAAAAGCTAAATGTCCACCCATTTTCTACCGGTTAGATCGCATAGTTGAAGAACGCTGCACAAGGGATGGCGTAGTTTGAGCAGGATTGACCTGCCAGTCATGGGTTTCCAGACCTGAAGACAGGCCAGCATCATGTCTCGCTTGAGAAAGGGTACGGGATTGGCTAGGACCGAAAGATCGGGCCTGTGAGAAGGATCCACCACCACTTAGATTCGAGGCTCTGCGGCGCATGCGACGCTCGCCCTCCTCGACTTCGTGCCTGTTGAGGGCGTCGGAGGGGAGAAGAACGGCCCTGTCCAGTGCGTAGGGTAGGCCACGGTGACGACCGCGGAGTTGCATGGCAATGATGACAAGCTTGGAGACGACGTTGAACTGCCCGGAGAATGAAGTGTTGACCCCGGTATAACCAAAAGATAGACCGACAGTTCCATAAGCGGACACCACCTCGAACAAAACGGTAAACAGCTGGAAGGAGTAGTCTCTATCCTCTTGCAGCCGGCCTCCTTCTGAGATGGCAATGATGAAGAGCCCCAAGAACACGTACCACAAATCGAAACTCAACTGTCGTCGCAAATGAGCTCCGATGTAGGTGGGGGCGTTGGTTTCCTCATCGTGGTCTTCGTCCGCGGCGTCGTAGATTCCCAAACTCTTCTCTTCGTACACATTGGTTCGACGCATGGAGATAGCGATAGGGAACACTGAGATATACATCATGATCAGGTAAGAGACTTGAATTGCCGGATGCAATTCTGATAAACTGATGATTCCAAAACCGGCCGTTCGTGTAGCAGCTGCTTGGAAGAACCCATCGACAACTCGAATACCGGGGGATAGCGAAGTAACGGCGGAATCTTTGAGCTGCATAGTAGTGGTTAGTAAGGGAAAAAATAAGAAGGGTTATGGAAAACTTACATCCAGGATCACAAAGAAGATGAGATCAATACCGTTCAAGGCCACCAAGATCGCGAACAACCACCAGGTGGCATTTCGAGGGAAAAGGAGGGTGAAACATCGACGAGGATGGTCCAAAAGGAACTTCAGCTCCTCCCAAAGCGCAGAACCCTGGCGAGTGAATTTCGAAAGGACCCAGATCATAAGCCGAAGCATACACGGGAACGCAGTGTTGCCAATAATGATCAAGAATGACAGCATCAATAACGGGAAAATAGCCGTTTGGAAAGAGTACATCGAATCGGGAGTCAAAGTAAAGCCCAGATCGTTGAACGCAGACGCGGCAGTGAAAATTCCCCACCACGGCCGCCCAACTCCAGCGTCACGAACAACATCACCCCATTTGTTTTCTGTCATGATCCATCCAATCATGCTCAGCAAACCGATAAGATGGAAACCAACATAGTAGGTGATGAGAACCACGGCCAGAGTCTTCAGTGCGCGGTATTCAATACCACCGAGCTCGTCACGCTGCTCTTCAGTCAAATCCACGAAATTGGAGTTTCGAGTCACGGTCGCATTCCAACTGAGATACGGCGCGGTGTTGAGATCCCGCTCCTGCGTTAGGGACCGGAAAATCCCCTTGAACGTATTTTTGGTTGTGGTAGGTGCGAGGGTCGTAGTTTCGTTACCGTCCTTGGTCTCTCGGAAGGTGGGCCGTGTGTCTAAGCGCGGGAAGGTGTTACCGCGAGGTCGAGTTCTGGGGATGTCGGGTTCATTGATGGTAATGTGTGGTCCTTCGAGGGGACCAAGCTGATCCTGGCCCTCGGGGTGATTTGCAAAATCAGTGTGATCGTCGGGGCCCTGAGGCTGCTCATCCTCCGCGTCCGCTTCTTCCTCCAGAGCCTCGGGCGCACCGCCCCGATCATACTCCCGAGGACTGGGGATGCGCAGCGCACCTTTATCCTTGCGCTGCTTTTCCAAGAACGCGATATGATGCTCAGGATTGAGATGGGTTGGCACTTTCAAACTGCCCAGACCGAAACGTGGCTCATTGCTGGTATCTGTGTCCTCGTCGCTGGAATTCACACTTGCGGTTCGCGCCGGGGTGTTGATCCCGGAATCGACGTTTTTGCTGGCCGGATCCGTAAGGCGGCCGTCCCGCGCATCCCCCTCATCATCCCGAATCACCACAATCGGCCGCCCGCTTACTCCCAGTTCTGCCCGGTTGACATCTTCGCTTTGTCTGTCCTCGGTCACGGTGTCCATTCGAGAGCGGGTTCGTCGCATTGCCCGAGCGTCTCGGACCACATGTTGGAAGCGCTTCTCGAACCAGTATAGTCGGATAAAAACCAGGGCGCTGTGGATGAAGATCGGAGTACATAGACATGTAATCAGGTATAGGAAAATCTGTTGGTAGAGTCGGAGTCCGTTAAGATCGACGGTGTTCAGTCCGCTCTGGGTGGCGGCGCCGGCAGCTTGGAAGAGGGCATCGATGTAGCGAATATTGCCGCTGGGATAGAGAATAATGGATCCGAGGATAGCCCAGGAGATGATGTAGGCGTAATGGAGGAAAATGAAGTTGAGGTGTAGCTCATTTAGGATGGGAATCTTTTCCTTGATGGCCGTCGCTCGACGCAGGAAGGCCGAGAACATGGTGAGCAGGCGAACGCGACCAGACCGAGGTTTTCGGGCCTTTGGCCGAGTCGAGACGAATTGCTCTTTAAAGGAAGGAAATTTTTCGAGCCTGAAGAGGTTATCAGCTTGCACGCTCGACCCCATGGTGTACGGAGTACTATACATGTGGTATTGTCGATCGCTACCGGAGAGTTTGGAAGTTTCGATTGCAGGTCAGAGGTCGCCACTAACCGCGTGGCATTGAGCCATCGGCGACCTGATATAGGGAAGAAGAGGTGAAAGAAAGCAGAGAAGGCATTGTAGTGAAAAAGAAGATTAAAAATAATAACCAAAGACGAAAGAACAAAAAAAAAAAAACGAAACAAGAAAAATAAGAAATCCGATAAGAGAAAATCACGCATGCGGGAAACGTTACGGTACGGTATTGTCATCTGTCTCCGAAACGTGGGCTTTGTCGATCGTTTTGTCCTCTTTCGGTGTGGCGAAGCACTTACACTTCCTGCTTTCAGCTCTATGATATTCGAACTTCGATCTGAAACACTTTGTCATTTGACAGTCTCATTGCCAGCCAAGCTTTACATGCTACGGATTACCCCGTTGATTCGGTCTTGGCACTATTCAATTCTATACATCTGCGTCGACTCGTATGTGCGTAGATAAAAAGTGGCGGTGGAGGCTAGAACATCACATACACTTGGCAATAGAGTATGACGAAGAGATAAAATTACTCGGCCAAGCAAACTGCTCGTACTCCGTTTCCTTGATAATTGGAGCTGCCTGGAAATAGGGGAGACTCCAGATCTCGGCCCACTTTTCATTCCGGCTATGTCGTGGCCCGTTCCTAGCACCCCTGTGTCTTTAGGGCTGCCAAAATCCTCATTCACAATGCAGTGATTGGTCTTTTTCTTGGCGCATTCCCCATCAACCGCCGCCCTATACTTGGCACTGGATGCCTGCAGTTGCCAATGATTTATCGACATGTCCAAAGCACGTCTTCCGACTCGCATTCTTGTTGATTTTGGTCGTGAAAGAGGCGTCTGTATATCGCCCTTTTGGGAAAATGTGACTGAGCGGCTCACCCGGCATTGCATGATTTTGATTTTGATTTGATTGTGCTTTATTTTTGGCTTTTTCTAAAAGGTAAACTCTTTCATTTCCGTACAGTCTCAGGTGATCGGTACTTAAGTATTTATACATACCACTATGGCTTTCTTCGGGTTGCCAAGCGGTGAAGGGAAAACGATGTATGGTTTTTGTTGATACACAAATAATAATAATAATAATCTGAAAAAAGAAAGGAAACCTCAAGATTTCTCATTGTTATGTCTGTTCGTGTGGCTGATGTGGCTGAAATGGCACGTCTCGAATACGGACCAAGACCGCCTTTGATCTCGGTAAACCGAGTCGCATTAATTTCAAAACCAGCGACATGTTCGTGCTTGATACCGGCAGTCTTGAACACAAATCAGCTTACTGGACTTACGGTTGAGTCTGGTTTACAATCCAACCGGTCCGGATCGTGAGGTTTGTCAACCAACGTTTGCATCTCAGCCTCACAATGGCAATACCCTCATCCTATCTATAGACGTGTTCTGAAACAATTTTATGTACTCATAATTGAAACTTCAAAATCTTGGAAAATTGGTTCTATTGTGGTTTCGCGTTTCAATGAAAGTAGCACGAGACATAGGGAGTACGGAATAGGCCAGCAACAATGGCCATTGAAAGCGTTTCAGCTGCCTTCAAACCAAGGGGGCCGTGTATCACTGAGGAACTATACTTGAATAATGACGACTATGTGTTTACCATCCATTGATTGAAACTTGGCTGTCAGATCCAATATGTGGTTGTCTTTGTGAGAATATATCGGCCACGGCGCCAAGTGCAATCTGACCGATCTAGTGACTTCCTGCTATATCGCAGCTTTCTTTGATTCAATCTACGAATAGTTCCTTTTATGGCCTAGCCTCCGATCTAAGATCGAGGGCTTTCAGAAGCTTTGACGCACGAGGTGGTTCAATGGTCATGTATCGGCCTGGTAACGCCAAGTTGGTAAATGCATATAACCAGTGTATAAAGGCATAGATCAAGGACAAAGCAGTTGTGCGATTGATGAAAACAATGAACCTGTTGGCCTTGTCTATTTTGATACAAATTTGAAAGCCCAAGGGCGTCCTACTCAGATCCGCAGATCGGCTTTTCCAAGCACCCTTTGACTCCTTTGACTCCTCCATTGATATTCTCCAAGGTGATCAAATCTGTGGATTGTGACATCGGATTAATGTATCGTGTAGCCGAGTCTCGTAGAGGGTTAAACATTAGTCTCATTCTTGTGTCTAGTATGCCATCGGAGAATTTGAGCACGGCCACGAGGCGTTCATCGCCGGTGATACCACGCACAAGCATCCGGGAGAACAGATGTACAATTGCAGCGTTTCGAGCGTTATGTGAAGTTGGTACTAACGCAATAAGAAACATTCCTTGGCCCAAGTCGAACAAGTTGGCCGACTTTGACAGGTAGATTATGAACTTGGACACATTTGGATGAAAAGGGCGGAAACCTTTCCAGGGGTGTCATAAACAAGACCTGGGATTTCTCGGCGAAGGACCAAGTCATCAAAGTAGCACGCAGATCTGTTCCGAAACTCTCTGTCTCATATCTTGTTATCTTTCTGATTGCAACTTGACAAGCCATAAGATCGATATAGTGGCGTATCACTTTGACTTCGAGATGTAAATTTCTATACATCCATTTGGACTGGGTTGGATGAACCCGCCGCCATAGCCATAAGCTCCCCCGTGAGGCATCGGCCCATCGCATTTCTCAACAAGCTCTTTCATCCACTTGACACAAGGTTGGGTGAAGTCGAAGGCCGATTTCGCGGAACATCCCGACTGATCTTGCGCATAAGATCCCCATGCCACAATCCCTTTCGGCGAGACGTAACTTCTGAGCCCATCATCCGGGTTCAAAATTCTCTGGCTACAGAGTGCATTGAGTGCTTCTTGCCACTCTTGGACATCGAAAGATTGAAAGTGGCTATTTTCGTTGTGTTCGCGGAAACAGTACGGTTTTGTGGTAGGTGACATTGTGGGATAGGGTCTGGTGTTGATAGTTTGCATTGGTGATCGTTCGACTAGACCCCCTTTTTCGAGGACGTTCCCGTCGTCTTCGCAGGTTCCGCTGGCAGTGGAGGAGGCAGTGCCATCGCTGAGCGCTTGGCAAAATACCAGGAATGACAGTGAAATGAAGATTAACTGCCAAAGAGACATTCCGGTCATTGTGATATTATGAAGAGTTGTTAAAGAAAAAAAATCCTTCCAACAAACCAAATCGCAGGACTTGACGGGCCAATTCCTGTCGATCGGTGGATGGTTTCGAACAGGAAAATTTACTTATGTTGGAATGGCACATGCAATGGCACTGAAACACCACTAGGCCGTACCAAATGGCATCAATCCGTTTCAAGGCAGATACATTAATAGTAAAGCCGGATCAGACCCGGAGTTCATTTTTATCTGGAGGGCTACTCCGTACTTCGGTAACAATGTCCAGTTTCAGCTCAGGGTCCAAATTCAGGGCTACGCAGTGTAGATTGATTGGACCAGATTGATTAGTCATTCCAAAATAGGCTTAGGCGGTTTCTAAGGTTAAGGCCTAGCCCGGACTATCTTTCTTCCAAATGGCATACAGGCTCTCATAGATGAACTGCTGCAATGGATGACTCTTTGCCGAGAATTGAGATTGTATCATAATTCAAAACTTCCCAGACTAGATTGAGAATGACCGTCCTTCAATCCTTCAATACATCAAAATAAAGGCCTCTCATAAAGTGTATTTAAACAAAGGACTCCTTTCCTCCATATCCCGAAGCTGATCTTCGGTATATTTCTCTTCAATCTCAGATGTTGTCATCGATGCATTCCTCTTGTTTGCATTCCATAGAGAATACTCCAACACAAGAGCAGCCAAAATCCCAGTAGCGGTGAATGCAAGTGAGGTGCCATAGCCAGTAGGATATTGCGGGCGCTCGTCAGCTTTGTAAATAAAGCTTCCCACTATACCTCCCGCATTACCGAAGCAGATGAGATAGCCGATGGCGACAGCGCGCTTGTGTGGATTTGGGATGTTGCAAACATTCCAAGCGTTGACACCGGGGAGAATCGGGTACATTCCGAAGCAAGCGAGACAGAGACAGAAATAGCACAATGCTATATTGTCATCTATATCGGCCGCTTTGGAAAACAGGATACCAAATGCAACAATCAGCGCACACTGAGGTATCAAGATGAAGGGCATCCTCCAGGAAGACCGATCAGCAAATACAGAAAACATATAAGCCGATATAGCACCGACAGCATAAGGGGGAATAGTCAAAAGCTGTGCATTGGCTGATTCGTATCCCATGGATTTAATCACGTCTGGCATGTTGAATTTGAGAGCGTAATTTGGCACGGCGTTAGACCAGTTCGCCAGAATGAGAAGATAAATCTTCCAGTCGGTAAACACATTCCATAGTATACGCTTGTTAAAGCCTTCATGGGCACTGTGTCCATTGGAAGCTTGTTGGCGAGCTTCAAGGTATCGGATTTCGTCCGAGCTTAGCCATCCTGGAGATAGCGAGGGAGAGTCTAAGAGCAGTAAGTAGCATGCGACAGCCATCACAACCGTGGCAAGGCCCTCTATGATGAAGATCTGATGTGAACATCAGCATTGGGATGCAGCAAGGTTGGTAAAAGAGAGACGAACCCAGCGCCAGCCTTCGTATCCTGCTGTGCCATCCATTTTGGCAATAGCAAATGCGAGAAGACCAGAGAAAGCCCCACCAGATGCCGCAGAAGTATAGAGAATCGCGATTCGGGTCTGTGTCTCGTTCGGAAGGTACCATTTTGAAATCACGAGCACAGCTCCGGGTAAGAACCCTGCTCTATGCAAGTGTTAGAAGAATGATTGTTGAAGCTGAAGGGGGTGATTACTCAAAAAGGCCCAATAGGAAGCGAATCACCACCAAGCCAGCAAAGTTTTGAACGAAACCCGTGCACAACATAATGACACCCCAGCAGAAAATCAAGAGTCCCAAATATCGTGATGGTCTTTTGAGACGATTCAAAATAATATTGCTTGGAACCTCTGCAACACGTCAGTAGGGCGGATGAATCTTCTCTCAGGTTAACCGACCAGCAAGAACATAGGGTATGAAGAAAATAGACAAAGCGATGTTGTACTGTATACCGCTCATATGAAGACTTGGAAGAAGGCCCTCGATTTTAGCATTTCCTATAACGAGTGAGCAGAAGTGTGATGTAAGCTTTCAAGTCGGCATACCAATGTTCGTCTTGTCGATATATGCCACCAAATACAGGAGAACAAACATAGGAACGAGTCTCATCTATAACGAAATTTAAACGAAGTCCTTTGGGGCGAGTAAAGATCAGTTCGAGCGGATACATACGTCAACCTGTGAGACCTGTCAGCGATACTCTTGCTACATACGGCTGTCCAAGATACCACTCACCTTTTTGATGACTTTCTTCTTAGCTTCATCAGGGAAATTGGTCAAGAATTCAGCATCTTCGGCGGATATTCCATTACCAGGTTGGTTTTCCAGGTGCATTACCGCGGCGTCTTTCTCAGTCATTGTGATCGGGATGTTTAAAAGAGAGTTTGAGGACAGTGCCCAGACAGAAACAATCGTAGATCTCTAGCCAAGATGTAGTTCCCAGGATACCCCGTGGGGTATATGTAGAATGGCTAGTGGCCATGGTAACCGAACAAAGAGCGCTAGTAAAATCTGGGCGACCCCGGACTCTTGCATTCTGACAGCCTTTTTCCGTGAAATCCGATCTCGGCACCCCAACGTTGGGCTAAGCTTAACCCCGGAGGTGCCAACTGCCGGACCTTGGGACCAGATCCACCTTAGGTAATTGCGGGGTAACAAGTCGGGGAAACAGAGTCTGGGTCTGGTAGTGGAAAGAAAGCCTTCGGAAATGTTAGCTCTGTCTGAGGGGATGTAGGATTCAACATACCGATGAGTCAAGAGTCTGCCAATCGCTGAACAGAAAACCGTCCAGTACGTTCGTCATTGCATCCTCCTGGAGCAAAACTTGTGCATCAGACCCGAGCAGGTCTGCGTTCTGCACTGACGAGGATCCAAAGTCTAAGTTTGTGTTGACCTCAACGTCTTGATTACCATTCTGGAGGATAGTATGATGTGGATTGTGCCTCATGAGACGACATCTCAAAGCTTCGGACCTCAGTTCATCGAGTATTACGCTGTAGCGTTGATTTGGGGAAACACCTGCAGATGCTCCGTTGAGATGAACGCGGCATCTCTCTGCAAGATCAAAGAGTGGTCCCAGGCTTTCATCATCCATTGCATAGGTTGGCCGTGTAGTACGTTGGATTTCCCAGACATAGACCACTGCCAATGCACAAAATATCACATAATGTGTCCACCAAAATGAATACAGTAACGTGGTGTCCCCTGCCATCTTGTTGACTAGCTCTAGGCTGGCTTTGGTGGCAGACAAACACTCGGTGACACTTTCCGGTGCTGCTTCACTCAATAGGAAGGGCCGATTGGTGTGGATGAGAGCATGGAAATATGCTAGCTGCAAAGCAATGGCTTGACGTCGGAAATTGGGAATCAATGTAGATGGCTTCACAGTACCCAGATGTGGTGGTAGGCTTGCGCGCCATTCGTGGAGCTCGCGGCCTAGCCGATGGGCAGCTGCCAGGCGGTGTTCGTGAGACAGATCGTTGACCGAGTATACTTCTCGTGATACTGTTCCTATTATACGCGCAATCCTGCGATGAATTAGGGAGTGAACGACACAAAGGCAAGGGTTCATACATACTGTGCGTGGGATATGAGACCATCAATATAGCAGTCGGTAGAATCGTCCGAAGCAGTAGGTCCTTGAGGCATCATATCTTCGTCGTTCACGCTATCTGGAAAGTTCTGATCAATGTCTTCATCCTGATAAAGTCGAGGTCGACCGAAAACCACACTCAGGTATTTATCCAATATGTAGGCAACCCAAAATGTGCGTTTGAAGCACTCCGAAGAGATGTAGTTCTGGCGCTTGCTGTTGAAAGGGAAATCCCGTTTCTGATCGCGTCTCCTGTGCATGCCCATCGAGAGTGTGATGTGAAATAGGTTTCCAAATTTGTACCAGCCTTCATTCATACGAGCCGTCTGAAGAAGATAGAGAACCTGAATCAAGCGGGCCTGTGCTGACTCGAGGCGCGGAAATCCCATCTCGCTATCGATAAGTTTCGTACCGGCGCAGAACAATCGATCACTTTGTCGCAAGGTATTCACCTCGCCCTGTGTGTTGCTTTTGTTCACTTTCTCATGGCGCAGGGTTGCGATGGCCATTATGGTAAGAAGAATTGCAGTCCTTGAACTGCCAAGTGACCAGTTCAATGGCCTTCCATCTTGCTGGTCCTTGAGAAACACCTCCATCCATCTCTCAACTGTCTGTTGATGTAGTACTCGATAGGTGACCACACATGTTTCAAAATAGAATTCCTGTAGCTTTCTCGCCGCTGAAGCATCCGGCATGAAGCTTTCTGACGGGTCATCATCAATACGAAACGGCCGATCCCCGGCCGAAGTAAGTGGTTGGGTTCGCTCTGTCTCATGAGAGTCATGGGATGTCGAATCATCCTTTTGAACTAACAATTTCTTCCACGCGCGATGCAGAAAGTTCAAACCCGAGGTAGGGTCAAAATATTGACCCTCGACCTCTTGTTCGGGCGAAGCGCGAGACTCAACCTGTGGAGTTGAAACATTGTAATTAATGGGTTGTTGGTGATTCCAGGCGTCAAGTTCAACCGGTCGGTCCGCTTGTTCCTGCCGGTGATCGGTCGTCGCGGTTGAAGACTGTGGAGTCGGCGGCCGCCCTCGACCATATTTGGCGTCATACGCGCAACTGAGCTTCCTCCTGGCACAGTTGTTGCATGGAAGTGTACCGTCACATCTGATCTTTTTTCGCTTGCAAGTGTCGCAGGCCCTGCTGATTTTAGGGTCTTTCCGCCGATTTTCGTCATGTATTTCCTCGCTGGTTCTGGTCAAGGGGCGTTTGCCAGACGTGGCTCGTGAAGATTCGGATTCGGATGCCAAAAGTGTCTGGGGAGGTGACCCGGAGGACATTATCGTGTGCAGATACCTGGAATTCACGCACCATGCGAAGCAAGGAGTCTCGGAGGATGGACGGAAATGCCGGATCGGAGAAAGGTCCACGGACTGCGGGGAAAACGCGGAGTATAGCCGGACTTCTAGGAAACACTATCTACCAAGCACCTCTGCATACGCAATAAATATACTCTGTAACTACTTAAGTATGTTCGGATACAGATAAGAGATAGATTTACGGGCTTTACTAGCAACCGAGCAGAGTTCTGGCTGCTTCAGTAAAATTGGACAATGGAAATTTGTAAACATTCGTGCTCTATTTCGTGTATACAACCAGTCACCGTAACAGGTTTCAAATATGACTACAGAACAATCTTGCAGAGAGATGCAGCATTAACAGCAGCGTGAATTTCCTGTTCCGCACCGTCCTCCAGCGGCAAGAGAGGGGGGCGCACAGTTGCATGGGTCAGGATTCCCCGGGCAACGAGCGCATGCTTAAGCGCCACAGTGCCCTCCATATGAGATCCACGGTGATAGACACTCTTAGTAACCGGTAGGAGTTGATCATGGATAGACCGAGCCTTCTGGTAATCTTTGGCTTTGCCGGCCTTGATAAGTTCGATCAGAGGCTCCGGTGCAATGTTGCCATATCCGACCAAGAACCCGTCAATATCGAATGAGGTGTGCAGAAGGTATTCATCGTGGCAGGAAAGGATCTGGAGGTCTGGTCGCTGCTCGCGAATGACTGGGATTTCGGTGTCCCATCGGCGCATGTTGCGCACGCCATTCTTCATGGCAAAGCAGCCGGGTTGGGCGGCGATGTCAAGCATGGTTTGGAGGTTGTAGGTAGCCTTTGTGTTATCGGGGTATTGGAAAAGAATCAATGGGAGACCGGAGACCTCGTAGACTCGGCGGTACCGATCCTGAGGCGCACCAGGCTGGTATCCGAAGCGCAGCCAGCCGTGGGAAGGGTAGAGGAGGCCAGCGGCTGCACCGGCTTCCTTAGCACGCTTAGCCTCCAGGGCAGCCACTTCCGTACCTTCACCGGTAATTCCGGCGATGATGGGCACTTTGTTGTCCACTGATCTGACAAACGCCTTGATGACGGAGACTTGCTCGTCAACGGTGAGGAAGGTACCCTCGCCAGCGTGACCAAGGACCACGAGACCTTTCACTCCGTCGATACCACCGAGCCAAGATCCAAGTCGCTGGATAGCTTCATAGTCCACAGCCCCATCTTCAGTGAAGGGGGTGACCGGAGCTGGGGTCAAACCGCGCATATCGAAGCCGACCATTTTGTTTGTTTTCGTGGATGTGAAGTTGAGATGGATTCGAAGGGTTATGATGTGTGCTGTTGAATCTCAACTTTGCGAAAAGGCTTCCTTTATCTCTTTTGTCAACAAGTGATCCTATGCCCTTGGACTTGGCGGGGGTGTTGTGAGAGAGTATCGGACTTCCGGAAACGCGGAAATGCGTCGCGCATCGCCATATTGGGGTTCACCACACTCACCAGCCTCCCGAAAGTCACCCGGATTTCACGGCGTTGTGATTCTTGGCCTGATTCTAATCTTGATGCCCTTTACGGAGTATAGTAGGTATCAATAGTTCTGCCAGTTATTCTGGTTATTAAAGTAAAGAAGCACTAAGCCTAATTGGGTAAACAGAGCTGGTTTTTAAAAATGCGGCAGTAAGCTTTCTAGACCATGAGAATACTAGTTCTGGAAAGAGAAATAGAAAATGCGATCAGAAGAGGGTAAGTTCAGGGGAGGAGGTATTCAGGAAGAGGTAGTACTACGACCTGTAGGGTGTGGATGCATCAATCTCCTATATTTGCCGCTCTGGGGAGAAAGCCCTTCACCAAATTTCACCAAATTCTTTTGTTTTCCTTCCAAACAGAATACTACTCGAATGTGGATAGGACGATGGTCGATTAACAAATTCTGAGACACGCACGTCAACCGTTAGTGATGACAGCACACAAGGTAACGTGTGAAGCCCGTCCTGGAGGACCAGCTGTGTCTACAGGTGTCCTGTTTGACCCCAAGACACTGAGATATCATTCAACCAACTCAAATGACCGAGTCGAGATGCCTTGGTTGTATGAAGTATCGGTCATTCGACATTTGGGTACTGTCCAGCACACTTAAAACAGACAGGGCATAACCTTGGAAGAACCATTTACGTACTCATGCTATTCAGTCTGCCTTGCAGTCTTTTGTATTGACTTTTTGAGGGGACTTTTGTCAAAAGTCGGATGTCTCATGCGAAGGTCATCCTGCTGTCTTATCCTACATGCTCATAGTATCATATCCACGGATACCACCACCCATTCCAGTGGTCACATCTTAATGACAGTTATATTAAACCCTTGCATCATCTTTACTACATGTCTGTTGCAATGCGGAGCCTTGTCTATCAAACAGAATATTTGCACGTTTCCAACAGGCACGATTCGATATGGTTCGTGTGTTGGGAATATCTATAGGACCACAGATTGCGTGGGCTCTGGCCACTTTGGTGGCTCTCCGATTGACAGTATTCAAGGTGAGAGGGGTGGTTCCGGACGTGCCGGTAAGTCACGCTATCTCCTCATCGCCGGCGAGCACCAATTTCACACCACCCTTTTACACGAGCGGTCGGCATATCCTGGACTCTGAGGGTGAGCCCATCAAACTAGCAAGCATAAACTGGTATGGAGCCAGTGACGTCAACTTTGTTCCATCGGGACTAGATGTTCAGCATCGAGATGAGATTGCCCAATTAATCAAGCGGCTCGGGTTCAACAGCGTCAGACTGCCATATGCCGATGAAGTCGTTGTCCGAAATCCTGTGGTGAATAGGTCTCTCCTCTCTGCGAATGAAGACTTACTCGCATCTACTACTGACGTTGGCAAGCCTCGTGCGCTGGAGGTATACCATGCTGTGGTGGAGAGTCTGACAAAAGCCGGAATCATGGTGATTGTGAACAACCACATCACACAGGCAACGTGGTGCTGCGGAATCGACCCGTGTGATATTGTCTGGTACAACGACTGGCTCGCTGGTGGGATCTTTTGTCGTGTACCCCAATCCGAAGAGCAGTGGATTCGCAACTGGGAGACCATAATGCAACCCCTGGCGAAGAACCCACTCGTCATCGGTGCGGACTTGCGAAACGAGCCGCGAGGGCTTTGGGGAACGCTTGACTGGAACGACTGGGCAACAGCAGCTGAGAGGGCCTCGGAACGCTTATTGAACATCAATCCAAGCTGGTTGATGATTGTTGAAGGGATCTCATCGGCAAATGATCTATCCGGTGTGCGTGATCGACCTATCAGATTGACCCGGCCGAACAGGGTGGTTTACTCCGCTCATGTGTACAAGTGGTCTGGTTGGGGGCAACTGTATCCATTCTCCAAGCGGTCATATCCTGACTTCGCGGCGGCCATGACCTGGAATTGGGCTTACCTACTAACCGAGGAGATTGCGCCGGTGTGGGTTGGAGAGTTCGGTACCCCTGGTCAGCCCTCCGCAGGGGATCGCAACTACTGGAGTCATCTGGTCCAGTTTTTGGCCGAGGTAGATGTCAGCTGGGGTTATTGGGCGCTCAACGCGCGCAAACCGACTGGGGATACCGAGAGTTATGGTTTGGTGGGGGATGGATGGGACTGGCAGTCAGTGCGGTGGGATGCACGGCTGGAGGATTTGCGAGGACTGGGACTCAATTTTAGTCTTTAGAGTCAAAGGGTGCATACCCCATACCTCAGGGTTCACCACGCTCATTCAAAGGCAACAGTCATTGGCTCCGAGGAGGGAGGAGGACGGTGCACGATGCAGATCCTCGCCAAGCTTTTCAGGATCAATAGAACTATGCACGTTGCGCAGGATCGCTTGTCCACTTGTCTGTGGAAATGAAGGATAAATGTATATTGAAAAGATGGTACAATAAAATTGAAAAGGGCCCCTGTTGCCCGTACTTAGGGAGCTGAACCCGTGTTTCGATTTTGTGCGACTCTCACCTACTCTTCCTCACGGAGAGCTTCTTTTCACTGTTTCGGTGTGCTCCTTATATTTCGCGTCTGCCTGGTCCTTCTTCCCCGAGTTACTCACTTCATAACAAAATGCTGGTATGGCTGTCGCGATGCCTGCCAGGGTTCAGCATCATCGCATTGGCTGCAATGCTAGTCTTTGCCTTCTCTGGCCTCCTCACATCAGCACTCTGGTTGCGCATCTTTCCGCCGTCGATATTCCCTCCCTTTGAAGATCCCTGGAACGGCCTCAATATCGCCCAGATCGTATTTGTGGTCTATAATGTCTTTGTCCATATACAAATGTGTGCCTTCACCGTTCGCCTGGGCTGGTCGTTCACCAATATGATAAAGCAAACCCGTCTTGCCATCCAGAGGCGGCCCTTAGAGGTTCCTCTTACGTCTACAGGTCAAGCAGAGTTGATCGCTGGTCCCAAGATGTCAATCAATAAACCCATGGATCAAATTGACGAGCAGATGCCAGCGCCTGAGCTGATTCATGCAATCATTCTTCCCAACTACTGTGAAGATCTTCACACCCTAGAGACTACTCTGAAGGTGTTAGCATGTCATCCGAGGGCCAAGGCGCAATATGAGGTACGTTACAGAGAATTCTCAGTGATTTCGGGTTTGACCTCGGGCAGATCTACCTCGCAATGGAACTCAAGGAAGAGTCCAGCATGATGAAGGCTGCCCAGCTTGTTTCCGCATTCGAGGATCATTTCCTAGATATCCAGTCAACCTTTCATCCACCTGGTATCCAGGGCGAAATTGCAGGGAAAAGTTCAAATGTGGCATTTGCTGCCCGAAGCATCATCGAAGTCCATCGTTCATCCTTGCGAATGGATGAATGCAACGTCATGGTTACTGTGATGGACGGTGTGTTGTCTTTTCAAAGTATCTACACAGGTCACTAACACTCACCAGCGGATACTCATCTATCCCGCGATTACTTCACCGAGATCCGTCGCCTACATTACAACAACATTACAGAGGCAAACCGTGCTATCTACTGTTGTCCGATCATATTCGATCGCAACTCCAACGAAAGCCCTATACTTGTCAGATGTGCCGACCTTCTGTGGAGCTTCGCAGGCATTTCTACCATGCACCCATATACCGCGATCGCCATCCCAACGTCGGTGTATTCCCTCCCATTGTCTTTAGCAGAGAGGGTCGGCGGCTGGGACAGTGACCCGACAGCAATCGGCGAAGATCTGCACATGTTGCTCAAGTGCTATTTCGAAACGTCCGGAAATCTGATTTCTCGCGTGGTCTATATCCCAGCTAGCCAATGTAACGTCTCCAGCGATCGAGGTGTCGGCTGGCGGCGAACGGTGGACACTTGGCTTGCCCGCTATCGCCAGGCGCTTCGACACATGTGGGGCGCCCTAGACTCGGGGTTCGCAGCACGCCGAACAATTGGCTATCTTCGCTTCCATCAACGTTGCTTGTTCCTGCGTCCCCGCCACTTCGCCCTTCTCCACCTGCTCTGGGAAGCCCATTTCATGCCCTGCCATCTGACGATCCTCATGCTCTTCTCGGTGCTTTATACCCTGTGGACGCCTGCAGGACTTTTGCATACGACTTTGGCCTGGACTTTCGGCTTCACCAACACTCTGCGCACGCTGGCCTTCATCGGTCTGAATATCTCAGTCGTTCTCTATGAGCGCTGGCACGCTATTTGTCTGAACTCTCGTATGAAGGACATGCACGAGGCCAATATCCCTGATACGGGATTCTCGCATCGCATCTGGTCTCGACCGCAGCATTTGTTCGAGCGACTATGCCTCCCTGTCTCTGGCACCATCTACGGTGCAGTTCCAACTATCCATGCCGTGTTCTCTCACTTCTGGACTGATCGCTTAGTCTATCGGGTGAGTAAGAAACCCAAATTTGTCTTGGAGGAGCTCGGTGTTCTGTGAAAGCCATCTCATGTCGGATCCTCATGCTCAGCCTACCCATATTGTAATGTTTAATTTCCCATTCTGATATACAGAGGATGAACTTGCCTTGTTGGGATATAGAACCAAATCGGAGTGGGGTTGCATTCGATCCGCTGTCTCCACATTCTCCAACTTCATGTTGGGGTAATTCGATAACTTAACTGTCAGTGTTAATCAAATACTCCATTTCTCATCCTTTTTGATCTCTATCCATTAAAATCCTTCGAGAATGGCTTCTTCGCCTCGTATTGCTGTCATTCAATGGCACATCAAGGTACGTCCTTGGCATCATCTCACGAACCTTGAGATCATGCAGGCTGCACGTCACTGGAGAGCGGAAGATGACTCATTTTATGCAGGAACTTGATCTTGAATACAATTACACAACAGCATGCGATTACATCCGCCAGGTTGCGGATCAAGGCGCAGAGCTCGCAGTCCTACCCGAGTAAGCGCCGTGACGTGCTCTCTCCGAGACAGCAGAGGCCATGCAGAGCCAGCCAAATGCTAATCGCAAGTAGATACCATCTCAATGGCATGGTGCCTGAAGATCCTCGATGGGCTGTTCAAGCCGGCGAGTCCGCCAAGTACCTAGCAAACTACCAAGCCCTGGCAAAGGAGCTCAACATCTGTCTGGTCCCAGGAACGATCATTGAAAAGCACAGCGGTCCCAACAACACAACTATATTCTACAATGTGGCCTACTTCATCTCAAACGATGGCTCCATCCTTGGCTCTTACCGCAAAAAGAACATTTGGCACCCCGAACGTCCTCATCTCACCTCCTCCGCTCTGGAGCCCCATGTGGCAATCGACACCCCGATCGGTCGCGTCGGCATGTTGATCTGCTGGGATCTAGCATTCCCCGAAGCATTCCGGGAATTGATCGCCGACGGTGCTCAGATCATCATCATGCCTACTTACTGTGAGCATTCTCTTCCGTTATTTGGCAAATTCACGCGCCCCGTCTAACACCAACAGGGACCCCTCACGACGCATCACCCGAAGCTCGTGCATACAACCCAGATTGCGAGGCCCTCTTCCTCGAAACGACCATCACCTCTCGCTGCTTTGAGAACACCTGTGGTGTCGTCTTCGCCAATGCTGCTGGCCCGTCGGAGAACTTCCTTGGTTTGTCCCAGATTGCGCTACCGGTCGCAGGTTCGATCGCGAAGATGGGGACTGAGGAGGGCTTCATCATCGCTGATGTGGATATGGAGGTTATCGCGGCTGCTGAGAGGAATTACAAGGTTCGCCAGGATTTGAAGAAGGAGGATTGGTATTATACGTATCGGCATACCGCGAGGTAATGGGCTTAGCCATGTTTCTAGAGTAGATACACAACCTTTTCGTGATCCTGGTCTACTGTGTAGCTGAAATGCAAGCGTAGACTACACGCCGTCAAAGGCGTTTTTCTAGGTGCATTCTGGAGCTTGGTTGATACGTATCCACATTGCCCACGCTCGTAAATCGTCCAGGTAGACTTTCCTATTGATCCTGGTGGCTGGTCCTGAGTTCTCGGTCACGTTGTGCTTGAAGGTATCGCTGTCCTCCGTCCCCTGGCTGCTACCCTCAAATCCCACAAAGAAGCTTGGATATGAGAGTCAGCCTGTCCTTAGGCGGAGCCCGACATCCTCCTTCCATGTTCATCGTAGGTCCTCCGTTATCAAGCCCATCCGGTATGGTGTAGACTTCTGAGTGTGTAGGCGAAACGTCAGTGTGGCTGTACAATACGTGGGCGCGCTGTCACCAGGGTACGGTGGGCAAGTAGATCGACGTTTTGGGATCAGTTTAGAGTGATCTCACCGGGTCTCAGAAGTGGTGTCGCATTTCGAGGATGAGCCGCGGGCTGACGGAACCTTGGGTTAAATGGCCAACTGGGGCTTCAGGAATACCTGATCGGCAGTGATGGCGACTCCTAGGGATCGCTCGGCTTGGTAGTAGCGACCTCATCCATGGCTAGCAACTAGAAGTTCTGCTGATTTTCAGTCGCTGTACCTCGGTGCCAAGCCTGTTTATCGTGATAGACAATCCGCATTCGACCAACATATATTTCGGCTTTGGCACCATTATGCAAAGAGCTACCCCTACTTAAGTACCTGCCAAGTCCTCCGAGGCTTGGGCAGAATTCTAGTGTACACCAAGAAAGATGCCCGAGCAAATAAAGACCTCAAAGCATTACTGCCAAGACTAACATCACCGGTATGAAATGCCAAGACTCATGCACGACAGACGGGACCGTGCACGTACTTGGCCCAACAAAGTTTAGCGTATAACCTTAATGATCTATAGATGCCACCGCATCTCAGCAATATCCACATTTGCTTGATGGAATCGAGGACTTAAACTACAGGCTTTGCAAGAAATTGTGTTGGGGATACAGTACAGTACTTTGTGTACACAAAAGAAACTCCCAAGGGTTGGGTGGGAGAATGCAGTGGAGCAGGTGAGCTAGGAGATCGCATCGCACATGGAGAAAGACCTTGGAATACTGCAAATCATCTGGTAGTACCATTCAGAGTGGCTCCCCCTCTAGAATAAAGGCTATCTGTAAGTATTGAAGGTGAGAGTACCAAGAGAGGGGAATGGGAAGGAGAGGAGAGATCACCTGAGCTGCTTTTCCACTGTTCCCAAACGGGAAGGCCCTGCTTTTTCCTGGGGGTATAAATACCCTCCCCTCCCCCATTTCTTTCTCTTCTTCTTCTTCCCTCTTCATCTCCCCAGCTTCTCATTTTCTCCACCACCCACATTCCATCATGTGACCCATCCAACATGGATCATTCATCAAGTCTTCCATCATGATCTACTGTCTGCCATCACCAGCTTATCACCTCTTTTCTTCCTGTCCTCCTTTGACAAGACACTTACCATGCCCACGCACCTTGACGCGTCCGGCCCTCGTCACATCAACAATCATCACATGACTGGTAAGTTGTGCCTTCCTCTTCTGACTTCCTTCCTACACTTCAACTTACATCATCTCAAGACACATCACCCACATGACAATATGCTCCTTGCATCTTGGCCTTCTACTTGGCCCCTCTGTTTTACCATTCATCGTCGCCGACTTCATGCGACTCATGCATCCGGCCTTCACTATGCTGCCTCACATCACCTCGCCGCCTCCGTCACATCATCATGGTTGACTGGTAAGTCTTGCCTTCCTTCTTCGCTTCAACATACTTACATCATATCCAGACCAATCAAACACACAACAACATGCTACTTCTATGCTTCCCTTGCAACGTGCCTTGCACCTTGCTGTCCATCGTCGCCTACCTCATGCGACTCAAACATCCGGTCTTTACCATGCTGCCTTCCATAACATCTATGGATTACTTGTAAGTCTTGCCTTCCTTCTTTACTTAAACATACTTACATCCTCTCAAGCCATACCAACCACACAACAACATGCTTCTTTCGTCTTTGCCTTCTACTTTATCTTCTACTTTACCATTCATCGTCGCCCATCAAACTTCAACGTCAACATCCACAACATCAACAACCACAACTTCAATATCCACAACCTCTTCAACATTCACAACTTCAACATCAACATCCAAAACTTCAACATCCACAACATCAACATCCACAACTTCAATATCCACAACCTCTTCAACATTCACAACTTCAACATCAACATCCACAACTTCAACATCCACAACCTCTTCAACATTCACAACATCAACATCCACAACTTCAACATCCACAACATCCACAACTTCATCAACATCCACAACACTTGGGACTGGGTGAGTTTGTTGACCGCGACATCCAGTTCCAAACTGACATGGCAATTCTTAGATCCCTGGTTCAGTCCCAGCTATTTTCCACAACTGTTTTGTTGGCCATCTCCACGTCAAGGGATATGTGGGTCTCGTGTGCACCCTGTGTGGATTTCAGAGCTAACATGACAACTCTAGATCCCATCGCCATGTCCGTTCGTCCCAGAAGAGCTCATGATCAACCCATCTCCCACCTCCCACCCACCTCGCTTTCGACAACTCCCTGTCCAGTGCGGATTCCAGCCCAGCGAGTTTCCGGCACCCCATTTCCTACCCCGGGTAGGGTTGAGAACTACGCCTCTCTCTGTGCGGGCCTTGAGTGAGCCGGCCGGATGAATCCGCGATCCACCAGCACCAATAGAGGGTGTGCTGCGTGGGTCGTGTTGATTTATCTGGCTAGTCCTCAGGGTCATGCACGAGAGACGGTGATCGCATCACCGCTGTGTGGGCCTTGAGAGCCGGCCGGGTGAACACGCGATCCACCAGCACCAATAGAGGGTGTGCTGCGTGGGTCGTGTTGATTCATCTTCCTAGCCCTCGGCCATGAATGGGTTAGGGAAAGCAGAGACGAAGGCATTGGTGTTTGTGTCAGGAGACTTTCTGGGTTCACGCCAGCAGTCCAACTCCGCCAACCAGTCACTTCACGTCAAATCAACCCAGCCAGACCGTCCTACATACAACCATTCCACCACCACGGCGTCGGGTCTTTTCAAATCCTGACAGACAACATCACCTCAATCCAGACACTTCTGGACCACTTCCCACCACTTCAACTTTCGCCTACACGACACCGAACATCACCGACACTTGACTGCTGAGCGTGCCGCGCTGGACCGGACTTCCACTTCCACTTACAACATTCAACACTGCCCCACGGAGAAATATCATGAGCTCTTCTGTTCAATCCTCTACTCATGACTCATGACCCCACCCCTCATTGCCAACTTTGAGGTTCCATCATCCACTTTGCACTTCCAAATGCCTCTGGCCATTTACTACCTGTGCTACCTTGCTTGTTTTGGGCTTCTTCCAAACCAATACCAATACCAACCCAACCACCACCAAACTCAGAGACAGGAGATTCAACCACGGCTCTGTGCAAACAACCTCACACCGGAGATGGATCGGACGGACGGACATGAAAACAAAACCACAACATTGCTTTGATCGACGCGAGGACGACTTTTGAGAACACTTGAGGATGTGACGGACACTGGCTTGACTTGTTTGAAGAACCTCATGTATAGAGATTGTTGAGTTTCAAGCAACTTGGACATTGACCCTTTGCTTTTCTCATAGGCTATGGCCTTTTCTGTTTTGTTTCTGCTTCATGTGCTGGCTTGACTTGACTTGTTTGAAGAACCTCATGTATGGAGATCGTGGATTTCAAGCAACTTGGACATTGCTCCTTTGCTTCTCTCATAGGCTATGGTCTTTTCTGTTTCGTTTCCGCTCGAGGTGGTGCCGAGCTTCATGTTCTTAGCTAGACATTCCATTTGGCTTTTGCCGAATCAATTCAAAACGGCATCGAGTCTTCACAATCTATCTCGGCTTTTCCAAGTAACAATGTTAACGGTAACATCACCGGCTCGGGATGTGATCAGTCGGATCCCAGGGTGATTGAGTCACCCGCTGTCCCAACAACGTTGCTTACTGAGCGATTTTGAGCTGCTCAGTGAGTAATCTAATCGCTGAAAGATATCTACTTAGTACCATCCTGAGATAGATGTTGAAGATTTTGAGCGCTATGTGCCCGATGGATACCATCCAACGCTCATTGGAGATACCTTGAATGGCCGCTACACCGTCGTTCACAAGCTTGGTTTTGGTGGATATCCAACAATTTGGCTAGCCCAGGATCACGAGCTACATATCATTGAAGATACTGAATTCAAAGACAGCGTTGTACAGCACCGAAGGAGATGGAAAGTCTGGCGAACCCCGCGCACCGCCACATGGCATCTATTCCTGAAGTCCATGGTGATGAACATAGCTGCCTTAAGCCTGCTGCCCCAAGACACGACGACAATGCATTATTTGACTGATCAGTGCAACTCAGCTATCTCCACCGTCTATGCCGACGACGGAGCATAAGCTAACTCAATTTCGGGAAGAAACTTGCAAGATCTATTTGACCTGCGGAGTTTCTATTTGGTCATTCCACAGCGTGAAGAAGGTACCTGCGAGAGTCATGTAACTCCATTCATGCTGAGCAACTTCCAAAGTCCAGGATCTCTCTATCGTCCCAAATTGTGCCGGTTAAGCCGATGGCCTTACTTAAAGCCACACATTTCCACTACAGACCTTCGATTCAGAATCTACTGATGACCTTTGAAAACCACCAGAGAAAGATTCGTGATTTTATCATACCCAGAACAAGATGAGATGTTCCGTTATACTCCTCGGTGTTGTTGGCTCAATCATGGTATCTGCTGCCCCTGGGTCGACTTATAATACCACTAGCGTTGATGGGGATTCTGGTTGTTTATGGTTCGATCATCCCATATTCCTGAATCGACATTTATAGATTCTAACCTCTTGTCTCAGCATGATACCTGGGGTGTGGTGTATATGTCGCGATCGTGAATATTAACCCTTCCCGCGTTATGAAATTGTTGCTGGAACTAACCCCTTCCCAGACAGACGCTACTATTGGAATCAAGATACAAATAACTGCAATCCTCCTTGGGGACTTGTACCCGGGCAATTGGTTTACGAACCCCCGAAACTTGTTCACGATGGACGCCAGGAAGTCTGTAACGGATCGGGTATGGGTTATTCTTGAGGTGATATCGGGTATGGATCCAATGCTATGAAGCAGAAATTAAACATACTGTCGGGACAATGATGGTTTAGTTGAGTCCCCTAAACTTAGCCTCAAGGCAAGTTTGGGACTTTGTTTCAACGCACAAAGCCGCCAATGTCATACCATCTTTATCCATATTTCTTCCATGACTTGTTTTGAATGTCTTGTTTAAGTGATTGGGGCTCTCAGCTCTGTTTTCGGTTTATAACAGGCTGAAAGATGCCATTCGGGTAGATGTTGTGTCGAGAGTTGAGATGGAAATCAGGATGCGCAAATGACTCTGTCGCGGGTTGCGCTCAACCCACTGAAATTATTTGAAATTTAGGAGTTTCTGATACAGATCAAATTCCGCGTATTGCCATCACAGGAGCCATTTGCGGCAGCCGATTTACCATCAAGTAGCGTTGTGGTGTAGTCTTTCTGTAATCGGTTCATATTTTGTCTACAGAGAGCCCAAGGATATGAAGATGAAATCAATGGAAAAAAGAGTCATAGTCTGATTTTCTAAGCTAATTCATAAAGCAGACAGAATCATTAATTAATTCATGATCATCTGAGCGTTCATGTCAAGTCCAGACAGACCCATTCGAAAAGAAAACGGTATAGAGCTCTCAAATTGGACAGGAAACAAAAAGCGGACAAAAAAAGATCCAGAAAAGAACTCCCCCGCACCATGATCAAGGACGCAAAGTCGAAAGCATCTACAAACTAACCAAGGCATGATACGAGAGCAGTATAGTCGAGATTTGCGAAAAAAAGTCACAGATGGCCAACAATGCTTGGGTGAATTCTTCGCCTTACTGGACTTGGCTGACGATCTCGCTGGCGCGGCCGAGACTCTCAACCATCTGCTGGCATTCCTTGCGCCGGCGTGTGGTGTAGTCGCTTTCCTTTAGGAGCTCATCCAATTCGTTGGTGCGGTACATGTTTTCGAGGAGCTCGCGTTGCATCTCGTCCTTGGTGAATCTGGGATGGGGTTAGTATGCTTGGTGGTGGCAGGGTTTGGTGATACATACTGAACAAGAGTGTACATGACGGCCTTGGGGACCATGTCGATCATTGTGCGCTTGACAATGTTGAAGTAGGATGTGATCAAAAGTTCTATATCGGGGTTAGCGACGCTTTTTCATAAGTTGGGACTGGGACTGCGTACTGATAACTTCAACTTCGGTGGACTCGCGCTCAGACAAGCTGGCAGATGCCTTGAGAGTTGGGGGAGGTGCTTCCATGAGAGCCATCTTCTTCTTGTTCTTGGAAGCCCAGAAGCTGCCGAAGAAGCCACTGTTGTTGGTGGCCTCGCCGGTTGTATCGAGGGAGGGGCTCTGGGCGCGACCAGGGAGAGGCTTGCCAGTCTTGGGGTCGACCTGTGTGGGCTTGGAGGACTGCTGGCGTTCGCTGACAATAGCCATGGCGCGCTGACCGTTGAGGAAGTCGGGGTGGCCGGTGTTCACGTAGGTAGCCTCCATGTAGATCAAGTCCTTAACCAACTTGTTGGTGGGCTCCATGCACTTCTTGAAGAAAGCGACAACCACTGCGTGGAACTTCTCCTTGAGCATGGGGTAGCGGCGGAACAGCTGCTTGGTCAACAGTTGACTCAGGATGCGGACCAACTCGTCGTAGACCAGGGAGATACACTTCAAGCTGGGCTCCTCCAAGCGCTTGATTTGTTGCTTCACGATCAGCTCAAAGGCAGTGGTACCGACGAACAGAGCGGGTGAGGAGCCGGAAGAGTTGTAAAGAATGGTGCGGATGTCGATATCCTTGACGATGTCAAACGGATCGACTGCCTTGATACCGTTGGAGTAGAGTTCGTGGAAGACGAAAGAGATACGAGCACCACCTGAAAGTTCAATGCTGGACAGCTCCTGGTTGTTACCCTCCAAGACTGTGCGGTATTCGTTGCTGAATTCAGTAATAATGTTGAGGATGATGTTGGCGCTGTTGCCGAGCATGGAGTCACCCAGTTGTGACAGCTCCGATGAGTATTTCTGAAGGGAGGCGGCGATACGTGCTTTGATATCGGGAAGGGTTTGCTTGATGTGCATCATAAGGATCTAAGGAAGACAGGTTAGCTTAAATGATTGCTGATCGGGTGGATCAGGCCCATACCAAGTTCAACTTCCGAGCGAGATAAGGTGTACCACAGTATGAAGCCTTGTTCCGGTAGGCTTTGTGATTCTCGAAGAAGTTCTTCTCGTTCTCCAGAGCGTATGCGATTGGTTTCTTGTTCTCAATGTCACGTTGGCCACGGTTGACCACGGGGACGTAGCCCAAACGCAGGGGGATAATTCGTCCAGCGAGAATATCCACCACATCAGTTCCATCGTCCATCAGATCGACCTTACTCAACACACCAATAGTGCGCTGACCTTCGGGGTCGACCTCACGTGCCAGCTTGAGACCATCGGAGTTGGCAAGATCCTGATTGGCTGAGGTGACGGCCAAAATGATTGCGTTGGGCTTGCTGATATACTTCAAGACCATGTCACGAATTTGACGCTCAATATCCTTCGGCTGGTCTCCGACGGGCACCTTGGTCAAACCAGGCAGATCGACAAGGGTCAGGGTGAGGACGTTGGGGGAGTAGATGCGCAGGTTGATCGGGGATGGCGAGATTCCGGCATTCTTTCCAACCTTGGTCTCCGTTTCGCGCACAATCTCGTCACGGATCTTGTTGAAATCGTGGAACTTCTCGCCGGGCAGGTGGAGGAATTCTCCATACTCGTCCACGTTGGACTCGGCATCGGTGGTTTGCAACTTGGTCTCGCCGTTCGTGGTGGGGGTTTTGTTGATCAGTTGCAGGATAAGGGGTCTCCGAGTAACGATTCCAGATCCACGAGGCAAGCTATACAAAGGGGTATGGGTTAGTTTTCGTTGTTATCAGACTGCCCCGCCGCTGGTGCGGATGGGTGGCCGCGCAAGCTCCGGGTGATGAAAACATACAAATCCCGACCAACGATGTTCTCTAGCACGGAACTCTTTCCACTGGACTGCGATCCGACGACGGCAATTTGGGGCAAATCGATTGGGTTTTGCACCTGGAACGAGCGACATTAGCATTCAAATTACCCCTAGCATGGGCATTGAGCGACAATCCCAGAGTTGGGTAAGTCATTTATACATACTCCGACCGTGGAGAAGACATCCTGAAGCTTGTTGACCAGCGAAATCAAGCTAGGGTCATTGACGTTTATGCTGCACACGGAGATTAGCTAGACCGCATCGGCGAGGAGACAGGGGGTTGCGCACGAGTAGCCTGACGTAGGGCTTGCCATGACAGGCGATTTTGTAAATATTCGAAACTGGTGCAAATCCAAGAGAAACTAAATGCAGGAAGAACCGAGCAGAGGTCAAGAGCACTTGGCGGGAAAGATGAATACAAGTGGAGGATTGTTTGGCTTTGAAGGCGGTGATGGTGATGTACAGTGGCGTCCAGAGCGGTCTCGGTCTTTAGGCTGCCACATCGGCTATAGTTCACAATATCGAGGTTATTGGGGTGCCTACAAGATATATGTTGTTAAATTTTCTGTTACTCTTTGAACATTTGAAAGTCTTCTTCTGGTCTGCTACGTCAGGTGCATCAGCTTAGTACTGCCTGACGCTTTTCGGCCACATGAGCGCACAGGCGGGAGTATAAAAGGACAAAACCCAAATAAACACGAGTTGCAATAACTACAGGGGAATGTGCTTGACAAACATCTAAAAGAAAATACATGCTAAGCTAAGATGACACTTTACTCATCCGAGACACTGGCAAAACGCTCCGTCATGGACTGGAGGATCTTCTCGTACTTGGCCGAGACCTCCTGCTCATTCTCGGGCACCTCGAACTTCATGCCACGCAGAGAGGTCTGAATGTCTGTGGTGGCGTCACGGACCTTACCCCAGTTCTGTCCTTGGGCAATGGCCTTTTGCGCCTCGTTGTGGTAGCCCATGAAGGCCTTCATCATATACTCGGTCTTCCACAGAGGGCAGAACTGGTCGTAGTCACTGTATCCGTTCTGCTGCAGGAAGTCGTCCTTGACCAAACTGGCCACGTCCAATGTAATCTTATCCGAATCACCAAGTGCGGATTTACCAACCAGCTGCACGACCTGGTCCAGATCCTCGGACTTGGCCAACAGCTCACGGATTTGGTCGCGAAGACGAGGGAACTCGGGGTGGTCCTTCTCATAGTATTTATCCAAAACAGAGTTGTACTTGCTGTAGGAGATGGAGGTGTTGATCGAAGGGAAATGCTTGCGCTGTGCCAGCTTCTTGTCAAGACCCCAGAAGACCTGCACAATACCCAGAGTACTGGTTGTGACGGGATCGGAGAAATCACCACCGGGAGGACTGACAGCACCGACGATACTGACACTGCCCTCACGCTCGGGGCTACCAAGAGCACTGGACTTACCAGCGCGCTCGTAGAAGGAGGCCAACTTAGCTCCCAAGTACGCGGGGAAACCCTGGTCAGCGGGCATTTCACCCAGACGACCTGAAATCTCACGCAGAGCCTCGGCCCAACGGGAACTGGAGTCCGCCATCATAGCCACGTTCTTTCCCTGGTCACGGAAGTATTCGGCGATGGTAATACCGGTGTAAATGGAGGCTTCACGGGCAGCGACGGGCATGTTCGAGGTGTTGGCGATAAGGCAGGTACGCTTCATGATGGGCTCCTTGCGACCTTCGATCTCAATGGAAAGCTGTATGATAAAGGCGATTAGAAAATGGCATCAAATAGCGACAGTGTGGTATATACCTCGGGGAAGTCCATCAAGACTTCGGCCATCTCGTTACCGCGCTCACCGCAGCCGACGTAGACAATGATATCACTGTTTGAGAACTTGGACACACTCTGGGAAATGACAGTCTTTCCACATCCGAAAGCACCAGGAATGCAGACAGTACCACCCTGGACACTGGGGAAAAGAGCATCCAGCACTCTCTGGCCGACAATGAAGGGCGCATCGGCGGACAGTCTGTCGTTGACTGGACGGGGAACACGAACGGGCCAAGTCTGCATCATGCCGTACTCAGTCTTCTTACCCTCGAACTCGACCTCGAGCAGCTTCTCATCGACAGTGAAGCTGCCCGCGGGGGAGATGCGAGTAATGGTACCCCGTGCACGAGGAGGCAGCAGGATCTTGTGGTCGTTCACCAGACTGTTCTCGAACACGGAACCCCAGATATCTCCACCAGTAATGTGGTCGCCGACCTTGAAGTTGGTAGGCTTGTAGTCCCACTTGCGCTCGCGGTCGAGGGCGTTAACAGTGATACCGCGGGGAATGTAGATGCCCTTGGACTGGTCGGAGATGGCCTTGAGGGGTCGCTGGATACCGTCGTAGATTGTCTCCATCAGACCGGGACCCAACTCAACTGAGAGGGGCTTGCCGGTCCTTTCGACGGGGTCGCCGACGGCTAAACCATCTATTTGGCGCGGATGACGTTGGTCAGCATAGCTCTTTGGGATGGGTGGAAACCCTGGTCAGGACACTGCGGAGCTCTACCTGTCTCTTCGTACACCTGAATGGTGGCTTTGTCGGCTTCGATACGAATAACCTCTCCGACAAGCAAGCCGTGTCCGACACGACACTATTGGAGTCAGCATGGGTTCATGACGATCTCGGAGCTGTCACCTACCAACTCGTACATGGCACAACCGATCATGTGCTCGGCCACGACGACAGGGCCGGAGACCGAGAAGATCTTGCCATTGTTCTCAGAATCGTCTGAAGGCATGATTGAAGAAGCCTGTGTGGAATGGGGGGACACAGAAAGGGTGGAGGTGGTTGAGGAGGGCGAGTCTGGAAGCGGTGGCAGCTCGGCGGGCGGTGATGACAGTGTCAACGTATGCTTCGAGATTAGCTCCAGCAAGGACGGTCGCGCTTTTAATCGAGGACGCCCCAAGCCTAGCATTCGCTTTAAATTACAATATCGAGATGAGGTTGAATCAGACCAGATCTTAGCCCCCTGGTCGTGGAGTTTCCCCTGATCTATTCGTCCAATCCTCTCTCTTCCCCGCGGAACGAATCACGACTTGGTAAACTGATCCGCTCTTTCATTGTACATGAACCGCCACACTATTGTGTAACGTCTAGCTCTCGGTGAGAGTTTTACAGGTGTCGAATCCTCCGTCGCTGTCCATGCATCTATGTTTACCGATGTGACGAGAACCCACATACAGTCGTTGACCTTGGACCTTATCTACAATCTACTCCACAATAATCCAGAATTGGAGCTTGAATCAACAAGCATCTTACATTTGCACTGCAGAAAACGGGCGGAGTTGAATTGAACACCATGCGATGAACATAAATACCTTGCGGAAACCCTCATATCAATGGGATCTCGCGCAGGCTCAATAATTATCTTCTAATTCTTGCACACCCTCATCAACCATCGTTAGTAGGTTCCGAAACTCGATCGCGAGATGCTGCGCATGTTGCTTGATCAAAGTCCAAGGAGCAGCAGAAGGGAAAAACGTTCGCAGTCTCACTTTGCAGCCACCATCGAAGTCCATGAATTCATTCATGACATAGAAGAGTCTGCTCCCGCTTGTGAGTTTAGCAACCAACATCTCCACCATCTCATAATCGTAATCTCTCTTCATCAACATCCATCTGGGGATTTTCTGTCCGCGTTCTTCGAGGTCGATATATTGGAGCTTGGCCATGTGATCCCCGATCATCTCAACCCCCCAGTCCGGTGGGCTACTCAGCGGTGAACCTGGACCATGCATGGCTGCATAGTGCTCAGGGTGAGTGGGAAGTACATACCTGGCCGCCAGTTCTTCGGCCGGCCTGCAAAGAAGCCATCTGCTAGTGATCATCTGCACATCTCTGACAGAGACTCCTGCAACTTTGAAATACGTTCTACATTCTCGGAATCCTCCATCTGATTTTGTGATCAGCGACTCGAAGTAAGTATTTCCCTCATCAATCTGGCCGCTCAGAAGATCCAACACTGATTGTTGAGTTAGTAAACTGTGCAAGTTGCCCAATGCGCGGTAGCAAGCTTGAAGTTCTAGTTTGTCAATTTCGGAATTAGATGCAGACTCCCCATTCAACTTGAATTGGATGATTGGTTTCGGTTCCATGATTTCTTGGGCCTTGTGGAAAAACGGGGAGGGTTACTGTAAGTCATTGTAGCAGCGTGGCAAAGGCTTTCTTTTATAGCCAGTGATCCAGACTATGAGATATTCTCGGAAGTACTGCTAATCATCTTTTTGTTGAATTACAAAGGATGTTTCATATTCCAAAAACAATAGGAGTGGTCTTGAACAAAGCCCAAAACAATCAAAACATCAAAACAATCAAATGTGTCCCCCGTCTAAGCGAAGGTCGTTGCAAAAGTAGATCTTTTGTCCACGGGGTCAGTTCTCCCCAGCATGTGAGCGCTGGATCTTCCAATTAGCATTTGAAAGTTCGCGTGGTCAGTATAAAATCCGGGGATCGATGATCTGAGTGGCTGAAAGGCTTCACATGCGAATGGACCGATGCCCTAACCCCTCTCCACCGGACCGTGGACCACGGTAACTAAACTTCCTCGCCACGTATATGATGATTTTCGAAATAATATGCCCAGGTGTCTGGATTATATAGTCGCAGTTCGATTCCGTCTTGTATTCGAGCCTTTTCCACTGCATTTAAGAAGCAACCATGGCACTGAGAAGTCCAAAAAGCGGAAATAGCACTGAGTGTCATTATTGGAACTACTCCTTCCACTGGACTGACCTCCACTCTTCTGCCGATGACTTGCGGCCTCGGGCCTACACTTGTGATACTCTTACCGATCAGTGTGTCGAGTGCTTGAACAGTATTCCACTGATGGACGGTGTTGATAAACGGCCATTCAAGAAGGATCTCTATGGCTTGTTGCGCGATCATTCGGACGACGAGCCGAAGCTCAAGGAGCTTTGGACAGAGATAAATACCGTTCCTCCATGGGTTGACTGGGCCCAGATTCAACGTGGTCAAGATGTCTTCTTCCGCTATGGACTTCCGATTCTTAACACAGTCAGTTGACGTTCCCAGGAAACCACGGACGATATGTACTGGGTACTGACTTGCTCCTAGCTCAGTTTTGAAAGCCTTCTTGGCGGAATGTACCAACAGCCACCCCGAATCTACTGACCAGTGGCTAACAGCTGCAGGGGAGCGACCCGTGTCGTCGAAACACTCGCGCGAACAGGTGGCTTCAGTGCAAAAGTCGTGCGCAAAAGGCTCCTCGAAACTCTACAGCACATACTCCAGGTCAGCAGCTCCGTCGAGGGGATGAAGCCAGGGGGAGAGGGCCACATCTCCTCAGTTCGGGTTCGACTACTACACTCGTCAGTGCGGTTGAAAATTCTCAGCTTGGTGGACCAACAACCGGAGTACTACGATATCGACAAATATGGAACTCCCGTGAACGACCTCGATTGCATAGGCACAATCAACACATTTTGCAGCTCCGTGGTCTGGTTGGGTCTTCCGCGACAGGGGATCTATCTCAGCAATCAAGAGGTTGAGGACTATATCGCACTTTGGAGACTTGTGGCCTATTATATGGGAACTCCAACTGAGCCTTTTGAAACTACAGCCAAGGCTCGTGCTATGATGGAGTCTCTCCTGATCTCTGAGATTGATCCCTCCGAGATTGGCAAAGTGATTGCAAAGAACATCATTCTTGGTTTGGAAAACACGGCCCCGACCTATGCGTCGAAGGAATTCATGGAAGCTATGAGTCGGTTACTAAATAGTGAATTGCTATCTGATCAGCTCGAGATCCCTCGATCCACTTTATATTATCGCATGCTGATATGGGGGTATTGTTTCTGGGTCATGGCCGTGTCCTACATCATCCCTAGGATATATTTCCTCGACAAAATCATGATCGAGGTACGAAACACAACTCCTAACCGGAAAATTATCTCTGCTGACACTGACACTATTCAGCTTCGTCGCAAATTCTTCAACAAAATGATACTTGACGAGAAAATGGGCCTGGGTGAGGAGTCCCGGTTCGACTTCAAATATGTTCCCACTCTCACTCGAACTACGCGTCTTGGGCAGCGGAGAAGTACCAAGTTTGAAAGGCCAGGTATTGAAAGTTTGGCCCATCTCGGTCTTTTGTGTGCCTTCACTGCTGTAGTTACTATGGGCATGGGATTTGCCTTCGCAGCCAGGATGATCCCTTCTCATCTTTTTTCGGTCCTTTGATTCCGAGATTGGTGAACTCCAAGGTATAGGTGAAGACCGTGGAATGGCCCAGCGGCTCTATGCTTTTTCAAGATAAATTTATTCACAAAGTAAATATGTGCATTCTATATACAAACAAACCAGTTGTTTTCTCTTTAGTAGCCTCCCTTCTTCTGCTCAGACTTGGAGTTCCCCTTAGCAGCCTCCAGTTCTTGCAGCATACCGTCTCCGAACACAGCAACATCAGTGGTGATGGAAACCATATCGAAGCCTTGTTGAATGCGACGACGCGAATCGGCACCGCCGGAACCTAGGATGTGTTAGAGACGTAAGTGGAGCTCGGATTTACGGAACATACAGAAAATGGCAGCCTTCTTTCCTGCCGAATGCGCGGCGTTCAGAATGCGTTCAATAGCAGCTTCATGCTCCTCACCACCATGGGTGACACGCATCTGTTTAGCGAGGTCAAAGGGTCCTGTCACAGAAAATTGTCAGAGCGGGTCACATATGAGTAGAATGAAACCACAAAACTCACCGATGAAAAGCACATCGAGACCTTCAACAGCAGCGATCTTCTCTACATTCTCCACTCCGGGTCGTGACTCAATCTGCACAACCACAAGTACTTCGCCATGTGTCTTCTCGTTGTACTCGTCCGGTTTGACACCAGGGAATGCGTGTGGCGCAAACATAGGTCCGAAACCTCGGCTTCCGACAGGTGGGTACTTGCAGTAGCTAACAACCTTGGCTGCATCCTCCTGTACAGATATTGAAGATTAGTATATCATGTCACTGTCAAACACCCAACGGGAGCACGGCTACATACTGCAGAGTGACACATCGGAGTCATGATTCCGTGGGCACCAGCATCGAGGGCGCGCTTGATCATCCATTCTTCGGACCAGGGAACACGGACGATAGGGCTGACTCCCTCGTGACCAATGGCGTTGTTCAGCTTCGATCCGTTAGTGATTCTGTTAATTGATCCCTGGTGAATGTCGAACCTCATAGTAGTGGTGGTCACTAATCAATCCATGCTCGGCATCGACCAGAACCCAACTGAATCCGCCGTCTGTATACTGCGGGCTGCGGCGGAGGATAGTCCTTGCAACGCCAGTGCTGGGAAGTCTATGGTGCCACTGTTAGCTTTTTAGGCCTCATTGCATAGTTGGAATTTCGATTGAGGTGTTATTAGGCCACAACACCTCCGTTGGAGGTACCCCTCTCGAAACGCGGGGTTCAACATACGTTAACCAGAATCCGTATGACACGGGGGTATTTGATAGGGCGGATCGGAGTGCGATAGGTGAAGACATTGTGAAGTTAGAAAACGTATTCTCCCGAGAGTTGAGGGGTTGCAGGATGAAGAAGTAAAAAGGCCTTGAAATGGTGACTGTTTTGGATAGTCCTGGGCACTCGGTGTTGCTCCGACCGACTACCCGAGGATCCCCCACACCTCAATTCCAAACATTTGCGGAGTAACTCAGAAACTTCGAATGAGGTGTGAATATTCTCCGATTGTCTGCTCTGCAGCAGGTTTGTCGCCACTCGCTGAATATTCTGTTGGAACCAAGGCTGCTGTGAAGCAAACGGCCCGATGGCAATCGCAGGCAACCCCCACGCCGATGAGCTTCGGTGGTGAAATTTCCCGAGATCCCGAAGCACTTACTCCGCAGCATGAGATTATAAAGACGAGTGTTCCAAGCTGAAGGATGGTGAAGAAAGGGGGTCAAGACGTCACAAAAGTGACACCAACCTCTCTGTCGAGGTCAGATGTTTGTGTCATGCAGAGTCCGCCAGATTGGCCGAAATCTGCAATGTTGCTCCTGTTCCACGCCGTGCCATGTACTAGGTAAGTGAGAGGACACAAAAGCCGGAGTGTACGTAAGGATAAGGCGAGATGATGAGAACTTTGCCGAGGAGAATTTAACGATGAGAGCTTTGACAGGATGGCATGGCGATTCAGTGTCGTGCAAGCAAAAGAGCTTCATCAACTTCATAGAAAAATAGCCAAGTAAATCAGTTGCTCTGGTTCCAATCCAACCTAGCCCACATAAACAGTTTCGTGTCTCTTCCAAGGTTGTGGATTTTACGACCACGCCAGCTCCTTCGGGACCTGACATGTAGATGGAGCGGGGAATTAGCCTGGTCAATGACTTAGGCCTGGATTTTTCAACGGAGCCATGAAGCTTTATTGTCAAGAAAGGAATTGATCGGTCGAAAATGCGCAGGTGAGGCTGAGCTCTGCATTTATTTGCCCCATCCAGAGTCACGTACGAGTAGAGTCAGGTGTATGCAGGTATTACAGAATGCCAAGGTGTCTATTTCGTGATCTGTACGGGCTTCAAAGAATATTTTGGACGTATTGCACCTTAAGACATAATTCTAGAACAACAATGCGATAACGAAGTCCACACAAATCGTCAAAGTGTGTACTGCGTACGGGTGTTTCCTTCGCCCCTGGCCCCGGCCCCACAGAGCCGCACCGGGAGCCGCATGCAACCTTCGATCCTCAGACCGAGGATTTGCTGAATCAAGCACCTCATGCCAATGCCACAATCCATAAATCAGACTGGTTCAATCCACAGTCTGCTTGAACCAATGACTGCAGAGCCACCGTTTTGGTTTGGACCCTTACGAGAGGGGCTTCTAATTAAAAATTTGGGGGCCGATTCACTAGTTTCAGTTGTTAGTCGTGAAAATTCCACATTCCAATCAAGTTATGCAAAAAAAAAAAAAAAAACATCTACCGATTTATGGTACAATAACGGAATCGATTTTCATTAAAGTCGCATGAAAGAACATGGAGCGCTTTCCAGGATAAAGCATCGAAAAATTAATCATATTGGAGTACGTGGAAATGAAAATGCATTGGTGCGAGTAATGTCCAAGGGCGCTACGAAGCACCCAAGGGCTACTATATGTCCTAGCGTACATGTACGAGAGTATACAGTAGGTTACGCGAGACCAGGTAATGGCATTGGGGATTACTGATTGGACCAGATAACCATCTGCACATGTACATGGAAAATCAATGGATCGTAACTGCAAACCCAACTGCAATACTCCGTACTTAAGTAGTACTTGTACAAGTACTCCGTATAAGAAGATGAATGACCTGTTTCGCTTCTGGTGCAGTCTGTATCCCTTGTTTCCACAATGCATCATTTCTTTTGCTCTACGCACATGCTTGGACTTGCCCGATGCTCGGCTCTCTAGCTTCATGCAAATCGCTTTCCCACGACCTGGTCATTTGATACTCTTTCAATCCTGATGCACTGTCGGCAGACTCCAAATGGGGTTCAGTTCCGAAAATTTTAGAACAAACTGGGGCCCGCAGCTCAGAGCGATTAGACAGGAACTGGCCACTAGGAGAAAAGCACGCCTGCATGCGAGTGGGGCCAAGAATAGGTCGACCCTACCAACTTTTACTCCAAACAAGAAAAACAACCGGAAAACTGCACTACTCGAGTCAAGAACAGGTACATTGGCCTTGGCCCCAAGTGGAGGAGTCTTGGATTCCCCAAGAAACTGCTATGAGCACGATCGTCGGGTAACGGCATGGGATGAAGAGATTCAAGATCTCTCTACTCTGTTGTACAGCGTATGGTAAAACGTGTCATATGTAAGATAATAATGCCCAGGCTCAATATGCATGCAACCTTGGAGGTCATAGTCTATTAAAATCCACAATGTGGGTGCCTTTGGGCCAAGGCTTGGCCTACTCCATTTTGGTTGTGAATCAACAGTTTGCGCTTTTCTTTTCTTTTCTTCTTCCGTTGCGCGTTGCTTATTTTTGGTCTGCTGTCTTTGCTATCAAAGATGGGCGGCCAACCATTTGATCGGACACCTAACGACTCATATTTCCGTGGTCATCCAAGACGACTCCGGAGACTGATAACCTCATGGATTAGCCATCGGCCGTTAATATTAGGAGGTATACTCTTCTTCTGCGCGGCCATGGTCGTGCTTGGGACTCGAACTTATTTTAACGGTACGTCCAATTTGGCCAGTCGCCTCTGAGACATCGAGATCGCGACTATCACCAACTAAATCTCGAAGGCCGAACGTCCTTTTTTGATACTAATTAAACGCCCAGAGAAAGGAATCGAGATGAGCCAAGCGCAGTCATATCTCGTGAGCAGGATGAGGGACTATAACCTGGACTCAACGAATGTGGCATTAGTATTGCCAAAGACACGCTCTGACGACATTCGGTGGCTCCAGAAATACATCAAGACCCAGTACGCCGAAGACACCAGACTTGACTTCTACACGGCTAACATCGCCACACAAACAGACCCAACACTACACCATTTATATACTCGATGAGCAAACGTCGCGAAAAGGATTTACTTATTCCGCGTTCATCTCGTGGCCGCGAAGTCTCCGCTTACCTCTCATACATCCTCGACCACTATGACAAGCTGCCGCCAGTTTCAATATTCATCCATGCTGGCGAAGAACAACGCCACAATGACTTGTTTGGGCCGAAAACCAAGGTGGTGCTGGAGAATTTACGTCTCGAGGCCGTGGAGGCAAAAGGATATTTGAATTTGCGGTGTCTACATTCACCAGGATGTCCTAGTCATGTCCATCCCAACAACCCCACTGCAATCGACATCAAGAACCGAGATACGCGCGCATATCTTGCGCAGATTTATAAGGAACTCTTTGGGGCGGACAAGCCTGTGCCAGATGTTATTGGAGGCATCTGCTGCGCGCAGTTTGCCGCGAGCCGGGATCAAATACGGCGACGACCAAAGAGCGATTATGAGCGAATGATGAACTGGGTGGACAAGGGAAGTGCGCAGCTTGTGGATAGCTACGGCGTTGGGTGGGTTTTCGAGGTGGTATGGCATATCGTTTTCAGCATGGAAGATATCCAGTAGGTTTAATCTGGAAACGCCCCCAAAGTGCCATTTGTGCTAATTATCCCCAGCTGCCCTATCTATGAGCAATGTCGATGCGACAATTACGGGTGGTGTGGGCCGCTGTCTTCAGGCGAGATTTTGACGCCGGTCACAATGCTTGGGAATACCACGAGGAGAGACTAGCCCCAACATTTCTCTCTGCAACCATACGCATAATTGTTAAACTTATGAGCATCAACGAATTTATATGACACAGGCGCCAGTACTTTAGTGCTTCCGAGGATGAATGCGCAAAAATGATGGCACGTCCTTATACAGCATTGGTCCTCGGAGACCCCGATGAGAGCTGAGTGATTTACCCGCCACACGGCGGTTACAGAGATGCCTACACTATGGACATAGAACATCCCACTAGAACGTGGGGCCATAAAATACAGGTGCTGTAGCAAGGCTATGCCTTGCATCTGGCATACGGTGAGGTATTACGACGGAGAAAAAAAGAAAGAGCATGGAAATTTAATTGAATGTATTTGGTTTTTCCACATCATTATCTCCAGGTTCGGGTTTATCCGCGTTGATCTCAACGACGTTGAGGCCAAACAAAAACGGGTGATTGGTTCATTCACATCGGCGAAAGGGCTTACTTCTATTCAAAGGGGCATGTTAGCTGCTGTCAATGTCTAGAGCCCTAGAGAATATTGTGTTCACATACTCCGCATCCCTTGCAGGTGCAGGTGTTACCGCAAGAGCAGCTTTGGGCACCGCCGGAGCAGTTGCAGCTAGATCCGCAGTCACAAGCCATGGTGATAGATTGATTGTATGAAGAAGATTTTGATGGAATTTTTAACACTTGGGAATATGGAGGAAGAAAGACCTTTGTGTAGAAAGATGGCTTTTTATAGGGACTTAAGGCTCTTAAGACTCACGTCGTCATAGTGGCGTCAGGGAGGGGTATGATTTAATCCTCACCGCCGCGATCCGTTCTTATTTCGGGCAAGGTAATGGAGTAAAATACATTCACGGAGTAATTGTCTTGGAGGTATCTACAGAGGGTTCAAAGTAGGCTTACTACTTAAGTATAGCTGTGGGGAAATCTGGGGTACCCGGGGGGAATCGAAAGCACGCCATACCGTAGACCATTAGTTACCTGTAGTTAAGACTGAGCGCATTTTCAGGCATCAGCTGTGCCTGAAAGCTTTCCACCCGTGGACCACACCTGGGCAAACACTGTGGATGACAAGCATCTCCAGGGATATGGAAGAGCTCCGACTCATCCTGTACTTTAGCACCAACCCTTCCGATTTCCCATCGCTCCTGAGGTCATCCTCAACCCCTTCGAACTTTTATAGATATTTTTACAAAGCAAAGTTCTCACCAGCGCAAAGCCTGTGACCAAGTCCCATCTCCTCCATATGAAATAAAAGAGCCCCATCGCCAGCTGATCTGTGAAATATGGCTATAGACTCGCCACTTCAGTATTTGAGGCCATTTTTGTTCGAGATAGAAAAGCCGTCAAGAGCAAAATCAACTGCAAAGTAAACGTACTCACGGATAAAGATAAAACACCGCACTTCAATGGCAGCCCCTCATCCAAGATATAGCTTTCAATTCACTCGGTTACTCAACGACAAGGTGTTTCCATATAGCCTAGTAAATCGCGGCTCGGGCCATCGACCGTTGCCGAAAGATGGCATCTTTGTGGAGCATAGGCAAGGTCTACAGCCAATCTCATCACTCCAAGAACTATTTCTAAACATTTCACCACCACTGGGCTTTCATAGAACTCCCACGACATTGCCGAGTGTACTTCCCCCCACAAAACCCCAGCTTGGGGAGTGTGGGGGAATTGGGCAATTTGGGATTTGAAAGCATTTCCGCGGAATGAAGCGCTGCTTTCTCCACAAGCATGTTAGATCTTGCCTATAAAAGAAGCCTCGCCCAGACCTGCAATGTGTCTGATGTACTCGCGGCTGCAATTTCTCAAAGATGTATCGGGGGCGAGCTTTGTATATTGCCCAGGTGGTCCTTGTGGTGTTCCCATCCTTCTTTCTGTTTGGTTACAATCAAGTCAATGTCGGGGGTTTGCTCTCCTTCGCAAGCTGGATCAAAGCTTTCCCTCAAATCGATACAATCAGCACAACAGCTAATACCAAATCCCACAATTCCGTGATACAGGGTGTCTATGTCTCCTCTTTCACTCTTGGGGGACTAGCCGGCTCATTATCCTGTTCATTCATTGGCGATGTACTCGGTCGTCGGAAGACGGTCCTCATCGGTGGCATTTTCACTTTGATTGGTGAAATAGTCTCGTGCACTGCATTTCAACTCCCTCAGTTAGTTGTCGGACGCATCATAACAGGCATCGGAATAGGAGTACTCTTCACCATGGTTCCCATCTGGCAGGCTGAATGCTCAAAGCCCACAAATCGGGGAAAACATGTCGTGATCGATGGGATCTTCATAAGCAGTGGCTATGCAATGAGCTACTGGGTCAATTTTGGCTTCTCTCATATGGAAGAGCAGTCTGCATCATGGCGGGTGCCAGTCGCAATGCCAGCTGTCTTGTCCATCATTCTGATTTCATCGATCTTCTTGTTCCCCGAATCACCTCGCTGGCTTGTGCGTATCGGCGAGCGAGCCAATGCAGCCAAACAGCTGGCTCGTATAGGAGATACTGGTATCGATGCAGATGAAGTTCAACGTGAGATTTCCTCCATTGAGTTCTCACTTGAGGAAACCGCCCAGACAGCAGCCTTTGTTAAGGACATCTTCAGTATGAAGGATGGAAAACTCTTTTATCGCTTCATGCTATGTCTTGGTATTCAGTTTTGGATCCAGATGACCGGCGCCAGCGTTATCAGCACATATTCTACCACCATCTTCCGCGAGAACTTGGGCTTGTCAAGCCCACTGTCCCGCATACTTGGCGCCAGCGCCTTGACTTGGAAGTTTCTTGCGTCCTTCGTTTCGTTCTTCACTATCGATCGCTTTGGTCGGAGGAAGCTCTTCTTGTTCTGTGGGGTCGGCGTTACACTGTGCATGACATGCATGGCTATTACGTCGAGCTTTTCGAGTACGAATCATGGTGCCTCTGTGGCCGATGCTTTTTTCCTTTTCTTGTTCAACTTCTTCTTCCCAATCGGACTTCTAGGGCCCAGCTTCCTCTATTGCACGGAGGTTGCACCAATAAGGCTTCGAGTGGCGATGACCTCAATATCCACCGCTAACCACTGGCTCTGGTACGCTTCTCTATCACTATCTCCTGAAGTCTTCGGTTGGAAGTACTAAATTTTATTAGGAACTTCTTAGTGCAGATGATCACCCCCGTCGCACTGGCAAATATAGGATATCAGTACTATATTGTTTATGCTATTATCGGTCTTACCTTCGTTGGGTCAGTGTACTTCTTCTATCCTGAGACCATGGGGCAGAGTCTGGAACAGCTGGACGATTTGTTCCAGAACGACATATCTATTTTGGAGACAGTCAAAATGGCCAAGAGGCTATCCAAGATGCCCGGCACTGCGATGCCGGAAGTGGAGCTCAAAGGGCAGGTGGAGCAGGTGGAGTACTCTGAGCAGTCGGTGTGATCTCATGAAGACGAGCTGGTAACCGTTGAAGCTGGGCAATACGGAGGTACATATCTTGCACAGGTACGAAGATTATTATACTCAAGTATAAAGAGAAAGAGTTTCAAGTATATCTGAAGTAAGTTTATGATAAAACGTTGTGCTATTAAGAGATCTTCATCTTATAGCTACCCCACAGATAGACACCAGCGAGTTGGAATATATTCCAATATTTGTTGGAATCAATATTCTATACATTGGTGTCTATTTTTACGAGAGCATCATGAAGGCGTCAGTGGGAACCTTAAAGTGAGCAGCGATTGATCTGCACGTCAGGTGAGGCAGACGCTCAAAGGAAAAATCAGCCGTAACGGTCGAGTAAAGAGGTCAGAGCTTAGAGCTCAGTAAGCTTTAAAGGTCAGATAAATCATCAGTTGCCACTTGAGAGTGAGATTTTTGTGTCAATTCCAGAGCGAAACTAGACTATTTAATGAGCTGATGTACACTAACTCCATTTTTGGCGGCAAGCCCGGTAAAGCACAACCCAAGCTCACAGATCAGGCAAAATCACAAAGCAAATTGCCAAGTGCACAGCAATCATATTGTGTTATCTTGAACAGTCTACGGAGTAACTTAACCCCATTTCTTTTGATCATAATTTGGATCTTTTTTTCCTCTCATTATTCCACTGTGGAAAGCGGTGATAGCCCTGGAGAACATCAAATACGAAGTAGCTTCGATAAGAGCCTATCGGGGCATCTTACCTGCCCCATCTTCACAATTACAGCAAATCCCCCAATTCACCAATATTCCCAAATTCACACTGTTTGTCATTGCCTGATCTGTGGTCTTGGAGTTGATCATCTGGACCTTGTGACGGAGCTTCCGGATTACTTATCAGATACCCGCTTGAGATCTGCTCACCTGGTTCTTCCAAAGAGCCAGGAGATTGGGCAGATCTAAAGACGTCGAACTGGCTCACAATCCCTCACATCCCTTTATCGCCCCCGACCACCCCGATCTTCCTTTGCCCAACTTAGCTCCCTCGGCAGGCAATCCCGCCTCCGACTACATCTCCACATCAGACCTGTCGTCTCCATCTCGCGCCAACCGCCGCCGCCTGTCCAGCCCCGACTTGCAGGATCCTTTATCCGCCGGACAATCTCTAGCGGGATCAGCACGTGAGCCCGCTCCCCCAGATTACCCCAGCCATTTTGGCCGACCCGACGACAGACCTTCCTCCCCCAAGCGCAGGCGCCTGGTAATCATGCGTCCCGATGGCATCAGAACAGAAAGCGGCTTCCCCGAGGTCTCGAATGGCTCGTACCCTCCAACGCCTAGAAAGACCGCTTTGAACGGACAGTCCTCCGCCAACGGCAACTCCCATGCCAACGGCTCCAAACAACCTTCCAACCCTTCTACCTACTATGGCCATAATCGAGAGGAGGTCACACGGATTCTGATCCAAAGTCTGCATGAGCTTGGGTATACTTCGTCGGCGGCACAGTTAAGCTCGGAGAGTGGCTTTGAATTGGAGACATCGGGTGTCGCAACGTTTCGGAGCGCTGTGCTAGGTGGTAGATGGGTAGAGGCTGAGAGGATCCTAATTCAGTCATTCCAGAATGCTGGTTCTCAACCAGACCAAAAGCCTCCGCCGGAGGAGACACTAGTGTTGGCAGCCGACGCCGACAGGAACGAAATGTTGTTTTATCTACGACAACAGAAATTCCTGGAGCTACTAGAAGAGCGGGATTTAGCTGCGGCCCTCGGTGTTCTTCGGCAAGAGCTGACGCCTTTACACTTCGATGTTGACCGTCTTCATGCTCTTTCGAGGTATGTGAACCGGCCATATCTAAAGTGTACGAGTGCGCGATTTACTGATTGTCTTTGTGCAGTCTACTTATGTGCCCGACTGAGCTATTACATGATCAAGCGGGGTGGGATGGACCTGTTAGTGCATCTCGCGAACGACTTCTTGGCAAGCTATCGAGTAAGGATAACCGAGAGATATGCATGGTAACACAGATTTGCTAACTCAGCCGCAGAATCAATCTCACCGTCAGTGATGATCCCCCAGCATCGTCTGGCAATCCTGTTAGACCATGTCAAGTCAACTCAGATCAACAACTGTTTATATCATAACACTGCCGAGTCGCCGTCCCTTTACTCAGACCACATGTGCGACAGAAATGACTTTCCTCTAGAGGTCGGGGTGGATTTGACCGATCATTCCGATGAAGTGTGGTACTGCGAATTTTCGCATGATGGCTCAAAGCTGGTCACTGCTGGCAAGGATCAAAAGGTTCTCATTTACGATACGGCTGATTTCAGTGTTATTCACAAGCTCATGGATCATGAGAAGGGGGTGGCATTCGCCAGCTGGAGTCCAGATGATACAAAACTGATTACATGCTCACAAGATAACAAAGCACGAGTATGGAATGTTGAGGTAAGATGCTCCAATCTCTATCTCGGCAAGCAGTCACAGCATGTTAACTGAAGCTGGGGATGGGTATAGAATGGTCGTTGCCTGCTCACCATCAATCACCATCGCCAACCGGTAACGGCGGGCGCTTGGGCGGCAGATGGCGAGTCTTTCGTAATAGCGTCTCTTGATTCCGAATCTCAGCTCCGTCATTGGAGTATACGCGGCCAATCCCTATACACCTGGAAGAGCGGTTATCGCGTACAAGACTGCGCTGTCAGTGCCGATGGCCGACGCCTCGTTGCCGCCGATACGGAAGCCAAAATCCATGTCTACAACCTTCTCACATACGAGGAAGACTACTGTCTTCCACTACCCAGTAAACCGACATCTGTTGCCATCAGCCAGGATTCTCGCCATATCCTCATAAACCTGGCCGAGGGTGAGATTCAGCTAGTCAATATGGAAACCACGGCTGTGGTCCGTCGCTTCAAGGGACAGAAACAAGGCGAATTCGTCATTCGTAGCACTTTCGGAGGAGCGGCCGAGAACTTCATTGTGAGCGGTAGCGAGGGTGAGTTTCTCAGACATGAACATATTGAAAACGGTGCTAATAGTTTCCAGACTCCAAGGTCTACATCTGGCACAAGGAAAACGGAAGTCTCGTTGAGACTCTGGATGGTCACATCGCAGGCTGTGTGAACTCAATATCATGGAATCCAGCCAACCCGGGAATGTTCGCATCAGCAGGTGATGATAACACAGTGAGAATGTAAGCATACCTCTCACCCTGATATCAGACACTACTAACACCAACCAGCTGGTCAAGAAATTGTAACAGACCCCGTCCAGGTCCCGCGCCTCGCAGCCGAGTCCCTTCCAATGGAGTAACGCAGACTAGCGCTTTGAGAACCACCACCTTCCCTTCGTGATTATGTATTGCAGAGAATTCGCATCATGACTCCACCTCTATCTCAACTTGACTATTATTTCCTTCGTCTCGTACCTTGGTGACATACCCAGAGCTTTGGATTGGGTTATAAACGTGTCCCGCTACCCCGTTTCTTGACTCTCGTTTTTCTTTGGCACATCATGGAGGAATTCACTGTGTTCCCTGCATATAAGTCGTATGAACATTGTTTGGGTTTACTGCTTTGGGGATCACTGTCTGTCGTCAGCTCTATTGGCGGAGTCCTAATATGGTGACTGGACATTGGCGATCATCTACCAGAGTGAGGTTTGGATTTGAGGAGTACATATGGATGTTGTATCGTTTTGTTGGTTTCAAGCCGAGTCTTTGTTTCAGGAAGTCATCTTGGTTGTTCCACTTCAGTCATGAGATGTCTGCTAATTCTATCACTATGTTGCATTTGGCTACCATTCATGGATTAATTCCATAATTAAGGTCGTATAAGTTTCCACACCCTGGAGGTACGTATTCATGTCAGCTCGACAGGATACATTTAGACATGAAACCCGCCCAGGTGGGCTATTATACACCGACTGCTGCACCGATTGATATGTAAAAATATGATTGATTCCATGATTCATGATCCCTATTTGCGCAAAGTGAAAATGAAACTCCTAACTCGAGAAGACCCTGCTACTTAGGTCGATGACCTGGTAAATTAAAAAAAAAAAAAGCAAAATCGTAAACACCCCCTGGGATGTGAAAGTTGGCTGGCATTTTTGAGCTGGAGTTTGTATGATTAGCGAAGTTCAGTAGTCCAGTTAGAAAAAAAAAACACTTACTGAAATACGTAGATAACCCCTTTCCCCCACGCTACAGCTGGCCTTATATTCTCAATTTGTGACTCTTGCCAGCTAAGGACCAAGCCTAATCAGTGAGGCAGTATGGGCGAAATTCCAAGCATCAAGAAGTGCCAGGCGGCTTTTGATAGAAGAAATATTGTAGACACAGAAATTGATCCGGCGATTATGACAGTAGATCGGCAACTAAAGCGTGTTCGTTAGTATGATATGGTAAAATAGGAGAAAATTGTTCGTTTGGCATACCGTTCATTGGCATCTCGTCGATCTGGGTGGAGTAGTACAGCTCGATGTCACGAAGGATGCGGACATCGTCGCTAGTAACAAAGTTGATAGCCACACCCTTGCGGCCGAAACGACCACTACGACCAATACGGTGAATGTAGTTCTCACGGTTAGTGGGAAGGTCGTAGTTGATGACCAGAGACACCTGTTGCACATCGATACCACGAGCCCAGACATCAGTGGAAATAAGAACACGAGAGCTACCCTGGCGGAAGTCTTGCATAATGCTGTCACGTTCCTTCTGGGGCATCTCGCCATGCATGCTGGAAACAGTGAAGTTGGCCTCGCGCATCTTATCGGTAAGCCAGTCGACCTTGCGGCGAGTGTTGCAGAAGATGACAGCTTGTGTGATGGTCAGAGTATCGTAAAGATCGCAAAGTGTGTCGAACTTCCACTCCTCCTTCTCAACAGCAATGAAATATTGCTTGATACCCTCCAGAGTCAGCTCGTCACGCTTCACCAGAACTCGAACGGGATCGGTCATGAACTTGGTAGTCATGTCCAAGACATCGTATGGGAGAGTGGCAGAGACCACGACGACCTGCGTCGCGGGGGGCAGGTAGCGGTAAACGTCGTAAATCTGCTCGCGGAAACCACGGTTCAAAAGCTCGTCGGCTTCATCAAGGACAAGCATCTTAATGTGGCGGGTGCGCAGATTGCGACGACGGATCATATCGGCCACACGACCGGGGGTTCCTGACACAACGTGCTGGCCGTAGTCGAGCTTGCGGATATCCTCGCCGATGTTGGTTCCTCCAATACAGGCGTGGCATTGAACGTTCATGTAGTCACCGAGGGCCATGACGACGGATTGAATCTGTGTCGCGAGTTCACGAGTCGGGGACAGGACGAGAGCTATTACAAACGCTGTTAGCATGAGATACGACTGAACTGATAGACAGGTGAAATACCCTGAGTCTCCCGCACAACGGTATCGATAATTTGCAGTGTACTGATTGCGAATGTAGCGGTTTTACCAGTACCGGACTGAGCTTGAGCGATGGTGTCGCGACCTTTGCAGATTTGGACAATGGCACGCGATTGCACGGCTGAGGGGGATTCGTATCCGTAAGCGTAGACTCCACGAAGCAGACTCTCCTTCAGGTGCATGTCCTCAAAGGTTGGGGCCACTGTGACCTCTTTGGAGGTGTTGAACTCCATGCGCTCTGGATGCTGTCAGTATGGCTTCACTTTGGTGGATTTTGGGTTGTCATACCCTCCGCGCGTCTGTCGATTCCGTCCGCCATGATGAATGATTTGTTACTTTGGCAGGAAGAAAATAAAAAACCGAGGATTCACGAATAGTGAAAGCCTTGAAGTCAGTGAGGTCAACGGCTTAACTTTTCGCGGTGGAAGTGGTTCGGGTCACATGACCCACCCGCAAGCTGCAGCTGCCAATCGCCGGCCTCATTTTGCGACCATCACGATACTTTGTCGACACTCTTTGCGCGCAGCTTGAACGTGCCCAGTCACCACCGCACTTACAAGATGTTGCTCGAAGACCAACGATTTATCCAGGAGGATTTGGAACGACTCGAGCAGGCCATTGCAGAGCGCGTGGCAGAAGAGCCACGAAACGTGAGTACTACTTTTTTCAATTGTCGGCTACATTCTGACCATATTTGATTCACAGATCCGCGATCGCCTTTCTCGCGACCATGAGGTAGCTCAATTCTTAGAAAGAATTGAGGAGCAATCAAAGCGACTCCTGGAAATCTACAAGGATGCCGATGGGCTGCGGGAGAGAGAAGTGCAGTCAATTTCGACTGGTGAGCAGTTTGAGGAGTTCTACAAGGGACTCGGTGAGATCAAAGAGCACCACAAACGGTATCCGAACGAGCCAGTCGAAAATCTTGAACAAGCATACAAGCGCCATCACCCCGGTGAAGGAGAGCACCATGTCAGCGAAATCGATAAGATGTTCACCGGCGAAGAAGGATTTGGACAATACCTGGACCTCACAGCTATGCATGAACAATACCTGAACCTTCCTGGGGTGAAGCGTTTGTCCTATGTCCAATTCCTCGATGTTTTCGACTCTTTCACACCCCCAGCCATGTCTATCAAGCGAAAGGACAAGGTTTCCGATCGTTACTTCAGCTACGTTGGAGACCTCTCAAGTTATCTGGAAAGCTTTGTCAAGAAGGTACGACCTTTGGAGGACACAGACAAACTGTTTGCCAAGTGCAACGATGAATTTGAGGAGCAGTGGGCAGCTCAGAAGATTCCTGGTTGGACGGAAGAAAATGTCCAGAAAGGAACATCTGGCCCAACAACCGAGGGAACTGGTGAGGGCATCTGGTGTCCCGATTGCGAGAAGGAATTCAAAAACGATAACGTTTATCGCAACCACTTGACGGGCAAGCGACACATCCGCGCGGCCGAGGTTCGAAAGGCGTCCGGCGCATCTGGCGAAAAGTCATCCACGTCCGTTGCCACGTCGGCCCACCGTCTGAAGGAGCGTGAGGTTGCACGCCGAGAGCATGTAGTTCGAAGCTTGACAGCCGTCCTCAAGGGAGAGCGCCAGGCATCAAGGATCAACGTCGAGCGCCGACAAGGTATGACCGAGCGTGAACGTCAACAGGAGCTTGATGCTCTAATGGCTGGAGCGGAGACCCTTGGCCCGGAGGGCCCAGTCGGCGAGGAGTCAGAGGATGAGGGTGAGGAGCGAGTTTACAACCCACTTAAACTGCCCCTCGCATGGGATGGAAAGCCCATTCCCTACTGGCTTTACAAGCTCCATGGACTTGGCGTTGAATACAACTGTGAAATTTGTGGTAACTACACCTACATGGGTCGGCGAGCATTCGACAAACATTTCTCCGAATCACTCCACATCTACGGCTTGAAATGTCTTGGGATCACATCAAACACAAGCCTCTTCCGTGAAATCACAAATATCAACCAAGCCATGGCGCTTTGGGAGCAAATCGAGAAGGATCGGAAGAAAGACAAAGATACTCGTGAGAACGTCGTTCAGATGGAGGACGCAGAGGGTAATGTCATGCCCGAAAGGATCTACTTGGATCTGCAAAAGCAAGGTATCCTCTGAGGTGTTATGTGCAAAACAAAAGGGCAGGAGTTTGGCGAATATGGAACCACAGTGTACTATCAACAATCAAGCATTTCCAGCGATATCAATCGATAGATGTTTTCATACTCATAGATGCCTCAGGGTCAGATCTTAAAGTGGTCACGTGCCCACGTGTAATCTGGCGCGCCCCCGACTCTGGATTTTCGCGTTCCCTCAGTGGGAATTCCGACCAAAAGCACAGAGAAGTTTCCAACGCTGTTTGTTTCTGGTGAAACCGACGGGTTGATGCACTCGGCATGAGTCATGGGATTCAAATATGCGCATCTTTGTGATCTACTTGACAACCTAGATAATGGCCGAGCATCTAGTGGGTCAACTGCAGCCCTCAAGGCCAAACCAGACATCCAAGCAGTTGCCCAGTGGTTCACCAGACATGAGCGGGCGGTTCACGACCCAAAAACTGACAGAGTAGCATTGCTCTCGTGTATGTTTCCTGAAAAGCGAACCGACCGAGTATATTGGTTGGGAGCAAACCTCCTATCCAGGGTTATCGGGCGATGTCTGGGACTTGGAACCTCGCGACTTGAGGAGCTCAACCGATGGCAGTCCGCAGGCAATGCCGACCTCGGAAAATGCGTCGAGATCGTGATGTCTCAAGCGGAGAACTATGTATCACCCGGGCAGGAACTGCTGGTGGAAGAGATTGATCGTGCCATGGAGGCGATTGCATCGCGATGTCGCTTCTCTAACCCTCAGGTTCGTCGAAATCGATCAGCAGTCGATTGTGATTCAATCTTGTCCTCATTGTATCGTCGATCCAGCAGCCGCGATGCCAAGTGGCTCACCCGCATGATCCTGAAAAGCTATGCGCCTATCGTTTTCCCCGAAAAGTATACTCTCAAGAAGTTTCACTTTCTCCTACCGCATCTGTTCCTACTGCAGAACTCTTTCGACGGGGCGCTGGAAATGCTCGCGTCGGAACCAATCAATCATTTCCCACCCAATCCTGATCCACAGTCAGCCAAAAGCCTTAGCTCCATTGCAATGCAACATTTGAGGCCTCGGGTTGGTATTAAAGTTGGACGTCCTGGCTATTACAAAGCCCGAAGTATCAAGCATTGCCACCAGATGGTCAATGGTCGACGCATGAGCATCGAGAGGAAATACGATGGTGAATATTGTCAGATACACGTCGACATGTCAAACAAATTCGCCCCGATCCAAATCTTTTCAAAAAGCGGAAAGGACTCAACTGCAGATAGAGACAAGGTTCTACCTGTGATAGAGGAAGCGCTGGGGCTGGGGAGTTCGGACTGTAAAATTAGCGGACGCTGCATCCTCGAAGGGGAGCTTCTTGTATGGAACGATGAGGATGCTGAGATCATGGACTTTAATAAACTCCGAAGGCTGCTATCCAGATCTGGCGTTTTGCTGGGTGTTGAAAACGATTCTCCGTATAGACCCTTGCCCTGATCTGGAATTAGCTGATGCTAACCTACACAGGCCACAACCTTTTGAGCACTTGATGATCATGTTTTTCGATATCCTCATCCTTGATGAAGACATTTGTCTATCTAAGCCTCACCGAGAAAGACGATTACTTCTCCAGAAAGTGGTGCGGAGAATCCCAGGCAGGTCTGATCTTGCGCACCAAGAAGTGCTGGATTTCAGCCGAGACGACAGCTATCATCGCCTTGGAAGGAGCTTTGAGAAGGCGATCACCCACCGTTGGGAGGGATATGTTCTCAAGGCTTCTGATGAACCCTACTTCCCAATCTATTCGACCGGCGTTGATCAAATGTTTGGCCGATGGATCAAGCTGAAGAAGGATTATATTCCTGGACTTGGAGACACTGTTGACCTGGCTATCATTGGAGCGAACTACAACTCTCGAGATGTGCAAAGTCTATCGCAAATCAGAAAATTAAAGTGGACTCATTTCTTTGTTGGTTGCCTACTGAACAAAGAAGAGTTGCAAGATGGTTCACTTCCACATTTTAGAGTGGTTGATGTGATCGGTCGGCACAGCATGAGCTTGCAGAACATGCAACTTCTGAATCAATTTGGGGAGTTTTACGAATGCTCATCCGACAGTTTTGAGGGCTTTGCCGTGGAATATGGACACAATGGTCTCTCCAAAGCTACCACCTGGTTTAAGCAGCCCTTTGTGGTTGAGATGCTAGGCAGTGGATTTGAAAAGCCGCCCGGTGGTAGATACTTCTCGCTCCGATTTCCTCGGATTCTCAAGGTTCATTTGGATAGGACGATGGAAGACACCGCTTCCTTTCGGGGGCTTCAAATACTCGCCGAAGACGCCCGAGCTTTGCCTCTAGACGAGGTAGAAGAGCTAAAGCACCGAGTTGAATGGTCCAAACGCCTCGGACTTGGGAGCGAACTCACCCAGTCCACTGAAACCGCCTCAGACCCAGAGGCTACATGTTCGGACACTGATTCTGAGCCACCCTCGCCGGTGTCTCAAATACCTTTCGCGCCAACTGCTTCAGAGGATAGTTATATGGAAGCATGTCCATTGATGGATTGTTTTCTTGATGAAAAACCGACCAAAAACCCCCTTAGCCAGCCACTGGACAGTCACCCAAGGGCCCCTTCAATATACACTGATGTGGATGCGCTGCCCATTGAGCCTGAGAAGTCAGTATGCGAAAGCAGCGTGCTGGTTAATAACATTAATTTGGCGTTTAATCAAAATCCCACTCAGAGTGATGAGCAGAGGCCTTCTCTTCATTCGGATAAACCAGCACCAACCAACTTGCTCCAGGACCCAGCAAAAGCGAAATCGACAGTCGCTGGTCCACCAAGCCCAACAGGCTCGACCAGACTTTCTCCTGTGCGCAAGATCCTTTCCAAAGATTCGCAACAGCGGCAACCAGGAAGTTCAAGGATCGAGTCATCTCTTCCCTCGTTGAAGAGGAAAGGATCCCCTCAATCGCCCTTGACAACCATTCCTCTGTGGACACCCGAAACATCATTTGGAAGCTTTACGCTCCCAGAAACAGACCAAACCCACTACCAAGATATAAACTCGAACAGCCTGCAGGAATTTGTCCAGAGACTGAGCTCAAATGCAACAGCATTCGCACTCCAGCAATCGAACCCGCATGCTGCATTACAGGGAACAAAATATGGGATAGTTCTATTTGATCCTAAGATGACTGCATTAGGCGAAGAAATGCGAAGAGTCGTGACAGTCCTTTCTACACTTGCCCATATTGGAAAAGACTCGGTGGCTCTTGTCGGGAAGATCTTCTTCTTGGGATCCGGTATGCTAACCCTAGATATCCGACCCGACGACTGTCGCTTCTGTCTGCGTGAAACGTGGGAGAAAATTGGATCTGACCATTACTATGGGTGTGTTAGATGGGATCTTCGTGGAGGACCAGGTGCCTATACTGCCGATAAGGTGAAATATACATCGATCTCAAAACCAACCTCGGCCGCCGATCAATGCTCGCAGGCGCTCACAAAGCCTTGGGTCAACATCTCATTTAATGACTCCGAGATTGCTGTGTTAGGTGAATACACGTCAATCGAACCACCTACCCATGTCGAAGATCTCTGATACCCCCTGCTTTTTACCTTGCTTTGTACAAATTATATGGCTCATACATAATACGAATTTTTCAATTGTCTTGTTTACTTGTTAGGGGTCTAAGTCATGGTGGCATGCCTCATCATTGAAAAGTCGTGGCTATTATTCATGAACACTAACTAGTACTTAAGTAAAGCGCCTCGCTATGATGCAATCAATGGACCATCTCAGAGTCTAAGAACTAGTTAGCATCTTCCCTCCTCGCTCGCACATCTCTCATTAACGCCTTAGCCTCCTCTACTTCTATTCCATCCTGGCAAAGTTCGCCAGCCAGCTGGTCTGCGCGATCTAAATCACCATTCCGTGAAGCATATTGGGCCAGCCACAACCGTGCCTTGGACGTAGTAGCCGTGACACCAGTACCATTCCATGACTCGCTCACGAGTGAGTCGTCATTCTGCGCAGCAAAGGATTCCTTGGCACGACGAGGCTTGCGGCTGTGACGGGTTCGGCGTGGACGGTCTGGATCCTCATCACCTGAATGCTCGATCTCGGCATCGCTTGGGCTGGTGTGTTCAGAATCAGAGGAAGATTCCGCGTCAGAATTCTCATTCACGGGAGCGCCAGACTCCTGTTGAAGAGTAAGTTCCATATACGCCGCAGCTTCTTCTTCGTCACCAAGCCGCTCATATAGAGTTGCAATCTGGTGCAAAGTTTCTGGATCGAGGATCTTGCGAGATACGGAGCCAGGGCTTGAACCGCCATGGCTACCTTCATCTGGTTGCAGTGAGCCGGCCACCAGGGCACGCTTGAGAGCTTGTATACTCTGCTCCACGCGGCCCATCTTTGCATAGCATGAGCCGACGGCTTGCCACATTTTTGGGTCGTAAGGACGCAATGCTGCAGCGCGTTGGTAGTAGAATAGAGCGTAGAAAGACATATCCAAGACTTCATATGCTTGTCCGAGACCATACCAAGCGCGGTAGTCCTTGCGGTTGACATCGACTGCCCGGCGGTATGACTCGATGGCAGTGTGAGTGTTTTTCATTTCAATATACTCGTGGCCCATTAGTGTCCACGCCGACAAGAAGTTGCGATCCAGAGTAAGGGCGCGACGGAAATACATGACTGCCTTCTCATGTTCTGATTTCAGAGAATAGTAATTGCCAACAACGCAGCATGTTTCTGGGCGGAATTTGTCGGTGGCGGTTGCAACTTGGGCAACGAAGGCAAGTTGTGGTCGATGATCCATGACATAAAGGATATTGGAATAATGATCGAGACTGTCTAGACGGTGGGGCGAGGTAGTCAAGATGTCCTCAAAAATATGAGAGGCTTCCTCGAAGTCTGGATAAGGTTAGCCACTTGCAAACAGACATCTTGACAAATAGTGAAGTACCTTTGGAATGATACAGCAGTAGTGCATGTTGTGTCTTGAGGAATGCACTTTCTGGGAACATTGTCTGCAGCTCGGATAATGACCGATATGTGTCTTCTGTCGCTTGATATAACTCTTGACTGCAGTAAACATAGAACACCAGGCTCATGACGTTTTGGGGTAAAAGCTCCAGGATTTGTCTCAGCTGCCGAATAGTTAGAAAACAATAGAAGCAAGATAAGGAGAAATAATATACTTACATCTTCTGTGCTGCCCAAGAGGTCGTTCAGCTCTTGCCAGGCACCCCAATGGTAAGGGTTTTTGTGGACAGAGCGAATGAGCCACTTTTTTGCCAACTCTTCGTTCCTCCCTTTCAAAAGGACAACCGCATAAAGGTATTCAAGCCAGCCTTGCCCTCTATCATCTAGCCCTCGTGCGGTTCGATCTGACAGCCACCCGTCCAAACCTCTCGCAAGTCCAGATAATTCCCGATTCACTGCCATGCCGCCATCTGCTGGGCCCAGCACCATCTCCGTCTCTTCATCTTTGCGTTTCTCTCCGGCCAAGTATTTGGCGTAGAGAGCAAGAAAGAGAGACTTTTGACTCAGTTTGGGGTACGGGTTCTGGGTTGGTGGTTTCGATATCTTTGATCCTTGGAACGGGGAACCTGTATCTTTGCCTTTCTTGGAGGTGCGCGATGTTTTGGGTTTAGAGTTGGGCGAGGTCACTGACAGAGGGACCGGAGGCGTGCTTGGAGGAAGGAATACAGCTGCACAGCGGTCATATTCACGGGTGTCGAAATAAGACTTGGCCAGCAGGTATTTATACGATTCCTGTGCCTCGAGGACAACTTCAGCTGGATCACGGATCTGTATGTATGGATTGGCGGGTGGTGCAGGCGGGTCTGTCATGTCCATCGGGGATTCGAGATCAGTGTCGTCATGGTCCAAAGGTCGTAGCGAATCGAGCATCTCGGCTGCCCTGATGTCACAATCACGGTCAGTTGGAAAGCTCATTTGGCGAGTGTAAACCATACCATTTTGAAGATTGATAAAGACATCGCTCAGAGCACTTAATGGCAGCGCTTTCCAGCTGGTACATCAGCTCACGAATGCCATCATCTGTGGGTTCCTCCATGGCGTTCTTTTGCTGCAAGGTGATGCAATGAATATGCTTCTGGGTCCAATTTTACGGCGCCTTGCAGAGATCGCAGTTATCTAGAGGTTGAGTTTGACGTTCGATCTCATGCTTCGTTCGCGCCAATCAAAGCTTCGATGCGATTTGCCGTGAAATTGAAATGCGGTTGTAAACAAGTGGATTTGTTCACCCGCATGTAAGTTGGAGAGCGCGTGAAGGAGTCGTGATCTGTACTTGAGCTGAAGCGACTGGACGGGGGCTTTCGTTTAGTTTTGAAGCCTGAATACACACTGCAGTGGGCTATTCGGCACGAAGGAATTCCAATGTAGCTCTGTTGCGGGAGGAACCCAATACAAACACAGCAAACAGCGGAGCGGCAGTATACACTATCGTCGGCATATCCCACCGCCTTTCTGTCTGTCCACTGCGCATACTCCGTGGTGGTTGCCAGCTCTGTCTAACCAATGCTAATATGCGAGCTTCCCTGCAGGGCTTTTCATGTGCCTTTAATTATTTCGGTCTCGATTAGCATTATTTTGCGCCTTCATATGGAAGTAGAAAATGTGATGAGCGGAGGCTAGTCAGGAGTAATATGCCAAAGTAGCTGTTCTGCCCCTCCGTACAAACCAAACTGACCAAACCGTCCCTCCGCGGGGAAATGGCCTCCTGGATTTTGGTGTTTTTGTCCTCTCATTGTTTTCATTGACGTTCCACAACGCATTAATCATGACTTCTACCAAGCGCGCTGACTTCGAGGCCATCTTCCCCTCCTTGGCCCAGGATATCCTGGCTCATGCGAAGCGGTACAACCTTCCTCAAAATGCCCTCGAGTGGCTCGAGAAGGTATAATGCTCTGTCAAACCTTTGTCCAATTGAATCACTGACACGATTTCCTGGAACAAATAGGCCATCAATGTTAATGTTCCCGGTGGCAAGCTCAACCGTGGCCTCTCGGTCCCGGATACCGGTATCGCTCTCCTCCAGAAGCCCCTGACCGAGGAGCAATTCGAGCACCTCAGCATTCTAGGATGGATGACCGAGTTGCTCCAGGCTTTCTTCCTGGTCAGTGATGACATTATGGACAGCTCTATCACCCGCCGTGGCCAGCCCTGCTGGTACCGCCAGGACGGTGTCGGTCTGATCGCCATCAACGACGCCTTCATGCTGGAGTCAGGTATCTACCTGATTCTGAAGCAGCGCTTCCGTTCGCACCCTGCCTACATCGACCTCGTTGAGCTCTTCCACGAGACCACATGGCAAACCGAGCTCGGTCAGCTTTGTGACCTTATCACCGCCCCCGAAGACAACGTGAACCTCGACAACTTCTCCATGGAGAAGTACATGTTCATCGTCACCTACAAGACAGCCTACTACAGCTTCTACCTGCCCGTTGCCCTTGCTCTGATTTACCTGCAGGTCGCGACTGAGGAGACCCTCAAGCAGGCTCATGACATCCTGATCCCTCTCGGTCAATACTTCCAGATCCAAGACGATTACCTTGACAACTTCGGTGACCCCGCCTTCATCGGAAAGATTGGTACCGACATCCAGGACAACAAGTGCTCTTGGCTCGTCAACCAGGCCATCCAGCGCTGCACTCCTGAGCAGCGTGCGCTCCTTGATGCCTCCTACGGCCGTAAGGACGCTGCCGAGGAGGCCAAGGTCAAGGCCCTCTACAAGGAGCTTGATCTCGAGAACGTCTACAAGCAGTACGAAGAAAAGGTTGTGGGTGAGCTACGTGAGAAGATCGCTGCTGTGGATGAGTCCAAGGGTCTGAAGAAGGAGGTGTTCGAGGCGTTCCTCGGCAAGATCTACAAGCGCACTAAATAGAGAGTTAGGCTCTGTGAAGTCAGGATACCCCTCGTTTGATTGAAGCGAGAAAAAAACATAATATTTCGATTCGACAACGTCTATGTACAAGAGAATTTGACATCTCATTATTGTCTGATTTCTAATTTTGCCGATTGCGATAAACTTTTGTTCTGGTAGGTAATGTGCATGAAATCAAGCTCACAGTCGCAGGAAAAAGCAGTTTCGATTCAAGCGAAACGAACATTCTATATTTACAAATGAGGGGCATTCAATGCCATCAAGCAGATCAAGCCCGAGATCAATCCTGCACAAGGCAGAGTCAGGACCCAGCCACCAAAGATGAAGGCCAACTGCCTCCAGTTAACAGCACCAAGATCATAGTTCATGAGCGCCACACCCATAGCAGCACCCGTCAAGCACTGTGTTGTGGAAACAGGCAATGCAAGTCGTGAAGCCAAGAGCACGGTGATCGCGGCACCAAGCTCAACACTGAATCCACGCGTGGGTGACATCTGTGTGATCTTATTGCCCAGGGCACGAACAATATGGTATCCATAAAACCAGAAGCCCAGACCGAGTAACAGACCCGCAACGACAAGGAACCAAATTGGTGTTGGGGCCTCAGTCTCGACAACGCCAGCATTGTACGTACTGTACACAGCAGCCCAGGGCCCAACAGCGTTGGCCACATCGTTTGATCCGTGAGCAATGGACATCATCATCGCAGACACAACTTGGCAGTATGTCCACAGATGCTCAACTCGATCGTCGTAACGGTGTGCGCGAGCATGGATTGCTCGCAGCTCGGGCGAATCGTGTGTGATCACATCCCGCGTCACACCCTGCAGCAGAATCCACTTCAAATATCCGTAATACTTCTGAGGATTGGTCCACGAAAGGTGTCGAACTGGGTCGATGAACCGTTCGGTTGGCTCGAGGTGCTTCTTGCGTGGCTTGATCTCCGGTGATGATGTGGTCGAGTCGAGTTTCTTCTCTTCGTCGTCGCCTACATGCTCTGACTTGGTCTGGGGTGTGATTTCGGGCGTCGGCATGACAGAGTTGGCGTTGGTTGTGGTGTTCTCCTTTTCGGCGTCTTTCTGCCCGGCGCGCACTTCACCATAGGCATCTTCGTAATAGCTGATCACCACTTCGTCGCCCTTTCCTGGGAAGTACAAAGGTGGGTTGTCTCTCAGCAGAAGAGGGCCGAGCGGAATGTGGTAGAACTTGATGCGGGCGTCCTTGTGGATAAGACGACGCTTGAAGTAAGGCATGAAAAAGACATAGGCGACGAGAAGACAACCGAAGAATACTCCGATGATGATGCCGGCAGCTTTGCCGGCACCGAACTCTTCCAAAGAAGGTGCTGTGGGTGCTTCGACCACGATGAACAGCGCGAGGATGGCACCAGTCATGGCAAGATAGACCGGAATCAAGCGCATTGCCCATTTGAAAGAATCGGCCCGCTCGAGCACGCTGTACTTGAGCGTGCCGAAAATTATAGCCGAGAAACCAGCTGCCACAAGCGGGGCGATACCCCAAGATGCGGCGACCTGAGAAACACTTCCCTTGGACCAGCCCCAGGAAATGGAAGCCTGAGAAGCAAAGCCAACTCCAACAAGGGCACCGACGATGGTCTGGGTGGTTGAGACAGGCCAGCCCATCTTAGTGGCAAACATCAACCAAGTTGCACTGCCGACCTCTGCACAACCCATGGCCAGCATGAGGGCACCGGGCTTGCCTTCGTACCGATCGATACCGATAATTCCATTCTTGATTGTATCCGTGACTCGGGCGCCCATGGCTACTGCACCAATGAACTCTGTGAATATCGCCAAGACACCGGCCGTGGCCATGTTGAGTGTCCTGGCAGCGATAGAGGTTGCATATGCATTGGATACATCGTTCGCTCCGTTACCGAAAGCACTGAAGACGAAGGCAATCGAGATAATGGCGAGAATCCAGTCGTACTTCGCTGTTGCGGCGGGCGCCATATTGGTGAAGGGTGCTTAGCCACTGAGTGGCTGAGAAAGTGATTTGAGAAAGGAGTTTTGACTTGCTGCTTTCTATCATGCAGGTTCGATACTGCACTTATACAAACCGCGAGTCATGCCATGGCTATCGCCAAGTGCGGCTGGTAATGGAACCCTATCATGACCTTGGCCCAGTCCAGATCCCGCCGCACACGACAAAATCTCTCAACCCATCACAAATATACCAGCAAAGGCGTGCACTCGATGAAACTCTGTCATTGGTTGAGTCCTGGGCGAATTATTCCGACAAGCGAGGTAGAGCGGGAGTTGGCGCCAAGCCTGAAGAGCGGATGCCAAGAGCGGACAAAACTCGCTTTCGAATAATGACTGAGTCGAGGTGGACTACTTCAGCCAGTTATGATCCTTGTTCTGGCACGTTCCTGGACGACGAGACGCGATTGCACGTTTAATAGAGCTTAAAATGGGTTCTGTACGGGTGCCGAGAATCTTGGAAAGCTGGGCGGCTCGGCGGAGGAAGCACTGCCTTCGCTTGGCATCTCAAGGTGGGTGGCAAGTTGGAAAACCTGCAATGCTCGGAAGCAGCACGTTGCATGAACTTTGGTTCAATGTTGAAGTGGGATGCTGGTAAAGTATCCAATTGGCTTACCTATTCACCCGGGCAAATGAATACCAAAGCTCTGGCTCATGATTCCAGGCCAGCCATCTAAAAATTCGGACCTCTGTCCCTGACTGTGATGGTAATGGATGCCCCGTTTATTTTCGCTCTTATCTTGCCTGGAAACTTACCTTGAAAATTACTAACTCATAATTAGTGACTGAAGCTCAAATTCTCTCTCCTCCCCGGGATACAAATATAACAACAATGCACTTAGGAAGTGGTCGGCCGGACTTTGAGTAACCTCACATCACTCGGTGGGATACCCGCGATTATCTCCAGGCCCTGCTGTTCTGTCGGCCCTTGATCAGGCAATACGACAAATGGACATACTTAAGTACTCCGTAATTACCTATATCAGACGATCATTGGCTCGAAACCCACTTGAGCAGGCATCCTGGCCTAACACACCCCAAATAGTCATTTCTTAAGTAGGCCTTGGGTGCTCAATTAGTCAAAACGCCCCAAAATGCAACCAATCAAGATTCTTCACTTTATCCCTGTGCTCAAGAGCTGCTCAAGTGTATGGCCCTCTCCATCCTTGGCGACTACCCAAAACGATGACGTACTTGCTTATCCTGAGCTTTAGAACCTTCGAAAGTCACTTGAAGGTCGAAACATTTTCTTATACTTAGGTCCCAAATGGCATTTACTTCAGTAAATTCCAATAAAACTTAGAATCCCAGCGGGGTCCTATTTATTTTGCCACGAAGGAGATTCTAAAGTTCCAATCATTGTATATCATCGAGAGCGCTCAAGAGGATTCAACAGCCCTAGAGGTCTTGGGTGTGCCTGCAGCCAGCTCGGCAGAGATCAGGGCGACTTAACCAGGTGGTCGGCGCTCTACTTAAGTATGCGGCAACTTTAGAAATTTCAACTTTCAACAAAATGAAATGAGTACGAGCTTCAACTTAAGAGTTTGCGTACATTCAAAATCGCCATGGGGCTACTTACATGATGGGCAGTGATATATTCCTCCAAACGTATATCTCGGCTCCGGGGCATGTCTGGTCACAGTAGAGTAAAAACCAGTGACAGAAAAAGTCATGTAATGTAGCCAAGGCCCAAGGTCTGGAAACAATAGTAGAAATAAATATCAGAGAACGAGTAGCACAAAATAAAGAAAAGGGCAGTTTGTGCTGTTTCAATGAGAAGCTCAAGCCAGCAAGGTTCCATCGCCGACTCTGAAAAGCCGCTTCCACCTACTAGAACCAACTTGCCGTGGGGATTCCTGAGATTATTGCAAAGTTCATCTTGAATTTCCATCTCATGGACCATTGTTTTTGTATCGTTCACCATAACTGCCTTGGCTGCTTGCCTTCGGCTCTTTTCCTTACTATGATGTTCTTTTGCAGGGTGAGTCCAGCGTCTTTTTTTAACGATATTTCGGTGTTCAAATGACGTCTTAACGTCCACGTCCGGAGCTGACGTGGACAGTAATGCTCGTACTTCTGAGGTTCAGGTTGCAAAACAAACTTGGAAATATTGTAAAAAGAATTTGCTTGCACCACTAAACAATCTCGATGGAAGCGAGAAAAATCACAAGTAGTGAACAAAATTCGCAGAAATTTTGGATTCTAATCGCTACTGAGATGCCCGGGTGTCGTGGCCCGGATCCACATGGACAACGACGAAGAAAAGCACAAGCGCCTTCCAAAATCAGATAAGCTCGGGCTAGAGACGCGTAGACAAAAACCTAAGAGATTCCAAGGCCGTCAATGGTAATACTTGAACCTCCATCTTGGAATATGCTACCCAACATACTTGGGCTTTTCGCTCTTATAGGTGCTGCAAATGCAGACTTGCAGCCTTTCTACCAGTCCGCAGGCTATGATATGAGTCAATATGGTGCCTGGCCATTGCAATCATATCTCTCTTCACGAATCTCAGGCCCAATTCTCAACTATTGGAATCGCAGCGAGGCTTGCGAAAAAGAATCATATACATTGATCGCACCGCGTGGGGATTCAGTCAGGCACACTGGACCGATGATCCTCGATCAGAATGGGAATCTGGTATGGTTTCAGGAGTACCCAACGACATATAATTTCAACATACAATCTTTTCGTGGGGAGGATTATCTCACCTTTTGGGCCGGAAATGATGGCATCGGAGGACATGGTGATGGGATACTCTACATGGTATGCGGAGGTTGCTGTTTCAGTATTGCTTCTTCTGACAATCTCAGCTCAACTCGCGATATGAAGAGGTGTACAAGATTCGCGGTGTGAATGGTCTTCCGGCAGATATGCACGAATTTCAGATCACGCGCGATGACACTGCCTTGCTCGTCTGGTATGACAAACAACCTGCGGATCTGCGGGTTGTCGGCAGATCTGAGAACGGCTGGATATATGATGGCGGCTTCCAAGAAGTGGACATTGAAACAAATGAACTGCTCTTTCAGTGGCGGGCATCTGATCATTTCAAATTGACTGATGGCTATCGAGGCCCGGATGAAAGAGGCGACTCCGACGACGTGCCATGGGACTTCTTCCATATCAATAGCGTCGACAAAGACTCCCGCGGCAATTTTTTGGTCTCATCTCGGTACATGAGCTGTCTTGCTTATGTGGATGGAAAGACTGGGGATGTGATCTGGAGGCTGGGCGGAAAATACAATTCCTTTCAAGACTTATCAGACGGTTCCGCGACAAACATGAAATGGCAGCATCATGCAAGGTTTCACAAAGTGTCAGAAGTGCCCTTGGGCTCTAAACCTGCTTCACACCGAGCGATTACTCTGTTCGACAACTCATCCCGCGGAAAAGGAGCCACAGAACGGACCAGCCGTGGGTTATTCCTTGATATCAACGAGCAAGATATGACCGTACAGGTGAGACATGAATATTGGAACCCAATTCCAATTAGTAGTCAGTCTCAGGGCTCATTGCAAGTGCTCGATAATGGCAATATATTAATTGGATATGGGTACAATGCTGCGTGGACCGAGTTCTCCGTGAATGGCGATGTATTGTGTGAGGCGCATTTCGGGCCAGCGGGAGGGTTTGGGACTGGCAATATCATTTCATACCGCACCTTCAAGCACAAATGGACCGGAAGGCCGGCTTCCTCCCCCGACGTGGCTTTTGCGGAGACTCATGTTGCAGTGAGTTGGAATGGGGCCACAGATGTAGCGACGTGGGTTCTGGAAGGGATCGGTCATGCAGCAAATTGGACGGGCAGTGCAGAATCTGACCTGAATGGGTTTGCAGTTGTCTCCTCTGTGCCCAAGTCCGGCTTCGAGACCGACATTCCTGTACCTGATCAAATACCTTATCGACGGCTGCGGGTTGTTGCTCTTGACCAGAACGGCGCAATTCTGGGCCAGACGACTCCCGTCAATTGGACCCCAGATCAATTTCGAAATGAGGTGTTAGTTGTTTCAGGCGAAGAAGGGAGTTTGCCTCAAAAAGGCATCGGAAGAATTTTGCTGTTAGTCTTCGTGCCTCTGTCTGCGGCGGTGGTTGTGTTTTGCCTGTGGCTTGGAAGACAGCATCTTCAACTCCATACGTGGAGATTGACGTTCTACCACAGTCTTGACCAAGGGGCTAACTCTGAGGTATGGCTCCCACTGAGGGTCTCGAATGATTTGGAAAGGGAGGAGGAAAGAGAGGAAAGAGAGCGACTGGATGAGCCCATCGATTTAGAACATTGTGATCAAGACGTTGCGCTTCTTGGAAAGCAGAGGAGCCGTGGGCTATTTATGTTATGATACAGGGCTTGAAGCAGTATATCAGCAACTTTCCAAGGTTAGCAATACTTTAGAATCCATGGAATTTACCAATCGATCCGCCATGGAGCTACTCGTATCATGCGATAAACCAGATTGGTTTCGATGGAGGCTAGGGGATTGAGCCATTAGCTCTAGAGTGCTGTTATTTTGTATATTAATTCATCAATTCACCGATTTGACATTGGAGATGCCAACATCATTTATAATGCAATGCCGAATGCAAAGAAGCTGTATATCGCTAGAAAACAGGAAATCACAGGAGCTTTTTGATGCAGAGATACCTAGACCGTGGTACCTTGTCCCTCAATGCGGGCAAGCAGTGTTTGCGCAAAGCCCTCGAAGCGGGGGTATGACCAGGTTTCTCGGTACCGTTCGACGAGTGGCCGGTTATCAGGCTCGGTGGGTGTTTCCTGTGGCTCAGGCTTGGGAACATCGTCCTCGTCTTCTGTGTCACTATCCCAATGCTCCAACTTCCCTTCCACCAATTCACCGAACTTGACATCGATGGGCACACTGCCCATAAATGAAAGTGACAGTTCCTGAGCCATAACCTGGCCACCGCCACTAGAAAACAGATTGCTCACCTCTCCACAACAAGGGCAAGCATATCCAGACATATTCTCGATTACACCCAGGACTGGGATATTAGTCTTGACGCAGAAATTCGCCTCCTTCCGCACATCCGACGTCGCAACGGCCTGGGGAGTCGTCACGAGCACTGCACCAGCCAGTCGAGGAACGCCCGACTGGGCAGCCACCGTTACGTCTATTGTAGAGAGCGTGAGCAGCTGCTCAGCAAGCGCAATGTGCTCGTCACTCGTGCCGGGTGGCGTATCAATCAAAAGATAATCTGTTTCGCCCCAGAAGACATCGGATAAAAATTGACGGATCATGGCTGTTTTCTTAGGCCCACGCCAAATCACAGCATCGCCGCGGTCGCGCAGGAGGAAGCCGAGGGACATGCAGCGAAGCGATCCGCGCGAAGGTTGTGATGACGAGTCTTCCGGCGCGGCTTCGGCACTGTGTACAGGGACGGGCATCCACCCCCCTGGAGCTTGTGTGATTTTCGCGCCCTCGAGCCCAACAAGGCGTGGCATTGACGGTCCCGTCAAGTCGATGTCAAGAATCCCGACGGATTTGCCTTGAAGTGAGAGAGCGAGAGCTAGTTGCAGTGTGACGGAGGACTTTCCCACTCCTCCTTTGCCGGAAAGGACCTATCATTCATTGCTGGTCAGTTACTTGCAGACATATGCGCATGGTTGCGGGCTTCTGCCACAGTGCCTCGTTATCGATAAGCCGCGAGGGGCAATTCGGGCTGCTCCGTGGCATTGCGCGGTAACGTACCAGCACAACATTCTTGACACCGGTCAGAGGCATATTTGAACTATCTGTATCCGCGAATGAGAGAATTGGGGGAGGTTAGAGGTGTGAAATCAACTCCGATGGAAGGCAAAGTGGGGAGTCTCGGAGATATTTCAACGCTTATCAATCGACCTTCTGACTAACATCGGGGCATTGGGAAAGTTCCGTCAACTGGTCAACTGGTCAACTGGAGGATTACACTAGGCCGATTCACTTGGGAGTTTGATAGCAAAATGCCTTCAATCTAATTATCGGTTATGAAACTCGGGCGCTGGAGATAGTACTGTGTATTGGGTCATAAAACATTCATTCAAGCCCGTTGCCCTGGTATTCGCTTTTAAAACCACACCGACGAGATAAATGAAGTCAGCCGAGGCGGAGGATAGTCGTGGTATATAGTTCACTGCCACTTCTGAACCACAACACCTCCACGCTTGAACTCGGGCATGTCGCCGAGAACAGCGTCCTTGTCCTTAAGTTCCGTGCTGGGGAAGGTCGTCATCAACACCCATGGGCGGGCTGAACCATCGGGAGAAGCAGCACCGACGAAAGAGTAGACATCGCCAATGGTCGCTGTAGTGTTGAATCGAGACGTCAGCCGGGTGCCATCTCCGAGGCGAACTTGGAGGGTGACCGTAGGCTGCGACTCGTCCACAGTAGGCTGAGATGCCTCTTGGGCAGAGGGTGCCGGCGCGGCGGAGGGCGTTGGGGCCTCGCTCCTCACGCCAGGCGTCGGGCTACCCAAGCGCTGTCCGGATCCCGAGAATGGCTTGTACTTAAGCTTAGGCTTGGTGTACTTCTCCTCGTGTTGCTTGAGCTCCACGTCGACCTCTTGGCCAGGTTGAACATTCATAATAGAAAGGGGAGCGCGACCCTGTCGGATGCCATCGAGAATATCTGCGTTTCGGGGATCGTCCGATCGGAAAAGTTCACCATCATCCACTGAGAATCCATCGGCCCAGAAATGCAGAACCCGTTGGACACGCTGAGCGCGTTGTTGGGTGGGGGCAGAGGGGTTCTCGATGACACGACTGGGAGCCTCGTCGCCGCCAAGGGTACGAGCAGTACCGGTGAAATGTGATGGTGCTGGCTCTGGGTCGTCGGAGGGGGGAGGTTGGGCTCTGTCAGATTGTTAGATCTTGGATATGAAACTTCCTGGAAACTCGCGAGAGTACTCACCTGCGGGCCTTTTCGAGGATCTTCTTCTTGAGATCGTCTGGGTTCTGTACAGCCAGTCCAGACTTCTCACCACCCGCAAAGAAATCGTGGTCGTCGCTATCATCGCCATCAGAAGATTCGCCCCCTCCAGCAGCACCCTGGGAGAAGTCTCCTAAAGTAGCAAAGCGCTTCCTGGGCGCAGCTCCCCGCGCAGACGAAGAAGCTTCAGGTGCCGCAGAAGATGAAGCAGGCACGGCAGCTCCTCCCAGAGTTCGACCTCCAGATGGACCTCCGGTGGCGCTTTGTGTGCTCGCCTGGCCCTCTTCCCCGGTGTGTGTGTCTTGCATGGCCTCATCTTGCTCCGCAAAGAACTCCGTCACGGCAGCTTCAAGGTCGAACCGATTGGCAGCGAGATATTCCTGGGCCTAATTGAAGCATATTTGTTAGTGGCCAGTTGAAACCAAGAGTTTGAGATATGAAGCTTACCTCCGAGGGCTGGGTTCCAGTCATAGCACAGAATTGAGAGACAATCTCATCATGCTCCGCGGGGTTGCCCTCCATCTTAGAGCTTAGATCACGGTTTGCTTGAGGCTGAACGGGGTCGAAAGAGCACTGATTATTGCGGCAGGGGGGTGAACAAAGTTGCGCTAACAGAAAACAGCGATCTTCGAGATAGGTGTCTAGATATCAAGCTGAATTCGATGACCGACCTAAACACCGCAGATGCCTGGTACGTCACTGCCAATTGGTCAGCCGGACTAAATATCTTCCGTCCCTCCGTGCCAACACTTTGTTGGTCTTGGGAATTAAAGGTGTCTGTATTCCATGACTCTCATTGGTAACAAAGAGATACAGGTGTTATACGACTACGTTGCACCTACGTTGAGATCTGATGAAGAGCCGACCATGGGGTTGCTATTTCCTCTTCGGGTCGTGGAATCGGGAAGAAGAACACAGATAAAACGCCTATAAACAAATATCACACAGACAAACTACAAGTCAAGAATCAATCGCACAGTATCCTCCACAGCTCCAAGAACTTCCTCCTTGCTCCTTGTTGCGTCCAGCGCAACAACATCACTTTCCAAATTCGAGGGTGGCTCTTGAATAGCAAGTTGTGACTCAACCATTGTCGACTGCATGTAATGAGCCTCGTTGGCGGAGCGAGAAACCAAACGCTCCTTCAATTGTGCCTCGTTCTCAATCGAAAGACAAAGGAAAGTGACCATGACCGGGAAGTTCAAGAGCTGGGGCAATCTTCGCAGCTCATCTCGGTAGACAGTTCGTAACGCAGAACATGTAACCGCAATGGCGGGAGCTGTGGAATGTTGCAGTCTGTCCATCAAAGCCCCTCTGATATGAGCAATCCAGTCCCAGCGATCGCTATCTTCGAGCGGGATCCCGTTTGCCATTTTTTCCCGAGCCAGATGCGAATGCATATCATCCCCTTCGATGACTGGGATATCGAATTTATTGGTAAGAACTTTAGCAGCTGTGCTCTTGCCACAGCCACAGACGCCAGTCAGGAAAATGACCTCGCGGCACTTCGGGGTGGGACTTGAGACCGCCGAGCCAGCCCAACATTCTCCGCGGAAGTAGTTGACGAAGCGCGTGACCAGGTCGAGCGTGAGTCCTCCAGCCTGGCGTAAGGAGGGGGCGGCTGCTTGTGCGTTCTTTGTGTCATAGAGAAGCACTCGGCTTGGGTTGTCATGATCATACTTGCTGGCAAAGAACCCGACAAGCTTGATGGGAGGATTCACATTTGGATCTTGGTTGGAATCACGGAGGCGATTCAGCCATTCGCGTTGGCTGAGCTCCTCAAAGTCTAGCCCGGCCTGCTTAAGGAGTGGAAGCAGGTCGTGTGTCCAGTGACTGAGAGTTGAGTTTGTGACATTCAGTACCTCCCCAGCAACCGGAGCCAGAGTGAGATCAATAACACTGCTGGCGATCACATCGACCGGCGTCCATGACAGAAGATCTTCAAGTTTAGGTAGTGCATGGATCGTCTCGGCACACTGCAAAATCATGGGAATAGCCTCGGTATCATTCCAAATTCCTCGAGTGGTATCCGCGATGATCTGACCAACCCGCAGCACTCGAGCGGTCATTCCAGTCAGATGCGCCGCTCGGTTGATGATATGCTCCGTAACTAGCTTTGATTGCGCATATCCCATGTTCTGGGCGTAGCTGAGTGAATCGGGGAGAGCCTCCGGTACCCAGTGGCCTGGAGTGCGGGCCACTGTACTGACAGATGAACAGAAGGAGAACCTTGCAGGCACAGGCTGACGGACTCGGAGACAGAAATCCAATAGGTTCCGAGTCCCTGCGATACAGCTACCCTCGAAGCTTTCCAGGGCCCAGTTGAAATTCACCGACCAGGCGCAATGCATGACTCCTGTCACTGAATCGACTAAAGTTGCATAGGAAGATTCCTCGAGGCCCATACGATTCTTGTTGCCCAAATCTGCCGGCATCGCAATGATCTTTCCTTGCTGGGCCGGGCTCAACTCATACGACAAACCACGTGCTCGCAGAGACTGGTGGACGCGGCGACGAGCAGCATGAATGGAACCCGCACGAACCAGACAATAGATTGCTTTAACATCTTCTGATCGAGCCAACTGAACCACCACGTGAGCTCCCAAAGATCCCGTGGCGCCAGTCACAGCGATATGTTCACCATTGGCCTGACGGGCAACTGGGATATGTGACTCGAAGTTGGCACTGTATTTCTCGATAAGGGTAGCCATCCGTTGTTCCACCGCAATTTCTTCCTTTGGGGTTTGGCCAAGACGAAGGCAAGTCAATGCATCAGCCATAGCCTGAAGAGAGGGGTTTTCGAACACAAAATTCTGAGACAACTTCTGTCCTCCAAGATACAATGTTTTCAGGATCATGGTGCGCAGTCGGATGGATTGCAAACTATCAATCCCAAGGCTGAAGATATCAGTCTGTTCCTCCAAGGAGGCAGGCTCCAGAGTGGGTGCAACTTCAAGGAGTTGTTGGCGCAGGAACTCAATCAGTTCAGCCCCCTCACAGACTCGCTCTCCCTCGGGAACTTCAACATCATATATCTGGTCGATTTGGCTCTGATAGTATCGATAGAAGGCTGAGCGAATGACAGTTCCTTTGTCAGTCTTGCGATAAATAGCGTCAGATGGCAGGACATGGATCATATCTCGGGACATGTACGCAAAAGCCGGTGATTCTGCGTTGCATTTCTCAATGGCAGGGAATATGTTGTCCACAAGCTCTTCATTTGTTTTGTCACAGCTCTCAGACGGGACCACGAACATTCCAAGACGGGGCTTGTTCGCGCCAAAGGCAATTGCTTCGGCAACATTCGAGTTGTTCCGGGCTACGCCCTCAATGACCAACGGGTTAGCCTTTTCACCATTCTCCAAGACGAGTGTGTCATCCTGGCGCGCATAGTATCTCCACGCGTTCGGTGTCGTCGGGTGTTTCTCGAAAAGGTCTTTGGTTGCATATGAGTTGTCAGGCCGATTGCTGGCTACCTTAGAGGGCCAGCCCTCTAGGACACAAAGCTCATAGATTCCAGCAGACTGCTCCTCCCAGCGAAGGTATGGTAGCAACGATGGACCGGGCCGCACATAGTCCCAATCTAGATCTGCTCGATCTCGGAAAGATGTCATCAGCTGTCCTGTCTCGGTAGTTCCGTAATGCGAGACCAAGCGAACACCGTTTTGGACCAGGGTGTCGCCAATTGGTTTGGGACAAGAAGATCCACCAAACATGACCAGCTCCAGCCGTGCAAGAATTTTCAATCCTTGCTCTGATTCGGAAAGAAGCTTCAACGCGTAGGGTACTGCGTAAAGAACTTCAATTTCCTGATGATCTTGTAGAGTGGCCATGAGGTGAGGAGCCGTCAATGGGAGGTCCGCATTGTACATATAGATCAGCTTTTGGGAGTGCACGGCACGGAAGAGGCAGCTGATGCCATGGGCGTGGAAGAGTGGCAGAGTAATGAATCCTCGAAGGCCAAAGTTGTTGGCATAATTCTTCAGCGCACCTGAATGTGTTTGATAGATTGGCTTTGGGTGACCAGTTGAACCACTTGAGTGAATGATCTGACGAAAGCATATGAGTCAAAGGCATCCAAAATCTGAACAATCGGCACTTACCCAGCAGATGTTGGTAGCCTCATGAGCCCCCTCCAGGTACGCTGCTGGTAGCTGGAGTGTGTTTGTTGTCGGGCCATCATAGTTCTCGCGAACAAGTGCCTGTTGAAGAACTATTCCGGTTCTGTTGGTGATTCTTTGCCCCATTGTCTCAAATTTCTTGTGCACGACGAGGAAAGAGGCTGATGTGCTTTCCACAAGACTGACATAGGCATCCTCTGCAATTCGTGTTGACAGCAAGAGCACGGTGTGACCAAGTCTAGAGACCGCCAAAAGAGTAATCATGTATTCCAAGTCAGATGGGCCCAGGAGGCCCACAACCTGGACGGGGTCCTCTGATGAACGTCTTTGGGGGATAACATTTGAAAGAATAACTGCTGCTGCTTCAACAAAAGTATTCAACTGGTAGTTGATTAGCCTCGCTGTTATTTATGGAATATTGTCTCTCGAATGGCTCTATAAAGCCGTAGAATTTGGTTCACTTACTTGACGTGGTGTGTAGTATACATAGTCCGTTCCAGTTGATGGATATGCAACGATAGACTCGTCTGCCAAACTTCCATTGGACCGAGCCTTGAGGAGGCCGTCAATGGTCTTGAAATCATGGTCGGCGGCCTGCCGATCGAGTGAGAGCGACGTGGCTGCGGTCACTCTAGTAGACTCATTTGCTGTTGAATGGGGGGCTGCCGTCACCGGCGGTTGCAAAGTTACAGCCGCCATTGTGAAGAAGTCAAGCTTGAAGTCCAAACGTGGTCGCTGAAGAGTCAGGAAGTTTTCGGCTTATGTACCATCTTCCACTGCTATTGTTCAACTTGAGAAGTTCTTGGAATTCGGATTCCGCTGGACATCATTTCCGCCGCCGAACTCCCGGCTCGGTTTTCCGCTATGCGGAAAAGCTGAACAGCGCTGTCGGATAACCCCAGGTGCCGTCAACCCACATTTTGATGAAAAAAACGTCACAAGTTCATGGGCCGCGGGGAAACGAAAGGCGGGGATAGGCACTACGGAATAGTAAGTGAGTCGGTTACATCCCCCTAGCTCCGGAGAAGTAATGGGATCGTGACTGACACGAATCCGCACACCAGCGACCTTCTTGCAACTTTAGAGTACCTCAACAACCCTCGAAGGAATTGAGCCCTGGAAGAGCTCTCGGAATTGTAACCTTTGGTATCGATCCTTTTCGGCCTTCAGGCTTGAATAAGGCTTGCTATCTGTTATATCTATGACCAGGTCTACAGGTCTACAGGTCGGGAGCCACACCGCCGGCCAATGCACGCGTATATATTCTGACTACTTAACTTTGGGAGTGAGGCAAACTTCGAACCCCTCCAGGCTGAAGTCGGACCTTTCCTAGTAAGTAAGCCTTGAACATCTTAACACATCCATAGATGAACTTGAGAACTTAATAAAAATTTGTCATCCCCTTCATAGGATCTTCAAGCCTATAACGCCCCCAGAAAGCTGCTCAAGTGAGTTCCGGGGTTGACCAAAGAAATGTTTCCCACTGGCTGTTGGTGAACGGCCCCGGGGCGGGCCGGGCTCCAATGACGTTTGGGCGGTCCCGGGTCGGTCCAACACACCCATCCCGCAGCATTTTGGACCCTGGCGATTTTTCAAGCACCAAGCCTGGAGGGCTATCAGTTTGAGCCGTACTTTTTAGTGCGTAAGTGAGCGATAGCGAGGCGGATCATGCGTCAACTAAACTGATGTGTTTGATGTGGCAGGGCGCCGATGCTAGCGGACAAAGAAATGTATTTTTAGAAGACATTGAAAAGGCAGGCCCTTGAGGACGGGGCATGATGTTTGACAATATCACACCACTAGCCCTGTGAGGCGGCGATCACGCAATACAACTTGAGAACAATGACTCGCATAGTCACCGGTCCCAGCGTACTCCTAATATGATAAGTGGCTTAATCAAAACGAACAATGATAGCGCGTATAAGAAAAGAAAACTCGCGAGATGATTGGGCTTCGCACCCACTGCGCCCGGGGCCGAGCACTGAAAGGATTCAAACCAGCGCAGCCAAGACTCAAGACCCCGAGCGCCACTTAAGAGAGGCTTGGAGCCTAATCGTGAGCCTCTACTTTGGCCGTTGGGTGTGTTTTCCTCTAAAGCATCCCCCATCTAGCCTGGTAATAACCCAGTATCTTTTCATTCTCTCGTCTCTTTGTCTAGCATCCACTATTCTGACAGAATCATCTTGCTTTGGCAGTCTATCACCTCGGCACCACCGCGCCGTTATGCGATCGGTCACTCTTCGTATTTTGGGCCTCCTCGGAGTGACAGCCGCTGGGTTTGCCGCTCCCCATGGAGCCGCCTCGGATGTTGTTGAATTGACCGAAGAAACATTCTACGAATTCACAGAAGAGCATGAGCTACTTTTAGCGCATTTCTATCTCCCGTGGTGTCCTTACTCCAAAATGTTGGCTCCTCAGTTTGAGTTGGCGGCTACGGAGCTCAAAACAAACAACATTCCTCTGGTGAAGATTGATTGCATACAAGAGAAAGATCTATGTGCCGAGTATGAAATTTTCATTTACCCTTCCATGAAGGTGTTCCGTGGTCCCAAGTCGCATAAAACATACGATGAAAGTCGTCGAGCAAAGCCGTAGGTGTCTCCTTGGAAGGATCGACTTAGACAATGCTGACATCTGGCACAGGATCATCACACACATGCTAAGCGAGTCAAAATCCAACGACGCTGCGACAGGATTGAACGTTCAAATATACGAATAGACTACATAGCACCAAACCCTCGCAAATGGATGATATCAAGACTGGCATTCAAGGTACATACGGTCGGTAATGCCACTCCCCAGACTGGTACAATATAGAATAGTCTACGCTATCAGTAAGCGCCAAACAGCGCGAGAGTGTGAGGTTTTATGGCGAGAGTCAAATTCATGTTTATTTTCCATGAAGATTTCGAAGCCTAGAATTCTAGTGTCTATTTTGAGTGAATATATGAATCATGGTGGACTTAGACCGTGAACTTGGTCTTGTTTGCAGGGCCTGCCTCAAGGGCAGCCTTACGCACTGCCTCCTCCCCCGCTTCCTCGAAGATGTCATAGCCCCAGATAGCAGGGAAGTTGAAACGCTTGTGTCGTTCCAAAGAGGTGAGTTTCGCAAACGCATCCTCGGACAACTCGCGGACTTGAAGGTTGGAGGCAATGCGAGAGGGAGTAACGCTCTTGGACAAAACCACGGTACCACGCTGGACACCCCAGCTAGCAAGCAAGGCACCTGGATCGAGACTAATCTCCTTGGAGACGGTATGGACAAGAGGGTCGTCGACGGTTCGTGGGGCCCCGGTCTGGTTATTGCCCAATGGGGAGTAAGCCTCGACGATGATGCCTTTGCTCTGACAGAACTGAAGTAGCTCGGTCTGTTGGAGGTACGGGTGGGCTTCAATTTGATTGGCAGCAGGCACCACGTCGACCTGACCAAGAAGTTCTTCCAGGCGTCGGACATTAAAGTTGGACACTCCAATGGCGCGCACCTTGCCTGTAGCAAGTAACTTTTCCATTGCCTTGTATGTTGTGATATAATCGACTGGCGCGAGTTCAAACACTCCATCTTCGTTGAGAGGGAACCATTTGTCTCCGCCCTTGAACGCACTAGAGTGAGTATATGTCAATACGCGATGTCAAGATAATGGGCTTCGAGAATGATAGAGGTGAATTTACCAAGGCCAGTGCATCAAATATAAGTCAAGATAATCCACACCCAGGTCCTTCAGAGTCTTATCCAATGCGCTCTCAACATCCTCGGGTGCATGTTTGGTGTTCCACAGCTTGCCAGTGATAAAAATCTCACTACGGGCAACACCCGACTTGCTGATGCCGTTTCCAACCTCTGTCTCATTGCGGTAGATAGCAGCACAGTCAATGTGACGGTATCCTTGCTTGAGGGCGACTTCAACGGCGTTTTCGACCTCCAACGGCTTGGCTTGCCATGTTCCGAATCCCACAGTTGGGATCTTCGCGCCAGTGTTCAGAGTGAAATGGGTGGTAAGAGGCATAGTGAATGATTTGAAATATTGTAAAACACAAAGGAAGAAGGAAATGAATTCAAAATGAGAAAGGATAGCGGAAATAAGTATTGTGAATGTCGCGTCGGGAGCGGAGCACAGCTGTAGATCGAATGTCGGATAAGGGCGGAAAACCTGAAGCGAAGCGGAAGAACGAAGCCCACAATTTTGGCTGTCACTCATGGAGAAGAGTTGGGACGGGGAAGTATCCACCGCGGAGAAATCCGGGGAATAGGATTCATTTCCCATGACTCGTTTGTCTGGCTACTCCAGCCGGATATTTGGAGGGCTAGTATTTATATCCGTCTCTTGGCTACTCTTGTTTTGCCCAGACAAAGCTTGTGTTTCTAAGGTTTTGTTCTCTTGGGGATTTTCTCAGAAAAGCAGCGACCAGACCATGGCAGAAGTCAACTCAAAAACCTCGTCACTTCACGTCGAGTCTTCCAAGCCTTTCAATGAAGAACGTCAGCTATTTGATGGACTCTCTGACGAGGAAACTCGATTGATAGAGAAGAAGCGTAAGCTCCCAAACTCCTTTGGGTATATGCAGACTAACAAAATCATAGTGGTTCGCAAAATCGACTTACATCTGATCTCAGCGTTGTTTCTGCTATTCATCTTCAACATCTTGGACCGCTCCAATATTGCCAATGCCCGACTAGGGGGAATGCAGGAGGATCTGGGTCTCTCAGAAAGCCAGTATCAGACTGCTGTAGCCATTATGGTGAGTTAGCCCACCAATTGGACGACCACGATGCACTTTCAAAAAGGCTGACTTGGATTAAAACGTCAGTTTGTTGGTTACTTGCTGGGCCAAGTCCCCAGTAACATTATTTTGACTCGGCTCAAACCCTCACGCTATATTCCATCCGCTATCTTCATATGGGGAGGTATTTCTCTATGCACAGCAGCAACAAAAAACTTCACTGGGATTATGTGTGTGCGAATCTTCCTTGGATTTGCTGAATCTCCATTCTTCCCAGGAGCACTGTATGTCCCTCCCTCACATCAATCGGAGATGCATTGGTAGGCTGACATGGCGCAGGCTCTTGATTTCCTCATGGTATAAGCCATCTGAGATTGCCGTTCGAGTCGCAATCGTTTACTGTGGAAATACCGTTGCCAATGGATTTGGTGGCCTGCTGGCTGCAGGTATTATGAGTGGCTTGAATGGAAAGGGGGGACTCGAGGGATGGAGGTCGGTCACTTTGTTCAGCATATTCCTCATGAGCATCCCATCAACTGACCTCACCGAAATAGATGGCTCTTCATCATCGAAGGCGCTGGAACAATGGTTGCTGGACTGCTCGCAGTAGCTCTGCTGCCAGACTTCCCTCGGTCTGGCAAACAGAAGTGGCTCACCGAACAGGAGCAGCGCCTGGCAGAGTGGCGTCTCGCTCGTGTAGCAAATGACGAGGTTGATGAGAACGGCTCTGTCAAGGAGGCACTTCGAGACGCTTTCCTTGATCCAAAGGCATGGATACTGATTCTCATCCAAGTCTGCCAGCTCTCAGCTCAGACTTGGACATACTTCTTCCCTGTATGTGCATCATGAAGACCGTTCAACCCCTTGAACCCCGGGATGAAACATAGCTAACAACCACAGACTATTGCGAAAACCCTGGGCTACAGCGATAACGTTACACTGTTGATTATTGCGCCAGTGTATATCTTCGGCTTCATCACTGCGCTGGGCAACTCTTTTATCGCGACTAAAACCGACCATCGAGCGATACTCATTATCTGGCCCCTTTGTATAGACATTGTTGGGAATGTGATGGTCATTTCCTCTCGTGCCACAGCCGTTCGATACGTGGGAATGTTCTTGATGTGTGCCGGATCCTATTCGGCGTTCAATGTCGTCCAAGCATGGATTGCCAGCACAATCCCTCGCACCAGGACAAAGCGTGCCATCGTGTATGCCCTTGTGAATTTGTTCGGCAACTCGTCCAACATTTACGGGTCGTATTTCTTCCCCACTTCGGACTCTCCTCAATATCGACCGGGTGGCATCACTTTGTCCGCTTTCGCTGCAGGTGGAGTCGCGCTTTCGCTTGCTCTGGCTGGCTATCTTCATCTGTTAAACAAGAAAGCCAAAAAGGCAGAAGCAGAAGATGGACAGACACGATACAAGTATATTTGGTAGACTACAAATATTTAACAATGAACGTGATGTCGAAGATTCCACCTGCCGGGTCCGCCGTATGGGCCATTACCGGGTCATTGATCAAGGGCATTGATGCATTGACACCCTTGAAGATAAAATGACACCCCTTTGGATAGTGCGACACCGCTGATGTCTGATTTTGGCCTGGTTCTAATATTGATGCCCTTTATAGTAGGCATCAAGCATTCGTGGAAAAGTTATAGTAGGCCAAGACAGTATGGGCAATAAATGCATGGGAAGTCATCGTAATTCATCAGTGGTAAGCTAGGTCGGTCAGCAAGCCTTGAACAACGTATTTGGCATAGAATATAAACTTACCGACTGGCAGACTATCAAACTGAGACCAGAAATCGGGAACCAATTCTTCGTCTGTGCCGAGGTTGTCGAAGAGAATCTCGGTATGTGGGTCGAGGAAAATATTCTCAACAAAAGCTCCATGCTGGGAAAAGCTATCCCCAGGCTGTGCATCTGGCCCGGAAAGGTTGTTCGGTAAGATCATGCTGTGGGTTTGATCTTGCGTATAGTCAAAAGCATTCTGAGCATTCGCGGAAAACGTATGTGAGTTGCTCGCGGAGACCTGGTAGTTACTGCGACTCTCAGAATGTTCGGAGCCTGACAACGAAGGATTTGATCTAGACAGCTCCCGGCGCAGTCCCTGCAGAATGGCACTGTATTTCCAGGCAGGTGCATTGCGAACGGTCGCATCGGCAAGATGGGCCTGTGTAGTCTCACATAGCTTGTATAGCGTGGATTTATCTAACTGCAAGTCAAACGGACCATCCTGGTTGTGAACAAAGCGAAGATTCGCCGGTGAAATTCGGCCTCGTTGTACCTGTATGAGGTAAAGATATATGATGGACAGTGCATTGAAAGCAATGTATTGCGAGTACCAGAAGGAAGGGAAGAGCTGTTTCTCCTGGACAAAGGCGAGAATCAATTCGATCGCATCTCGTGCTGCTGTTAGGCAGGTGCTCAGATAATACTGATAGCTCGCTTCGCATTCGGGCCAGACTTGAGAGTAATTGCGCAACAGAAGAGGTCGCGTGATGAAGATCAGAGCATGGTATCGCGCCAGTTGTAGAACCGTTAACTGACGTCGAAGCCCAGGAATCAGACTGCCTGGTTGAATTATACCCGATAGGAACGGGGGCAGCTCGGCTTGCCACTCAGCAACCCTACCACAGAAGACACGGATGGTATCTATTTGATCTTTGTTGGATATACCGGTCACGACGTAGGACTCTCTCGCAGCTTGTGTCAGAATGCGAGCCAACACAGCGTGAAATACCGGGGCATCCATTAGACAATCACACTTGGAGGGGCTAATCTCATGGCTTGTCAGGTCCTGATCATTAATGCGAGTGGGCAACTCCTCATCAATGTCCTCATCTTGCCAAAGACGTGGCCGACCCAGTATGATGCTGAGATATTTGTCCAAAGTGTAGGAGCACCAGAGCACACGCCTTTGGCATTCCTTTCGTATCAGATCATCTTTCCCAGACACAGTCCTTGACCGTTTGCTGTGGAGACCTAGTGCCATCATCAGTTGTACCGTGGTCCCGAATGTGAACCAGGCTTTGTGTGCTCTTGATGAGCTAAGTAAATATAACACCATCAAAAAGCGAGCTTGCACAGAGGCTAGCGTGGGGGCTCCTATCTCGTTTGAGAGAAGAGAGTCTGCCTGCGCATAGTAAAGTTCACTGTTGACCCATCCGTTCTCATCTGCAGCACCTAGATGGCCCTCTGCATCGGGTTGATACATGGCAGCAGTGCCGAATATCAACAAAACGATGGCCTGGGAGGCCCTGTCCTGCCCGGGGTCTATAGAAACTGTGTCATTCTGGTATAAATCTTCCATAAGCCGTTCAATCGTCGGCTGGTGAAGAATCCGATACGTCGGCGCTGCAAACTCGAAGTATCGTCGAACTAATTTGTCTGCGACTGACCGAGAGGGCCATTGGAAATCTGCCAATCGGACATGAGGATTCAGTCGGTCCCCGAATGAGAAGATGGGCACAGTTGATGGTGCATTTTGGGAGGGCTGAAGAGCCAATGCCTTGGAGGGCGCGGTTGGTAAATCTTGAACAACTCGCCCAAGGAATGAATGCGCCGAGGTTGGGCCCCAATATTGAGGATCGATATGAGTCGGTCCTATTTGCTCCGGTGGATCGGAAGGAATTACCGGTGTGGCTTCCTCAGACACACCTGGGGATCTGTATGAACTTGGCTGGTGATTCCAACCCCCTAAAGGAGACTCCGTTGATCCAATGCGCTGAGAATGAGCCGTGTGAGCCGTGCGGCTTTGGCTCACCGTGCTAGGGCTACTGGGAGTCGGTGTTTCCCTTTGATGGCCCGAAAAAAGTGGACTCGCTGCGACACCGCGGTTGTACGCCGCGTCGTACGTGCAAGACAGCCGCCGGCGGGCACACGGGCCACAAGGAAGTGTACCTGTACACGCTTTTTTCTTGCTCTTGCAGGCATCACAAGCGCGCGTCACCTTTCGCACTTTCCGCGCATCCTGTGCCATTTCCGATCAAACATGTGGAGCAGAAAGAGTCAGACTCAACTGCTTGCTGATTTCCCCATGAATTGGAATTTCCGACAGCATTTTCCGCCCCCTGGGGTTTCCGCTCTTCGGCAGTTCTTTTCCGCTTGCTTCTCCACAATCCCAACTTCACTTCCATCTCGTGTATATGGCTTGGTGTTTTTCAATTGTTGTTTTTGGAAATGAAAAAGAAATTCGAAAAAGAGAGGCAGAATGATAAGAAGACGGGAATCACTGTAATGTTTTTCTGCGCGTGAAGGTCGGGTGTCACAAGGGGAATTGACATTAGTTGCATGGAAAACTCAAGATCGGGAGGAATGAGCTAAGAGAATCAGAAACATGGTTCTGGGATGACTGAGTACGAGAATGTTTGTCCGTCCATTTGACCAATTCCATTCACAAAGAAGCCTACATCTATAGATCAGTGTTGTGTTTCTTCCTTGTTATGGGCATCCGTGCACGAAACGCGGGTCATATTCTACACAACTCGACATGCATTATCCCGAGTCGACAACTGACCTTACTGGTCTCCAGAAACAGCGTCTGACACGACAAGACACCCGTAAGAATGAATTCTCGGGATTTCTTTCGATTCAGATACATTTGCACGATTGTAGACTGAGTGCTGACGTAGTATTACCGGATTGGGCAACCCCACGTCACGTGCGATCGGCAGATAAGATGAGCGCTTAATCCTAGCACTTTGAACAAATCGCGTGGAATTTCAAATCGAGCTTCGAATGCCTGACATGTTGCCTACGATGGATTAATGAACTCTCAGTTGTCGCCGATGCCTTGAATCGATTTTTCAGCTTTCAATTTACCCTCTTACCCGCCTCCAATGATCGAATAAACCCCTGCTATACAGGCCCAGATTCCGAGACAAACTAAGAATAATTCCTTCCGAAAAGAGTCTTTTTTTTTTGTTTAAGACAGGATGACGTCGCCTTACCCAGCATCCAGCTCGTTCTCCCCCTCCGTTTCCTCCGACATGCCTGCGGCGTCCAATAGGCCAGTCTCTGATTTGCCGCAAGCCCAGGTCGACGCGATAATCCGGACGAAGCGCAAGGCTCGCGAACCTAAGGCCTGCTACCCATGTCATGCACGAAAGGTCAAGTGCGATCGCAACCTTCCGTGTGATGGATGCGTGAAGCGCGACCATGCCGATCTCTGCTCTTATGAACGCCCTTCCAAGAAACAATCGCAAGCCTTTCACGAAAGCCCTATCGCTGCCTCAGCCCCAGTTCCGGTTGCTATGCCCGAGTATCCGACAGCTTACTCCTACAATGATGCCCCGGCGCAAATAAATCCGCGGCCGCCAGCAGGCCGATCAGTTGGCCCTAGCGGTGGTGCGCGCGTGTCAATCGCCCGAGAGGAATGGGACAATGTGCGCAACAGACTGCGAGAGATGGAGTCTACGATATCTTCGCTTCGTGTTGGTCTGGAGAAGGCCGAAGATGGCTTAACAAACTCTATGGATACTGGGAGCGTACAAAGCGCCGATGCAGGTTCCCGTTCTAAAGCTGCTTCGCCAGAACGCGAGGGAATTCATGCCGCAAATACCCTCGGCAAAGGCACAGTGCATTTAGGATCTCGATCTGTCCTGGCTTACATTCTGAACAACCAATCTGGATCCGATCAACTTCAAGCACTTCTGGAAGGTGGCATATTACCCAAACTCGGGTTGGACAATGAGTCTGCAACGTACCCGTTCGTTGATTTGTGGTCCACCGATATGTCAACATTTGATATTACAGCGGTTTGCAGTGCTCTCCCCACTGATCAGCAATGTCGAGAGTGAGAGGTCCCCACTGATATTATATTTCGGCTCAAGCTCTGAATACTAACGATTGTTTCTCTGTATAGAATGTTCTACTACTATAAAGACATCTCTGGGGCGATCTATCCTGTTTTGGAAGACATCACCGAGTTTGAGAACGCACTGGACCTGATGTTGCGGACCAGAACTTCCATGGGTGGTGAATACCGCGCTGACGCAGATGAATCCCAAAAGCCCTTTGGAGTCAGCCTTGCATACCTAGGGCTCCTGTTTGCCGTTCTTGCTTCCGGGTGCCAATCATCCGACTACGGCAGCAAAGAGCGAGAGTTGACCTCGCAGGTCTATGGTATGTCTCCAACCGCTAACGGCCTATGTATGACCAGTCGACCAGTCGCTGATGATCTCAACAGTCTGCTGCTCCTACCAATGCCTTCGCATGACAAACTTCTTGTCCCAGCCTACCATTGAAGCCATCCAGACCCTTTTAGTGATAGGCAATGTCCTGTCATATAACATGAACCCTGGAATCTCTTACGTGTTGCTTGGCATGACTCTTCGCATGGGCTTGGCCCTTGGTCTTCATGTTGAGTCAAGTCGGTTTTCATCGGCGGAACGATACCGCCGGAGACATACTTGGTAAGAACCACTTTACCCAATTGAATAAGACCGTGGGGCTAATTAGGTCAGGTGGTCTATGGCATGGCAAGATAGTCATTTCTCGCTTTCTTATGACCGTCCTTCTACTACTGCAGTAAGCCAGCCTGATATTGCTTACAAGGAAGGGTCAAAGACTGGTGATTTATCGTACTTTGAAACCCTTTGTCGGGTCATTTCTCTTGCGCTGGAGGTTGTTCGGATACGCATGTTAAGCCCACATGCCCAAATAAACCTTGAGAGTATCCAGGGCTACAAGGAACGCATTCAAAAGATTATGATTGAGGCAAAACCTTATCTGAGAGATGCGAGCCGATGTTCAACGCCAACGGAACATTTAGAGAGGGTTGTACTGAAGCTGCACTCTTCATATTTTGCTTCCGAGCTCTGCCGGCCAGCGCTCAAACCAATGGCTGACTTCAGCGACGCCAGTGTTGCCAGCATGCGTGGAACATGTGTGTCAAATCTGATGACAACTGTTGAAGCTTATATCGAGATGCACAACATCAGCTCTCATGCGGCGCGCTCATGGATCGCGTTACAGCGCGCAATCAGTTCAGCATTCTTGCTAGCTGTTATCGAAGAAGCAAAGTTGGACCCGAACGTTTGGAATCTTCTACGACAGTTGGAAGGTATCATCGCACAGAGAGCAAGCACCGAACGAGCCTATGATTCCAATGAGGCAGCCGCCACTGTTGCTAGTATGACTTCCCCATCCCAGAATCTCGGTACATATGATCCAATCACTGGGGCCACCAATCCACCCAACCCCGTCGCCCCAGCAGTGGATCCAAATTCACCTGCTGGTATGCCCGCTGATACCCAAACGCAATGGGCCAAATCACTCGCAAAAACGCATCGTGCCCTCCAGAAGTTACTCAATGCGTTCGAACATCATCCCTCGAGACATATCCCCGGACGCAATGGCACGCCTGTATATCTGCCTCACCCAAATCTCAACCCAGTTTCCGCTTCAGTGGGATCCTTGGTACCTCCTTCTGCAAGCATGACTCCCAGTGTCGGGTCTCTCCCGCCACCTACACCTGAAAGCTCGGGCAGTGGGGAATGGTCCATGCCGAACATAATGGATCGGGCAGCGGAGTATATCCATCCCCCTTTGTGGGGATAGCTTACGGAAATTTCCATTCAGTGAATGTTCTCATTCTTATTCTCTTCTTCAGCGTGGCGCTGGAGTCCTTTCCGGGTTGTCTCATGGTTTCGTTGTCTGGATTTCGGTTCCTTTGGACATATTCTTTTGGAGGTTTTGCTCTTCTTACCGTTTATATTTCCTTCTCAGTACGTATTATATCAGTTGGCATTGATCCAAGCCGTGTGTATCTTTTTAAACAATTGGATATGAACATCATGCAGAAAGTTGTCCAAGGGCCAGTGACAATCAGAGCGCTGGCAGCAATTGGCCTACACATTCACCAAATCCAACCCCAGAACCGTCTTTTCCAGCCAGAGCAGTCATGTGGACTACATCACCGTCTTCCAGGAAGACTCTTTTCAGGTCGTCCTCCAAAACAACTGGCTCCTTTCCTCCATTGGTCATCTCCAGCAAACAGCCATAGCTACCTTGCTCTGAGCCACTTACTGTCCCGGTTCCCAAAATGTCACCGGTCCTCATGTCTGACCCGCTACTAGCTGCGTGAGCAACCATCTGTCGGCCACTCCAGTGGAGATCTCTGAAGTTGGATCGACTGAGTGTAGTGGTGTTTTCGTTTGCCATAAGCTCCACCTTCAGACTTAAATCGTAGCTTGCCTCTACAGTTGTGATGTCCTCCAAGTGATTGGCAAGGACAATGTCGCGCGTTGGGCCGGGTGCTTTGAATGACTGCAGAGCATCCAGAGTCACAATCCATGGCGAGATGCTTGTCCCGAACGATTTGCTATTCAAGGGGCCGAGAGGAACCATCTCGCAGCCCTGGATGTCGCGAGCTATGCAAATGTATCAGTCACCATATTGGACGGCTCATTACAGCGCCCTTTCGACTTACCGCTCCAATCATTCAAAATGACCATTCCGAAGATATGTTCATCTGCATCTCTGGCGGCCACGCCCTTCTCCCGCGGCACAGGCTTTCCCACGATCACTCCAACTTCTAGCTCATAGTCCATTGCTTTCGAAGGTCCGAAAACAATCGGCTTCTTTTCGGTGGGAGCATTTCGGTCGATAATGTGGCCTTTCGGACGAACAATTGGCGTCCCTGACACAACCACCGTACTGGCACGTCCATTATACGCAATCGGGAAATTGAAGAATCCGGGAGGTGGTGTTTCGTCGTTGAGGATCGCCCGACCGGCATTCCGGACGTGATGGAGACTGCAAGAGAAGTCTGTGAAGCCGCCCACAGAGACGGGCATGTGCAAAATGACCGAACTGATGTCCTCGGTGCTACCAGGCGGCAGGTCATCGGTTAAAAGGAGTTGCAATCGAGCTCGGACTTCGCGCTGAATTGGCTTGTCGAGTGCGGCGAATTTGTTCAGCGTAGGCTGATTAAACGCATCCTTCGGCAGCCCACGAACGTCCTCAAATGTACCTGCTTGCTGTAAGATACCAAGGAACACGACTGTGTTATCTAGTCGTGTTGCGCATTGGATGGTATGTTTTGGCGAAGATGCCACCCCGAATGGGATATTCGCGAGAGAAAAATGGCTGCTATACTTGGGAGAAGTCATGGTAGACTAAAAATCTATCTCTTGGTCAAATTGAGAGAATCGAAAGAACGGTCAGACTTTCATGCAGACCTCGTTTTTTTAACTCCTTGCATTACCCCATTCGCTCCCCCCACTCCCCGAGGTTGCGAAGAGCTGTCGGGGTTGTATGTAGTCCACATCCCGAGTGTCACCTTCGGAATGTATGGTATTTTAATATCTAAATACATTTTCGGATGTCACATTGGGAAGATTACATTCACGTTCCATCGTCGGTGTAGAGCCTGATTTTTTCATAATGCAGAGGATGTAGGCTGCGGCCCCAGTGTAGCCCTGGAGCTAGTGGTAGAGCTGAGAGACTTCTCCCTTCGTTATTTTGGGCTGTCATTGAGGCCAACGAATTTCAAGGATCAAATTCACCTACATGTCATGCTTGAGTTTCAATCACTAATCCAATCACCAGTCATTGACCATAAGCTCATGGAACTTAGACAAAGCGGGGTACCTAAGGCCAGGACTGCGGCCTGGGGTGTTCGGGCACCTCAGGCACCTTGGAGCCTAACAGCCAAAAGCCCATACTCTCCAGAGCTTCGAGGTCCGCCCCGTCAAATTTGGATTCCTGGCTCGAAACCTTTGGTCTGTAAGGAGGTGATCTATCCACAGGGTTTTCCAGATAGGCTCATTGTCAAGTGCCGGCACCCAGAAGCCGGATGATTCCAATGGATTGTCAAGAAAACAACCATGGAACTATTGTGTCCGGGCATTTGGAGAAATGGACTTTGAGGTTAAGACAGCATCGTCCCATTCACTTCCTAGTCAATGTTTTGATGGTTCCCGGAGATAAAATAAACTTCACATCTTGTCCCAATTCTTCATAAACAGATAGAACGAGGGCGACTCACTTACATTTACAGGATTTCATCATGTTCGTTCTCAAACTACATGTCATCGCTTGTTGCAGTTTGAGGTCGAGTCATCAGCGTTGGAAGAATAGGTTCTGGCTTGGACGCCACGTTCTAAATTGTCAGCGAGCTCGCGATGGATGACAAGGCATTGTTGCTGGCTCGACTGATGGAGTACGGTTGGAATAGACTTCCATAGTCATCAAGTTCGTATTCGGCAATAACAAAAGTAACTAATCGTTGAGCCTATCAATTTCTTGTATACAAAACTCATTTGCCCCCCAAACCTTGAAATGACCACACCTGTGTAGGGCACCTCATTGTTTGGACCATCACCAGTGGCATAGTCTGACTGTGAATAAAGGATGTACCAATGGCTCGTGTCGGGTCTTGGAAGCAGCCATCCTCCTTTGCTATTCGAACTCACGCGAGGTAGGCTTGGAAATACTACCTCCCCTTTCAAGTTATCGACGGCGGGATCGTACCGTGAGGCGTTCCCCTAAGGAGTCTTGTGATCGAGAGGTATACAAAATTGCATAACTAGGGCGAAACGGAAAATTGAAACATCTTTTCGTCGGCGAATGATGCACAGAGTAACTGGTACAGCGTACGTAGGGGGGATATAGAAGGAAATTCATAAAGATGCGCTCACCTGGAGTTGGATATAGTGTTGTCTCCCACGGCCCCCGGTGTGAATTGCGCACTGTTGCCTTAGGCAATACTGCCTTGGGTACCGTCATTTGGTGGGTGAATACGCATAACATTGTTTCCCATCTTGGTCTTCTGGTCACTTGCTCCAGATATAAGTATGACTTCAAGGCTAGAAAGGCACAATGCTAATGTACACGGGCAGACTGGGTGATGTGCTGGGAGAATGAGATTGGCTTGGCGAATCAGCCTCATGTACTTCTCTGGTGCGCAAAGAATAGAACAGCGCGTTATGCGCATCAAAGAAACACAATTTTGTGGGTCCTGTCTGGCAAACACTACGGAAACGTTCATGCATGAAGATCGGACAGGAGATTGAGCCCCCAAGGCGCCCAGGGTAAAACTGCAGCCCAAGTGATCTGGTCTTTTTCTCGCATATTGTCTCTCCTTTGAGAAAGAAAAAAATTACCACAGAGTGGTAGACCTCCTGAAGTCTTTACCTCGATGTACAATCTAAACCGTAATTTTTCAAACATAGCCCGCCCCCCTGCGGGCTCTGACTTTCCCACACGTACTTTGTGCGAAATATACGATCGAATTTGGGCATGGAATCAACAACTATACTTAGAATTTGATTTATGCAAACAAGTGTCTCTCCGCTTGGCAATTTATGCTCAACTGAAGGCTGAGAGATGCTCAAGCTGAGGCCTATGCTAAACAGAGGTCCAATCTATCCTCCATCTTAGATGTGAAGTAACTCAGCCTCAATTTTCACAAAGGAAAAATGGCTATTCATAGATTTTGAGAAAAGATTTGGGTGCTCAAAGCTCATAATTGGGCTGTACACGTGGGCAGCGGTCGTCGTTCGTGTCGTTCGTGTCTTGAGTTGACCCTGGTCGTTAGTTTCGCAGATACTGTGGCTTTGACTTCGCGCTGAAATCTACAGTCATCAACACGACGACCAGGCGTTGTGGATGCGCCTAACAATGGTGGGACACATCGTCCTCCTCATTTATATAGTACCGTTCATCCGTGGCTTTCGTGTTATCTTTTGTCTACTTAAGTACTTCAAACAGCCGAGAAAAAGAATCCAGAAAGCAACCGCTACCACACAACCCAATCATCGCCCTCTTTATCAAATCTATATTCAAAAACAGTCCTTATATCAAAAAGTATCTTGCATATATCGTCACGATGGTTGCCTTGCCACCGATTGCCGATCGTGCCCCGATCACACACCTTTCCAATCACCCTGACAATGAGATTGCTTGTCTGGAAAACATTAATATCAATTCCGATATCACTATCGAACTCGAAGGTGGAGTTACCGAATATGGCAGCGCCGATTTTGCAAACGGCGACTCCTCTGACGAACAAAATGAAAATGTACTAGACGATTCCGACGCCCATGCAATTTCAACTCCTTTGCCCGACAGTCGGCATACCTCAATTGATGTGCTCAAAATCATTGAAAGCTATGGAGTGGACTTTGAGAAAACTGGAGTATCCTGGAAAGGCTTTGAGTCATTTGTTCCCATCGTGTTGGCACAAATTGAGAAGCAAGAGCCGATTCGGATGATTTTGCCGGCTTTTCCGTTCAAGTCTCCAAATTCTCAAGACAAAGTGCTCGGAGATTTGCCAGACTTCGGCGAGGAGCTGGCTCTATTTCATCTGAATGGCCTCTGTCAGAACATCAGTGCAGTATATGCTCCTGGCGCCGATATTTACATCAGCTCGGATGGACTCGTTTACAACGGTACGTACACACAGAAACCACTCAATGCCTACATTGAATACTAACTCTGCTTACAGATATATTGGGCGTCTCCGATGAAGTTGTTTGGAACTATGGAGAGGCCTTGCGAAACATGGCTGTTGAAAAGGAGCTCCATCATGTCAAGTTTATCCGTCTTTTCGAACTTCTTGAGCACCCATGGTTCCCTTCCTCCACACCAGAGGCGGCTAAAAACTTTTATTTGGCCCATGCTGGTTGCCTTCGCCGAGAACTCATGTTCACCTTCGGAGACTCAACTTTTGATGCAGCAAAGGCTATCAAAACCGACAATGATACGTGTCTCACATACAGGGGCTACATAAAGTTTTTAACTAAAGACTTAGCCCACCAGAAACGTCCAGGTATGTCGAAGCGTGCCTGGCAGGCAAGGATTGCCGAGACAGCACGGCAAATGATCATCCGCGGCAAAATGTTTGCGGCAGCTATCCAGAAGAACCGCAAGGACTATGTGCGACTTTCTATCCACGAGTCTGGAGGAGAGAAGAAGCTATCAATGTCGCTCGTTCCCCAGATCAGAGGGAGGTTGGGCTACACACCCTGGCATTCTGCCGTTGCTGTTGGGGTGGATGGCACATATTCAACGGTCCATGCCGAAGATGTACGCGACACACACGACGTGGTTTATAAAAACGGGCAACCTTACCACTTCCGTGAAAGGTCGAGTCTTTTTAACTGGACTGAGGATGGGCTGTCGGTCAAATTCGAACATCTTTACCCTTCCGGCCTGGTCATCCGGCCCGCTGATATCGACAATGTCAACGCACCACCCTCTATCCGAGCTATCCCCATGCAGAAAGTCCGTCAGATGTCCAATACAATGTCACCGATTGTCCTGCGTGGATTTGCAGACACTCTTGTTGAAGACCTCTACATCGACAAAGCCTCCGAACTTGGAGACATTCTCCCGTGGAGCTTCGGTATTATCCAAAAGGTGCGAGACGATGGCCGGTCTGACAAGATGGGCAACAACGTCACTTCAAACGAGGCGATGCCAATGCATTTCGATGGAATGTTCAAGTTTGAAGACGTCCTAGACCCAATTACGGGGGAGATAAAGAAGGTCCAACGCCCACCGGGGTATCAATTCTTCACTTGTCCAGCAACTGCACCCAAGGGAAACGGATACACCTTATTTGCGAGCTCACGACTATTCTTCCGGTATTTGCCTTATCCGTGGTCTGCAGATCGCTTGGAAAATGTCACTTGGGCGATGGATAATAATGGATTCTGGGATGCAAAGCTTAAGAATCTGCCACTGGTGGTCAAGCATCCCGTCTCTGGTTTACCTTGTATGCGCTGGCATCAGCCATGGGACACGACAAAGACAAAGTTTTCAACTTGTGAGGTGAAAATTGAAAATGACGACAACATTCTGGTGGAGGTGATTGATCGAATCACCTACGACCACAGAGTTTGTCTTCGCTTCGGATGGGAAAGGGGTGACTTGCTAGTCAGCGACAACACTGCCATGTTGCACACACGAACTGGTTATGTTAGTGACTGCGAGCGGGAGCTTTGGCGAATCCACTGTGATTAATCCTCCGTTTGATATCCGTTTGGCTTGGTTGATTCCAAGATTGTTTATAAATTTTGCTGGTTTTAATTCACGTGGAATGCGGTCGGTGATTGAATATTGAGAATCGAATTGAGCGTTTCAGTTGAAACACATGGTCAGGCACCAAGGTAGTAGACTCAAAGTTGTATATTGTATGAGTGACGAACCAAGTGTGGAGTGAGGAAGCAAAGAAGGGGGGATGCCACAGGTGGGGCATGTGGAGGAAAACAAACAGAACGAACAAAGCCCATACTTTGCGCTCTAATAACTCTTCTTTAATCTCGTAATGGCTCTGTTGATATTACTCCCCTAGGTAAGTAGTATCCACGTTTCACTTTTTACTCGCGACATATAGCTAGCCGATAGGAATTTTTGCCCTCATCTCTTTCCTCTCTTTGTTGTGCCCGAGAATCTGACAAGAACGCGTATATTCTTGGCAGACCTAGGGACCTTCTACTTAATACCTAACACTTCTCAATATTTCACTGATACGAATGATCAACTTTAGAAATTGCATGCCTTCTGTCGGGATAAATAACGTACACATTCCTCAAAAAGACTACTTAAGTAGTTTCCCACCCTCTATATTGGATTGACACTGATATATCTACGGAGTACCTACTTCTGAAACCAAAAAAAATAAAAATAAAAAGAAAAAGAAAAAAAGGAAAATCCGTCAAGATCAACAACTCACAACATTCTAGTAGGAAGACCTCCACTTGAAAAATTCGAGAGTGCCACTTTGTGAAGTGGACATGTTGCGTATACTCCAGGACCGATCCTTGCTCTGGGAGATGACTCTGCTGGCGAACCAGTTTGAGCAGTATGGGGATAGCAGAGGCAGCTCAAATTTTGTGACGTTTGCAGTGGTGGTAAATCTTCCCCTGGCACTTTGAAGTTTTCTCCATAATAGGGGCTGGATGGGGGCATTATTGGTATGCCAGCTGAAATAGAATTTGAAGATTCCGGAGGGACAAGTACGATGACTTTTGATTGAGGTGACATTATATTGATGACTTGGAGAACTTGAGGCAGAGCCGCTTCTATTTGGTGTCAGTCTCCTAATTCGGAAAATCAGAGAAGGATAACCTAGCAACTCACCAGTGACGACGTAATATGATGGCTGGGTCACTGATTGGGGCAGATGTTCTTGAAGCCGGCAGTCTCCTGCAATCTCCGGTTCGTGGATTGTATTGCCACCAAACCCGACGCTGGGCGGGGATATAGCAGTAGATATGACATTGTTTGATGACGATGAAATAGCAGTCGATGGAGTTACCGTGGTGGGAGAACCGATTCCCGCAAAGTGAGACATATCTCCGTTACAAATTTGGGGCGGTTGGAACGCATTCGGGTCGGTGGGCCATGATTGAGTTGAGTGAGGTGCGAAATGAGGCATGAATGTAACATTTTGCTCTGGGCTCATGGGGGAGATGTCTCGAGAAGTAAAGCCGAGATGCTGTTCACTAAAGCCCGAATACGGCCTTGTGGGGAATGTCGAAGTGCTGTATCCGGTATTGTATCCTTGATCCCATCCGTGGAGAACAGCGGCAGCCCTAAGCTCGTTCGCAATAACTCGCTCTTGAAGCTTTGCAATTCGTTCTCTAATCTTTCGGCCTGGAGACTGTCAGTTTCGGTTCAAATGGGGTTTCTTTGACCCTACGTACGGTGGTTCCTCTGGGAAAGCCGGTTTTGTAATCTTCTTCGCTCCAGCGGGTCTTGTGGCTGGTTTAGCATCTCATCGTTGCTAGGACTCGAAGAATGATCTTCCACTTTCATTTTGCAAAGGTACTCAAGTAGGGTCTGTATCTTTGGTGGATGATGATCTGGCAACGGTACTATATAGCTCAACAAGCCCCCGTGTGAAGCTTTACACGTCTGCGGGTGTCAAACGCGGACCTAGGACCAAGAAGGCCATGGCCGTCAGCCACTATGCTTTATACAGGCAATGCGCCCACGAAGCAAATCAGGCCTGATCTCACCGTATCACGCAGCCTGTACAACGAATCTTCGGCGGTCAAGGAATTCCGTCCATAGAGGACCGATGGATCCAATTTTGGTTCGCTCAGCCGCGTGATGCTCATTCTGGCCTTGGAGGCTACCTGATTTTGTCCACTTGCTTATTCTTGAGCGGGGAAGTAGTTGTGCATGTCTACAGGAACATTCCAAGGTTCGGGCACCATCTTGGAAGGTTTCAGGGCGAGTGACACGGGGAAGTGTTGTCAAAGGTTATTCCCGGTCCGAACGTGTCCACAGACATGGCGCTGCCCTGAACTTTGTCAAATTCTTCCAACATTTTGGAAATGGGAATACCATATAAACCTTTCAGCTTGATCCATCTCTGTGGTTCAAAGGACAGAGTACCCGAGCCCGCCAATCTTATTCGAAGCCATCTGGCGTGCAAAACTGTACGACCCTTTTCTCGGGCTACGAAAATCTTGCTCACGGTACTCTAAATGACAATCCGCGAGTATCTATACTCCAAAATACCCGTCTTCTCAAAGTCCATCGAGTATCCCCGGACATCTCCGAAAAAAGAATACGCCGTTCAGGATACACGGAGCCCACGTGGCGAAGGTAGGCGCCCTTGATATAATGATTTCAATCCCCACCAGTAGGTATACCACTGTAAAATCTTTCATTGGCCTCCATATTCACAGATCACCACTCAAGACCACACAAGAATAGACAAACCAGGAATATGCTGACTGGCTGCTGATTTCGAGGCCAGTGCCACTTGGATCACTATGAAGTTTAAAAATAAGACAGATCAGGTCTGAGAACAAACAAATAGATCAAGAATACGGAATATACCCCGGTGTGGCTCCAGATGACATCTGGTTCCCACTTTGACTCTTGCTTTGGATAGGTAGCATCCATATGTTCCTAAACGAGTCCAGGAGACCGAGAAGCTGTACTAAACATATCTCAAAAGGGCCATCTGCTTGGTGGCGCCGAAGATAGAATTTTGTTGGCATTGGAAGTGAGTTCCAACCTCGGCTTGGGGGTCTCAAGTGAGCACAAATCTCAACCACAAACCTAGAATTCGCCATGTGTTGTCTCTGTGATAGTTGATTCATCTCTCTGAGGTGTATGCATGTGAGATCTAGCTGTAGGGACCGATGGAAGGTTCGGGTTTGTTTGTCGTTGGGTTGCGCTCTAAAACCCGATCTCCTTGTGTTACTTCGTTGTGTAGCAATATGAATCGTCTGTGCAGTCTGGGCTGTGGATGCAGTGTTCATGGTGACATAGGGTGGATGATGGTTCCTGGGGCCTCTAGTTACAGGGACATATCCTGTTCAATATTGGCGCTGGGTAACATTCTCATACATTTCTCCATTTCTCAAGTTGTGTTGATGTATGCACCATTTCTCGGATTAGCCTGGCCAATTGAAACTAAGCGCTGGGAGGAGGAAATATCCCTGTACTACTTGGCTTCTATCGGTATTTCTGGAGAAGTGGCCAATCACTTGACATCTCATCAACTTATAGTTAACCTCGTTGTCGCCAGTCAGCTGCCAAGAAGCTCACGGGTAGCCATTTGAGGGTAACTCTGCCCACCTCTCTATGGAATGAAATTTTTGCTTCCTCTTTCATTCACCTGGTGAGATTATTCTGCAATTCTTGTGGACTTCGCTTGCGTTTGCGGGTTACGTGACCCGCACTGCTTGTGTAGATACATCCTACCTGTAGACGCTTTCCCCCTTTTGCTTTCCTGTTCTTTCTCTCCATCCCTCTCCCCTTTCCTTACTTCGAATTTCAGACTGCTCTCCCTGTCTCAAAGTACAAGGAACTTCTCTACGGAACCTTTCCCCTGTCAGTGGATGCCTATTTATCAAATTTCATCATGGATATGATATTCAAGACAGCAAGCGATCTGCTTCCATATCATCTTCTCGTCTATGGCACCCTAATCGGGACAGAGCTGTTCCAGGTAAGAACTGCCTTTTCCCAGTCGACAACAGATGCTAACTTTTGATAGAGCTTTGTCAACACGAAAATATGCTACCAAGTACTGCCGATGAAAGAGTTCATTGCCCTTCAAAAAAAGCTGTTCCCCATATATTTTAGAACACAAGTTGCACTAACGGCACTCACGGCTGCAACATACCCGCCATACAGCATCTTCTCCTTGATTCAAAGTCCATGGAGTGCAACGCCTCTTGCGATCGTCGGTTTGACCGGTTGCTTGAACTGGTTTATTTATGGCCCAAAAACTACTACAGCTTCACTGGTGAGAAGGGCGATTCAAGGTAAGACCAAGTTGCCGACAAGAACATTTACTCAGAGGTCGGGACTGACAAGAGCCCTAACTACAGTCAGCGAAATCCCCGATTCGGATCTAAACGGGCCGAAGTTGCATCGAGCAAACCGCAATTTCGCACGAAGCCATGCCATGGCAATTCATTTGAATGCAATTGCGGTGGTGGCCACAATATTCTATGGCTTCTCACTATCGTCGACTATCCGGGACACATAAAGCTTCTAGTGTTAGATAAAGTACCTTTTCAGACAAAGCTACATGCAAATAAACACAAGATGACATTTTGAGTCTACAGAATATTCTCAATTTCTACATCGCTGTACTGATATCTGGAGCTACTTGTAAGGTTATCAGCCCCAATCGCATAGTGCAGATACACCACCACTTGAGCAGACATGGTCGTAGCCTCCATCATGCATTCATGAGATTAGCAGAGGCAAAGTGACTTTCTGCTCGAAGTCAGAATGAAATGATACAGTGTCATATAGCCAGAAACCGTATCTCATCAGTTTGTCGACCAATGAACATACTTCAGTGAGTAGTATTCTAAGTTTTCCTCTGGTGGTTGTTGGCCTTAGCTGATCAGTGGATGAGTCGTGACCACAATAAACTCCCGGGGAATAAATAGCCCACCAAAAGTCTCTGATAAAGGGCTTCGCGTTGGACAATGGTGACGTTGGTGTCTTGTAGACTTCCGCTGACACCAGGTGCATTTGGACCCTTAACTTCAGACGAGAAACCTCTATATAGAGTCTGCTACCGAGTGTAATTTTTGTTTCCCAATTTAATTTATTCACTATGGCTCTCTTGATATTCGGCACTCTATTTCTTCCAGCATGTCTCCTTTTCATCTGGTATTTTCACATTCCGCGTACGTTCCCATCTCTGCCGATCATCCCGATTTATGTCTCCCTACTCGGCCTTTGGTCTTCCATGGGCCAAGACGAAATCTACGAGCGATGGTTCCGTGCACCCCTCGAAGCCCATGGTGCAGTCATTGTTTGGCATGCTGGTCGCTGGAGCATCCTAGTCTCACGACCAGAGTGGCTCACGGATATGTTTCGAAACGACAACTTATATGTCAAAGCTGGATCTCAGGTTAAGAATCCACATTCTGTCATTGCCACTCTCGTCGGCGATAATATCATAAATTCCCATCAAAATTGGAAACTATACACCTCAATCATGAAGCCAGGATTACAGAGAAAGGTGTTCGATACTACCTCACTTCTTCGGCAGTCGAATAAATTGGTTGATGTTTTGATTTCAAAAGGAAAAGGTTCGATCCAGGTCAACGACGATGTACAAAAATGGGCTGTCGATGTAATGGGGGAAAATTTCTTGGGATTGGATCTTGAGGTACTTAAGTATTGGTGTATTGATCTCGTCCACGATGTTTCGCTACCACCTGGCCTGGGACATTCGCTGATTATACCAGAGTCTAGGCAACCCAAACGTGGTCCGTCTCGAATCACTACAATCAACCATCAAAGCCACCCTATTCAATCCAATATACTTCACCTTTCCCGATCTAGATCGCTTCAGCTGGCTCTTCACCTCCCGAAAGCGCGGGTATAGAATAATGCGAGAATTTGATGACCGACTTTACACAAGGACGATGGAAATGGTGCGCCGCACTTCTAAATCGGACATGGTTTCTCATACGCTTGCCGACGCCTACCTCACGAAGAAGATAACAGAGAAACAATTCCGTGATAACCTCAAAATCACATTCCTGACTGCCCATGAAAACGCCCAGCAACTGGTCAATTCAATGTTTTGGCAACTGGGGACGAAACTCGATGTCCAATCCCGTCTTTGCGATGAGATCGTCCAGTTATCCTGTGTACACCCTAACCCCTCGCAGGAGATCATCAACACACTGCCATATCTTACATCCGTTGTCCTTGAGCTACTGCGAGTCTTTCCGCCTGTCTCACAGCTCATCAACCGTGTTGCTATGCAGCCCGCTGTGTTAGGTGGTGATTTGCCCATTCCGAAGGGGACTTTCGTGGGATGGAACGCGTGGCTTGTGCACAGTAATACGGCGATATGGGGGGCTGATGCGAGAGAGTTCCGGCCTGAGAGGTGGGGAAGTACTGTGGAGGAGATGCAAGCACGCTTTCGGAGGGAGACGGTGCGCGAGACATATATCCCATTCAATGCGCATAGGCGGAAATGCCTTGGACAAGGATTTGCATTATTACAGCTGAAGATTCTGTTGTTCGTGTTGCTAGGAAGGGTCAGATGGGTCGTCGATCCGGAATATCGGCTGAAATTGACACTGGTGGGTGCTCCTTGTTTGATTCTGTCTGTGCCATGCTTACTAGGCTAGGGGGGCATTCTGGCACCATTGGGATGTCGGGTTATCCTGACTGAGCTCGGATAGTGTATGGTGACACACTGGCGGGAACTTGGGGTTACAAGCAGGTGATTTGGACGCGTTGAGATGGTGGCAAGATGGGCAAGACATCTTTGCATCCGAGACTTAAGATGAACTGGGTAATATGTTAGTCTTGACCATGGAAATGTGTTTGGAAGATAGTCTCAAGTCAACAGTAGACCATAGAGGGGTTCACCTCATGGGCGCAAGCACTTGTACAACATTGTTCGCCTGTTGGCTTTCGATGTATCACCTATAGCCAGGGGGTCGGTTGATCCCTGCATTATTCGAAACATAAGCCATGGAATTGGTCGGAGTCTTGTTCACCACACCCGGTGAGACACCCAATTCGGGCCTTAATTCAAACATGACCACTGGCAAGAGATATTGGAATTCGTGGACGACGACAACCGATGAAGTCTTCTGACATAGGACTCGGTCTGGTCCTTTTCCGCGTTGATCAGAAATCGTTGGGCAGAAGCTTAAAACCCAACACAATCAACGTCGGCATCTATAGTTAGCAGAAGAGAGAGGCTGAAGAGGTGGACAGGAAGCTTGGAGGATGGTAAATTTCATTACGAGCCCCTAGGAGGGGGGGTTGGGTAGTCTTTCAAATGACCCAGAGAAATACTTGGAGCCACTGTGATCGCAATGCCTCTGCAGAGTGAAAATCATTGGAGAGCTCGATAGAGACAAAGTCTGCTTGTAAAACATGGAGATCAGACCTCAGTTGGCCAAACAAATTGGGTATTTTGTTTTCAAACAATTGCGCCGAAGAAAAGCCTAACATTAGTGTAATATTTTGAAATGTGACATTAGATATCGTCGCCACCGGGCATTCCCATAGATACCTTCTTCAACTCTAGGTCCTTCTTGAGCTCCTGGATGCGACGTCCCATCTTGTTGCGAAGAATGTGGTTTTGTACCTTCTCCCATTGTGCGGTTTCGGTGCGAATGAGGCCCTCCAGCTCGGCAACCTCTTCTCGCTGCTGTTGGAGTTGTTGCTGTTGCTCAATCTGGTCCTCGTCCATATCATCATCATCGTCATCTTCATCGGAGATATTGCTCTCTTCGGCAGATGTATCACCGCGTTCCGTCTGATCGCCCCCTGGTGTAAATGGTAGGACAGATGGTGTGTCTGCTTGGTCTGGTCCAGGCCCAGGTAAATCGTCATCCCCGGCAGCCAACGCAGCCTCCATTTCGGCTGCAAGATCATCATCGAAGTCGCCCATCATGTCGTCCTCGACTTCGCCGTCCGCATCCTGCTCATCATCATATTCCTCTTCGTAGACTTCGTTTTGTGCGAATTCTTCGGCGCGGTTCAGTGAGGCACTATCCACCAACTCGAACTTGGGAGGGAAAATTGATGTCTCGTCTTGAGTCATCAAATCTTCAACAGCCTTTTCGACTTGCTCAATGGTCCGGGTGCTCAAGCGATTGCGGAATCGGCGCTTTCTGGTCCAGCGAAGAGGAGGCGCCAGACCGTGGGGATATTGAAGTGTCTTGTCATCGAGATACTGAACGTCCGGAGGGAGGGGGTATTCCAAGGCTTCTTGGTCGTTATTCACTTGCCCGAGCACCAACAGCATCTGACAAATGTCCGCCGACTTGTACCAGCCTCGCCTATCCCAACTCTTCATGCCCTCGATGATGCAGGGTAGATCGACCAGTGCTGCCGCATATTGTTTATCGCGAACCTTTAAGATAGCGCGGCGGCCCTCGCGAGTGAGAGGTTTGAAAGCGAACTCGGAATTATTGAAGTTGCGCTCATTGATCGTTTTCTGCAGATGTTCACAGTCTTCTCCTGGGAGCATGCGAAGGATAAACTGTTCTTCGATGGCAGGGTCGTTCTCATTGTCCGAGGCCTCGGAGTCATATCCAACACCGACTGGTCGGGTAGGAACTTGCCCCTTATTTTTGATTCGAATTGATTGTAGGCCAGGCTTCTTCGAAGGGTTCAATTTCAGCCGCTTGGGTGCTTGTTGAATAGGTTCAGGTTGTGGCTCCGGTGGTGCGAGCTGTTCCACCGGCCGCTTCTTTGTCGTTTTCTTCTTCTTTGGTTTCTCTTCACTCGCTTCGGCTTGCGGTTTGCGGGCGATCTTTAAGGTGAGTTTGCGCTGAGGTTGGGGCGTCTCGGACGCGGCGGGCGCAGGAGGCGGCGGTGGTGGTGCAGGCGCCTGTTCCTCTGGGGGAGGGTCGGGCCTCCTCGAGAACTTGATCTTCAGAGGCATTAATGCGCAGGTTCAAGGTTAAATAAATATCCACGTGAAGGGAAGATGAAGAGGTCACGTAGGTGTAGGAGTCGAAGTTGCGGGCAGATCAATTTCTCCGCTTTGGGTCGCGGCCGAGCTTTCACCTTTTTGTTGTCTGCCATTTTGCTCACATCTACCTTCGGTTTCCTTCAGAGGTATAGCCATACGATCTGCTTTTCTATTGATCTCAATAGATCAAACGTCGTATTCTTCTTCTTCTTCTTCTTCTTCTTATTGTTCTTCTTATTGTTCTTCTTATTGTTCTTCTTATTTCTCTCGCCAGAATGTCTGGCCCAAATCTTCACAATGCTCTCCTCCGACCTCCAATTATCCAGATCCTTCGCGCGCAAGGCTTTCATTCCACGCGTCCTTCAGTCCTCGAATCTTTGCAAGACCTGACCGGCCGATATATTCAAATTCTCGCTTCTGGATCAGCGGAACACGCCGCAAACGCACACCCAGAAGACCCCATTCCAAGACTTGAGGACATCTACCAAGCACTGCAGGACGCAGGAGCCATACGGCCCCAATTACGTGAGATGGATGAAGATTGGCAGGGCGAGGAAGATATGCGCGGTCTTCAGTCTTTCATTGGGTGGATTAAGGGCCCAGCTCATGCGGAAATCCGAAGAGTTGCCGGGTTCCTCCCGAGTGAGGGTGATATCATTGATCCTGACGCGATTGAGAAGGAGGATTATCTCACTGCTTTGAAGAAGAAGCACAGCAAGACGGGCGAAGAATCTCGTTATGCTGGGACTGTCCTGGGAAAGAGTGCCGAGGAACGCCCCATCATCATCGAGGGCGGTGCTCCAAGCATCCAGGAATGGGGAGCCCAGATACGTGCCCGTGCACCTGAGAACGGCGGTATTGACAGCGATACCTCAGGTGTCAGCAGCGCACCTAGCCATCTATCCGACGAAGAAACCATGGCCGCCTGAGCCAATTCACCCCTCGGTTAGTGACTTGGGTTCACCATCATCGCCCTTTCTCCCCATACATCATGGACCCCCATCCCCACTGAGTTCATCTCAGTCAGAACTCCATTCCGCGAATGCGACCACCTCTCAATCTACATTTTGGACTTTTTTCGGATCCCAAATAACCTTTTGTGAGGGCGGTTTCGTCACTTTGCACATTGACTGTGTGACCCAATTGACGGCGAGACCCTCGGTTTCATCTTCATCGCGCCTATCTTCCTTCGGTTCACAATCCCCGCCATCCTGAATACCAACGACTGGGAAGGCGGACAAAGACATGACCGCGGGATCCGGCCTCGAGTCGGCCCCTCGACCTCATTCCTCACAGCGGTCAGAAGAGGTTCACATACTCATCGACGGGTCGTACGTGGAATAGAGTGTTTCTGGACAACTGAGCAGCGTGCCATCTACTTCCGAGCACACAATATAAACGGCATCATCGTGATATACACACTAAAAATCATATTGGACCTCAATAGCTACGTCCAAGCCAATAACAGCCACAAATCCTTCCATTATTTCGATTTTGCGTTGAAGCCTTTCAAGCCTAGATGGACTGAAAAGTTCAGATTTGACCTCAAATAGTTAGTCCCGAGCCCATCAGTCTAGTCTTATAGCAGAGATGGTTTTGAACGGGACGTCTAATCCGTTGACCTCGACTGTTGCTCGGTAAATACGTGGATTCCTTCGGTCCAGCCCGTTCGCGCGCCAAACCATTTCCGGTGGAGAACCAATTTCCCCGGAGTTCCCCGCGATTCACAATCTGTTTGTTTTCCCGGGGCCTAACGGTTGGGGACAATACGATCTGACCTCCAGATGACACAAGAAAACTTGTCAGCCCTGAAGGCCGGCCTTGGTACGCCACCCGACTTGGCTGACTGGGCCGACTTGGCCTGGAAGAGTATAGAGCAAAACTCCCGGAGAGTAGCTCTACTCGGCCGGAATCAGACATCGGCAGTTGAGCTCAGAGTCACCCACAGACCTCGGCCAGGCTGTTTCAGACCGGTCAAGCCCTAGTAATTTACTCATCTCTCTGCAATCAAAGTCCGCACATCCCCGTATCCCAGCAGCCACCGAAGCGGCGTCGGATTCCTGTATTTTACGGCATATCCGACACGTTCAGATCTACCGCAGATGCCGCCACTTTCATTTACTCTGCAGTCAGAAGACAATCAAGCTCCACATGGCTCCCGAATCACTCGCTTGCACCCTTGATTTCAACCATTACTACCCCGGAGGTCTCCACCCTCCCCGGCTTTTCTTGCCTATTGACTCAACAAAAACCCCAGACCCCAGAAATGTCTGATTACGAATCGAGAGGGTCAGCGGGGTCAAGGTCAACCCTCTCTCCTGCTGCCCTCCCTGATTCCTGCCAGCATAAAGTGGTACGATACTGCGTCGTATGATTTCTATAGATATGTCTCCAATGGATCACGAAACTGCCAAAAGCCCGCCTGCCAAGTACGACTCAGACTACTTTGAAGAAAAGGATGCGGGATTCGAGGAAGTTTCTCCGGGTACCTTGCTCTCAGAGCCACACAAATCCTACTTGATCCAACGACATGGCACGTTGGACCTCGATCCGATTCCTAGCATGGACCCAGCAGATCCATACAACTGGGCCTCCTGGAAGGTGAGTCTGGAGAAATACCACTTTGTCATATCATCCCAAGGTTAACTCAGTGTCAGAAAATCACAAACCTAGCTCTCGTGGCATTCCATGCGTGTATGGGCACTTTCACTGCAGCGGCCATCATTTGTGCCTACGAGAACATCGCCGAGGATTTGGAGGTCTCCATTCAGCGAGTTAGCTATCTCACTTCACTGCAGATCGCTATTCTCGGAGGTGCACCCCTGTTTTGGAAGCCGCTCTCACATCGGTTCGGACGCCGTCCGATTTTCCTCTTATCACTACTTTTGAGCTGTGTCTGCAACGTTGGCTGTGCAAAGAGTACTGATTATGCCTCCATGGCGGCATGTCGAGCCCTCGTTGCATTCTTCATCTCACCTGCCATGGCTATTGGAAGTGGTGTTGTCACTGAGACTTTCTTCAGACATGAGCGTGCACGCTATATGGGCGTGTGGACCTTGATGGTGACACTGGGAGTTCCAGTCGGACCTTTCATCTTCGGCTTCGTCGCGCAGCGCGTTGGATACCGCTGGATTTACTGGACATTGGCCATCGTAAGTGCCATGGTCCCTTGTGACATCACATTACTAACTACCTCAGACAAATGCTGTCGAGTTCATTTTATACATTTTCTTCGGTCCTGAAACACGTTACATTGGTGGTGATGTCCAATCACGTTCATCGGCAATCAAGACGGAGTACATGTCACTTCGTCGGATCGACCCTACACCATTCAAGCTCAGAGAATTCTGGCACCCCCTCACTCTCTTCACGAACATTCCTGTTCTCCTTGCGGCGATCGCCTACTCCATGGTTTTCCTCTTCTGCTCAGTACTGAACTCGGTCGAAGTTCCTCAATTGCTCCAAAGCAAATTCGAACTCAACGCCCAACAACTTGGTCTTCAGTTCCTGGGACTGATCATTGGTTCCCTATTGGGTGAACAGCTCGGTGGATACATGTCGGATTTATGGATGAACACCCGCGCCAAGAAGATCGGACGAAAGCCTGCACCAGAATATCGACTTTGGTTGAGCTATATCGGTTTTCTCTTGAGTATTGCCGGTATGGTCGTGTTCTTGGTCTGCACAGAGCAAGCAAAGACTGGGAAATGGGATGTCCGACCCATTGTTGGAACAGGCGTTGCCGCCTTCGGTAACCAGGTCGTCACCACCGTTCTGACTACCTATGCAGTGGACACATATCCCCAAGATTCTGGCAGCGTTGGCGTATTCATTAACTTCGTGCGATCAACTTGGGGATTCATTGGACCTTTCTGGTAAGCTTGGTTTCTTTTCTCCATTTGCCTGAACGATCTAACTTCATCGCAGGTTCACTTCGATGTTCGAGAGTGTTGGTATTGCCGCAAGCTCTGGCGTGGCTGCTGCTCTGATAATGGGTGCTGGGTTCTTGCCGATGGCTCTGATGCATTGGCAAGGACAGAAGTGGTACAGCAAGGCGGTTTGATCAGAACCTCGATAACTTGAGAAGCAAGATTCATAGAACAGGTGCCCAGATGGCTTGATAGAACCTGAGCGACCAAGGTGGATGCGGTCAACTTTCATTTGATCTAGAAATATATCGCCTCTCTTCCAACTTATCATTTCGTACTGGCAGATGGCATCCAATGGATGCTTCAGATTTTGACGGCAGATATTCTCGCATAGACGGTTTCGGATGATTATCACTCTTGAATGTTTGTTCAAGCTAGCACTGTCGCAGTGGACCAGACCCCCGACAGAGCAGAAACTTCACGCTTAAGTACCGCATATTCTGCAATTTTCTCGTATGCATATATTAATATTTGCTCAGGTGAGGAGTATCTATAGTACCTAAGCGAGCTCTGCAATATCTAAATACAAATTTCCATGGTTTCCACCCAATATCAAAACCTATCCAACCCCAGAGTGAAGAAAAGACCCCGCGAGGTCAGTTACAGGCATTATAGTCAGCAACCACCGACTAGCTCTACCCTTACTCGCGATCATTCGTGGAGGTAGAATGCCCCACCGTTGGTGATCTTGCATTCTTTGTCGACATTGCCGATGGGTCCAGTGTACGGACCACACTGGTACTTGGGTCCAGCTGAGATGGTGGTGCTGGCTGGGCCGGCGGAGCCTTTGACGGCGATTTCATAGCTCTCAAGGTTCTCGATACCATTTGGGAACCAGTATTGGTACGCAGGGTCGGCGCAAGACTCGGGGTTCTCGGGTCCGACAGGATTGGAGCCGTTGTACCTGTTTTATCATGTCAGTTACTGGAAATTCTTCTCCAGGGCGATCATGATCACAACTTACCAAGCCGTGTGGCAGGTCGTGCTCCCTAGATCCTCGCCATATGGACCCCTAGAAGTAAGGGTCCAGGACAAATCAAAAGTGTTACTCTCAATGAGATGCTTCAGCGACAGACTGTCAATGCTGTAGGGCCATTTTCGGCTTTCGGTCGTCGGGGCCGCTGAGCCGATTGTGGCAAAGGAAAGAGCGACAGCAACAAAAGAAGTCTTCATTCTCGGGGGTTGATTGTCTATATCTGATGGCAAGGTAAGGCTCGTGATTGGGTGGTAGTCTTGTACTCAAGATTGCTTTGAGCTGATTGATGATGAAGGGAAAGACAGGGAGATGCTCTAGGTTTTTATATGTAAAGTAGATTGCCCTGCTCTCTTGCCGTTCCCCAAAGTACTCCATCAAAATCATACATAGAGCTGGATGACCCAGAGGGTCTCAGTCCCGATCAGCTCACTCCATCGATCGTGTCTAAGTGAATGTTTATTGGATAGCTTTGTCGATCTACACTTCTTCGTATCGAACTAGTTTCAGTCAGATCGTGCGACTTCGATTGATGGCTGTACGATGGTTCAGCCCACAGAACTTGGCGGACAATTTTGCATACTTGCACCGTCTCACCTGCAAGGCCCTCCTTGCCTTTGGGTGGAATTGCTAATTATAGCTTGATTCCACAACTTGTACTTTTCGATTTGGGCGGAGTAAGAGTGCAAGCCACCTGAATTCAATAATTAGCTACCTCGAAAGTGAAGAAGAAGATACGAGTACTTCGTGCTCGGAACTCCGGGGTAATACGCAAGGTGAATCTAATTCCCTTGGCGCGATCGTCTTCTCGCCCTATGAAAATAGATCACTGTGATGTGTCCGTCCAGCACGCCTAATTCTAAAAATGGAATTTTCTTCTGGTGACCGAGGTTGCCATCATCAAAATATTTTGCACCAAAGTGGACACTGTTATTCTTATGAAGAATTTTAAAACATGATCTCGCATCAAACACATATTGAACCATCGTGGGCCAAAAGGCTCAACCAAGAGGAGGTAGAGGTAAATATGCAAGATTTCGAGCCGTGCCCCGTAAACCCGAAGAGAAGAGTCAGAAGGTGTCCACGGACTGCGAAAGAGAAAGAAACCGCGGGACTAAGAAGTCTAAAAACCAATACCCTATCCGTGCCCTTCTCATATGCCAACGTGATACCTCACTCCTACCCCACTTCAGTACAAAATCGTGAAAATGGCAGTATATACTTACTCCTCGATGCACCATCACTCAAATGGGGGGGGGGAAAGCAGCAGATTGGGCAATGAATTGAAGTTAATCTCAAAAACCAGGGTTAATTTTTTTTTAAAAAAAAACTTCATATTCTCAGGAATGGATTCATACTTGTGGTTTGAACCACCGGAATGTGTTGCTTGATATCAATGAAGACTCGCATCTCCACCAACGTACACTTTGCGGGGGTCCGGCAATGACCCCACTCTGCCTCTTCAAACAGCAGCTTGGGGTTGCTACAATGAAGGCCTTGACATTTCATTTCAATGCGAGGACCTTCGGCCCTACGGGTCTGGCTTCCTACCAGACATCTTGAAAGGAGTTTGGGCGGCGACTTCTACCGCATCCTACACGCACACGAAGATGGAAGTTTTTTTTTTGAAAAATTGTCAAAGAGATGATGTTTATCGGCCCGACTGCGTTGGCAAGGCCATGATAACAGTGGATTGTCTGCGGGGACTATGTATGCAAGCGCGGAGGAGACTCAGTTAATCAAATAACCGACGAAGGGGACTAATTCACAAGCGCACAGTGGGTCAATTGTTGATATTTCTTAGGATCGATAGCTAGACTGAAATTGTGTTGTCTCACTTGTCTTTCTCTCGAATGCAAATGATGCCCTGTCAGTTTGTACAGAATCTACTACAGACATTTTTTGAAACACTACAGTAGGGATCCGAAAGAAACCTCATACAGTGATAAATACGTTCCTAGGTGCGTCCCAGTAGATTTATCAAATTTCCGCGACTTCAGGGGGCACACTGAGCATCATTGTGTGCTAACAAGCCTGTATTGTAGTAGTGGGCCCCATCGGACGCCCTAATACAGTGTCCACGTAGGGCGCGTCGTCATCATATTTTTCGGGTTCATCTTCAGATGATATTTGAGCTCAGATAGCCCAGTTACTATGGCAAACAAATATGAATTGAATTGAAAAGATCAAGAGGTTCAAATGGGTCGCTCGGTACATACCGAACATGCAGACCGCGTCCCATGCCCTACTTCGGTCCTTTTCTCGGCATTCCCTCCCTAATTCTCTGCCGAATACCGTAAAACTGTAACCTACGTGGAATCTTCGGTCATCTTGTTCCTCAAAATAGCAAGCGCCTGAACGATTGATCCTCCGTGGTATGAAAAAAGGATGAGTAGGGCTGTTTTGAAGCCTTGAAGCCAAACCTCGTGGACAAATCAGCAGACAGTAACTTGAAACATTAGAATTACAATTATGCCGAGACTGAGGCTATAATACAACCGGGTAGGCACCTATATCAGTTCTGGACTGGTTGATAGTCCCTGCGGCCCAATTCACTTTGCCTCCATCTCAGCTTCGTTTGTTCGAGAGTGCTGAGCTCGGCATTGTAACTCCCATCATCCAATGCACGTTGCAATCTGCCATTTCGGCGTTGCTTAATACAAAACCATGTTAGTGCTCCAATGGCAAGAGCACCGACGACGGCGGCCCCGACATATACGCCAACATGCGCCCCCTCCGAAAGATCATTCCACTTTTGACTCAATGTTTTCGCTGGCTTCTTGGTGATCTCTGCTTGGGCTGTCGAATTTCCACTGGATAACATGATCATCAGCAACGACTTCCGAAATCTAGGCGAGCTTGTTCTGTTATTCGATTGAACATACCTGATCACCTCAATACTCTCGTACGAGCCTGTATGTCCTGTATACTTATACTCTTTTCCAGAGTGGAAGTCTTGGACACGGATCTTGGAAACCGTCATGGTAAAGGGTACATCAGTCCAATTGACATAGCCACCACCCCACTCCAGATTACCCACGGACTGCCCCTTGATACCGACTGGCCAATTGCTAACTTTGACCTGGCAAGGCGTTTGGGGGTAATTCTTGCCGTATACAGTTAACGGCTCAGAGTAATTCACGGTCCGCACCAAATCGCCATCAATCCACCATTCCAGGCGATCTTTGTCCCAATATGAGGTATAGTTATGGAACTCTGTATCCGCATTCGAGACAGCATGGTTGCCTCCTCGGTCGCTGGTAGTTGTGTTGCCCTTGCCGAAAAAGTCGGATTGCACTTCGCTGGTGTTGTATCCTACCCACTCCCAATCAATTTCGTCCAAATCGTCGGATTGGAGAATGACACTGCTGATGATACCAGCTCCTTTGGCCATCTTGACGTGTGCTTCCATCACCCCGAAGAAGATGTAGAAGTTCGATACCAGGAGTGTGGAGGCATTTTCGGTCTTGATGGAAAAGTCGGCACCTTCGGATGTGTAGTCAATCGAGCCAGTTTGCATGTCCCATAGCTTGCTGTCGAGTGTTGAATTGAACAGCCAGGTGTGCTCGGTTCCGAGGGCAGGGTCGGCGCTGCATGAGCTATTGCTGTCTGTTGGGTTGCAGTCTGTTCCGGTGTACTCGGCATTGGCCACGGTGAGGAATACGCCAAGTACAATCAACACAGCTGATGACAATAGGCCCATGATGATCTGGTATGATCGTGTTGTCGTCCCAAATATGGTTTATGTCCAGTTTGATCGGGACAAACCCACGTACTTTTTCAAGTACCAACACGAACACTGTAGCCTAATGGTGGGGGGGGGAACGGATCGAAGTGATAGATGTGCTCTTGAACCTCGGAATTGGTCTTTCATCACTCGAGGGCAAGACTCAAGGCGACTTGAAGATTATCTGCAGAAATCTCCATGGCTGCTGGCTAAAGCAAGAATAGGGAGGTCAATAAGCGAGAGTGTAATGACCAAATCAAGCCAAAATTAGACGGCTGTCTATGCTTGTTCCAGGTTAGCGTCAAAAGTCTTCACAGCCGATCTATCCAGCAAACGCCAATTTGATGTGGATTGGTTTATCTCCGAGGCCGAGCGAAATGCTTGGCCCCACGCTAACGCATAGATCCATGTGGCTAACCGCATTTAGGGGCACTAGGCCAAAGGTGGCATTCACCAACGAGTTTTCCTTCAAATTGTTCAAATTGGTCAATTCATTGTCTCGCTTAGTTCGCATTCTTGATTTGTTTACTTTTTAGTTCCAGGGGTAATTCCCCTAAAGCACAACGTCAACGTTCCGATGTTCGGAAGTCGTGTTGCAAACCTCAGGCTTTCTTCCCACCACCACGTCCTGCTTTTGTGAGATGTAAAGCTCCCTTCTCGTATAGCTTCACATGTCTTGTTTTGTATTCTTTACAGCTCCCTGCAGTTTCAACAAGAGAAAAGCGCCACAAAGCAAACTTGAAACACTGAGAATCTATTTATTCCATTTTCTTTGTATCCAAACTCCTAGTTGTCTACATATATATACCTTAGCTTTTACCTGACTCCTCATTTCAAGTAGTTTGATTTTTTTTACCACTCTCGATCCACCACAATACTTGATTTCAAGTCCCACGAGCACCCGAATAGCGGCATAAACACTCAAGTCCTTTGCATCTGAACGTCCAGGGAGCAGTCATTTCTTTGTCATCACGTGGAATTCATTCATTCTGGCCACAGGGATGTATTCGCTGAAATCGGGTCATGGAATTCATTTACATCACGTGGCACTGTCTCGCATGGTGCAGGACCAAATCAATATGCTCAAGTTTAACGCATGGTCAACCGGAGAGGTGATTCAAAACCTCAACAATCTTCAATCTAAATTACAGGCTCAGGCAGTCTGGGGTGAAAAGGTACCCGGGCGGCTTGGGCTAGGCGATTATGCCTTATCTCAACGTTTTGTCCCGATACTTCGCCTTTATATTCCTGAAGCAGTGCGTATTTTGGAAACCGATCCAACTCTGTTTCGAGTTAATTGGTGGGATGGCAATTGGGTGGATACTTATGCCGCTGAGCATAGAGCTATCTGCATCCTTGAGCATGCACTTCGTGCTGCAAATCCTACCAAGTCATTTGCTTGAATGAACATTCCATTCTGCGCTATTGCCCGGTCACAAGGAACATTTGAATCGACTCACCCTGTCTACTCTGTGCATATCATACAACTTCTATGGTCGCTCTGCTCCTCTCCATGAGCCTATAGCGCTCCCTTCATCTGAATTCTTATATTTCCAATTCGCCTTTCAATTTTTCCCCCCATGGTATGTAACATATCTGTTGCATTTCTCCTGAAGTCAGCCTCGGAATTATATCGTATCATGATATGTACACAAGCTACAACTTTATTCTTAAAATCCTATTACGTGGAGAAAAAAAGACCATACTCTCTTCAGGGCTGGGAATTTTGTGGTTTTGTTAAGATATCGCCAAAGGTTTCTTCCGGTCTATGTGGTTTGTTAGTCCTATCTAAACATGTATTTTGATCTTCCCCATACCATTCTTTCCTGGCACTGATTCCTAGTCACAAGCTCAAACCAACGTCTGGGAGAGAAAGAAATTCCAACTTTAGAATTTTTACCGATGGCCGACAACCTCTTTCGGCGTGTACAAATCATCAATGCTCTGGACCTCCTCTGGACTGAGGTCAAAGAAGATCGCTTTGACTGCTTCATCCACGCGCTCTTTCTTGCTCATGCCTATGATTGGCGCAGTGATGAAAGGCTTGGACAGTGACCAAGCAATGGCAACGGTGGACATTGACACACCATGCTGGTTGGCAATCTCTTCAATCTTGCGATTGATGGCCTTGTCTGTATCCGAGTATGGTTTACCCAGGAATCCTTGATTTTGACCTCCACCGCGCTTGGTTTCAGAGAATGAGCTCCAAGGCCTGGCCAGGAAGCCCATTGAAACCGGGCTCCAAGGGATCCCACCCATTCCAAACTTCTGACAGGCTGGGTACATCTCTCTTTCCTCCTCTCGATAGATCGCGTTGTGAAGATTTTGCATGGAGATGAACTCGGTCCAGCCGTGAATACGCGCAGTGTATTGATATTCGAGAAGTTGATGTGCCCACATGGACGAGGCGCCGATATAGCGGACCTTTCCGGACTTGACAATGTCATGAAGGGCTTCCATCGTCTCCTTCACTGGTGTTGTGGGTCAAAGCGATGAATCTGCAGTAGATCGACATAGGGAAGATCGAGTCTCTTCAAGCTTGCGTCAATGCTGTCGAAGGTGTGTTTCCTGCTCAGGCCGTACTGGTTGAGGTAGCCAGAGTTGTCCCGCTGCTCTTCGTTCATGGCGAGTGGCTCTTCCAGATCACGCCCCACGGGTGCCCAAAGTTTGGTTGCGATCACAATGTTTTCACGGCGCCAACCATACTTCTTGATGGCTTTGCCTAGAATCTCCTCTGATTGACCATTCGAATATGCATTGGCGGTGTCGTAGAAATTGAGACCTGAATCATAGCAGTGATTGAGGATAGGGAGAGCCTCTTCTTCCGGGATTGCCCACTTGAAACGCCCCTCGGGATTGCCAAAGCTCATGCATCCTACTCCAACGGGGGCGATTCGGAGCCCACTGGTTCCAAGCTGAACGTACTTCATCATGGAGAGGCTGTTTTATTATGAAGAGGTTCGATGTGATAGTAAGGTCCTTCGGGGGTCAAGCCGGTAATTTCTTTCGGAATGAACTTTAGAACTCTCGGATTCGGAGCGAGTCCTCGGTATATAAAGCACACCCAAGTGCAAGATGGCGAAGTTGTCAAAGAGCTCCACCTCGGACATACGGAATATCAACCGGACTTAACGTTTTATATTGCCTAAGTTACTGCCAAGTGGACCTGCTTAAGGCAAAATCAATACAGTCTACTCGTAGTGTCTCAAGTCAATCCAGCATCTACTCGTATAGATGTTTCCGAGTGAAGTCATAGGCTATGCTCTGCCAACGCCAAGAACCAATCAGAGCTATTACCTAGACCCACCGTTAGCGCGTAATCAAAGTGGGGACCCTGCGGGGTTAAGCCATTAACTCCGGGCTCCAGGGCTCATGATCTCTGTCTAACTGCACACCACGGAGTACTCATCTCATCATGGATTCAAATGACAGTCCTACCGCCTCAAATGATGACAGGCAGGCTGAGTCTCTTCCTCAAAACAATGGCCTCACCAAGAAGGAGCGCCGTAAGCATCAGAATCGGCACAATCAACGCGTGTGGCGTGAGTGATGAAACTGTCATTTCCTCTGCTCGTCCAACCGACTGACCCGCCATATAGGGAGCAGACAAAAAGCTGAAAAAAATTATGAGCTATTCATGGAGAAAGAGAGAGAGCTACAGGCTCAACAAGTCTCCCAGCTTGAATTAGAACCAGGGTTGGAACGCCGTCCAACTCCGGACTTTACCATTCTCACCCTGTTTATACAAGAGCAGCAGCAGCGGGATGAGAGAAAGGCAGGACACCGCATCCAACGACCTGAAATATATCAACTCATGCGCCTTTTCGAGTCATCTGCGCATCGAAGCTATATGGGAAACCCAAACGCAGATCATCGACTGACACTCGTGAAGTTGGATGTCTTTCGCGCCTTTGTGAGCAATATTACCGCATTAGGATACAGCAGAGAGTGGATGGCAGATGACTCTCTGTCAAGATTCAATGTCCCCGGCCCCCATCCAGGCCTCCTACAAGAAGATCTTCCAGCAAGCCTGCAACCGACATCGTTACAACGAAGCCAGCCCCATCACCCATGGCTGGATTTCTTCCCCTTTCCAAAACTCAGAGATATACTCATCACTCATGAAGATAATATGGACGATGTTCAACTTTGTCGCGATCTGATGGGCTTCTACACCATGCCTACAGAGGAAGATAATTGCATGCTCGTTTGGGGTGACCCTTGGAATCCAATGAATTGGGAGGTCACGGAGACGTTCCTTCGAAAATGGGGATGGATCGTCAAAGGGTGCCCGGAGATCATCTGGTCGACGAACCACTGGCGACGGATCAGAGGTCAGCGAAGAATCAGGTGGAAAAACTCTGTGGGAATAGCTGATTCAGTTGCCCCTTCCAACACGCGCACATCAAAAGTGGAATAAGCGTATATATAGAGAAATATCAGAAGATAAGCCATTTAGCTCTTGGGACCGATTTTCAGATGTACGGAGTACAGCAACGGCTTCTCCCTCTTGGTTGGGTGCGGGCGAACACGAACATGCACATGCAGGCACCCGTGGGCTTGGGCAGGGCCCGCCCTATTGTCGTTTGCCTGTCCTCCAAATCCTGTCGCCACAGGAGACTATGTATCCAGCTCCACAGCAAACGCAACTTTCTGGAAATCGAAAACATTTCTCTTCTTTTGTCACCACCAGGTCAAACCCATCCGTCGGAAATTCCTCTATCGACTAACTCATGCTAATGTTCGGCACTACTTCGGGAAATCTCCAAGAGCCAAAGAGAGGGCGCGGCTGTTAGCAGCTCGAAATGGAATAGTACATGTCTTGGCTGCAGATCAGAGTGGATTATACTCCGTACACGCGATGGGTACTCTGAAGAACGGTAAAGATTAGATGTGGAGACTCAAACTGATATCATTCAATCTAGTTCAATCAACCTGGTTGCATCCTGGTAGCAAAATCTCTTCCCCGAACATCGCTGACATCGCCGCCCAATGCACTTCGCCAAGGAGATACCTCCTCCGCAGATACAAATATCGAGTCAGCAGCTCAGTCCATCCGTTTCTTTTTCTCCATACCCTTTGATTTCGAAGCGACCCCAAGCCAACAGCGAGTGGAGCATCACACATATCTCTTGATATTTGACTTTCACAATAATCATGTCAGTCGTGCAACCCAAATCCAATTTTACAACCAGAAAATGGTGGAAAGAGGCCGTCGTGTATCAGGTGTACCCGGCCAGCTTTAAAAGTGGAAAGTCTGCATCCAAAGCCGATGGATGGGGTGACATTTGCGGCATCATCGAGAAAGTTCCATACCTAAGGAGCTTGGGCGTCGATGTCTTATGGTGCAGCCCTAGTAAGTTTCATCTCTGAACAGCCTCATGAGCGGTCGGTCGGGGGCCAGCACACTGTCTCGCAACTTGCCTAACCCCAGTGACTCTTCGGAATCACAATTATGGTCTCACATCTTGTCCCAAAAGACTGACACTGTTTTATACCAGTCTACACGTCGCCACAAGTCGACATGGGCTACGACATCGCTGACTACAAATCCATTGATCCACGATATGGTACTTTATCAGACGTGGACCTTTTGATTAAAACACTTGGCGATCACCAAATGAAACTCATGATGGACCTCGTGGTTACACATACTTCCGATCAGCATGATTGGTTCGTTGAGTCTGCCAAATCCAAGGTTTCACCTAAGCGAGACTGGTATATCTGGAGACCAGCCCAAGGGTTGGATGGGGCTGGCAATCCAATACCTCCTAATAACTGGGCCCAAATCCTAGGCGACTCGCTCAGCGCTTGGACCTGGCACGAAGAAACCCAAGAGTTCTATCTGACTCTACACACCTCAGAGCAAGTCGATCTGAACTGGGAGAATCCAGATGTCATAGCAGCAGTTTACGATGTAAGTGACTCTCGGTACAAACTATCCCCAGAAGACTTCATTCGTGGTCTCCCCAATTGGCAGTTTGATATCTCTCCGAGTGAAGCTGAACGAGTCATGTCGCTAAGTTTTGTTTTTCTCAGGTCATGGAGTTCTGGCTGAGCCGCGGAGTTGCCGGGTTTCGTATGGATGTCATAAATCTCATTTCAAAAGACCAGTCGTTTCCAGACGCCCCGATCATTGACCCGAGTTCCAAATACCAGCCTGGTGAGCGGTTCTACACAAATGGACCACGCTTTCATGAATATATGCGTGGTATCTATGACAATGTTCTCTCGAAATACGATACTATTACCGTCGGAGAAACTCCATACATTACGGACATGGAAGAGATTATCCGGACAGTGGGATCTACGGCGCGAGAGCTGAACATGGCCTTCAATTTTGATCACATGGAGATTGAAGATGTCAAAACCAAAGGGGAATCAAAGTGGAGTCTACGTGACTGGAAGTTGACTGAGTTGAAAGGAATTCTTTCGGGGTGGCAGAAGCGAATGAAGGAGTGGGATGGCTGGAATGCCATCTTCCTAGAATGCCATGACCAAGCTCGGTCGGTTTCCCGCTATACTAAAGATACAGACGACTTCCGAGGGCATGCTGCGAAACTACTAGCGCTATTGGAGACTACGCTTGGCGGAACCATTTACCTTTACCAAGGACAAGAGATTGGTATGAGGAATTTTCCTCTCGAGTGGGATCCCGAGACAGACTACAAAGACATTGAGTCTGTAAACTTTTGGAAAAGGTCGAAACAGCTGCACCCTGCTGGATCGGAAGAGCTTGCAAAGGCAAAGAAACTCCTGCAAAAGAAAGCAAGAGATCATGCTCGTACGCCAATGCAATGGTGTGCGGCCCCAAACGCAGGTTTCACCGTCCCAGGCGTGTCACCCTGGATGAGAGTGAACGATGATTATAAGACAGTAAACGTGGAGTCTCAGATGAACTTTCCATGCCATAAAAGGGAAGAGTTATCGGTATGGCAGTACTGGCAACATGCATTGGAATTCCGCAAGCTACACAAGGATGCGTTCGTTTACGGCGACTTCGAGGATTTGGACTTCGAGAACGAGGGCGTATACGCGTACTTGAGAATTGGCGCAGAGAAAAAGGAGACATGGCTTGTTGCAATGAACTGGACGGATTCGACAATCGAGTGGGCACTTCCTCCAGGCATCCAAGTCACCCATTGGGTCTCATCATCTCTCCAAACCACTGCGCTCGAGCTGGACCCACGAGTCATCAAACTTCGTGCCTTTGAAGGGCTTGTTGGCTGTTGTAACCTCGTTTGAGGGTCGCGAAGCTGAGAGGCTTTGCATATGAGGTGGGCTTCAATAGATGAATGGAGCTTCAAGCCAAAACAACGGGACAATTGTGCCATTCGACCCAAGGACTCCCACTTGACTCGCAGGTATCACCAAACGAGTAAAGTTTCCTATCTCGGTCATTTCTCCATTTCTGTTTTAGAAATGCAGCACTTTTCGAAAATACTTCGGATTTCAAATCCTCATAAATGTGATTCAATTTAGCTGCAATCACACGTTGATGTAAAGTTTCAGTTGCGGAAAACCCAGCTACCACCAATGGCCAGCTTAAGATGCTGTGTGATGGAGAGTTCGACGGCAGCATCTGCAATTGAGTGATAAACACTTTGAGTAGGGATTGAAGAGTCCTATCCCCATCTGGCAGCGCAGGACAAAGAAGGCTATTAATGTGAATGCGACATGCCAAGCGATATAGTTCTGATGTGAATGCGACATGCCAAGCGATATAGTTCTGATGTGATTGCGTCGTCGAGGGATTCAACATCTGATTCAGGCTCAGTTGGTCTCATCTGGAAAGAACTTAGTTCTTGCTCTAGTTGTGTGAGCTCAGCTCTAGCTGCAGATCTCACGTGCGGCTCCTTAGAAGCCAGAGCTTGAGATAACCCAGAGAGCCGGAAGATGTGGGTGAATAGGCGCTGAGAGTTACCCATTATAAGTCCATGGCGAAGTTTTTCAGTGACTGAGGGCGAATGAAATATGCTGTGTGCTTGAGAAAGAGCTAATTTGGAGCCAAGGGAGAATGCGGCCACGGAAAAGAAATAGCAGAACATCTCATATAGAAAGCCGCGTAGGGCTACGTCAAAAGCTCCACGAAATATGCGATTCCGTAAGAGAATGGCGGCAGCGTTGAGATGGGGCAGTATTCTCTGGCTATCGGTGAAATTTTGAGTCTGTGGAGGTCAGTCGCAACAATCACCTGGGCAGGTTACTTTGGATGGTATCCCAAATACCTCATGTAAACATAATAGAAGTACCGCGAGCGGATTGTAATCTAACAGTACGTAATGAATTAGCATCCAGAATTTAAGAGAACCCTGATCGAGCTTCGCACCAGTAAGAGGCAGGTCGGATGAAGATGCGAGGGTCGCCTCAATCTCGATCTCACTTCGAAGGCTAGATACTGCCTTACCGTAGTATTCCACCGCAGCATGTTGAAGCTCGCGGTCACCCTGGCGGGACTTGAGCATGTCGGCTGATGCTATGGTGAGAATACAGTTTACAACCACATTACTTCCTGATATAGCGGGGTAGAGCCACTCGAGGTACTCAGCTCTTCTTGGCCCTCGTCGTGTTGACATCCATCTTGGACTGATATGAACGAAGTAGCCGAGCAAGCGAGAAACAATGTCTGGTGTAAGGACGGAGAAAACATGGATCATTTGCTTCGCTTCATTTGGTAATGCTTGTTCAAACGGATGAGCTCGTCGCCGCCGACACCTCGGTTTTGACAACGAAACAGTTGATTCCCATTGGCAGTCAACATTGTTACGCCAACAGCCCTTACACCACGGACGAGCCTCGTCGCATTTCTTTTTGCGGTGGCGACAAGTTAAGCAGCCATTTCGGGACCGCAGTGATGGCTTCACGCCTGTGTTCTTCTCTGTTAAATTCGTGGTTTCCGGCATCTTTCAAGGTTCAGACCAGCACTTGCGTATACTGGTATAAGAGAAACGGCGGTATCAAACTTCATGTGCAAACTTGGCAAGCAACGCCAGGTAAAAACCTCGTTGGCCTCATGGAGACCTTCCCGATTAGTAATTGGTCGGGAAAAAGTTTGCCCAGTGGGATGGTGGCTTGTGTAGATTTATGTCAAGATACCCTTCATCATGCGATCTTCTAATGGCTCTATCAAAAAACCCGCAAGCTAGAAAGGACCAGTGTAAAAATTGCATATCATGATGGCCAGCCACTCTTTCTTGCTCGTTGATATTGGCGATGTTATTGTCTCGAGGTTCTGATTGGAAGATGGTAAAGGTACAAAAGAAAGACGAATAACGGAGTAAGAAAGGTTACGGCACTTGTTCTGCAGCTTATCGAGAATGTACAGGCTTCTTTACCGCGGTCATATGAGTATTTGATTCATCTCCAGTCCAAGGCCATGTACGAGTACTAAAAAGCAGCCATGAAAAGGCACACCAAAAACGTTACTAACCAGTTTGGGCAGATAGTAACCGCGCTGGTGGATCTAGCGACCAAATCATGTTCTCCAAACAGGAAGAGAAGTGGAGCAGAATGGCCCAGTTTTAAAGAGGGGAGCAGTCTTGGTTTACTCCGCGAATGCTCGTCACTAATTGAGTCGACTTGGTGGCTATGACCGGTTCGCCAGATCACTAAGCTCGCAAGCCTATCCATAAGAGAGCCAACATGCCCAATTTCACCATGCACAGGTCTTCTGAACGTACCGACTTGAGTAAAACATAATGACGTCATCGCCTGAGTGGTACCACGCCGGGGATGAGATATTGCAACAAAACAGAGAGCGGTGCAAGAAGGCATGTGAAGAGTTCAATATAGCCAAGTATGCCTCTCGCCGCGAGAAAGTCCGACTGTGGAGAAAGTGAGTGTGAGATTCGAGCCAGATGGTTGGCATAACAGGGCACTGACTATTAGTGATATAGCATTGTTGGTGATACTCGGATGCTCCCTGCAGAGGTCGCGAATGCAAAAGAAGATGAGGCACTCTTCGAAGAGACAGATCCATTCGTCGACGGTCCGATTTCAATCGATCACGGGTTGAACTTCAAAGTTGGAAAGGGGACCTTTCTGAATTTCAATCTGCTCGTTCTTGATACATGCCTCATTACCATTGGCGAGAACGTTCTTTTTGGACCTAATGTTGGGTTATATAGTGCCATCCACCCCATGGACCCTGCGGAGCGTCGTGGGCTCAAGGGGCCTGAAGCTGGGAAGGAAATACACATTGAGGACGACGTTTGGATCGGAGCTGGTGCTACCATTCTGGGTGGAGTGCGAGTCGGCAGAGGCAGCACAGTGGGCGCCGGCTCCGTCGTCACTAAGGTAAGTTTTGAGCCGATAAAGCCGAATATGTCACTGAACCGCTGCAGGACGTCCCCCCTTTTCATTTTGTCGCCGGAAATCCCGCGAGGGTCATTCGACGTATTCAATCGACAATGGACGGGAGCATGAATGACAGCAAAATCGGAGCGGAAGAAGATGCTTAGGATGAAGACTGCAATGTCTCGATCTTAAATCCTCTCCATTCAGCATATTGGGGAACCCGAGGATGAACACCACTGATAGCATAGGACTGGGTCACATCTCTATGTCCACTTTTGCTCTTGTTCAAATCAACGTCACTAGTGGTTTCAAATAAAAGCCCGAGTTTTGTTGGCGTTATAATGCCGGATCCTCGATTAGAGCAGATCTTTGTTTCAGTCGCAGTACTCTGTGCATGCCAGGATAGCACGAATCCTTTGCTGCAACGCAAGAAAAACGATGTATTCATAAGTATGACTTCAAGAAAGACATTCGAGTTGCGATAATAGTAGAAACAGTGCAGGGAATCGTAAGGGTATTGAAGATTCCAAGAGTGTCTTGGCTGAACATCCATGGATGTTATCAGCCCCTCCGCTATCACCCTTCTCCTCACTTCCCCAGCTCCTCCATCATGGTATACGCGTTTACTCTTCCAACCACTTCGCCTCTTTCATTTCAGTCGTTTCTCACCTCACCAACCCATCCCTCACTTCCTCAATCGGCTTCAACGGCTCGCCATGCTCTTCGTGTCACGTTAAAGGCTCACAAACGTTTACCCCGCGGCTCGCGCCAGGATGCCCACTTACCCGCTGTACTATCCGCCTTGAATGAATATATACCGTACCTGTTTGCGATCTACAATAGTCTAAGTGACAAAGTGGTTCCAGGAGAATATTCCTCTGCTGCCCAAGATGTCTACGCGTCCGGGTCAGGTCTCCGCACGGGCGGGCTCGAGATAGTCCTGGGTGCGGAGATCGAGTCCGCGTGGAGACCAACTTTATCCTCAACCAGTGCTTTTAACACAGTACCCGGGAGGAATAGCTCAGGCGGGAAGGGACAGAAAACGCATAACGGGCGAGTTTGTGGCCAAGGAATCCACTTCGAGTTGGCATTCACACTCACAACCCTCGGGTATGTACTGAGCAGGCTGGCGCGTGCGGGTGTCGTCGCCGCGCTTTATGCGTCTACGGCTCCTACAGCAGAGGATCGTACTGCTGCTGTTCAGACCGCGACGCGATACCTTCTGCAAGCCAGTGCGGTGCACAACATGCTTGCCTCGTCACCGTCCTTTGCGGCAAATTCTGTCTCCACAGTACCGGATCTGAATGCTGGTACGCAGTCTGCTCTTGCTTCGCTTGCTCTAGCGGAGGCTACTTTGCTCGCAGTGCTCAAGGACGATGCATATGTTGCTGCGTGCATCCAGTCGAGAAATCCAAATGATAAGGAGTGGATGGTCCACGCACCTGAAATACCAAAAGTGCGTGCACTGTTATTCGCACGACTATGTGTTCGCGCAGCAGAGTATTCCGAGCAGGCTGCCGCAGGTCTGGGTGCTGTGGGTGCCACATCCACGCGCGCGGCGCGTGTTGGCGATGAGGTCATCCGGTACACCGGGGTTTTGGGCCGTGTCGCGCGTGCTCGCGCTTGTCGCTTCTTTGGCGTAGATGCTGAGCTCTCTGGGAAAGTTGGAGAAGGCATTGCGTGGCTACGGGCTGCACGCACACCTTTGGGGTTGCGCGGGGGGTCATCTCAAGATGAAGGCTCTGCCTCCAATGGATCGTCAAAGGGTGGACTATCCCGCCTGAAGCGTGAGTGGAGCGAGCGTCGCGAGGAACGCCGCGTGGCGAAAGATGCAGGCACCGGCGGTGATAAGAATCCTCTCGATGCCGGGGACGACGCAGGCCGTGGCGAAGAGGGCCAGGTTATCGCCATGCTTGAAGCAAAATGGGTGAAAATGAATGATACAGTGAGTCAATTCCGATAAATTGATCCTCTGTGTCACCTTCTGCGCATCTTTGCTTACAATTTTTAGATCAACACTCAGCTTATTCCCCCATCGGCTCCATTGCTGTCTAATTTGCCCTCTGGTCGAGATATTCACTCGCCACCGGCACCATATCAGCCCCCATATCTAGACAATGACCAAATGATGCGTATGCAGGCCATACCGGACGAAAGCGACGATGTGAACTTCGGCAACGATGATGACAGTGAAGATGAGGCAGGCCCGTGTGCAGATCGAACCCCAGGAGCATTCCCAGATCGTAGCGCGACTGCCTCCAGCGTCTATTACTGATTCAAGATCGAGCTCACCGCAAACTCAAAGCATGGCATATGATAATGTGTTGTGTGACAAGGATTTACTTTGTCGCTGAGCGCCTCGTTCCAAGTCACCCTGTGACCAATGTATATGAAAATGCTGCAAAATATTACGACACTACCATTTTCAACAAGCCGTAGGGGGAAAAAGGAAGATTGATCAAACAAAGTGATATCTATATGTACAGTACAAACGGACAAGATCAAGAAGAGGGTTTCCTCGGGCCCTCTCCTGGCATGTTCTGTCTCCTCCGACACGGACTCAACCCATGGACCTCGGTCACACTCAGGTAGAGACCAAGCGCCCCGGGACCGTGAACTCATCCGCCGGTGTCGCCTTGGTGTCGTATGTTGTCCAATCCCCGAGGCGTTGATATCGATCACCAAACCCCCGAACTTCAAAAACACATTCGCATAGCTCTGAAAGAAAAAAGGCGCTTATGCGGACTCGCCACCGAAACGGTTCTTCTCCTGGCCGAGGTAACCCTTGACCTTGCGCTCCTGGATGAGCTCGAAGTACTTCTCTGTAAAATCAAAGATAGATTAGCACATGATCATATTCCAAAAGTAGTCAGATTTCAATAAAGTCCGACGAGGTGAAAGAAATGCAATTGAGCAGTTCATTCCCAAACACCCGGATACTGAATCATGGAGCGAACGCACCTCGGAAAACACCGCACTTCTCAAGGTGGTTCACACCCTCGCGCGCATAGCACTTGCCCAATTCCTCGCCGACAAGACGGGCCATCATGCTGCGCACCCATTGTTCGCGGATAATGGCATCGCGGGCATTGTGAACGGCGACGTTGTCCTCGAAGTCGACACCCTCGTAGGTCGGGGCGACGGTGGGCTTTTTGGCGAGGAAAGAGGCGGATTCGGCGGTAGGCATTGTGGGTATTTTTTGGGTGAGTTGGGAAGAGTTTGTCAGGCTGTAAGTTCTGGAGGGGAGGACAAGAGCAGCTGAAGTAATTGAGGAGAGGCTTGTCGACTGAAGGGCTCGATGCGGTGGTCCAGCGTTGATCTTGGAGGTTGGATTACCTACGTTGTGATTGGGTGAAATCTGGGCGGTGGAGGAGTTTCAATACGGCAGTCGAAACGGTCTAGTTGCGCAGGTCCTCATGATGAGTCATGCTATCACGTGCATGTGTACATTCCCAAAAGGGTAAGAGCCAGTGATAGCGTACAGGGTATGGGTCCGGTCCAGAGCACATATTGGTCACGCACCAATGCTCAAGTGCCACTCCGGCATCTGGGAGCGTGTCAATTATGAAACATTATAGTCATACACCACGGTAATATGAACCGGCAGAAGTCTTCCTAGTGTTGTATAGAACCCTGGCGTAAGATGGACTGGGAGCTGACCATTCTTGCAAACATGATGACATGCTAAAATGATAATCTGTAAATGATAGCTCGTTTACGATGGATCCCCAAGTCATAAGAATGTCCCATAAACAATGCAGACCGAGGGAAAGTGTACAAAGCAAATCCTGACATAAACCACCCCCATGGCCTAAGAATCCACACAATCAAGAATGTGCACGAGAGACAAATACACAGCATACAAGCAGGTTTCTCGCATATCAAGTTTTCTTGATTTTCCCTCGCAATCCATCGTATGCATCTATCACACTTTCCTTGAATCGTATCCACAGAGGCCGGCTGAGCCACTTGCTAAGCTCACGGTAGTAGTAGATCTCGGACCAGCAATCACGACCAAACATGCAGCCCGCCATATTAACCACGAAGTCACGGGCATTCTGTTGGTAATGCACATTCGGGTTCTCTTGGTCTCCACAGGCACCTGGTGGGAAGGCGTTGATGCTGCGCTGTGGGAGGAAACCGACTCCACTCCGGACCCAAGGTTGACTTTGATAGATATATTCAAAGGCATCTTGTTCCTTGTGCGCCCATTCCATGTGCATCTGCTCATACATGACGGGATCCCACCAAGCGTCAAGGAGTCGGTCGGCCCATAGAGAGCGGCGAATAAAGAATGATCCCAAATTGAAACCGGCGCAATCTTGCGATAGAAGCATGTTTAGAGAGTCTGGGTTGCCGTCCCCCTCGGTTGACCGTCCCAGCCCATCAAGCCAGAATTCTGGCAGTGGGTGTGTAATGTTCATGGGGTTGTAGGCGGTTATGTCGCGGTACACCTTCGACTCAAGGTTGTTGAAGATATGTTGTTGTAGGGATGTATCGTATTCCATGATCCATGTATTAAGATCGAGCCACCAAAACCACTCCGCATGTGGATATTTGAGCATGGCTTCTCTGATAATATCACCTTTCTCCCAGCTCTCTCGCCATTCGTGGGAGTACCGCTTCTTCGCGAGAAGATTCGCCAGCTCTAATTGATATCCCCACTTCAAAGCGTAATTCTTTTTGTTCCAGATGCTGTTGCGCTCAATCGCCCACTCCCGGGCACCTTTCAACTCCATAACACCGCCCTCAACGTTAGACCCAAGGATGATGACGAACTTTTGACCGCCGCCCACCGGCGATCGACGGTATATCGGAACGATTGCTGGGATTTCGGTCAGGCGAATTCCCCGGAAAGGGCGTAGGGATGTGAGGTGTGCCTTGACTTACATGACAAAAAAAGCAGATATACAATCCACAGGATGAGCAGACGTACCAAGAGCCGGAATCTCCCCCGACGGGTAGAAATCCCTGGTAGGGAACACATGTTGCGCCTAAAGCAGTCTGTGTGTCTCCATTTTGGGCCGTGGTCATCTTTCTCGCTGTATTCGTGCGAGGAACCTCGCCACAGTGTAGACAAACGCGTGGATATCTTGAGTCGCTGTCGGGAGAAAAAGCCGGTATTGCGCGACGCGAAGGAGGGATAACCGTCAGTTTCATCACTTATTGCTTTGACGGAACCCCATGAGATTTCATTCGGGGAGAATGTACCAGGTGAGCCGGCGTCGGCTGCCGCGTTGAGTGCCGGACTGGACCACCCTCCACCCGGGCGGGGAGAGGGTGATCGTGACAAAGTCATGGGTAAATTTTAGGGTGACGAGTCCTCACCTGGACGCTCGGGGGTGAGTGTACTCGATGGCCAGGCAGTTAGATTCAGATGAGCGAAGGGATAGGGTGGTGAGGTCAGAATGACAAAAAGTCAAGCGCCACTGGAGATGGCTTTAGAAGGAAAGTGCGCGGAGAGGTGATCTCGATCATAGTGTGCAGGGTACTCCGATTTTCAAGTGTTCACTTGGGTGTCACTGAGGACGAATGCGGATTGCGGATAACGACTCCGATATCCCATTTAGGTTTCAAGGTTTCAGGTACGCAGGTCATGATCCACCGCTGACTATTTTAACAATCACTTTGTATATTTCTCTCTTGAAAAGCCGGGAATTAATACCTCTGCATAGTCGATACAAGCCTTTGTATAGTAGTCACAGTCCTAAGTCTTTAGTCACCCCTCATGCCGTCCACGGGTGTTCACGGTCCCTCTTAGACTGTTCCCAGTAATATCCAGCTTGATCGAGGAATCAACCTTCAATCGACAATCAAGCATTCACGAAAATATCACTCGCCATTTACCCATTTACAACAGCCCTGGAGAATCGACAATGTTGCACTGCGTCGGTTAGAATCCGCGCTACTTGCAGATCCGCAGAGCCTCAGGAGCTCGGCTCCACTTTACAGGACACAGCCAAAATGTGGAGAGTAAGAATATGTACGCCATAGAATTATGCTAGTCCAATTTATCACAGAAGAAGAACTCTGGCTTGATCCTACTGATCCTTACGTGGGGGCCGAATTGGCATTTTATTCCCCCCGTCCGGTCGATCCACCAGGGCTCGTCGGAGTGTGAACCCGGGTTCGTTATCGGGTCGGGGCTGGGCGCTCTCTCCATGGGTGAAAGTGCACTGGAATTTGAGGAACTCGGTGCGCTCGTGGTTACGGTACACCGTGATGATATCGCCCGAGTAGAGTTTGCCGTATTCGAGAGCTTCTTTCCCATCCCCTTGTGCGGTGCTTCGGCGAAGTAGGATATCGTTCACCCAGATGCCGCGGCTGGCTTTGGTGGAGATAATGGCGGTGACTCCTGGAACGTTTTGCCAGTTCTCTCCAGCTGCGATGCGGGGCTCGATGCCGGGTGCCCAGAACGTGAGCTCGAGGGGATATTTGGGGATCCTAGTATCCTGTCCATCGGGATGCCTAATAGTTGCCTTGGGGCCACGACCCCAGGAGGTGAGTCGGTCTTCAAGGTAGATTGTTGTCTCAAAGATCGATCCAGGGAGGGATTTCAATTTTCCAAATCGCTTGGGTGGCTTGGTGAACCTTGTGTCAAAGAGGGTGGAAGGGGTCGGGACTGGCTCCGGACGATGCACGATCGGATCGGATGGATCTTCCTCTTCGGCACGAATCTTATCGAGGATGGCTTGGCCAGTTTGTGCATCGAGGGTGGTGGCCAGCTCGAGATCGTATTGGGATTTGGAAATCTGTGGAGGGTTGTTGGCCGCACAGTGTCGATGACTATTTTGCGCACTGGTGTCGCTGGAGGCTTCGCTAGCTGTGTCTGGTAGTGCAAGGTCGATGCGACGAGAGAACTTGGCTTTCGGTGTAGGCTCCTGAGGACTGGAGTGTGGTTTGGGACTCGAAGTGGGAGGGATGGACTCGGTGTCTGGACTAGGTGCCATGGCGGGCTTGGTTTGTCCAAGGTTGGTCTGACACAGGGATGAGGTGTTAACCGAAGTGGCCTTGGGCGGGATGGTGGGGTGCAAGGAGTTCATGTTCAGTTGTCCAACGAGTTTCTCTGTCCCCATCAAGCTAGGGGCGGTTCCCCCAAAAGGTTCGGCCGGGAGAGAGATTATCGACTCGTTGGCATCGTCGCTCATCATCGACTCACCGGAAGAGTTCATTTCTTGGATTTGGTATTGATTGAAATCATAACCATCCATGCTTCCAAGTGCGTGGGAGCTTCGAAGAGCTGAAGAGGATACCTCACCGAACAAACGTTTGGTGTGTTTGTCCACAGTTGCCACATGCTCCTCTTGAAAACTGATTTCGGGAAGGCTAGGATAGTGAATTTCACTAGGAAGATATTCTTCAACCCGTGGCTTTTTTGAAATCGCTTCCATGCTGCCTCCCTCTTCCAGCGCTTGATGAGTGTACCCCGGACCATCGGCAATAGATAGTTGTGAAGCATCTAGCTCATCTTCGGCGTCCTCACCAATGACTGAAAGCGCGTCGTCGTAATCGTTATGGTCTGAAAGCAGATCGTCATCATCCTCATATTCGTCGACGTCGGCGACATCAGCGATCCAAGGATGCTGGAAGCATTCTCGCTCTGTTGGACGAGAGAACGGATCACGGTTCAATAACTGGGAGACGAAATCAATGCCAGATTCTGATACGCCCGCATGTCTGAGCACATCAAAGTCCGCATTGCTAGTCATTATCGTCCGCAGCATTTGAACACCACGATCTTCCGCGCGACCGGAATACGGTGGGACACCAGATAATATGTGGAAAAGCACCGCACCGAGAGACCAAATGTCAACGGATTGGCTGTACGGAGATGTTTTGGGCAGTCTGTCAATTAGCACAGGCACATGATGAATGGAACAGGAACAGCACTCACGGATCTCCAACACGACGTCGCTTTCGGAGCTCACCACGGCGGTATTGTTCATAATCAGGGTAAACCTCTGGTGCACAATACAGCAATGTCCCGCAGAAGGTCTTCAGGAATGTTTCCTGCTCCACAACCTTCGACAACCCAAAGTCAGACAGCTTGATTCTGAGCGGGTCCAGTGAGGCAATGAGAATGTTGTCAGGTTTGATGTCTCGGTGGGTGATTCGACGTTTGTGCAGATAGTGAAGAGCTCTCAAGACCTGTCGTGCGATTGTCCTGACCATCTCTTCGGCAATCTTTCCCTGGGTTTGAAGGTATGTCGATAGTTCGCCCCCTGGAACATATTCCATGATGATATAGATCCACCGATCATGCTCGTGGTGATGTATGTACTGAACGATGTTCGGCTGCAATGGTTAAGCGGAGACCAATTTCGGAAGACATGATTCTCACTTACATGGGTCAGGTCTCTCATGATTTTCATCTCGTTGTCCACTTTTTGGTCTAGGATTCCGTTCTTCATGAAGCGGCGCTTGTCGAGCTCTTTCGCGGCGTAAATGGCACCGTGCTGTTTGGTCGCAATCTTGTATACCGTTGCAAAGGCACCTTTCCCAATCTGCCCAGTCACATTGTACATCGCTCCTCCTGTCCAATGCATGCCGAAGGCATTGGAGGCTGACCAGGTCAAAACGGATGGAGGTGGACCCTGTCGAGTCTTGTGTGCTGGTGCATGCGCTTGGACTCGTTCGAAGTAGCGGCAGAGGTTTTCCTGATATTGAGTGGCAAAGCCTTCTCTTGATGGAATCCGAACCACAAAGCGAACTTCATCTGAGCCAATTCCGGTGACTACCTGGATCACGGATCCGTTCGTGAGCATCCGACTGTTCTCTTTCTGAGACTTGCGGAGGCGACAATTGTCAACGACGGTCCCGTTCGTAGAGCTGTCTTGAAGCATGAGGATTCCGTCTCCAGTCAGATAGATACGGAAGTGGGTATTGGATACTCGTTTGGCATCGTCGTTCACGGCTAGCAAGACATCACAGCGAGCGCGGTTACGACCGAAGGCGAACCCGAGGCCAAGGCTGTGAACATCAGACGAAAGTCTTAGCGCCACATCCAGGTCTGCTGTGTGGGAGGCCTCGCCCTCCAGTGTGTCCCGTTGGAGTATATGTTGAACACCGAGCCGTGCCGTCGCAGCAACTGCATCGTGAGCAGCATGGGAATTAGGATGGAGAATACAAATGATGTCGGATAAATCTTGATCTTGAATGCCAGAGTTGTTCACACCCATGCGCCGTGGATCAGCGAGTGGCTGTGTGGATTCCTGTGTTGCTTCCATTGTGATAAGGCAAATGTAGTGCACAGGATTGTTAAGGGAGTGGAAAGTGAGGAAACACGGCTACAGGTTGACATCCAATGGCGTGGGATAGATGCAGCTGTGGAAACGGCTAAGTGAATGTGCGGAAGGGGGTCTTTAATGTCATGAGCTAGGCAATGCAGTGATAAGTAAGGCTTAGATAGACACACAATGCCAGACGGGTATAGATGTACCTTGTGAAGCTGGCGATTTCAAGCACAAAGATTGAGACACCCGGGTAAAACCTGGGGCAAGCCAATCTCCCTTGGTGTCAATCAATTATCCACCAGGGCATATAACACAGCTCTCCAAAAGGAACCGTATGATTGTGAGGCTCCTGATGCACAGTCAGGGCGGGTCAGCAGCCCAGATTCCTGTCGGGGTGGGGTGTGTCCCTCACTGCTAGCGGGCTGCAGTGTTGTGGTCGATCGATCTAGCACTGCAATATACCAGCTGAGACACGTGAGTCCAACCCCTGTTTTGAGGTGGTAATGATACGGAGTTTCTTGCTTCGTTCGAGGATGCTAAATTGGGGCAACGATCGGACACTCAGGACGATTAATGAGATTCAACCCAGTTATCTTTCTGGGTGAGTTTTGCTGTCGCATAAAAGGAAAGACAATGCGAATAATGATTTTCGGGGGGTCCAATAGGTATTTCTGCAACAATCAGGCCCGAAACATTAGCACAGATGCTCTACTCTGTAAAGCCTTGAAAGATTGGGTTGTTTAGACTTGACTCGAGATTTGGGTTGGACTCACACAGTTCGAACGACTCCTGTTCTGTCCACAAAAATGACTGAAGGTGGACAGATGGGGGGGCAGAGCAAACTTGCACTCCTTGGAAGGGTGTCGTCGTCCGAGGAACAAGAACTGCAAGCCGCAATCGCGGAGACCTCAGGCGACAAACGCGTTCCTGAGGCGCGTGGAGTCCCTGACTCATCAGGCAACAGGCGCGTTAATTGGCCCCACCTGCGAAGTGATCTAGCGGCCAGTGTCGGATGGAATACACTTAAGCTAAAAGGACTCTTAATGACTTTACTTTTGGAAGACGGGGTAACTTGAGAACACTTTTTTACCATATGGAATAGAACAGTAATTCAGGTATTGAAGATTTTCTGTCGGTATGAAAATCAGGCCAATTTAGGGAAAAAAATGGACCAAATGCACTGCATTGGTGCTTAGCGGTAGGGGTTGTAGGTTAGGGGTTGAAATACGGAATACTTGATCAACACTAGCACTATTTTTTAACTGGAATATGCTATCTGGTTCCGTAAGGCTTGCTGGTATCTTGGCTTCTTTGGTACTCGCCGCTGAGGGCAGTATCAAACACTTGCTCCAGGAGAGCGATCGCCTGGTCCGATACTTCTGTGACAGGTCAGATATCAGTGTTTGTTTTTCGAACAAATCCAAAAACGTACGATAATGGACCACAATACGACCACCGGACAGCTTCAGTCCTTTTTCCTGTCCAATCAACGACAGATCGTTAGGTCCTACCCCTGATGCTTCCAGATCCAACCACACCATATTGGTTTGCGGCGGTTTTTCCAACTTGCCACCACGGCTGGTCCATAGATCGGCCACCTGCTTGGCTTTAACGTGGGTTGCTGCAAGCTTCCCACCCTGTCCACATGGATCCGTCCCGAAGGTCTCCTTGAGTGCAACCTGGGCGGCGGCTGCTATGATACCTGTTTGTCGGGCACCACCGCCGATGGATTTGCGGAACCAACGTGCCTTTTTGATGAAATCCTGGGGACCGACAATGATGCTGCCAATCGGGGCCCCGAGGCCCTTGGTGAAGCAAAGACTGACACTGTCAAATAAAGCAGCATACTCGGGCAAACTACCTGCGCCCGCCACGACAGCCTCCCACAGACGGGCGCCATCGAGATGAACTTTGATGTCGTGAGAATGAGCCCATTCTACGATTCGCTTCGCCTCAGTGAGCGGCATGATCATTCCATCGAGGGTGTTCTCTAGGCTGATCAGCTTTGTGGGGCAGTGGTGAATATCGTCGTCTAGAACTGCATGCTTCTGGATATCCTCCAACGTCAGGTGGATCCCATTTTTGGGCACCACTGTCTGCATAGTAGCCCCAGTCCATGCGCTAACACCTCCCGCTTCATAACAAATAATGTGGGATCGGTGATCACACAACACTGAATGTGGCGGCTGCGCAAGATGCGAACGAATAGCCACCTGGTTCCCCATTGTCCCGGAAAGGACTAACAGACTGGCTTCATGTTTGGTGATCTCGGCGACATAGCGTTGGAGCTCATTGGTGACAGGATCTTCATTGAAAACATCGTCAAGAAGGGTAGTCTGGCAAATCGCTTCGAGCATGGATGCCGTAGGCTTGGTCATCGTATCGCCTGGAGCCCATTAGCACATTTGTTACATATCCTACTCTCGTATTCGTATAAGCCTCGAGAGGCACCTGGAGCTGCGCCATACTTCGAAGATCAAACTCGGCGGCACCCGCCCCCTGCCAGGTATTGGGCTTGGTATCGCCATTGCCGACAACCGCTGAGGCCTGGGACATAGTATTGGTTGAGAATTGGGCCATGGGGTAAAGGCGTAGGGATATTGGGTTCTGCAATGCGGGAATTAGGCGCGGTGAGGGGATGCGACGAATTGAGTGTGACAGGCGATTCATGTTGTAGTACAGTACTGAGCACAGTTCGCTCGGAAAGAGGGGCTCTTGAGGAGCCCGACACGTGATCCAGAGATGTACTCGCAAGATACAGCAGGAGGCTAGCAATGGCTCATGAGGATTCAGCAATTGAGCTCTCTGGACTCAATCTCGTGACTGATCCAGATACACCCGTAAAACAAAGTCCCCGTCCGAGTGTCAATGTTTCGATAATGACGACATTGCACAGTATCGATTGCCTAACTTGGACTAGTGCAATTCAACGGCCTCGACCGCTTAATAACCATGGCTAAGGCCCGCGGGAGCGCTCCAGTGGTTCACGCCGCACATTCTGACAGCCTCTTCACACCCGGTTGCGCCATGGACTTGTCCCATTTAACACGGCCGGGCATCCTCTGCCAATGCTCGCGGTGCTCGAGCTCACTCGCCGCCCTGGAGAACGAATGGGCAAAGCTGTCGAATGCCTACTCAATCCCGACAGCATGGCTCAGTGTCGACCTCCATCGCATTTCAGTTTCCTCGGAGCGAAAGCAAATTCCAAACACATCTGACATGACTCTGCTACGCGGGCGCGTCATTCAGGAGGTATCTTGCAAGCTATGCCAGCAGAGGATGGGAGTTTTGTGTCCCCTGGATAATGGGTAGGCACCCTGGATGGCACTGCAAGACTCTTCGCTCGTTAACCGAATTTTCTTTTGCTTAGGATGAATATATTGTGGAAAATGTCGAAAGTTGCTTTCAGAGAAATCGTCACCATGCGAACCGTCCAGCCGCTGTTCAAACAAGGGGCACTCGAACGATTGATATGTCCGCCGAAAGAACCTTTGCGCCGGAACTCCGACTTGCTGCAAGACAGCGCGCTAGTGCCGGCTGGCTGTACGGACCCTGCATCGCTTGATCCATCAATGCAAAAGCAAATGCTTCACCAGGGTAGAAGCATCGATCAAATATCAAATTCGGTGAACCACCTTCAGGATACAATGTCGGATCTCAAACACTCCTTTACAGCGCTACGAATTGAGCTGAATGGGCCCAGCAGGAACATGGGGGAGGGATCCCGACTTCAGGGACACGACTTCGATATGATTGCGACAGTGCTCAAGGAGCTCAAGTCCAAATCGGAAGAGATCGAAAAACTGAAGTTGGAGATTGAAGCTCTGAAGTTGAAGAATCGATACATGGGAGTGGCTCCTCCTCCGCAGCAGCAAGATTCATTGTCAGTCATGAATATGAATGCTGCACTCCCGGAGGTTCGGAGCCCTGGGTTGCTGCAGGCTGGTCGGAAACGTACCTGGCCCGACGCATTCCCAATCGATCGCCAACAAGCAATTGCGGACTCCTTTGATGAGGATGACATGGTAGACGATTTTGCTCTATCTGACCCTGCAGTACCTCCTGCCCGCATCCCGCTCAACGACCAGAGTCCGCAGTCCATCCCAAATGGCCATACCACAGAATATGAGGCGGGGTCCACGGGTTCCCAAGCTACTTCCGAAAAACCTCAAAATTTCCTAATTTCAGTTCCATCTCGGCCCGGAACACCTCCACAACCCATAGCGAAACGTCCACGACTAAGCCAGCAACCCGAAAACGGTACACAAGCAGCGGCTGCTGAGCCGGCTGCCACCCAGAGGAAGTCTGGCAGACCGAGAAAATCGATCAGCCAGCCGAATAAACCTGCCACTACTCAATCACCAAACACAGCACCACCCACCACACAGGATGATGCTGAATCAAACCCTCCAGCAGGTACATTGCGGCGTCGGCGATCCCGTCGCAGCCTTCGGGAACAATCTCCAGGTCCGATCCCCACCGACCATGATGGTTCGGAAATCACCCAACAACCCTCAAACCAAACTAACGCCACTGGAACTCAGTCGGCGCCCAACAAAAAGAGCAAGCGCAACCCTAGCTCGCCTAAAGGAAACATCGCCGATGGTCCATATCACAGTGCCGATGAGGCCGCTATGAACGAGAAGCGGAAAGCAAAAGTCGCGGCGCGGGACGTCATGGCTAAGATGGCACTACAACACGAAGAGGCCTTGGAGGCTGGAAACACCCGATAGATACCAGGGAGTCCTACTCCATATACTTGTACAATAGAATTCTACAAAATTTGTATCACATATATACTTAGGTATCAAGTCGCTTTGTGGGAAGCAAACTCCATTCCCCTCCAAGGTTTTGGGCTCAGGAGAAACACAAAATCCTATACTTAGATTTGCTCAAGTGAACTTTAGAATATACGAAAGACCGAAATGGTAACAAATCGCCCGTCCTGAAGTCATGGGACCTGGAATCACCGGGAGTAACCTCGGGCGTGATATCCAGGGCTGCCCAATGCGCCAGATATATTCATGCAGGAAGTGACAGTTTATGTAGCACTTCTGCCGAGGTGTCTAGGTAGAGACATCTCAGGTACGCGGCGACTGCAGCAAATATTAGGTATGATCCCAGGTCGTCTGCTACCCAACCAGTAAGCTCAGGTCTAAAGTTTTTGCTGTCTCCCAGTTGAACTACGAATTTCTGAGGATGTTCGAAGTTTTGGCTTTAGTATCCAGACTCCAGGAGCCCAGGAGCCCTGGAGTGATGCCATCATTGAAACCAGAACTTCTCAGGTGCTTAACCAGGTAATGAAAACCTCCTGAAGTCTTGACCGGCTTTTATCAAGATTTATGGTCACCGGGTCGTATCCCGAACCTTTGATACTCAGCTTGTCCGCAGTTACCGCAACTTAAGAAGTTGATGGATCACTAAAGTATATAAGATGATAGCCCTAGAAGTATCCCGTATCTCCTATACAGGCGACCAACGGTCTGCTTGAGGGCCCCGGGGATCTAACACTTGAGCATTGGAACGTGGCTCCAGGGCTGCCCCCGAGGTCACGGTGTGGGGTAGTCGAAACTTAGAATATATCCATAAATCCATTTCAGTGGTTAGGTCCTCCAGGGCGCCTGGGAGCGTTCACCTGGGCAGGTATGCGGAGGACGGAGGACCCTAACTACAACCGGACAAATCCTATGTGATATATCGCTTTCCCGTTCATGGCCACCCAACAGACCCACCAGGCCTTCTGCCATGCATTCGCTAAATGCGGAGTAGAAGCACCTTTGTTCAAACCTCCCGAGGAACCCCGGCTAGGTATTGGGTTGCGAAACCCGATCGAGAGACTTGATGTCAGACAGGCATATAGGAGAAAAAAAGATGGAGAAAAAAAAAAAACAGGATTGTTTTCGCCTATCTAAAAATTGTGTTGGGGTAATCGCACTGCGATGCCCTGATCGACATTTGGAATCTTGTAAGGGGTTACCTTGCTTGCTCGACCAAAAGAACCAATGATCAAACCTTGGAAACGTTCATCGTATGCGAGTATACGTGATCATCCTCGTGTGCTAGCTCTCATGAACAACGTGGGCAATTACATATGTGGACATTGCATATTGTATGCAAGGGTCATCAAGGGATTCTGATGTTCGATTGAGGAGTTGGCCAGAGGAATATTGGTTGGCTGGGCACAGATTACCGTGTACACCGCTTGATCGATCTTCATGAAAAGGCGTCATAAATAAAACAATATTGTACGTATATTTGAGTTTCATGTGCTGCGAACTTTGCGATATCAAAGGAGTGGAACCGTGACTCCCCGCTTGATTTCAGGGTATACTCGTAGCTCTCCGAAATTCACTACAATGAGTGTTTTTGATGAAGTTGTAGATGCTCCCAAGTGCCATGTATCCAGTGCTTGGGTATTTTTTGATCTGGCAAACGTGGAGGGCTGAAGTCGATATCGATTTAAGGTTCCCGCCCCTGTACTGTGCCACTCAGTCCGGAGGTCAAATACCCCTGTCACCGCAGTATTTAGTTCTATTCGCGATGGCGGTCAAGGATCCGGGAACAATGTCGATGTTACTTTCCGCAATATCGTGGTGAACAAAGAGTGGATTCAGTGCGGCTCTAGCAGATTAGTAGGGCGACGCAGCTCTGTCCTCCATATACGAGGTAGTGCCTTGAGACTGGTTACACTGATGTACATAGCCAACGCCTCAGGCTTTGGGATGAAGCACCTGATGCTATATTCCTTTTTTTTTGTATTAGCCATTTTCTTCTTCATGAATTCGCTCACAGATATCCTAGGCCGAATGATCTGGACCTGAGACACATGTGTGAATTAGGCCAAGAAAGGAAAGACGCTGGATGGATATGACGGCATGCATATATCGAAGCTGAGATGCAATGCACAAGACATCCCTGTAATATGAGAAGTAATATGCCCTCGGGTGACGTGCGTCGGGAAAGAAGAGGAACATATGGAGATCAGCCCGATCTCACGTTTGCCCGCCCATTTATGTTAAGCTAAGAGAAAGAAACGATTTACATTCTCTCTTCATATCGAAATTCACTTGCGTGTGAATGACGGCAAAGTGTAAACAGACAACAATACGATTTCCTAGGTTCGTTGCTCAGTGAGGTGTTATGACATTAAAATCAGGCTGACAGTGACTCCAGCACTGCATCGCCGTCAGCAGCTACAGTACAGTGAAGAATTATCCTCAATAATTTACCAAACCACCACCACACCCTCCCCTAATAATACAGACAGAAGATGGGAGACATAATGGTAGAGGACTTCGAGGCCCGGCACCTCATCGACGGGCTTCAGGGCCAGGATACAGTGGAAACCTTAATCGTTACTCTGGAATCCTGGGTTTTACAGGCTGTGGAACAGTTCAAAGCCAGCAACGGATTTCTGGAAGTAGGGAGCACGAGTGACAACCCCGAAGCGAGCCCTGATGTGAATATTCATGTGGATGGGGGCGAGACCATGTTGACGCGACTGCGAGAAGAAGTTCGCCAAGTGGTGCATAGATATCATGACTCTGCATCTGATTTTGCGGCTTCTTTGGTTCTGAACGGCAACACTGAAACTGGTCGCCCAGACACGTTATTGATTTTGAGGTTTCTGGGAAAGAGTCAAGTTTGGGCACCGGAACAAGCCCGGAAAACCTTGTGCCAGGAAGACCGATGTGCCCCATTACTGGAGATGCATTGTCAGACCCACCCAGAAGGACTTGAATTACATATCGCATCGCCTTTTCCAGAAGGGGTCCAGGAATTCATACAGAACCTGGATTTGCGGGTCCGGCGATCCGTTGCCGACATTACTGTCGCAAAGGTGTCAACAGATGCCACATCTGGTGCATCGGACAGTGAGCTAAAGAAAATTTGGGATTGGAATAACACGGTTCCTGTGATGGTGCCGAGATGCGTTCACGACATAATCGCCGGGGAAGCCCGACGACGACCACTTGCGCCAGCAGTCTCTGCCTGGGATGGCGAGCTAGACTATCAGCAACTAGACGAGCATTCCACTCGATTCGCCAATTTCCTAGTGCAGCTGGGTGCTGGGCCGGATGACATCATTCCCCTATGCTTTGAGAAGTCCAAGTGGATGATGGTGGCCATCCTGGCGGTGATGAAATCGGGAGCAGTCATCGCTGCTCTGGATCCAACTCAGCCCGAGTCCCGCCTGCAGACCATCATGAAACAGCTTCAGCCAGGCTGGATGATTGCATCGCCCGCCCAGATCGAGGTGGCCACCCGTCTGGAAACCAGCGATGTCATTCTCCTCGACGAAACTCACCTGCAACGATTGCCTGAGCCTCAAAGCGAAAAACTTCCGTGCGTTGATCCTTCTAGCAACCTATACATAGTTTTCACTTCAGGCAGTACTGGAATGCCAAAGGGAGTCATGATCAACCACACCAACTTCAGCAGTGCCATCGCCCACCAGAATCGTGCACTGGGAATCAACGAAACATCGCGAGTCTTTGACTTTTCCTCATACGCCTTCGATCTATCATGGGGAAACATCATACACACCTTCGCTTCCGGGGGATGCCTCTGCATCCCCTCTGAAAGTGAGCGCAAAGGAAACATCACTGATGCAATTCGCAGGCTTGGAGTAAACCATCTTCAGCTGACGCCTACCGTTGCTCGCCTAATCGACCCTCAAGACATACCCAACTTGCGATTGATCCTCTTGATTGGAGAGGCAATGACCCAGGCTGATGTTGATCAATGGACACCGTACTGTACACTGATCAATTCATACGGCCCAGCCGAATGCACGGTGGCAGTGACATTCCAAACGATCCCCCGTCACATACCTTGGGATCTGAGTATGGGCAAAGGTGTTGGTTGCAACACCTGGATAGTTGATGAGGCTCATGGGGACAGCTTGGTTTCCATTGGTCATACAGGCGAGTTGTGGCTGGAGGGTCCCCTGGTAGGACAAGGATACCTGGGGGACCCCAAGAAGACTGCAGCTAGCTTTGTGGATGATCCTGCCTGGTTGGCCCGAGGAGCTCCTGGTATCCCAGGACGTCGAGGCCGGCTATACAAAACCGGAGATCTCGCGCGGTATAACTCGGACGGCTCGTTGGTCTATTCTGCTCGCCGAGACACCCAGATCAAGATTAGAGGCCAGCGTGTTGAGTTGGGCGATGTGGAATACCATCTTAAGCTTGCACTGCCCGACAGCATTCCATCTGTTGCAGCCGAGGCCATCACCCCGCGGGGTAGCGAAAATGCCATCTTAACAGCATTCATCCCTCTTGGAGAAGTAGCAGACGAAAATGAGAACAAAGCTAGAGAGATTCTTGCTAGCTGTGTGCATGGGGTGGAGGAACGCCTGACTGAGCAGCTGCCCAGCTACATGGTGCCGAGCATGTACCTTGCGGTCTCTGCGATCCCTATGAGCACCACAGGAAAGACAGACCGATTACGACTGCGAGAGATCGGTTCTGCTCTAACGCTAGATCAATTGACGAAGTTGCAGCCGTCGCGGGCAGCAGCAAACAAGGCACCCCAGACGGAGATGGAGCACCGACTTCAGCAGCTCTGGGCGGAGGTTTTGAATCTGGAAGCCTCCCAAATCGGGATAGACGATAGTTTCTTTCTTCTTGGAGGCGACTCTATCTCGGCCATGCGGGTTGCCGCCAAATCGCTCGCAAGAGGAGTTCAAGTTACAGTGCCCGACATGTTCAAACACAAGACGATCTCGCGTCTCGCGCGGGAGATCCACCCGGATAATCTGACCAATCAGAGACAAGGTCTGCGCGACCAACCGTTCGCCCTCTCTCCAATCCAGCAGTTTTCCCTCAATATTCAGCAAAACAAACATGGTCATTTCAACCAAAGCTCCTTCGTTCGAATTACCGAGCATCAAGGACCCGATGCTGTGCGGCGCGCCATCCGGTTCGTTGTTGCCCGGCACTCCCAGCTGCGCGCCCGCTTTCAACGGGGCAGCGATGGGACATGGATGCAACGGATCACCCCATGCACTGATGAATCGTATTCCTGGACGTATCATCGCTTGTCATGCTTGGATGATGCCATCGCAGACCTTCATAACAGTCAGCGAGCTTCGGACCTTCAGACCGGTCCTCTATTTGCGGTGGATCTGATCGACACACCAGACCATCAATACCTGTATCTCACAGCGCACGGTCTGGTTGTCGACAATGTCTCCTGGCGAATTATCTTGAAAGATTTGGAGGAGAATCTAGTCACAGGAACTAACTCTGTTTCTTCCGCGCCACTCTCATTCCAGACTTGGTGTCACCTCCAGGAACAGCACGCCCAGGAACATCTGGCACCTGATGATGTTATGCCATTTAACATCGAATTGCCTTGTGATGAGTACTGGGGTTTATCGCCGGGTCTCAACACGCATGGTGACGTTAAAGAGACCAGGTTCACCCTGAGCCAAGAGACGTCTGATAGCCTGCTTGGAACAGCGAATTGCGCATTCCAGACCGAACCCGTTGACGTATTCCTTGCGACCTTGCTACGGTCCTTTATGGATATATTCAATGACCGAGATCCCCCGACTATCTTCAGCGAAAGCCATGGACGAGAGTCATGGAGCCCAACGATCGACCCATCCAAGACAGTGGGCTGTTTCACCACCATGGCGCCAATCCCAGTCTTACCGACCTCCTATCAGCTGAGCACTACTGAGTTGGTGCGTTCGATAAAAGATCGAAGGAGACAGATCCCCCATAACGGATGGTCTTACTTCACATCGCGGTACTTGAACCCCGGAGGACAAGAGAGGTTTGGTAGCCATGCCTGTCCTGAGATTTCTTTCAACTACTTTGGTCCAAATCAAGAGCCAGAGAGGAGCGACGCGCTCTTTCAACCTTGCTCCAGCCTGCAGGGTCGAGTGCCAAATGTTGCAGACAGCATGGACCGGCCTTCCCTGATTGATGTTTCAGCGGAGCTGATCGAAGGATGCGTGCAGCTCCGCTTCCTTTTCAGCAAGCACATAATGAAGCAAGATATGTTAGACGAGTGGGTTGCGGCGTTCGAGTCGTCGTTAGAAGCAACCGCAATGCAGCTCTGCAATACGCAACCCAGCTACACATTGTCTGACTTCCCCTTGTTACCTCCCACCCCCGCAATGGGGAAAAAATTGGAGAATCTTTCGCAGTCTGGAATTCCTTACGGTGAGGTGGAAGATATTTATGAAAGCTCTCCCTTGCAACAGGGAATTCTGTTGAGCCAGGCAAAAAACCAAGATATGTACTGGACCCGAGTGCGTTGGACGGTTCGGTCCAGCAAGGAAAGGTCATCCCCGGTGGATGCAGCTCGATTTGAGCTTGCCTGGCGGATGGTCGTGAAGCGCCATGCTGTGCTGAGGACCACATTCGCCGAGAGCATTTCTTCGGATGGTTGCAGTTACCAAATGGTTTTGAAAAACGCCTCACCCAGTGTTCACACGATCCAGGCAGCGGATCCCGTAGATGCCGTTGTGAAGTACAGATCAACCTCCGGGCTGCGGGTGCGACCGGTGCATTCGCTCGTCCTTTGCCCAACATCACACGGAGATTTATTTTGTGAGCTGGAACTAAATCATGCCATAATTGATGCCATATCAATCCAGATCTTGAATCATGAACTGTGTGCCGCGTACGATGGACTACTCCCGGCAGAGCCAGGGCCCTTGTACAGTGATTATATCCGGCATCTCCAGACCTTGCCCACGACAGAGGCGAAGGAATTTTGGCAAACACAACTAGCTGGGGCCCAACCATGCATTTTCCCAACACTTGCCGAGTCGAATCCCCAAGTTGGCAATTCGAAGGTGATTCACTCCCTGTCTATCAGTCCTGAGACGAACCAGAATTTGCGTCAGTTCTGCAGAGCCAATGACCTGACCCCAGCAAATGTAGTCAGTCTGGCATGGGCATTGGTCCTGCGGACCTACACTGGTAGTGACTCTCTCTGCTACGGCTATGTCGTGTCTGGTCGAGATATACCTATGCGCCATGTAGACCGGGCAGTTGGCACGTTCATCAACATGGTGGTAACACATGTGGAGATTGACAGCAAACGAGAGCTTCTCACTGTAATTCAAGAGATACAGGAAGCGTATTTACGCAGCCTGGAGTACAACTACTACCCCTTGGCAGAAGTCTTGCATGCCCACCACACCGAGGGACAGCCGTTATTCAACACCGCTTTGTCGGTAGAGACTGCGAGCGCTGACCTTACTCAACCCGAAATGACAACAATCGCACTTGAGGACGAGGCTGTGTTTGATCCGCACGAATATGACATGATCGCATCGTTCATGTTGCTTGATGATAATCCCAGGATCTCGATCAACTACTCCGAGCACCTGCTGTCAAAGGTGCAGGTCAGCGCAGTAGCTGACACATTCCTGCAAGCCCTGGAAAATATCATGCTTCACTCGGACAGCAAAGTGGGAGATCTGGAGACGACGATCAGTCCCCAGGACCTCGCTACAATCTGGGGGTGGAATTTGGATGTGCCCGAGACCCTGCTGAGCTCAGTGCCTGAGCTGATTACCCGATGTGTTCAGGAACAGCCTGACGCAACAGCCGTATGTGCTTGGGATGGTGAACTTACTTACCGTGAACTTGAAGATCTATCCTCTCGACTGGCACATCATTTACTGGCTCGTGGAGTCAGCCCACATTCAATCTTGCCGGTGTGCTTCGAGAAGTCTCAATGGGTGCCGGTGGCCATTCTAGGTGTGCTCAAGGCAGGCTGTGCAGTAGTGACCATGGACCCCGAACAGCCAGAAGAGCGTTTGCAGCTCGTGGCAAAGAAAGCCCAGGGTTTCATTCTGACATCTCCGGTCTGTCAAGATTTGGCGTGTCGTTTACAGCCTGAAGTCATCGTTCTAGATGGACAATCGCTCAAGGACATGCCCGAGCCCGATCCCTGCTACTTGCCAACAATTTCCTCCACGGACATGCTATATCTGATCTTTTCCTCGGGAACCACGGGGACTCCCAAAGGATCCGTGATGTCCCATGGGAACGCGTGCTCTGCAGTTCGCCATCAACAGGCTCATCTTGGGCTTCCCTCGCCTGCTCGAATGCTAGACTGTCTGTCATATGCGTTCGACGCTCCCTGGTTCAACTTTCTGCATGCGCTTACCTCGGGTGGCTGTCTATGCATTCCATCGGATACACAACGGAAGGACAATCTTCCGGGCTGTTTGAGGACTCTGAAGGCCAATTACGCGCTTCTAACACCATCCGTCGCTAGGACCATAGAGCCTGCAACGGTTCCTGGTCTTGAGACCCTTTCCTTGGGCGGAGAAGCCATCAGTGCGGATGACATTACTCGATGGCCCAATACCAAGTTGTTTGGCCTTTATGGTCCTTCTGAGTGCACTGTTGTCACGACAATCTACCAGTTTAAAGGGAGAACGGATGAAGCCAGAATGCTAGGTCACTCCTTTGGCATGAATGCCTGGGTGGTTGACCCTCTGCATGGCAAAAGCCTCGTGCCACTAGGTGGCAAAGGAGAGCTCTGGGTTGAAGGTCCCCTCGTTGGACAAGGATATCTCGGCGAGGTCGAGCAGACTTCGGCCAATTACGTAGAAGACCCCGACTGGCTGTTGCGTGGAGCACCCGGCTGTTCTGGACGCCGGGGCCGGGTCTATAAAACTGGAGATATTGTTCGGTCCCATTCGGATGGGTCGCTTCTTTACGTTGGTCGCAAAGATACTCAGGTGAAGATCCGGGGTCAACGTGTGGAACTCGCGGAAGTTGAACACCACCTCCGCCAAGCGCTGCCAGTCGGCGTGAATGTGCCAGTGGTTGTGGAACTTGTTTGCCCTCAGGGTAGTGTCAATCCAGTGCTGGTGGCCTTTGTTCCTATAGGAGGTCAAGCTACCGCGTCACCACAGTCCATCGCCGAGGCACTGAGACGGTACACGGACGGAGTCGAGGACCGCTTGATGCGGAGCCTGCCCACATACATGATCCCTCGCATGTATCTCCCCGTGGCGGAGATTCCTTTCACAACGGCTGGAAAGAGAGACCAGCGCAGGTTAAAGCAGATGGCATCTTCACATACTCTGGAGCAGCTTGCAGCGCTTCAGCCATCGCAGCATGTGCGCCGTGCTCCCTCATCAGTGATGGAATGGCGTCTTCAAGAGATGTGGGCTGCTATCCTCGATATTGATGCAGCCTCCATTGCGGCAACAGATAACTTCTTGCGAATCGGTGGTGATTCTATTGGGGCAATTCGTCTCGTTCGACTGGCTGCAGAACAGGGCATCATTCTCACGGTGTCCGCAATCTTCAAATCTCCCACTCTATGCGACATGGCCCATGTCGCGAAGCTGGGATCGGACTTCGTTCAGGACGATATCCCTCCATTTACCCTATTGGGGGAACATGTGGTCGCTTCTCAGATCCAATTGCAGGCTGCAGTATTGTGTGACCTGAGCCCCTCGACCGTCAAAGACATCCTTCCGTGTACGCCTCTACAAGAAGGCTTGCTTTCTTTAACTGCCAAGCGTCAAGGTGACTATGTGTACCCCCAAGTCCTGCAATTGCATGACTCGGTCGATATTTCACGCTTCAAAGATGCCTGGAATCAAGTCGTCATGCAAACATCGATTCTGCGAACCCGTATCGTTGACCTTGAAGGGCAAGGTTTAGTACAAGTTGTCACAACCCATCCACCCGAGTGGCATTATGCCACCAATCTAGACACCCTCATTCAAGAACATCTCAGTTTCCCCGTTACTCTTGGTACCGCCTTGGCCAGATGTGGTTTGGTGGAGGTAGGCGGCGAAGATCAGGATCGGCAGCAGTACTTCGTGCTCACACTTCATCATGCACTATATGACGGATGGTCAATGTCACTCCTTTTAGCAGAGGTTGGCAAGGCTTACCACGGGACTGCGAGTGATGGCCTTGTTTCTCTCAATTCACTGATCAAATACGTGAGGGAGTTAGGTGCTGAGGCCGACTCATACTGGCGAGACACACTGGATGGTCTGGCAGCGGTGCCATTCCCTTCCCCATCATCCCCCCTATACCAGACGTGCGCACAAGATATGCTGGAGTATCAAATCCCAGAGATTCAATGGCCACAGAATCATATCACTCCAGCGACCTCTCTTCGCGCGGCTTGGGCAATTCTCACAGCCCATTACACCCAGTGCGACGATGTTATCTTTGGATCCACCGTCACAGGCCGACAGGCTCCAGTCTATCGCGTGGAAGCTATCGAAGGGCCAACAATTGCAACTGTGCCAGTCCGTGTGACCATCCCGGAAAACATGAATGTCATGGGCCTGTTGGAGCAGGTGCAAGAGCAGTCGATTGATATGATCCCTTACGAGCAAGTCGGATTGCAGCGAATCCAGAGACTCGGCACGGATGCGGAGAGAGCATGTCAGTTCCAGACATTGCTAGTGGTACAGCCAGCACCGGAAACGACGGTAACCGATGGGAGCCCCTCCTTATTTCACGAAGATGGTAGTGCTGCTAGCCAGACATCCCTTGGAAGCTTTAATTCATATGCCCTCCTGCTGCAATGTCAGCTGACGGCCACTGGCTTGTCCATCCAGATGAGCTACGACTCCCATGTCATGGCCGAGCCGCAGGTACAACGACTAGCCGTTCAATTCGAACACATCTTGCGGCTCCTGTGCGATGAATCTCAACATCAATCTCCCGTATATCATCTCGAAGCGATCTGTGACGAGGATCTTCGGCGCGTTTGGACGCTTAACTCCCCGGTGCCAACCACAGTGGAAGCTTGCATGCACGATATCTTCACAAAGCACGCCCGGCAGAAGCCGGCTTCTCAAGCCGTCGCATCGTGGGATGGAAATCTGACCTATAGCGAACTCGACGAACACTCCACCAAGCTAGCACATCATCTGCACAACTCAGGGGTTGGCCCAGGTGCTGTCGTCGCGCTCTGCTTTGAAAAGTCCATGTGGATGCCGGTCGCAATGCTGGGGGTAATGAAAGCCGGAGGTGCATCGGTGGCTCTTGACATCACACAACCAGAGGATCGTCTCCGGACGGTTGTAGAGCAGGTGCAGCCTGTTCTTGTTCTGTGCTCCATTCAGGCAAAGGCACTGGCACAATCCCTTATCGTTAAACCCGTGGATGTTGTCTCACAACAGACCCTCGATGCCAGGTCTTCCTGCAGCATGGAACACGGTCAACTGCCCGTGGTTCAGCCTACAGACCGACTTTATATTTGCTTCACATCAGGAAGTACGGGAGTACCTAAAGGTGCGATGATGTCTCATCAGAACATGGCTAGTGCAGTGTACCACCAGAGGGCGGCTCTCGATTTGACCGACTCAGCCAGGGTTTTCGACTTTTCATCTTACGCTTTCGATGCTTGCTGGATGAACTTCGTCCACACTATAGCAGCCGGCGCCTGCTTCTGTATCCCATCGGACGAGGAGAGAAAGGGCGATCTTGCCGAGTGTATGGGTCGCTTGGGTGTGACCTTTACATTCCTCACACCGTCCACCGCACGCTTGATTAATCCAGCATCCGTCCCTGACCTCCAGATACTAGTCATCGGTGGTGAGGCGGCGACGCAACAGGACATCATCCAGTGGAAAGATCACGTACAACTCAAGAATCTCTACGGCCCCGCGGAATGCAGTGCTGCCTCCACCATTTTCGACATCAGCAGCAACGAGCACCATCCTGGAACCATCGGTGCTGGGAAAGGAATGGCGACATGGGTGGTTGAGCCGGTCGAAAGCCGCCAATTATCGCCTTATGGGGCAGTGGGTGAGTTATGGCTCGAAGGCCCTTTGGTAGGATTAGGCTATCTTGGACGCCCGGATCTCAGTGCCGCCAGCTTTACAGACAACCCTCCCTGGCTCCTGCAGGGCCAACCCCCAGGGTTCTCAGGGCGGACCGGCCGAATGTACCGTACTGGGGATCTGGTGCGTTATAACCAGGACGGAACTCTGGTCTATATAGAGCGGAAAGATGCCCAGGTCAAGATTCGTGGACAGCGCGTTGAGTTGGCTGAAGTCGAGTACCATCTAAACCAAACCTTGCCCCCAGCCGCCGCAGAGATTGGTGTGGCCGTTGAGGTTCTCAGGCCGCAGGGAAGTGTTAATCCAATATTGGTTGCGTATTTGGCAATTGGAGAGCCTGCACTGGGCTCACTGGAAACCATCCGAGCGAAGTTGGCTCACTACAGCCAAGGCGCCAGGGAGCGACTGGAGGACCAAGTACCAAGCTATATGGTGCCCAGCCTCTTTGTTCCGGTGGTCAGTATTCCCATGACTGTAACGGGCAAACGAGACCGACGGCGACTGCATGAGACATGGGCGTCTCGGTCACTGGAAGAACTGGCGGACTTGCAACCAACCCGGGGTAACTTTCAAGCACCGACAACAGATCTTGAAACACAAATTCAGGCACTTTGGGCCGAATGCTTGAATATTTCCGCATCCAAAATCGGTATGCAAGATAGCTTCTTTGCTCTCGGGGGGGACTCAATTTCTGCCATGCAGCTCTCTGCAAAGAGCCGGTCCATGAATCTCCAAATAGCTGTTCCCGACATTTTCCGGTGCAAAACAATCGCTCGACTGGCACTTGGTGTCTCCCCCTTGGTGAACCTGGCTGTGGATCATACGCCGGATGACCAGGGTGAGTCCTTTGCCCTTTCCCCCATCCAACAGATGTTCGCCGATACACTGTGTGGGGTGAGCCATCATTTCAATCAAAGCTTCTTTGTACAGGTCCGTAAGTCAGTCACACTCTCTCAGCTAAACGCCGCAATGGATGCTGTTGTGGGCCAACATGGCATGTTGCGTGCCCGCTTCGAGTGTGACGGAGAGAGGATCTTGAGCCAGCGCATCCTACCCCCTGGAACCTCGGGAAACTATCGTGTCAGTCAGCATGAGGTTGCGGACTCTCAGGCTACTTCAGTGGTGATTCATCACAGTCAACTCTCTTTGGACATTCAGAATGGACCAGTCATGGCTGTGGATTTGATCAATGCACCTGAGGGTCAATCCCTGTTCTTGGTGGCCCATCACATGGTGGTGGATCTGGTATCATGGAGAATCATCCTGGCTGACTTGGAGGACCACTTGACCAATTCATCGATATCAGGCTTGACGTCGATGTCCTTCCAGTCCTGGTGTCGTCTACAGGCTGACCACGCCCAGAGCCACTGCGAGGTGGAGGCTGTTCTCCCGGACGGGACTTTGCCTCTCCCACCGCCAGACCTAGCCTATTGGGGCCAGATAAACAGTTCGAACAATTTCGAAGATGTGATCAAGGGTAAAATTGTTCTCACAAAGCAGGTGACGGAGACGTTATTGGGGCCCGCGAATGCGGCATTTGATACACAGCCAGTGGAGCTCCTCCACGCCTCGATTCTTCATTCCTTCGCCGCCACGTTCCATGATAGGACACCCCCAACAGTATTCAGCGAAGGCCATGGTCGCGAGCCCTGGAGCTCTGCAATTGATATCTCACGCACAGTGGGGTGGTTTACCACGATGTTTCCCATAGTAGCCGCGGCAAAGAAGGGGGACAAGATCGCCAACCTCGTGCGTCAAGTCAAGGATCTTCGGCGTCAGATGCCAAGCAATGGACGGCCATACTTTGCATCTCGGTTCCTTAGTTCGGCTGGCAAGGAGGCATTCCAGTCCAATGGCCCTGTTGAGATCATGTTCAACTATCTTGGTTTATATCAGCAGCTAGAGCGAGCAGACGCCCTCTTCAACCTACGCAGTATGCCAGACGGGGTTGATGATCTTTGTGATATCTCTGGAAAGATGCCCCGCTTTGCTTTGGTGGATATTTCGGCGTCTGTGACAGATGGATGTCTGCACGTGGAATTCCTCTATAATCAGCACATGAAACACCAAACCTCAATCCGCACGTGGATCGAGGAATGCAAGCACACCCTCCAGACAGCAGCGCGGGAGCTTCCTCTCCTTCAGCCGAGCTACACTGCGTGCAGCTTCCCACTGTTACGCATGAGAGAACCTGACCTACCGACACTAAGGCAGCGATTGACCGATCTAGACATTGCCTACGGTCAAGTGGAAGATATATATCCCTGTTCGCCACTCCAAGAGGGAATCATTCTCAGTCAGATCAAGAACCCATCCCTTTACAGAACGCGGATCCGGTGGATGGCGCGGTCTAGACAAGGATCGACAAGAGTGGATACAGACCGAATCAAACAGGCATGGCAGCAGCTGGTAGACCGACATGCAGCCCTTCGCACTATATTCATTGACAGCATCTCGGGCAGAGGGCTCAAAGATCAACTGGTGGTGAAGGACCTCCTGGCGAACGTCCATATTGTCCAGCCAACAAATGAAGCAAGGATCGGGGGCACATCCACAGCAAAAGGTGACACGAGCTCAACATTCATTCTATCCCCAACGGACTCTGGTGTGCTGTGTGAGCTATCCATCAACCATGCTTGCATTGACGCTCGTTCTTTGGGGATCATCAAGGAGGAGCTGTGTGCCGCATATGATGACAACCTCCCCTCAGCTGTAGCGCCACTTTACAAAGACTATATCCAGTTCATGCAGTCTGTGCCTACTTCCCCGGCGGAGAAGTACTGGCAAAGCCATCTCAAAGGGGTCAACCCCTGTATATTTCCTCCTTTGGACGGCCCGGAAGCGGGAGGTCGGCGGTTGCGAACCATCTCAAGTACATTCGATCAGGAGCTACACCTATCGCTACGTGCCTTCTGCATGGAACATGGACTTACCACATCCAACGTGTTCCATGTTGCCTGGGCATTAGCTTTGCGTGCTTACACTGGCCTGGAGACAGTATGCTTTGGCTATCTCACATCCGGTCGAAACATTCCCCTTCAAGGAGCTGACAGAACCGTTGGTCCCTTCATTAATATGCTTGTTAGCCGCGTGGATCTGGCTAACGGGGACACGCTCACGGCCTTGGTCCAGAGGAACCAAGAACAGTACCTTCAGAGCCTGGAGTTTCAACATTGTCCACTGGCGAAGATCTTCCACTTGGCAGATACACCTGAGAAGGAGCTCTTCAATACTGCGATGTCGCTTCAATCGAGTGGGTCTTTGCCACAGGCCAGTAGTTCGACAATATCACTTGTAGACGACGGAGGTGATGATCCCACCGAGGTAAGAAACAAAACTTACCCGTTGTTTCGTGTCACTATGCTAAAATCATTAACAGTACGATATCCTGATAAATATTGGGGTTGGGGATGAGGAAACCGCCTTGGACTTCAATTTCAATGGGTCAAAGGTATCTGAAAGTCATGCAAAGAGTGCCCTCGACATATTCCACAAGGCCGTCAAAAAGATTGTTCAGCATGGAGATCAGACAACGTTGGAGGCCAATTTTATCAGCAGGCATGACTTACAAACCATCTGGGATTGGAACTCCTCCCCAACGAAGCCTGTGAACCGATGCGTGCATGAGTTCATCATGGAGCAGGCCGAGAGACAACCAGCGGCCGCTGCGATCTGTGCTTGGGACGGCAGTCTCACGTACAAAGAGCTCAATGACATGTCCACGAACTTGGCATTCCAAATTGGTAAGCTTGGTGTCGGGCCAGGTATGAACGTCCCATTGCTCTTCGAAAAGTCTCGGTGGATGTCCGTTGCCAGCTTAGCGGTAATGAAGGCTGGTGGAACCATGGTGAGCTTGGATCCGTCTCAACCAGAAGAGAGACTACGGGTTATCATCGATCAGGTCCAGCCAGGGCTCATACTCGCCTCTGGAGGAGCCCAAGTCAGAGCCTCGAGTATTGCAGATTGCCCCGTTGTTCCTGTCGAGGCCGCCAGCTTGGCAATGTTAAGTGCACCCCTTGATGCCAGCTTACCCACGGTCGATCCTGCCGGTAGTCTGTATCTGGTGTTCACATCTGGAAGTTCCGGCCTGCCGAAGGGGGTGGCCATTAGTCACTCTAACTTCAGCACGGGTATCGCTCACCAACGTGACTGCTTGAAGCTATCCACCTCCTCGCGAGTTTTGGAGTATGCTTCGTACGCGTTCGATGTCTCCTGGGGCACGATTCTTGCCACTCTTGGTGCTGGTGGCTGCGTCTGTATTCCCGAGGAATCGGAACGCCGTGGGGATATTAGTGCAACCATGCGTCGTCTGGAGGTAAACTACGCAGGCCTCACTCCGTCTGTCGCACGTCTTCTGGATCCTTCGGACACGCCGCTTCTTAAGACCCTTGTCTTGGCCGGCGAACCTGTATCACAGTCGGATGTGAAGCAATGGAGTCCGCACGTCGATCTGATTAATGCTTATGGTCCTGCAGAAACCACTGTATGGGTGACATTTGCAAATCTCGGAACAGACATATCTACCCCATCCATCGGAAAGGGGGTTGCTTGCAACACATGGGTTGTTGACCCTTGTCGACCAAGCCAGTTGACACCACTGGGCTGTGTGGGTGAACTTTGGCTCGAAGGCCCGCTAGTGGGACGTGGTTATTATCGCGACCCGGAACGAACAACAGCCGCCTTCATCGAAAATCCACAATGGTTGGTCCGAGGACCAGGGGGCACGCAAGACTCTGGTCGACAAGGAAGGCTTTATCGGACCGGTGACTTGGTTCGGTATATGCCAGACGGATCAATCGCATACATTGGAAGAAAGGACAACCAAGTTAAGATTCACGGTCAGCGGGTCGAGCTCGAGGAAGTAGAAAAGCATATCCAGCAGGCCATCATGAAAAGTGCAGCTGCAACGGCTATGGTCTCTGTTGTGGCTGCTATCGTCGTTCCCAAAGGAAGCAGCAAGTCAATTTTGGCAGCCTATCTCGCTTTGGGAAATTCGGCAGTGGGACCATTGGATGTGGTTCGCACAGCTGTCAGCCCTTATGTTGGGCTTGTCAACCAGTCACTGGAAAAGCAATTGCCCAGCTACATGAGACCAAGCATCTATATCCCTGTCGCCGAGATCCCCACCACTACAAATGGAAAGACCGACCGCAGGATGCTCCAAGCCATGGCATCTATCCGCACTCTTTCTGAATGGGCAAGCCTGCAGTGTGCCGATGCCAAAGAGTGTACAGCATCTTCTCCGGGAGAATTGGAGCTTCAAAGACTTTTCGCCGAAGTGCTGAACATCGACCAGAGTCTTCTGGGTGTGAACGAAAGTTTCTTCTCGCTGGGAGGAGATTCCATTACGGCAATGCAGCTGTCGGCCAAGTCCAAGTCCAGCGGTGTATACGTCACAGTGGGCGATATCTTCAGATACAGGACCGTCGTGCAGCTGTCAAAGCATGCGATTGATACGACGGCTATGTCCGCGCCGCTCCGAGAAGCCACGGACAACCTCCTCGATCTCTCTCCTGCCCAGGAGCTATTCTTTGCCTCGCAGGACAAGGGCAAGAACTTGTTCAACCAGACCATCCTGGCCCGCGTGTCAAGTCCCCTGAATCCCAACACTCTTCGACAGGCAATCGAGGCTCTGATAGCGCGTCACCCCATGCTTCGTGCTCGCTTTTCTCAGGCTGCTGACGGGGCCTGGAAGCAAAAGATTATGCCTGACCCCGCAGGCTGCTATGTTTTCCGCGAACATCAAATTACCTCCCTGGAAGACATAGAGCCTGTTCTGCATAGCAGCCAGGAGTCCATGGACATTTCCCAAGGCCCTGTTCTTGTCGTGGATCTGATCGAGTCAAGTCAGAATGAGCAGTATGTTTTCCTGGTTGCCCACCATCTTGTGATGGACCTCGAATCATGGAGAATCACCCTGAGGGAGCTGGAGGAGTACATGATTTCAGGGAGAATAACCGGCTTTACGCCATTCCCATTCCAGTCTTGGAATCATCTTCAAACGAACTATTCTCGAGATCATTCCCCTCCGCAGGATGCATTGCCCTTTGATGTCAGACCACCCCAGCATGATTACTGGGGATTGGCCCCTGGGTATGATGAAAACACCCTGAGCAATGCCGGTCACAGCAGCTTTACGCTTGATAGGTCTCTCACCGAGATGCTCATGGGCCCGGCCAACTCTGTGTTCAATACACAGCCTCTTGAAGTCCTCCATGCAGCTCTTTTGTACGCGTTTGTCAACACATTCCCCGACCGCGATCCACCGCCTATCTTCACTGAAGGGCATGGTCGAGAGGTCTGGGACTATACCATCGACCTTTCGAGGACCGTCGGGTGTTTTACCACTCTTTCCCCGGTCTCGGCTCCCATTAAACGAGGTAGCAGCCTTGCAGATGCGGTGCAGTGTGTTAAGGATACACGCCGACAGGCACCACGCCACGGCTCGTCCCATTTCACCTCCCAACATCTCAATTCTGCAGGACGGCAGGGATTCACGGCCAAGGGTCCTGTGGAGATCATTTTCAATTGCACGGGGTTGTCTCAACAGTTGGGGCGCCATGATTCTCTGTTCCAACAGTCCGAGATCACGGTAACGAAGCCCTCTGCTGCTACAACAACGATTTCCCGCTTTTCGCTGGTTGATGTCACTGCATCTGTCACTCATGGTCAATTGAGGTTTAAATTCACATATAACAAGGAGATGAAGCCATTGGATAAGATACTTGAATGGATCAATCAGTCCGAGTGCGCACTGAGAACCGCGGCGGAAGAACTCGTGGTCCATAGCCCAAGCCGCACTATCTGCGACTTTCCCTTGCTATCTCTCTCGCAAGAAACCCTGGATGAGCTTTCCAACAGAGTTCTGCCGGGTTTGGGTCTTTCCTACAGTCAGATTGAAGACATATACCCCGCTGCCCCAGTCCAGCAGGGCATGATCAAGAGCCAGACCAAGAGCAACGAGCTCTATTGGACTCGACTACGGTGGACAGTCCAGTCAACGTCCACATCGCCAATTGACCTCGATCGGTTGAAGTGTGCATGGCAGCTAGTCGTCAAACGGCACTCAGTGTTGAGGACGATCTTCATTGATGGTGTCGGACCCAACAAAGGCAAGAGCCAGTTGGTATTTAAAGATGTTCCTGTGGATGTCAAGCTCCTGTACACCGAGCAGCAGATTCTTCCGGTGCCAGCCAGTGGGGTGAAATGGCACACCGATTTGTCTACCAGGACAGAAACACCGCAGCATTCTCTTGTTCTCACGCAAACAGCTTCAGGACGCGTGTTCTGTGATTTGGAACTGAATCATACCATGTTCGACGGACATTCCCTAGGCCTCATGAAGCAGGAGATATGCGCAGCGTATACTGGTAGTCTGCCCACTTCACCCGCACCGTCATACAAGGTGTACATTGAACATTTGTCGAAATTGCCTGTTGAGGATGGTGAGCAATTCTGGCAGGCATACCTCCATGGCGTTCAGCCATGTCACTTCCCGACACTCGGGCAGCCAGGCACATCGCACGGTCCACAAAAGCGCACTGCGCTATCCGTGTCGCTGGACTCGTCCACTCATCAAGCGCTGCCTGCGTTCTGCCAGCAGCATGGAGTTACTTCTTCAAACGTGCTTTATCTGGCCTGGGGAATTCTTCTCCGCGCCGTGACTGGTGCAGACAAGGTCTCTTTCGGCTATGCCACGTCTGGACGTGATGCCCCCATTCCTGGAGTACACATGGTTCTTGGTCCTTTGATGAATATGCTTGTGTGTGTTCTCGACTTTGGGGCGCAAAAATCTGTGCGTTCGACCATGGAAAAGGTCCAAGAAGACTATCTTGCCGCTTTACGATACCAGTTTACTCCACTCGGCGAAGACATGCAGCTCTCTGGGACGTTCGGCCAGGGCCTCATCAACACCGCTGTATTTGCCCAGGTTGGTCCCACTCGTAGGGAACAGAACCTGCATGAAATTTCAATTGCAGACCAGGCAGGACGGGGGTCGCCAGATGTACGTGTGATCTTTGTTCCGTTTTTGCAAAAATTGAGCATTCCCGATAGCTAACATTTCAACAGTATGACATTGCCATTGCCTTCGCTCAAGACGACGTCGAAACTAAGATTTCATTCGACTGCGCAGCCCTTGCTCTATCCGAAGAAGGGGTCCAAAGCCTTGCAGGGCTTTTCCTTCGGGTTGTTGAGGATGTCCTTCGGGTCCCAGATCAAAACGCACATGCGATCAATTTGATCAGCCAGCAGGACCTGGAGAGCCTCAGGGCTTGTAATCAAACAGATCCCCAGAGAGTGGACTCTTGTCATAACGTCACCGCGCAGGCATCATCGGACCAGCTCGCCATGGTTGACAACCAGCACACTGACTCTGTGGACTCACAAACACCTGAACTCGGTGTTTAATCCCAACACTTCCATAATTTCCAGATTGAGGCCGCGACTGGAATTGCTTTCAAGTCATGATTTGTCTGTTTATTTATTTTTGTTTGTCGGTTTGCTTGTTTGTTTTTTTCCGCCTACTTTCTTGCGACTTGCGCTCGGTTTACCAGTATCTCCTCAGAGGACCCCTCTCATCATTTGATGATTCTTGGTTTTTGTTTACATGGTGCATGAATAAAATCTTGACAGAAAATATCCGACCGCACAATCTGTCGGAATAACGTAGAACATAGAGTTTGGGCTGGACGAGGGCGATGGAGTAGCCTGAGGATATATCTCGCATACCTGAGCGGATCACCAATTTTTACCACAAAAGCAATAAACCGTCGAGAGACATGAAGAATTATTTAGTTTATATTAAGAATCTCAAAAACCTGTCGCTGGAGTATGCCCAGGTGGACTGCTAAAATCCCAACTCTAGAAATCAAATTTATACTTGGTATTGGTATTACTGTATGGATCCATGAAGCTTGGAACTTTGAACGGCACTCACGTTCCGCCCGGTGCCTTCCGCCCCGCCCCCTTGCATCGGGCCTTGGCAAATCTCGTGTACTTCGTGTACGCTTACTCTGCACATATGTATCGTCCACTTGGGCATTTATACTCGCAGTGCACTTCAAAGTTGCCCTATATATATCCCTGGATCTCGTATGGATGTATTATGACATATTCTGCATATTCCCTCGCGCCATCCATGGATCGGATGTTCCCTAGGGGTAGACTTGACGCTATGTATTCTCCCCCTACCTGGCATAATATCCACGGGTTGCATCTCAATTCAGCTGGGATGCCGCAGTTGTCAGCTTCAGGCCCCCATCGACCTGCCATGCGGAGTACAACATTGTGTATCGATTGCACCCGCTATCTCCTGTGAAGTCCCTATCGGGGACCCGATGCAGCAGCACGAGCGAGGTTAGCTGGTATGCAAGGGACTGCTAGCTCAGTCGATATTCCCCTCTCTCTGATCTTATGAAAGAATCTTTCCAATGTGTGGCTGCTCGGTAGTCTCATCGCACCCCCTCCTTTTCTTTCCCCATAAAATAACCTGGGAAAGAGAAAGCCCTGGAGCCATTCCAAACTAACCCAAGATGACAGTACAGCGGAAGCTCCGGCTAGGAGAGCCATATCCCGGTCGTGCAAACAGTCTTTTGGTCCAAATTCCAACATGGACTGACATGGTGGATTTTGGACGGGGAAAAGCACAGATGGACAACGGCTATCCAAGGTCCGTGGTGCACCCAGATATCCGCCTGGTGAGACCCTCAGCTACTACTATCTCTATCAGCCGTATACTCCTAGATTAATGCTGATGTTGCTATCTGGTCCAAGCTCAGTTCCGCCATTCTGGCCCTGATCCGCGACGTCGATTCCACCCAATCTTCACTTCTGCTGTTCTCATGCCCGCAAGCGGCAATTTCCTGCAAGCAATATATTCTCCTTCTCTCGCATGGGAAGGGTCAGTCCAATCTTGCCGACTCAATCCTTGTTTACTCAGTGGACTTCATTGCCTCACTCTGTCATGACCATGCTCGCCCGTCGGATCCGGTGCTTTATGCCATGGTTTACCCGAGTATGTTTTCTCCATATTCTATGGCATTCTGGCAACGAGCCGGGCCTGGAGTCTCGTCGCGGCTAGCTCAGAAGTGCCTGGAACATGTAACTAGACCCCGGATTCACCCATGGACTGCCCCTCCCGATACTGGCATACACAAGGCATCTGGCGACCCCCATCCTGTGTACCAAGCAATCCGCTCACGGATCTCTGGCTATGTACAAGGCTTTACAGATGAGCCGCGGGTCACGAAGCAGGTCGTTCCCTCTGATGTTTTTTTATATAGCTCAGGGATGACGGCTATCTACCACGTGCATCAGTCCATTCTGAGTTGGCGGACCGGGGAGTCCGTGAGTGCTGGACTCTTGTATGAGCCGACTTACAAGGTTCTGGAGACTCATGGGCCAGGTCTAAAGTCTTATAATTTAGGACCGGATGCCAACTTGGATCATCTTGCTGCTTATTTGGAGTTGGAATCCAAGGATGCTCCTACAGTGCAGTCAATCTGGTGCGAATGTCCGAGTAACCCATTAATGCGGACAGCCGATTTGCAGCGATTACGCTCGCTGGCAGATCAACATGATTTACTTGTAGTGGTGGATGATAGCGTGGCTAGCTTCGCCAACATCAATCTTTTGGGTGTGGCAGACATTATCATCTCATCACTATCCAAATACTTTAGTGGATACGCCGACGTGATGGCAGGGAGGTAAGTACAGCATGCCGACACCTGCGCACAAGCCGAGGGAGAGTAAGACTGAAGCTTATCTGCATACGTACAGTGTTATTCTGAATCCCAACTCGACGCACTATGGTGCTTTGCACCACCATATCTCTTCCACATACGAGAATGGCCTGTTTGTGCAAGATGCGATTCAGCTGGAATCCAATAGCAGGGACTTCCTGACTCGCATGGCCCAAATCAACGAGACCACGCAATACCTTGTAACCCAGCTTTTGCCACTCCTGTCGAATCCGTCAAGCCCGCTCACCAACATTTTCCACCCATCTGTCTGCTCGTCCCGTCTATACTACGAGCGCCAGATGCGTCCACAGTCTGAAGGGTTTCGCCCTGGGTATGGGGGTGTCTTTACGATGCAGTTTGCGGATCTCGCGAGCTCTTCTACTTTCTTCGATAACTTGGACGTCTACAAGGGTCTCTCTTTTGGTGCAGATGTCTGCATTGCATCGCCCTACATGCAAATGACGGGTCAGGCCGGTAAGAAGCAAACTTCTGCCGATGACATCAGTGAGACCATCATCCGGTTCTCTGTGGGTCTAGAGAAGGCTGAAGAGATTCTACGAAGGATCAATACTGCACTAGATGCTGCGGTTCTGGCTCACAGGGACAAGTTCCATGTGTCCATTTAGTCTTTGTTGGCCGGCCTGACAGATTAAAGCTATTCTCTTGTTTTTCAACTGCAGGTCGACTCTACGACCACCTAATGTGTTACGAGCTTTCGGTAAAATTCAATTTTAGCTAGTTTTGGCGCCGAAACTACCTCCAGGGCTTCAAAGACATTGGAAGCAATGGCTTCTGGGTCTGCTCCACTATAAAAACATCAATCTATAAACAAAAGGTACCCCGAGCCCCGCATATGCGTAGTGCCAGCCTAGCCCCAACACGGGAGCGGGTGCCCCATAACGGGTTGAGGGCTGAGGGGGCGGCCCCAGATACATTTGTACCTTAATAGATAAGCCATGGAATGCTCAAGAGGAGTTTTTACTGATTTCACTTGGAAGAATCGAGAGTATCTTGTATGGTCCCGAGCGAACAAGCACTTTCCTGGAATAATTCTATTCGGTCTGGGTCCATAGCCTTCTTGAGGGAACAAAGTGCACACCTGACCCTACCAGATACATCTCACTCTGGTTCTAAATGCCCACATTAAGATTCAAGGCTCACAAGGGGGCCAACATGTCAAATGGTTAGAAGATCCCGTACCGAGACTCATGTAAGCGCTAGTGTATGTCAAGTAGTATGCCTTTGATAGGTACTTGACATTTTGGCCCCAACACATGCAGATGTCATTGGAGCTTAATGCCCTCGCGGGCTAACGTTAGTATCATTTGTGTTGAAAAGCCACCAAACAACTCTAGCTGTGTATGATCATCGCAACAATACCAACATAGGAAAGACATCAAACGCGTACTCCTACTTTAGTGATAGCAATTATAGGCTAGAGGTACATGAGGAGACAATGCAGTGGAAAAAAAGAAGAAGAAGAATATGGCTTACCTCTCTCTCAATATCCAAGGCTCTCCCAAGTTCACCTCGATAAAGTTACAATGGGTTCGACGACTGTTCCGCCGGCAATCCCACCGTTGACGGCCTTCGAACGCATAGGCCCCAAAGGCTGGATCCGCTACATCTTTCTTTTCCAACTTGCCGAGGAACATGAAATCGGAAAGGTCGTAGAAATTGTTCGCCATGGCTTCGACGAAGTGAAAGAGCGTTTTCCCGAGGCAGACTGCGAGGCCGTTCCTGACTTTGAATCCAGACAGCAGGGTGTCTTCAAGCTGCAGAAGTTGAGGGGCGGAGAGGTTGAGAGTGTAGTTGTCAAAGATCTACGACACCCTGATAAGTTCTCGTGGACCTATGACGAGCTAAAAGCACAGTCTTTCCCTGTGTCTGCTTTTGATGCCAATCTCCTGTGTCGTGGATCCGTCTGGGCTGCCCCGGGGGAGCGCATGCCAATCTCTCTATCGCAAGCGAATTTCATCCGTGGTGGCCTCATTCTCACTTGGAACATATTCCACATGGTCGGCGATGGAACCTCATTTTGCACCTGGATGAAGGTTTGGGCAGAAGGTTGTCGTCGTGCACAAGCCCTGGATATCCCAGACCCCATCCAACTCCACCCGGATATCTGGAATGACCGCGAGCAGCTTATGAGGCCGTCTGGGAAAAATCACGGCCGATTGGAGGATCACCCAGAATATACCCTCCTCCCCTTCACACCGACCGGGGCACCACCAAAGATGCTATCGCCACATCATCGCGGACAGGTCTTTCGCTTCTCACCTGAATCATTGAAGGCATTGAAGGCGGATGCATCTCCGGCTAATGCGTCTGAGCCATCTGATCAAGAGTGGATCTCGACAAATGATGCGGTCTCCGCACTTATATGGCGTACGGCCATGGCAGTACAATCTCCAATGGAGTTGTTGGAAGGAGATCCGGTTTCCAACTTTGGTATCTCGATCAATGGGCGCCAACGAATGTCACCTAAAATTCACCCAGATACTTCAGGATGCTTCCTGGGCTTCGTGCCGGTGATAGCACCGGTTAGAGATATCGTTGGTCACTCCAGCCTCGCTGACCTGGCCATTTTGATTCGCAAAGCCGTGTTGCGTGCAGACGACCAGTTTGGAGATGATGTGGTGACACTGGTTGATAGCGTGGACGATGTTAGCAAGCTAGTCCCGACAGCATTTTTGGATATCCCTGGGTTCAACTGTGTTTTATCATCGTGGACTGCCTTCAGTCTGTATTCTTTGGACTGGGGCCCGATTTTGGGTAAGCATATTGATGCTGTCCGAACCCCGAGTGTGGGTCTAATCAACGGAGGTCAATTTATTTTGCCAGTGCTACGTGACGGAGGAATGGAAGTTTTGATGGGCGTTGATGAAAGTTGTCTCGACAGGCTGCGGAGTGATTCTCTGCTGAACAAGTATGCTATTGCAGTGTAATGATTTTCTTCCGGTCTAGCAACACCCTGCGAAGGGGTATAGCGGCCAGCTAAATAAGCCCGAAGTAGGGTCGAAAAACGCAAATTCTTCTGGAACGTGATCTTGTTTAATGATGTTGTTGAATCCCACTCTCGTCTCTCTCTCTTTTTCGTATACCTAAGTCCCATACCTATATCCGTACCTATCTACATAACTACTTATCCCCGAAGAAAACCATCAGAGCAAGGCTTTTACAACGTGGTATTAGGCAGCACAAAAAGAGGTCTAAAATTCAGGCATCAATTCCCAATTGGGACAAAAATCGACCAAATGCATTATCCGACACTGGCCGCTATACCCCTTCGCACAACGCCCCTGGTTAAGTGCTTCGTATTGATGTTACATTCCACACAATGCTAGGTCAGGAATAAAATAAAAGATAATACTGTCGCATAAGTGAGCCTGCTAATTTGGATAGGATCTGGTATAGATCGTGTGGATCATCGCAACTCCATTTGCATGCGAACATGTCTGAACGCCCAATCGTATATCATAAAATCATAAATCTTGGCCAGCGATGGTGAACCAAGGAGGTATCCGGGTATCAGAGTATCAACGAGTTGGAATGAAGTTTTGGGAATCAGTCTGTTGTTGGCTGAATGATTCGGGGAATGCGGCAATACCGCCAATGATGCCAATAGCCATGAAGCCGAGAGAGATGAGGGACCAAATGACACCCCAGCACTGAGAGGAGCCACCATACTTCTTCGCGAAGACGCTGGCGTCAGAGCTGTTGACTTTGCGGAGAATAAGGTCGTCGCACTATGAAAAGGAAATGGTTAACATCGCGAACAAGGTTAGAGACAACAAGTAAACTTACAATATCCCAGACACTGTACAGAGCGGACATGACATCGATGAAAAGCTGAACCACGCGTTAGTATTATAAGACCAAGTCTGGGATACAACTCACCACTACCCAGCGTAGGGCCTCGCCGTGGGCGATGAACCAGCAAGCAACCAACAGACCAACTGCAAGCAGAACGGTCATGATGGTCAACCAGTCTCTCCGCGCCCACCATAATGTGAGTAGGAAGCAGACCCCCAAAACAATACTGGCGACTTTGGAGGCAACAATATCAAACCCAGCGAAGATCAACAGAGCGCCGATAATCGATGAGCCTAGGTATCCAGCTGGCAGGGTGACAGCGCTCATGCCGCCTTGCATATGAGTGACACCACCCTCGTGAGGGTCCAAGGAAATGGATTTGACTTTGCCGCCGGTGCAACAGGCCGTGATCGCGTGTCCGAATTCATGGAATGCGATAACCAGCATCTGTTTGTTGTCAGTTGGCGTCAGTAGGCCCGAGGGGGGTTTTCTGTACCTTAAACGGCCATAGAACCCAACGAACGTAGGGAACGTTCCATAAGATTGCGATGACCACCACGTAGGCAGCCATCACCCCAAGGGTGACTGCTTGGGTGTGGTTGACGGTCAGGTCACGGCGGGCAAGATGCGGGGCCGTTTCCACCGTCCCCGTTAGCGCTGCATATAGGGCTGGCATAGTGAACAGTAAGCAGACAGAGCAAGAGGCTTGAGAAAAATTAAAGAGGGAATCAGCAAGGAAGACTCAAGCCACCGATTTATTGAAATGGAATTCAGCTGATCCACGCGTCCCTATAGGGACGCGCATGCCACGGTGTGGCGCGCGTGGCTGGGTTCCTTGGCGTCTATTTTTAGCCGCGTCCCTTTTCCCTTTGACCTCCACTCTCTCGCACACAAGCATCTACTTAAGTATATATCTTATTTCCCACTTTGTATAGACCCTCATCTCGATATTTTGGACTCATATGTTTTACGATGTGATGATTATGAAGGTCTACGGTACCTCAGTCCCTTACATTGACAGACTCGCGTCAATGCCCCTTGTAATGTTGGTCACAACATGAGCGCAACGACTTCAAATCGCCGACAATTTGCGAACACTGTCCGAAATGTTCAAAAATCCATTCGAGCCAACCAAAATCTTCAATACAAGTCACACTTGGTACTCCGTGTGCTGTGTCACTCTTCTCAATTCTAATGACCGGTCCATAGAGAATTTCATTGCTGCTCAAGTTACCCCAGAACGCACTGAATCCAGCTTCCTGATTAGGTCAATGAACAGACCGAAGCCATTTACCAGAGGAGCCCGTAAAAGGTCGAGCGCTACCACCCGACAGTACCACCACACCCCACAAATGCGGGGGAGATTGAGATCAACCATTTTCCCTTACATGTCATCTTGCCGTATAGACAAGAGGTGCTCCGTATTTCTACGGATGTCTGAGCAGTGAGTTCTCGGGTCCACTATAAAAAATCTGGTCAAAAATCGAGACTTTTCCCTTTTGCTCCTGACCTCGACACACTTGACACATCATGGTAGGCATACTACCAGTAGTGCTGGTTAGCCTGGCTACCAGCGTGTACTCGCATCCTACCCACAAGTCACCTGCTTCTGGTGGCTATCATGATAATGCTGGCGTCCTTGAATATGTGAATCCTCTCATCGGTACTTATGGTACAACGCCAAATGGAAATGGCGGGATGATCCCCTCTGTCTGTCCGCCCTTCGGCATGACCCGTTGGACACCCCAAACTCGCGAAAACTTCATCTCTCAAGTCCCCTATGGTGACAGCGATCGGCTCATTCATGGTTTCCAAGCCACACATCAACCCGCCATTTGGATGGGTGAGTCTGGTCAGGTAGTGTTGACCCCCGGAATAGGGAAGGTGCAGCCATTGTTCCAGAATCGTGGCTTGGAGTTCCGGAAGAAAGACGAGCGCAGCACACCGTATGTTTATGAACTTTTGGTCGATGCTACTCAGCACATGAATCGCAATTGGAATGCGACGGCGGAGGCTGTGGGTGATGGGCCCGTTCCGGGTGGTGCTGGAGCGGTGCCGGAAAATGTCCAGGATGGTGCCAATGGACGAACACGAAAACGTCATTTCGACACCACTACACTGCCTGATACGGATGTGGAAGAGTATGAGAGGTCTATTCGGGTAAGCGCGGTTGAACTTACCGTTTTGCAAAATGTTTAACGACCTCTAGATCGCGATGTCTGCCGATACTCATGTCGGTCATCTTCGTTTCGATTTCGAGGGACCTGCGGATGACTCTCGCAGTCTGCGCGGTGAAGAGCCTTGGGTTTTCATTCAAGCCTCGCGTCGAAATTGGACAGGCGAAGTTCACATCGATCCAAGAGCTAGGGAGATTTATGGCTACAACACCGAGCGCCAGGACTATCTCCTTGGTCCAGACAAAGCGGCTTCATTCAAAGGATATTTCGTATCCCGGTTCTCTGAGTGCTTCACAGAATACGGAGTCACAGATGGTGATTCTGTGATGAAGAATGAGGCCCAAAGGCATGGCAATTTCACCGGTGCATACGTCAAATTCAAGAACGCGACATCTCGTGTTGAGGTGCGCACTGGAGTTTCATATATCAGTGTCGCCCAGGCAAGGAAGAATCTCGAATTTCAGACTCCGGATGGACACACATTCGAAGATACCGTGGAAACAGTCAAGTCTGCTTGGCTCGAGAAGTTGGGCCGTGTGTCCATCAAAGGCGTGAACACCGATCCAGAAAACGATCCTCGGCGTATCTGGTACACTGGTCTCTTCCACTCCTTACAATACCCCAGTGATTTTTCAGAGCCAACGTCTGATAAAGCTAATGCCCCTCGCATCTTCTACTCGGGCTATACTGATAAAACACACACCGAGAATGACTCGTACTACCAGTCTTGGTCTATCTGGGATACCTACCGAGCGGAGCATTCTCTATTAACTATATTCGCACCCGAGCGTGTAAACAGCATGATGCGCTCACTGCTACGAATCTTTGACTGGTCGGGCTGGTTGCCCCTGTGGGTTAACCTGGTTGAGACTAATATCATGATAGCCACAAATGCAGACGCTGTGCTCGCCAACGCACTGCAACGTGGATTCAAAGGCTTCGATATTCAAAAAGCCTGGAAAGCCGTCAAGAAAGATGCGTACACTCCACCTGATCACGACATCAAGACTCTGTATTATGACCGTGAGCCAGGCACGTCATATGAGGTACGTGCCGGCCTCACCTCATACATGCAGCAGGGATGGGTATCGAATGATGCCTGGTCCGAAGCCGGCAGTCGTACCTTGGACTATGCATTTGACGACTATGCCTGCTCGGTGGTTGCTACCCACGCGGGACAAGTCGAAGCGGCCGCGGAATTAATGACTCGAAGCCGGAATTATGCAAATGTCTGGAACAACAAAACCCAATTCATGCAGGCCCGAAATGCAAACGGCACCTGGGCGAACAGTACTTTTGGTTGGACCGAAGGCGACGACTGGGTTTACACATTCGATGTGATGCATGATGTGAAGGGTTTGGCTATGCTCTTCGGTAGCCCTGAGGCTTTCCGTGACAAGTTGAATGCGCACTTCGAGGGTGGACACAACGACCATACTAATGAGCCAAGTCACCACGTTCCATATCTTTACTCTGCCCTGGGCTATCCAAACAGAGCCGCGGAGGTTATTCGGGAGGTCGCCTGGGCAAACTACAATGCCACCAGCGGAGGACTAGGTGGAAATGAAGATTTAGGCCAGATGAGTGCCTGGTATGTTTTCTCTGCGCTGGGTTTTTATCCAGTCGACCCTGCCAGCGATGAATATATTGTTGGTACTCCGTTCTTTGAGGAGGTCTCTATCCGTCTCCCTAGCGGAGTCAGCACTGGCGGAGTTGGTGGTCAAGAGAGAACGCTTGGGATACGCGCTCCTGGAGCAACCACAAACCCCTACGTTCGTGGGCTCAAAGTTGATGGTAAAAGCATCAAAGCTCCTGTCCTCAAACATGGCCAAATCGTACGTGCAGGAAAAATTGAGTTTGAGATGAGCGCGACCCCTGGTTCCTGGGGGAGCCGGCCGTTTTGGATGTGAAATATGACATCCATGGATGTATCATTACTATCGAGACAGATAGATCAGTTTTTGATATGTGCGTGGACGCGGAATAATCCCTCGATGTATTATATACAGGAATTGCCCGGAAGGCCAAGCAGAAAAGAAAGAAAGACGAGAAAGCCTGTCAGGCATCATCCCTATGACATATGAGGTAGTTATGCTGTGTGGCTGAAGACCGTTGGGTCCGGTGGTCGTCGTTAAACTAGTTGCACTAGGCGGTAGTTTGCGTGGTGTGAACCGGTTGGAGTTGGGTTCACCCGCGCCTGTGAAAACGGGAATTCGGGGAGGGGCTAAGTCCAGTGGTTGTCCGGGTAGATTGGTCGATCGTGGTAGGATTCGAACCTATGTACTTGTACTCGTACATACGATGTAACTAAAAGTGAGACATGGGCCCACATGAAATATTTCAGTAATCACCAATGGCCTTTGGGCCGGATGGTATAAAAGAGCTCGGCTTCTCACTAAAATGTATTGTAACAAAGTTTGGCCGGTTTAATGGCCGATGGGGTCCTAACATCTTCCTTTCGTACGAATGTTCATGTACAGTACTGACACTGCCCCACACGATCACTCCCAGCCCACGCGGGAATCCGCTAGACGGTCTCCACTCGTCCCGCCTCGTATAGGTTTTCGGGGGAGAAAGCTCGGAACAATCGTCCCCGAGCCCACCACAAGAGGAAGTGCGGCCCGTTTCGAACAACTGTGGGGAGTTCGACGTAGCATCGACCACGGTACAAACTTTATTCTAGGGTTTTTTTGCCGCCAAGGTAGGCTCCTTTGTTTTACATCGTGTGCATGCACGTCGTCCTGGCGCGCCGAAGCGAAACCACCGGAGGCTGACGCAAGCCGATCGCTGTACATTGCTATATATGGAGTGCATAAAATGTACTTAAGCAGGTTACACATACGAAGTAGGCCATTAGCTACTATATAAAATCGGTCTATACATGTAAGAGGCCCCGCTTGGCAGCAAAGTAGGACAATGAGATGTGCCTTGCCGATTGAAGGGGAGGAGAACAACCTGGCGGTCCCTCAAACCACTTATATAGGGAAGCGATATGGAGTATACGCAGGCAATTCTGCATGGTCCTGATACTATCCACCGGAGAGTTCCTGTACCGCGGATACATCCAGGACATATAAATTGAGCCTAGCTTGTTCCTCAGAGATCTTCCAGCCACGGGAGGATGACTCTTTGAGCCATAGCAGAAAAACGAGGCCAACTAATTTGTTTGCTATATTACTTGTATGAATATGGCCGTTTCTCCATACTATGATATGCACAATGCCGCCGGAACACAACCGAATGTTAGCTTCCATGTCACGGCCGTGTGGAAGCAGCTTCGGTAAGCCCGCCGCTGGCACATTTCTGCGACAACAATGTACGAGTTTATTGCTAAAAAAATTGGACCCTGAAAAGGGGCAAATTACCATTCGCTCAGCGTTAGCGTATTTCAGCCCTTGCCTACATTTAAGTAGTCAAGATAGTAATTCCAAGATCGCCACGATTACATCTTTAACTGGATTACGGGTTAGAGTCTCTTATACTCGTAACTCGTAAAAACAACTGTTACAGATTCTCGATAGATGAAGTGTCAGTACCTGTCAATAAAAATACCACCAAGTTATTCTGATCTACTAAGACCCGATACTGGCAGACTTTTGTCAGATATAGTGATACCTAGTTATTGAATCGTTTAATCAGAGCTCTGTGTAAGCTCGTATTGTATATTTCCAAACACTACCCAAAAGTAGATGCTGTGCCTGAACCCCAACCTCAAGTTCAGATACAGTGTCTAGCTCTCACTCCTAGCCTTCTCCCATTACTCAAGTATCAGTTTGTCCTAGTTTTATCTAAACTATATACTTATACTGTTTCTAGCAATATTTGCATGCCTTCATTTATACCTTCGCTGATTTATAGAGTGTTGGTTAGTGAACAGTAACACAATATAATTTCTAGCACATACTTACTCTGTGGCTCTGAATTCCTGGGAGTAGGGCCATCCGAAGATTTTCTTTAATCTAAGTATAGGAGAATAACATACTTGTAAATTCCATGGGCTCAATCCTATAGTCCGAATAGATTGACTACTTAGTGAGAGTTATACTGGCTTATTACGATCTCATGCCTTACTTTACCGGGGCTCGTGGGAGCCTGATGCACAGTCACTGCACAAACAGCGTCCATGGCAATCACTCCACTGCCTCAATCCCGCCTGCCCCTTGGCTGGTCCCGCGTCCCGAGCTTCCCTCGCAGTGGCATTTTTCAGGTTTGCCGATTTTCTAAACAAGGCAAAATAGACACACCGGCGAACAAACAAAGCGATTTATCGTGTTCCGCGGTCTCCGAATCAGCATCGAGTCGATCTAAGAATACTTAGGAAAAGGGTCGATCACTTCGCGGAGGAGCTCGCACGCTTACGAGTAAGTATTGCGGCCCCACTCCCATGAAGTTCCTAATCCGGCGAGTCATCCTGCCTTTCGAGCTCCTTCGGTTGAACTGCCAAGACTCTTCTTGACTGAATTAATCATAGGTTCACTCTGAAATATATGTCAATAAGAGAGCGGGGAGACTGGCGGCCGAGGGATGGTTTTAGAAATTTTGCGACGCCACTGTAGATCACTCCTTCGGTGCACCATGCAATCCATATTATTGAGCATGGATCATGAAGCGCCAGGCGATGGTCGTTTTGGGAATGCCTTAATATCATTCTCCATTTCCGTGTTCTCAAAGGGTGCAAACAAGCCAAGGATGGGGCGATCCGCGTTAATATGAATTGCCAACCCTCACGCGAGTGACCCGCATTTGACTCTCCTAGACCTCGTTTTCATTAAGTATACAATCAATGGAGTCATACTGCCCAGACTACTCGTACGGTCCCAAGGCTTTACATGAAACACCAAAGCATTAGGCTAGCTTAAGGCTGTGTGTCAATATAAAGTACGACACGAACGCACGGGCACATGTAGATACGTACTCGTAATATTCATCAATTTCCCAGTCAGTGTCGAATGATTGAACAGGTTGTGCAAATCAAATTTCCAACATTTGTTAGTTTCACCGACGTATCACCGACGACCCTGGATCGACAGTAAAACCTACCACGTCAAGCCAGCTCTCTGGATATTCTATATATCAAAACATATGGTTTTATGGTGGAAGGATTCAGTCGGTGAATCGCAGCTCACCTTGCCTGGCCTAGCATCCTGTGTTCAGGGTCCACATCATCGGTGAGAGTCATTTTAAGACCCTTGATTATTATAGAGTTCGAAACATGGGCGGGTACAACACTTCGTGGTACCGAAGATAGGCAATATACACAGGTACATGAATTAACGTGAAATTCCAATGTCTCCTCTAGAGGATGATCTGGTTGATCAAGTCATGTGTTCGAGGACGAAGTATAAAGAAGGCAGAACCTCCGCGCTCTAGTCAAAAATATCAGCTCACACTCGTTTTTTTCCAACTTTCTTTGTCGACTATGTTCTTCCATCATTTCATTCCTTTCATTTTGGCCTATGCCATCCCACTCGTCCTGGCTGATGGGTACAAAAATATCGACCCTTCCGCCACCAAAGGAGCCAGATCCCTCCTCCGATTGATCCAGTCTCGGTTCGGGTCCCAGTACCTTTCCGGCCAGCAGGACCTAGTCAGTCTTGAATGGGTCCAAGAGAATATTGGACAAACGCCCGCCATGCTGGGCAGTGACTTCATGGACTATTCCCCCTCCGCTGTAGCCCACGGCACCAAATCCCACGCCGTCGAGAATGTTATAAACTTCCACCATCAAGGTGGCATCAACGCACTCGTCTGGCACTGGCACGCACCAGCCTGTCTCTATGACAACTCCGAACACCCCTGGTATTCGGGATTCTACACTGAGGCAACGTGTTTCGATATAAAGGCGGCGCTCGCCGAAGGGAACCGCAACGGTACCAACTACCGTCTCCTCCTCCGTGACATCGATGCCATTGCCGCGCAGATCAAGCGTCTCTCCGCAGCCGATGTCCCAATTTTGTTCCGGCCCCTGCATGAGCCAGAAGGCGGATGGTTCTGGTGGGGTGCTAAGGGCCCGGAGGCTTTCCACCAGCTCTGGGACCTCATTTACACCAGGATTACGGAACACCACGGCCTTCACAATATCGTTTGGGTCTGCAACACCGCTGAATCGGCATGGTATCCCGGCAACGACAAGTGCGATATTGCTACAGTTGATCACTACGCAGAGGCCGGCGATCATGGAGTCCTGCAGGAGAAATGGCATAAGTTGAACGAGGTGACAGGCGGAAAGAAGGTGCTGGCGCTGGCTGAAGTCGGCGTGCTTCCAGATCCGGAGGAGCAGGCCAATACTAACACGCATTGGGCGTATTGGATGTGCTGGTCTGATGATTTTATCAAAAATGGCAAGTACAACGCCAAGGAGTTTATTCAGCAGACATACGATAGTCCTCGCGTTCTCACCCTGGAGGATGTTCAGAAACCTGGCAATCGGACCCTCAGTCGCCGTCGCCGGCTCTAAGGGTTTTGATAAGGACCTGAGGGGTTTTGGCGGTTCTGTGCTGTCTGACTCTTCGTTTACGTTCCCTGAAACACATGTATTGGAGGCCTAGTGCCTACTAATGTAGTGGAGGAGGCCTGCGTGCCAATAGGAGGAAAATGTAAGGGAATTGGCCTAACTTGGAAGGGAGCTTATATACATTCATTTAGATAGTATCTTTTGTATCACGCAGAGATCAATTACACAAGTTCCAGCCTATTCGAGAGAGTGCCAGCAGTTAGCCATAGTTGGGGTGTTGTTTACCCTCATCCTTCTGCCCCATTCGATCTGCACGTACCGACCATGCTGCCTCGAGCATCCTAAGTATCCCATTCCACTAGATGTAGACAGTAGTTGCTCTTGAGATTCACATAGTATGTACTTCTGTTATTAACAAAACTTCTATCGTCTTTTATTTCATTTTTATTTCATTTTGGATGATACACATCGTTAACATAATCGACTACCCACAAATAAGTGTGAGCTGGGCCTTGACCCCCGAAAGGCAATTGGAGCTTGAGCTTCATACAGTTCTTCTTTAAGGCAACATCGGAGGATGCATAATAGTGCAACCCAGAGATGTTGAGATTCTATTGCTGGATCTATCAGCTGTCCAAACTAGAGTCATGGACACTTAAATGATACATTGACGGAAAACCCCAACCAGTTGCGTTTTGGTCCAGAAAGATGACACCCGCAGAAATCAACGACAACATCCATGACAAAGAACTGCTAGCCATAGTGTCAGCGTTCAAGATATGGAGAGCGTATCTGGAAGGAGCTAGGCACCAGATTCTTGTAAAATCAGACCACAAGAGCCTCACCTTCTTTATGATCACAAAAGAGTTGACAAGACGACAGGCTAGATAGGTAGAACCCCTGGCACGATAAAATTACAAAAATTACCCAGACACAGCCAATAGCCAGGCAGACACGCTTAGCAGAAGACCCGAATATGCGGTAGGGTCAAGGAAACCATCTCGGCCATACTCAGAAAACACGAAGAAGGTCACCTAATGTATAATCACCAGGTACTGGCCGCCCCCAGGGAGAACCAAAACGACGAATGAACCAACAGGCTTAAAAGCAGTTTGATGAATGATCTCATCCGGCAAACGGGATCTACGGAAAAGATCTGCAACAAATGATTCAGCATGCAGGAAGATAAGGTCAAGAGCAAAGATCGTGAAAGAATTTCAACAGTTCATCGGACTGTGCAAGTACTACTGACGTTCAATCGACGGGTTTGGTAAGATTCAATGAACCTCGATAAACTGTTAAAGACTAGAAGTGGGTATGGTATGACCAACCAGAAGAATTGTTTGACAACCTCAAGAAAATATTGGTTGAAAGAACGATACTTGCACCAGTAAATGCAGAAAAGCGATCGATACACGGTGGAAACCGATGAATACTCTTCAGCTAGAGAAAGGCTTTGACTCAGAATACTGCTTGAGCAATATTGTATTGGTTGCTTGGGAGAGAAGAGAAGAAGACTAGACTAATATAACTAATTGTGACTAAGCACCCACCGACAGTCGGTCCCCTCCTGTCGGTGAGCCAAAGCCATTTCACAAACCAGAGCCATTTCACAAAAAAACCATAAAAATCAATTTTAAACCTATTTATCACCCACCATACCATCTCTATTTACCATAGAAAATAGCTCATTCTCAGTATCAATATAATCTTTATCCCCAGATGCCTCTTCTTTTTCCTTAAGAGCTTCATTGGCGCGACGCCAATAGTCTTGAACTCGTGCAGATCGGAGATCACACCGAATATCTACTCTTGATTTATCTGTACAACGACGACAAATTTTCGAATTGCCTTGAATTGACGATAGAGGGGACTTGGAAGCTTCCTTAATTATACGTCGTGATTTTGGAACCGGATTTTTGTGTTTTTACATCTTTTTAATCGTCGAGTTTGTAAGTAGACCTGGCAGTGACCCGCGGGTGACCCTCATGACCCTCGGACCGCCCCGCCACTGGGGCGGTTCGAGGGTCCAACCTTCCGACCCTGAGGGTAGTCCACCTAGGGGTTGGACCCTCGGAGGGTGATCCTCAGGGTCACTCGCGGGTCCACAAACAGGACAAACAGGCAAATCTCGTGACATGCATAATTTATGTAGATTTGCTTTGTATTTTTGAGTATCTCAATTACAGTGACTGAACTTCTTTGGGGAATATTTTATAATCATACAATGTTCCAAGGTTATAGAAGCTTTTAAAGTATAATTTTGATTCTAATTTCTATCTACTATATATCCATCAAGCCTTCTTAATATCTTTCGAATTCTTCCAGATAATCAAGGAAGAGGAAGTCCACTATCTTCATCAATATCATTCTCTAGATTAGATTATATCTTATCATCTTTACTTAATGAACCACTTCTTTATCTCCTTCCGAGAACAGTATTCAAAGATGGTTGTAAAATAGGTAGTGATTAGATTTATTCAATTATATCTTCCTCAATATTATTAATTAGTTCAAATAAAATAGTATCTGTACTACTTACTTCTATTAAAGCTACGATCTTTTGAGAAGTCAGATATTCCTGAAGAATCAACTATTAGTTCTCCTACAGATCAAATCTTATTGTACACATAAATATTATAAACAATACTTATAAGAACAGATTATTTATGTTGGCTATCTTTCCAAAAAACATAAGATAATGAATACTGTAGTACTAGATTAATACCAAAGTCAATTAGATATAATAAATAGAGATAGATATTAAAATTAATTAGTATCTAGATATTAAATTAGTTCATCTTTATCTAAAATATTAAATTATAAAGAGTTATTTAACTTCAATATAGATTTAAATTTAGATATTCCAACTTTTAATAATAGACTATTTGATAATAACTAACTCTACTTAATATTAAATTGCTTTTTGTAGTATTTAATTTAAATCTTAAAACTACTTTTGTAAATATTCTTCTAAAAAATTTTAATAAAATCTTTGGATTTCTATTTTTTTGTGGAAAAGAATTGAAGCTTTTAAAATAAAGATAAAATTATATTAATAGTATAAAGATATTCATTAATACTATTAATATCTTTATAATATTTTAAAAACTTTTCTAATATAGTTTTAAATATAGATTATATAAGTTATTTTTAAAAAAACTTTCTTTTGTTTTAATATAGTAATTATATACTTAAAATAATTAAAAAGATAATTATATATCGTAAAAATAAAATAAATATTTAAGTTTTTAATCTATAATATAAGACTAATAAATCTGAAGAATAGCTTAAGAATAAAAAGTAAATATTTAATCTGCTTCTATTCTCTTAGACTTAATATAAAATAAGACTATTCATATTGTGAATAGAAGGTATTAAAAACTAACTATAGTCTTTTTATTTATTAAAGTATTAGAAATATTAAGTTCTATTATGTTTTTATATTCTAGATTAGAATAAATTTAGACTCTTGATTTTAAAGGATATAGAATATATCTTGATACTGTAGGCTTGTATTGATGTAAATAACAAGACTATAAATTTAGATTAATAATTAGTATATAGAAATAATATTAAAAAATTAGTTTATCTTATTTTATTAAGAATATCTACAATCTTATATTTTCTTTAACATATATATAGTACTCTTATATAATTATTAGATTAATTTAACTTAGTAATATTATTACTTAAAGATACTTTTATTATTCCAAGTAAATCTATAAGACTTATTTAGATAATATAAACAATATATAGTATACAAATAATAATAAAATTAGTACTTAATTAAATAGTTATTACTAAGTTATTTATAGTTTGAATTAGTATTATATTATTCAAGGTATTATCAATAGTAATTGCAAACACTTGATTCAGAATATTATATTTTTATAGTATTTAAATAATGACTTTACTAAGATTTATATCAAAATAAGTATTAGAAAATAGCTTAAAGCTAAGAAGAATCTTTTAATATTTCCACTCTTTATTTAAAAAGTAGTCTATAACTACTATAAATATTTGCTAAAATAACAATATCTAATAGTTTAATATAAAAGAGAGCTTTACTTTTAGTAGTAGACTTTGAAATAATCTTTTTTAATATTTAATAACAAATTTCTTTAGTTACTTACAGATAATACATTGTAAAGGAATAGTGAGTATAGTTAGAATAAGATATGTATATTTAATTATATTAATAAACTTCTAATATTTTAAAGAATAAAAATAGAAGATATAATATTGTAATAAGATTTAATAGTTTCTATTTTTAAATATTCTATAAGAATATAAGAGTTAATATATTTAATATTTATATATAAGTTAATAAAGAAGATAATATTAGAAAAAATGATATATAATTATTTTAAGTATTTTTTGAGGACTTCAGGAGGCAATGCAGTAATTTGCATGAGTGGTGGCGGAACTGGAATATATATCCCAGCAACGCAAATTCTTTTGTCCCATTCTGAGTTTCACAGCCCTTGCCAAGTATGATGTGATGGAGAAAATACCCGACAGGAGTCCTTGCAGTAAGTTGATTCTGAGAGGTTTCCTTCCCTTAGGTTAGTGCATATCTTGGCTGGTGATAACTGAGAGGAATGAACAGCCGCTTGACCTAGTGTATTACATTGTGATAAGCGACAATTCAGGTCAGGCCAATCAGATGTCAGAATTTTAACTTCTTCCAGGGCCAAGGGCTTGTGTAGGGTGAACGAAGCGGCTTGGGATATGGCGCAATATTTTGCAACAGTCCGGGATGATGAGGTGACTGCGGGGGTGATCAAATCAATTGATGAAGACATGAAGATCATCACTCTGCTTAAAAGTATATTAACGCGGAAATCAGGCAAAATCTCATCGAGGGCTAGCACTCGCCTTGGATGTCTTTATAGCAAGTTGAAGGGCCGTGGTCGGGACATGTAGTACTTAGGTACCTGACTGAGAACAAAACGGAAGACTTTGGATCTTTGTGTTAAAATCGAGCGGTGATAGGAGCCTCCTGATCACTAGGCCACTTTTGAAGATTAAAAGAAATGAAAAGAGAACTCCTAGAAGCCGGGAAAGAACTGTCAAGAGGGCAAACGCTTTCATATATTCCTCGTTGGCTTGCGCCGTGATCACGACCGGCATCACGACGGAGAACTAGGTGACCGTTTGCTTGCTCTAGATAGTCCCAGCTCTCTGTCTCTCTCTCCTTTCTTTTTCCTCCAGTCCCTCAGATAGCCAAGTACATGAAGTGACTGCCTGATATTCTCCTTCTTGCTTGCTCTTCTCAGAATTCTTGTTTAAATTGCGACCGAAAACAATTGCGCAAGTATCGGATGGAAGTGGTGGATAGCAGAAGCGAGAAAGAGCACTTTTCGCTCTCAGAATCCACTCTGAGAACATCATCATCATGCGAGACGGCCAAGGATTTTTGGCGAAACTGTGTGTCACGGTGGTTATAGCGTCCGTCCCATCGAACGTCTGATATCTTAGACCCAGGTATCACTGACCGTTCACGCCCCCAGGCTTTTCGCAAACTTCTATACCGGGTGCGACGACATCGACGCTAGGCTTAAGCCAATAGTCATCATAGATTGTTCGCAAGCCTCCAAGTTCCATAACCCAGTCTCCCTCATAAATGACTTGAATTTCCTGGAGTGAGATGAAAAGGATGACAAGAATTCACTGAGGAAGATGCGCGCCCCTACTGCAGCAGGGAAAAGCTCGCGCAAGGCATCGATCTTCTCGTGGGACAAGAGCTTTCTGGAATTGATACATTCCTGGAACAGATGTTCCTCCTTCCGCGGTGAACGTGGGAGAGGTTGAGAAAGTATTGAGAGAAAAGGAGTGGAATATCACTTGATGATATTACTATGTACAAGACTGGGGGAGGAAGGAAGGAAGAAAGGAAGGAGAAGCTTTCCAGACCATCTATCTACGGGTGTTTGACCGGTTTGAACTAGGAAGCAACCTATCAAACAGGAAAGAACAAGTGTGTCTATCAAAAATCAAGCTCTGAGGGTTAGAAGGAGGGTGCATCAAGGACATACTTTCTAGGACCAGCAGGAGATTCAAATATAGCATACGAAGTACTCAGTACACAGGGCTGACTGATACTCTATGTAGTCTGTGTTGAGGCTCTTAGTCCACACTGAGACCCGGCAAAACAATATACCGGTCACATGACACTCGTCGTAGCAAGGCAACAAGGCATCTGCAGGTTTGACGGGTAGGCAAACAAGACAAACAGATAATTTTAAAATACACTATGTTTGAACCCTGTATTTAGACCTTTTATATAGGTAATATTAGATTTTTTAATAAATCTAAAATAGATTTATAATATTATTTATGAATCACTATTTATAATTTGACTATATAGTTTATTTAAGAATTTGAATAAATTACAGATATTCTGTGGAAATTAGGGGAATGTAGTGTTGGGAGTGAATATATATTTCTGCATTCGAATGCTGTATTTTCTTTTTTTAAGAATTCTGCATTTTCCCACGGTCGGAATTCGTTCAAATTTTGTATAGATATAAATAAGATAGTTAGAAAGAACTATGTAAAATTTGAACTAATTCCGACCGTAGGAAAATGTAGAATTCTCAAAAGAAAAAATTTTCATGTCAAAAATGCGAGGTCGGAATATCTGATTTTCCGCCCCCGTTTGTGTGGAAATTTTTGATCAAATTCCCATACAGCCCTTCAATTTTTATTTCTTCAATAGAATCTTTTCCTACGGTCGCATAGTATTCAAATTTAGAATATAGACTAATTAGCATAGGATCTATATATAGTGAAATTTTTATTTAAATTGATCGATTAGATACTCTAATACAGGAATTACATACATCATTATTCATCAGGATCATATATCCCAAATAGGAAATTGAGGCTGAAATATGCAAGTTTACGGGTATGCGGGTTTTGTCGAGGTCTACCCCTGTTGATGATGGCTTAAAGATACTCAGGTGGTTGACCGCCTTCATGTTTGACAGGAGTAGGTAGATAGATGACTTCCTTCTCTTCTCTCTTCTTCTTTTCTCTACCTCTATCTTTCAATGAGAACTAATACAACAAAGTCTTTTTGCTTGATTTGTCGGTAAAAGGTCCCATCAATTGGTATTTCATAATCCTTTACGC